CGCGGGTAATACTAGTATAATATATATTTCTAAGAATTTTATAATGTTCTCTACGATATATGACTACTTTGTATAAAATTTGACTATGCATTATGCAACCTTGATATGGTATATTCATACAGACATAAAACGGTGAATGTACTTAATTCTGCTGTATACCTAAATGTCAGAGTATGAAAACATTTAAAACCTGTTAAATTTGATAATAAACAATATTCATTTTATTATTTCGACGACACGTTTGGCTCAGTTTGTAGTGAACCTACTTGCTGTGCCAGCGGGCGCGAGCTCGAATCCCGCTGGGGGCAGTCATTTGTGTGATGAGCCCGTATGTTTGTACTCCAGTCATGGGAGATTAAATTTATAATATGTATGTATTTAAAGTTATATATGTATAATGTATCAGCTATCTGGTATCCATAACACAAGCCTCGTAGCTTACCATGGAACTAGATGGTGTTGTGTGGTAATGTCCCAACATATTTATTATTATTCTTATACATAGGTTTTAGATATTCACGAATAATTTCGTTTATGAGACCAATTTATAAATATTTAATGAAGTTAAATTGATACGTTTCATCTCTTTTGTCGTATACTTTACTCGATATCAAAGCCCGAACAACGATTGAAAATACTGTATACATGTGTCTGTTTGTATCTATTAATCTTAGGAGCAGCAAAACTTTTAAGGGAACTCTTACTGGAGGGTTACTTAGTATTCTGGCAAATAAAATACATTTAAGTACCTGCAATGTCTTATTGAGCAGGAGCTCGATAAAAGATTAAAGCTAGCATTGCCCGCGGCTCCGCCCGCGTTCAGATGACCAAAAACTAAATTCTTAGGTGTTACATATTAGTATACTCTTACATTGCAGTTTTTGTATTTTTCCTCAGAAATAAGATATTTTCCCGCGGTAAAAAGTATCCTAGGATCGCGCGCTACATCGCCCGGTTTATATAGCTTGAGCAGGCGGTCGAGCGATGCGGGGCAGAGGGGATGGACTCGCCGTAGGCATCTCAATGCTCGCCAAGCATTAAAAATGTTTCGCTACTAATTACTTCTAACAACGATATCTCAAAAACTATTCATCTGATTGATTTAGTGTAAAGAGCAATTTTAATCTGCATTAAATGACTAAGCTAACTAAAATATTCATTTGGATAAGGATTAATACCGAACTAAAGAAAATAACTTTGAAAATAACGTAATGTTTTTAATTAAAAATGTTAACATAAAAGTGGTTATTGTAAGTCAACCGTAAGAGATAGAGACATGCTATCGCGGACTTTTTTGTAGCATTTTTATAGATTTTGAATTCTCTAGTACATTACTTAACTGTATCTTTGCTAGTTTACGCGGCGTTCGCGTGGAAAGTTCCCATTTGGCGAGATTTTTTGCGACCTCTTCAACATTTGTCGCCGTATTTCAGCTAATTTACATAAAAGCATAATAAATTATATACCTAAACCTTCCTCAAGAATTACTCTTTCTATTGTTGAAAACCGTATAAAAATCCGTTCAGTAGTTTTCGAGTTTATCGCGTACAGACAGACAGGAGGACAGACAGGAGGACAGAAAGACGCGGCCGGGGGACTTATTTTTATAATAAGTATAGATAGATGTATTTAAAGTTATATATGTATAATGTATCAGCTATCTGGTATCCATAACACAAGTCTCGTAGCTTTCCATGGAACTAGATGGTGTTGTGTGGTAATGTCCCAACATATTTATTATTATTCTTATACATAGGTTTTAGATATTCACGAATAATTTCGTTTATGAGACCAATTTATAAATATTTAATGAAGTTAAATTGATACGTTTCATCTCTTTTGTCGTATACTTTGCTCGATATCAAAGCCCGAACAACGATTGAAAATACTGTATACATGTGTCTGTTTGTATCTATTAATCTTAGGAGCAGCAAAACTTTTAAGGGAACTCTTACTGGAGGGTTACTTAGTATTCTGGCAAATAAAATACATTTAAGTACCTGCAATGTCTTATTGAGCAGGAGCTCGATAAAAGATTAAAGCTAGTTAATTGATTTTAATTGATTTTAATCGATTAGGTTGTTAGCCTAATCGATTATTATAGGGTATTTATTACTGTCGCAAAACAAGCGTACGCGCCGGCGAACGATGTATTTTTCTCTTGATAAATAATAAATTTAGTTAGGAGATGAAACTTAGGAACTTGTAACTTTTTAAATAACTCGTATGATTACTTATTAAGCAAAAGGGTCAAGTTTTATATATACGTTCTTGAAAGTTAATGATATAAAATATGTTTATTAACATATTTTATGTATTTGTTTCATTAAAACCGAATCAAGGTTTATATTTAAAGTGACATAAGAATAATTATATTTACAGTTACAAAATTATAACTTTGGAATAACAGAAACCTCATATTGTTAAAGAAATCGTAAGTGCTTTCTTAGATTTACGCGAATATTTGACATTTTAAATAAAACTATCTTTTCGTATTTTTTCGGGAATTTATTTTGATTTTTGGTTCCCGACGTTTCGATTACTTTACAGCAATCATGGTCTCAATTGTTTGTGACAACTATATAATACCTTTGAGACATCTAACACCTCAGTCTCTCCCGTGACCATGATTACTGAAAAACATTCGAAACGTCGGGAACCAAAAATCAAAATAAATTCGCAATAAAAATCCGAAAAGATAGTTTTATTTAAAAAGTCGTAAGTGATTAAAAATACAACTTTTGCTAAGTTCCCTACATATTTCATACTAGCAACTCATCTAATCGATAGGTTGATTCCCAATACGAACCTCCATTTTCACCCCCTTAAGGGTTGATTTCCGGGATAAAAACTATCCTATGTCCTTCCCAGGGTCTCAAACTATCTTATTACCAAATTTTATCTAAATCGGTTCAGTAGTTTCGGTGCCTATTCGGTACAAACAAACAAAAAAATAAATCTTTCCTCTATTAATATTAAAAATTGCAAACTAAAGTTATGCAATATGACGTACCAAGATTGAATTTATATAGGTATAGTGTCTACATATCATATATGTGAGTTATAGTAGGATATGTATATAAAAAGCTTACCAGTCAAACCTGCTTTCCGTATCATACAATTAACTTACAAAGTAATGTTGTTTCATCTAAATAACATAGTACATGACGTATCAAACTTAGAAACAATAAGAAAGCTTTGGTAGACAGATATAGATAGATTTATCAATATGTTACAAAATTAAACTAATTTTATAACATTTTTACTTATATTTTACTTACTTTATTTACATTAAATATTTTATCGAGCAAAGCGTATTACTCTGTTCAAAAGTTTCTTGTTGATGGAAATGTGTGGATTGAGAAATATTGACTCATATGCGGACTGTATATTTTTATGTTAATCTCTACACACATATACTTAATAAAATTCTAACCGAATAGAATCTATACATTAAATATTTTTTCTAAAATCTTATTGAAATATTCATTATTTTCGATACAGAGGGCAAATCTATAGTTTTTAGAATTTTAGTCTGTCTGTCTGTTACAGCATTACGAGAAAACCGCTGGACAGATTTTGATGAAATTTGGTATGATAATAGCTGGTTATTCGGGTCAATATATAGGATACTTTTTATTGCGGGAAAATATTTCATCTCTGAGAAATCTACACTAAACATTAAAACGTAAAACAAGGCGCTAGTAATACCTATTATAAAGTTATTCTTAACTCTACACCAGCAATAAACAAGCCAGCTGTAAAAGTTTCAATCGCCTCTAATTAAATAACATGCAAAAATGAACATTGAACTTGGCATATACATAAAAACAATCTATAAGTTATTTTCCATTAATATGTACCTTATCATCCTATAAAAATAAACTTGTATACTCTACGCAAGGTATCAAGTTTATATCAAGTTTCCTAGTAATATGGGCATTTATGTATTACGATACAAATAGTAACATTATAAATAGATTAAACATTACTGCCATTAGTCCACTGACACTAAAAATATAATTAATTTAATAGTGATTGAGATTAAAAAGTTAAACCATTAATATATAAATAATTAATGGGTAAAATAATATACTACTGCATACATCTGCGTATCAGCGGAAGTTAAGTGATAATAAATTACAGAATGACATTTCTTGGCATAACATTTTGCTACCAATGTCTATGTCAAGAACAATCTAAGTAAAAGAACAGCTTCCGGCGTAGCATTCAGAAAAAAATTATGACCATCAAAAGAATGTTTAATTCTTAAATGAATCAAAAACAATAAACGCCACAAAATCGTCCATAATTATGTAAAGCTTTTGTATCTACAAGAAATGGATTGTTAGAGCTAAATATGCAGTCAATGTAATACAAGTTATTTATATTATACATTCATAATTTTGTTATTCATTAGCATTATAATACATATAAGTTTCAGTTTCTCCAATATCACTTCCGTTCACATGGAAGTGCATAGAACGGGAAGGACACTCAGTACTTTTGCTTCGTGTGTGCACTTGATCAATCTAAATAGAATTAAAACATAATTAAATGATTTTTTTGTCGCAGCAATTAATATTTAATTAATTAAAACAATTAATTTTATTTGATGACAGCCAATAAATTGAAAAAAAACAAATCTAAGATTCTCATGGAAAACTTTATATTCGATTATCGTAACAATCATATATATACCTATAGAAGTTAGTGAAGTTTTAACGTTTAGTATAGATTTCTCAGAGATGAGATATTTTCCCGCAGTAAAAAGTATCTTATACATTGACCCGGATAACCACCTATCATTATACCAAATTTCTTCAAACTGCTGTGTTGAGTTCCCAGGCAGACAGACAGATAGACAAATATTCTAAAAATTATAGATTCATCCTCTGTATCGATAATAATGACTATTTTAAGATTTAAAAAAAATTTACAACATGGACTCAGAATTGTATTATAAGATTATTAATTAATTAATGTGATTATTGTTACAGAACTTCTACCGGAGGCGTTGAGAACAAAGTGCATAAGGTGTACAGAACATCAAAAGAAGATAGCGGTAAAAGTAATAAAGAGATTAAAATCTGAATATCCTGAGGTATGGGCCAAACTAGCGTCAAAGTGGGACCCAACGGGTGACTTCACAAGATACTTCGAAGTGTTCCTGGCTAATGAGCAATTTAACACTATAAATGGAAATGGTTAGTATCTATATTTTATTCATAAAAAAAATATAATACACGGATTCGGGCAAAAATTTTATTTTTTAACCAAAATATCTACTATAAAATATGTATATAAACTTCACTGACAACAAAAACTTATATTTTCAATATTACTTAAATGAGAAAATATCACCTTAATCAATAAATACGTTTAATTGTTTAGTTGTTACCTTATTGCGGCCAAATTGCATAACCTATTTTGATAAAATTTCGCGCTTCCTTCAGTAAATTCAAGACCGAAAATTCACTGTAACCCCCTTCAAGCTAACCTGCATGTGTAAATCGTATGGGTAAAATCCAGGATATCTCATAAATCATATTATACATTGAACATGTCCCTTATAATATTTTTCCAATTATACCACAAACCTTTTAATATATATTTTTTTATTTCCAATCCTAAAAATTCATTATAATCATATTAATCTTATCGTTTGTTTTATAAACTCTTAAACTTTTTACTCTGTGAAGTTTTCAAGTAAGCTATCGGAACCAATAATAATAAAATATGTCATTTAATGAATATATGTAAGGATCAACAGGTGTTATTTTAAAGCCTAAGTTTCTTAGTTGTGCCTAATTTCAAAAACTATAATTGTCTTCCACTAGCTTATCTTTTCTGTTTGCGCACTTGTTTTAGTACTAATTTTGAGTTTTATTTTCGACCTTCTCAAATGAAAAATATTTTAAATAGGTATACCTGAATTAAAATATGTATAATATATGTATACCTGCTAGCAAAATCTTTTGGGCCATATCTTTTTCAGTGACTACGTATAGTTTTGTTGACTTCAGTGTTTCATGCACAGGATGCAATTGGTACTTGTTTATCTTTTCAACGTTATATATTTAAATTTTACACTTAAAACAACTTATTTCCATTCATGTCACTATATTATTTGTGTTTTCCCCCATTTTTGTATTTGTATCAATTAAACCTCCCACTTGGTAATAAAAGCTTTATTTATTAAGAAAAGATTTGTTCCGTTTTTCTTTTTTTATATAATATGTTAATATTATAAATATTACAATTTTGTTAAAAACTTTGTTAATTCATAATATTATTTAGTGTTGCGGGTTGTATTTAAATAATTCGCATCGCGTAGGATTCTTCCAAATTTAAAACATTTTATTTTGATTACACATCTTAATTTGCTAACTAGTAACTACAGGAAACGTAAACACCTATTTAATTATAGATATATACATAGATTTCGTCGAATTGTTTTTGCGAGCGCCGCTGTTAGAATTACATTCCTGGTTATTTTTTTAACACTTATTATTTCATGTACCTATCTTATTATTTTATTTATCCCTTTATTACACACTAGCGACTCACCCTCGCTTCGGTCGGGTCCGTCTCTGGCTTGCTTCCCAATACAAACTTTCATCGTCTTTTTCACCCCCTTAAGATATGATTTCCGGAATAAAAAGTATCCTATGTCCTCAGGTCCTGTCTCTGTCCTCCTGTCCCAGGGTCTCAAACTATCTTCTTACCAAATTTCATCTAAATCGGTTCAGTAGATCCAGAGATCCCCCTACAACGTATCGATTATATATCGTATAGATTATTATTATCAAATATCTTCTTCTAGTTGTTAAGTCAATTCCATTACTAATTGTAATTGATGTTGAAAAATATTTTGTAAATTTTAATGTACCTACCTAGTTATTACAAAACAGTCCTTCTTACATTTAAACGAATATTTGTAATTTTTAATAGAACTATTTTTTTATTTTTTTCGCGGTTATATTTTGATTTTAATTTAATTTGCATCGAATGCTAAAATAAAGTCTCGATGAATAACATCAAGTTTCTCCCATAACCACGGGTTCTGCAAATAAAAGTGCTTATTCATTAATTATTACTATTAGACATTTTAAGTAAAATCCAAATCCAAATAAATCCGAAAAGATAGTTTTATTTAATGTCAAATATTCGCGTAAATCTAAGAAAGCATTATAATACTATTAGATTTAAAAGAATCAGCATAAAGGCCCATATATCTTAATATTTTTTTCTAATAAAACAAATTTCAAGAAATTATATAACATTATTATGAGCTATATATACCTACTACATATATTATAGTTGATAGTCCCATTCCATACAAGGTTAACTCGAGGTGACTTGTGAACTTACTTGGAGTACTTTTTTAAAACTTAACTTTTTTGCATACACACGACGTCGACACTTATCGCAAAAAAATAACATCCAGATACATGTCATTAATCTTCTGTAAAGATCTCAACACTATTTGTAACGAGGTCGTATACATACATACGTCCATACAAACGTATTGTACTTACTAACATACCTATACATATGTATCGAACATATTATGTATCGTATGATGTTCTCCTAGCCGATTCCGGCCACGGCGGCCAATCTCAATGAGATTAGCCAACTGCGCAGGAGATATTATAGTGCTCAAGTGTACGCGCAGACACAACTGCACTCTCTATTCCTATCACTCTCATACTCCGGTGGGACGACCACTCGACACGACCGGTGAGAGTTAAGGTGCAGGACCGACGGCTTTACGTGCTCTCCGAGGCACGGGGGTGAAACACCGCCAACTTCCCAACTCCGGGCTGTTACTGAGATTTATTATACAGGAAGACTCAATAACTAAACTTAGCCCGACCCGGGACTCGAACCCAGGACCTCCGGGTGTGCAGCCGTACATGCTAGCCACTACACCACCGAGGCAGTTATGTATCGTATATATACATATTAGCAGAACCTTATAGCATTAACAATATATTAGCAGAAGCTTTGCTCGCGCTAAAACTACAAAAAAATCTTTAAAAAGGTAGTTTTCTACAAACTTTCATCCACTTTATTACCCTCATATAGGATGAATTTCGAAACAACTCTATCCTAAAACAGTCTATTCTAAAACAGATATTTATTTAATTTTAGTGAAGAGCATTAATACCAATATTTTTTGGATTGTATTATATAAGCATGGAAATGATTGCTACTTTTAAATCATTATCACGTGATGAAATTACAACAATTTTTCACGTGATTTCACCTGCTACTTTTCACGCATAGATTTTTGATTTCGACGGTCTGGTGTCACACTTTATATTATTTGCTATTAAAATGTAGTATGAAATGTCACCAATGGCGCTACTGATGTGATATGGAGCAGAGATATAGATCTGACGTAGTTGCATACGTACATGGTGCTTTGAATGAACCTATTTTCAAACAATGAACTTTCCCTCATACTTCTACAGGCTTGGGACTGACAATGTAAAATTAAATGAATTTTAAATATATCAGAGTAATCACACGGTAAAATTGTATTAAGCTAAGTTCCATAATTACATTGGCGTATTTAAAAGTTCATTGTTTTTATGTACAATAAGAATTTTTATAAAAGAATTTTATACACTTTTTTTTTGTTTTTCTTAATTTTTTTAATTTGTTTATAATCATTTTTTTTTGCTTTTTGATTTTTTTGATGATTGATTTTTTTATGAGATATCTATATACAATAGTCTTCATTGCTTTTTAAAAATACAAGTTCCGCTGTTCGTTTTCTGCTTAATCGTGCTCTTTTTTGGGTTGCAAAATTTCCCGCTTTTGAAAATACTCTCTCACACTCCACTGATGTCACCAAGATGTGACAGTGCTCATGAAATATTTCCGCCAAATTGGGGTACATATAGGAGTGAGATTTCCACCAAACTAATGACGAAGAATCGCGCGGAAGCACTGGTTCATTAATAAACATTTCTAGCTCGTTCTCAGCGTTGGTGGTTATGTCTGTACGTATTACACATAATCATTCAGTAAAAATTATAAGTATTTGTTGGATAAAAAACTAAAAATGTGCTCTAAATTTAATTGTTGTTTCTAATTTAAAATTATTTCTAAACAATATTTCTAAGAATCCGAAATCATGCAACTCGAAATAAATAAACTCCCCAATTTACTGATCAACGGTATTAACTGAAAATTGTATTTTGTTGAATAAAAAATCAATAAAAACATCAGTACGAAAATGTATACGGAAAATGCGAGTAACGAAATGCATTCGTGAGTAACGTTTAGGTACTCGGTACTAGATGGCGTACCCGTTACTCAGTAACGAATACATACGGTTTGCTACAGCTCTAGATTTCACCAAGTTGTGATTTGTAGCAGCCACTATGAATTTAAGTAGCAGGTGTGACGCGTGATTACGCATTTCACGTGATTTTTCACTTGCTACTCGTGAAATGTCCCATCCCTAGTATTATAACGTATACGTCCCGCGGAAATATTTTCTTAGAATTGTTTGTATATTTTTTAATTATTTAAATTTCTGTTTTACAAGAAACACTAACATAAGTAAAATAAAGGTATATTTGACCTTCGTTAAATTTTTACGTATAAGTATTAAATATTAATATATACAAATAAAAAGTTAACGCCCTTCGTTAAATCACAAGTATTATTTTTACTAAATATGCATCATGTTTTCGTTTACAAAATTTCACTCTCTTGATAAATGACATTTAAAAATAAAATTTGGTAATGAATTGAATACTTTTGAAAAAAATATTATTTGGTAATAAATTTAATAAATTAAATCATTCTTAGACATTCTACATGCATTTGACAGGACATTTGAAAATTAAACTGATAAAATTTACATTAGGGCAAACTCATGAGTAGCATGTAGTAATGTAAATTTTTTACAGGTAACGAAGCACCTATCCCTCCTGTGCCAACACCGTTCACATCAAGACCTGTACCGACAGCCCCACCAAGTTCAGAAGCCCCAGTGCCTGCCGTGACACCACCAGTACCTATACTTTTAAACAGGTGAGTCACTAATTTAATGAAGATTTCATAGTTAACGTATAAAATTTATTATTACTTTATGCGAGTGCGGAACACGAAAAGTATGTGTTTGGTTCTACTAGACCGAATCAAAGGAAAATATCTTTATTTTTTTAACCGACTTCCAAAAAGGAGGAGGTTCTCAATTCGTCGGTATCTTTTTTTTCTTTTTTTTATGTATATTCACCGATTACTCGAAGACGCCAGAACCAATTTGGAATTTTTTTTTGTGTTCAAAGGTATACTCCCCAGGTGGTCCCATATAAATTTTATCGAAATCGGTCAAGCGGATTTAAAAAAAAATCAACAATAAATATATTTTTTAAATAAATATGTTATTAAAAAACTTTCTTCTCACAAATTACCTGCTTATTACGTCTACACTAAAAATGGAAAAATAAAGGCCTAAAAAATAAAAACCGACTTCTAGGCACTAAATTGTAAAAAATAACTAAACGGGGATTTTCATTTAGAATAGATACCTAATCAGATATTTTCGAATTCGGTGCCAGCCTACAATATTTTGAGAGATGAATATCTAATAGGTAAATATATATTTTACGTATCGATATGTATTAGATTTGCTTTGCATCAGCTGGCACCGACTTCGAAAATATCTGATTAGGTATCTATTCTAAATGAAAACCTTCGTTTAGTTATTTTTTACATTTTAGTGCCTGGAAGTCAATTTATTTTTAGTTTTTATTATAAAAACTATAATTCATACACAAAACCATGTGACGTCATTACAATTTTGTTTTTAACCACCAACGCATGGTATGGATTGTCCTATTGGCACTTACTTAATCGAAAGCCCTATTGGAATATACCTCATAAATATTGCTCTATTCTCGTTGAAATAAAATGCAGTACTAGTGCCTAGTAAACCTGGTAAATCTTGCTAAAAGATTTCTCGTGCTGTTTTTAATTTAATCCTCGTCTAAGGTAGCGTGAAGCATATCAAGAAGTGGATTAAAAGTATTAAATATCCTAAACAATAATCTAATATTGGTTAATATTAAGTTACATTAATATTTAAACTTTGTAGTACCTCTGATGAATGCTATTAGAAACGAATTATAGATATTGAATGGTGCTTTTGTATACGGGAAAAAAATCATCCTTTTCTAGGACATGTTAGAAATTAAGTATATAGAATAAGAAATATACGTGTGATTTAAATAAAGGTGAAATTTTTTTTATAATCTTTATTGCTTTTGAATTAAGCCTATATCAATACGTTTTAATCATTTTTTTTTTTAATTAGGAAAATAAATATAAAAAAATACAAATATAGATGGGAAATTCAAGATAGATAAAACGAACATTATTGGTCAGTCCGAATATGACGTCAGAGTATATCATAACAGAGCGATTAGCGATCTTGTCTAAGCATGGAAATGATTGCTACTTTTAAATCATTATCACGTGATGAAATTACAACAATTTTTCACGTGATTTCACCTGCTACTTTTCACGCATAGATTTTTGATTTCGACGGTCTGGTGTCACACTTTATATTATTTGCTATTAAAATGTAGTATGAAATGTCACCAATGGCGCTACTGATGTGATATGGAGCAGAGATATAGATCTGACGTAGTTGCATACGTACATGGTGCTTTGAATGAACCTATTTTCAAACAATGAACTTTCCCTCATACTTCTACAGGCTTGGGACTGACAATGTAAAATTAAATGAATTTTAAATATATCAGAGTAATCACACGGTAAAATTGTATTAAGCTAAGTTCCATAATTACATTGGCGTATTTAAAAGTTCATTGTTTTTATGTACAATAAGAATTTTTATAAAAGAATTTTATACACTTTTTTTTTGTTTTTCTTAATTTTTTTTAATTTGTTTATAATCATTTTTTTTGCTTTTTGATTTTTTTGATGATTGATTTTTTTATGAGATATCTATATACAATAGTCTTCATTGCTTTTTAAAAATACAAGTTCCGCTGTTCGTTTTCTGCTTAATCGTGCTCTTTTTTGGGTTGCAAAATTTCCCGCTTTGAAAATACTCTCTCACACTCCACTGATGTCACCAAGATGTGACAGTGCTCATGAAATATTTCCGCCAAATTGGGGTACATATAGGAGTGAGATTTCCACCAAACTAATGACGAAGAATCGCGCGGAAGCACTGGTTCATTAATAAACATTTCTAGCTCGTTCTCAGCGTTGGTGGTTATGTCTGTACGTATTACACATAATCATTCAGTAAAAATTATAAGTATTTGTTGGATAAAAAACTAAAAATGTGCTCTAAATTTAATTGTTGTTTCTAATTTAAAATTATTTCTAAACAATATTTCTAAGAATCCGAAATCATGCAACTCGAAATAAATAAACTCCCCAATTTACTGATCAACGGTATTAACTGAAAATTGTATTTTGTTGAATAAAAAATCAATAAAAACATCAGTACGAAAATGTATACGGAAAATGCGAGTAACGAAATGCATTCGTGAGTAACGTTTAGGTACTCGGTACTAGATGGCGTACCCGTTACTCAGTAACGAATACATACGGTTTGCTACAGCTCTAGATTTCACCAAGTTGTGATTTGTAGCAGCCACTATGAATTTAAGTAGCAGGTGTGACGCGTGATTACGCATTTCACGTGATTTTTCACTTGCTACTCGTGAAATGTCCCATCCCTAATCTTGTCGCTACAAATTGCGTTGTTATTTTTTCCTGTTTATGATATACTTTAACGTCACGCCAAATACGGTATGATATTTAAAAAAAAAACTAAATTTTAGTCTTTCGGAGTTGGATTTTTTTACAGTTTTATAACGATGTAAGCTTTTGTATAAAAATTTAAAAAAAAAACACTTTATTTCTAAGTACATGTACAAGTACAAAGCACATATTGATGTTATCATGTAAATCAAATAATTAATATTTGTGTACCAATATAAAAGATACTTTTTATATAAATAGAAGAGCACAGATTATATTATGCATTTTTATATTTTATGTAATTTTATCTACTGGTTACTGCATATTTTACCTAAAATCTACAATTAATACGTAAAAAATGAGATGTAATTATTTAATTATTCAATAGATAAACTTTTACGTTATCGCAGTCGGAATCTACTAGACTAATAAATAGTACCATTATTTAAATACTGTTTTTTAAATAAATCTCTCATACTTGTTGCATACTAAACTTTTTTACGCTTATTTACATATTATATGAATAAAAATAACGTGTTTTAAGTATTTAAAACACTTTATTGCGTATAATCCGGTATCTACTGTCTAGCAAGTGTCTTCCTTGGCACCTATGTATTTGTATACACATACGTATGAAATGGTGTCAGTACGTAACAATTATTCAAATCGAATAATAGCAGAAATCGCGTGTTTCTGATAATAAACGGCGTAATCGCTTAGTTACCTTAAAACACAGTTTTGTTAAACTGGTTTATCGTCAACAGTTATATTAGACTGTTATGTTATTCATTACAACATCATCTTTAGCAAACATTGAGAATTTAGCAACACTGCAAACCTGTTAAAGGATTTAATTTCAGTTCTATTTATTTACTTCCTGTGATTCGATCATAAAGTGTATTTCTCTATTTAATTTTTGTATTTAGTAATATTTGTTAACAATATTAATGTAATTTAATAATCTAGCGTCATGGATTTGTATAGAAGATCGCAAAGTAAATATATATATATATATATATATATATATATATATATATATATATATCTACCTCTGTAAAGCTTAACTCTTCTAAAAATGTCTCATTGGAATCCATCGAGCTGGTCTTGATTATATATTGTGATGTAATCATAAAGACAGACACGTTAGATTTTTTTAAATCATGTATGAAACTTGATACAGAGTCGAGAGTTTTGACCTACTTCTAATTATATACCGTTGACAATACAATAATTTAAGAACTTCGAGGTGATGGAATCAGGAAGTGGATAAAGGAACTAGTCGTTAACCTTGCTTTGAGTACATTTAATTCGTTTTTATGTGTTACATAAATTAATCAAAATCATGTTTTTTGACAAACATCCAAATACTACTAAAGTGAAAGTGCAGGTTATTTACTCGTATATATTGAAGAAAAAATATCTACTTACTCTGAATACGCTTGCTTCACCACTGTTAAGTGTTATTATCTTATTATACAGATTAATTATTATAAGAGTTTTTATAGTATAAAACAAAGCAGAAAACCTAAGGCAGAAAACGTATAAATCTTTAGCCCCATTATAGACACTTACTGAGTAATATTCTAGAAAAAAATAGTGGGAACGTTAGTGTTTAGAAAGACAATTAATTTAATTATTATAACAATTTAAGTTAATACACTCCATAACGATAAGCGAAGGATTAACAAAAATTTCTTCACTTTTCTCTATTTGCAACGCTCTATCTACACAGTTGCTTAGGTCATAGGATGACCCATAATCATAGGGGCCCAGACCAAAGCAAATATTTAGAGAAATTATTATATAAGAACGATAATTATTATTGTATTACAAAAATATAACTTTATTAATATTTAATATTTTTAGATCTTGGTTGATTAAACCTATATAGTATATATAGCTGTTAAAACATAATATCTACCATTAAAAAGAGAAAAATATGTTTTTCAATCATAGAAATTAAAAGAAAAATCTATAGAAAGTAATAATAGTTGCATATCATAATATGAGGAAATCTTCATAAAGATACTATATAAATACAAGTAACTACTGTGAGTGCAAAAACAATGCAACGTTCCCACGTGAGTTGCGTGCGCGCAGCGGTGGAGAAAGATTATTAATGGCTACGAGGAGCTACATATTTGTATACATCTCTGACTGCAATTTACAAGATGGAGAAAAAAAACTTTAAACAATTAGATGTTAATTCAACATTCCTACTAATATACCTAATAATTTTAAAAGTGTGTTTGTTGGTTTGACTTTTTATCATAAATCGAAGTTTTGCATTGAGATATAAGCAGCAATTACATATTTTTGAATCTCGGAGACTGGAGTAACACAGTCATCTTTTTATACCTATAAATCAAATAATTCACTTGGACTATATTGCAAAAAGCACAGATTATTATTGATTGGTTAGTAAGTCAATAAAAAATAATTATAACTTTAAAATATCTAACAGTGATATATGAAGACAATAGCGGCTCACAATCAAATCTATTCCTCGGGATACGTATATTTTTCCGAGATGAAAAGCCTATGTGTTATTCCATACTATTATAATTTATTTCTGTGCCAAATTTTATCGAGTCTGTTCAGCCTTTCTGGCGTGAAAGAGTAACAAACATCCATACTGACAAACTTTATAAATAAATGTTTATTTTAGTATAGAAACCCTAGTGGCCTATCCCTGTGTCAGGGTCTCTCTTATTACTGTTTTTTGCATTCTTAGATGGGGACGGGGTAGAGTTATCTTTCAATAAGCGAAAACAAATAAAAATAATTCTATGTTAAACAAAAAAAATTGAGACAAAACCATGCTTTCCCAATTCTCTAGTTTGAATTTTTAATTTTGTGTCTTACAGTTTATGCTTAGTACATATGAATAAAGTCACCAGCTCCATTCCTGCTGCATTTTAAATAAAATCCTATATAGGGAAAGGTTTAAAATAATATTGTTTTTTTTTCAGATTTGGTGACGACGGGGAACTTATGGTGGCCAGTCCATCTTCAGCAGTGACGACCCCTCGGCCTACTCAACCATCAACTATAAAAACAACACCTACAAGAAGACCTATACCACCTAGGTAATTTTTAATCACTTACATAATTTAAAATAGGTACCTGTAATTTATTTAACCTACCTGTTCCTGCTATTCGAAGATATAATAATATTATTATATAGTCCCTAGGTACGTTTTCATTTTTTGGAGCGGAACTCTAATTATTTTTCTAAAATAAAAGTAGCTTAAGTTATTATTTGTAACATCATTATCAAGTATCTGCCTGTGAAAATCCCGCCAAAAATCAGTCAAGCCGTTTCAGAGATTAAATAGCGCTTAAATCGCTAATAGCCGGAGCACACAGAAAGACAGGCAGACAAAATTAAAAAAAAGTGTTTTCCTAAAGTACCTATCGTATATAATTTCATATGTATGCATTTAGTAAAAGTTGTTATTTTGACATTACAAACAGACACTTTAATTTTATTTATCTGTATAGATTTCTATAAAATAAATGGATATTTAATATGAATGTTAATTCTTAGAGTAATTACTTCCTATGCTCATGTTATGTAAAATTTCTTATTTCCAATAATATATACCTATTAAGAGTTAGACGCAATATATGTGCAGCTGAGTTTAATGGATAGAATAATTAATAAGAGCATAATTATCACTGTCAGGATAATCGATTTTGAATCAATTATAAGATTTATTTTGCAGATTATAATAGAAGATTAACATGGCATTCTGTTAATATGCTATTATGTTCGCGTTCAAAAGGATTAAAGAAAATAAAAAAATAATAATTATTTTTAATATTAAATTTTAAAACAAAAAATATCTATACATATAATAAAATTGTAACTAAGCCTAATCTGTACATTAAATATTTTTTGGAAAATCTTATTGAAACAAAAATTATTATCGATACAAAGGCCGAATCTATAGTTTTTAGAATTTTTGTCTGTCTGTATGTCTGTTACCGCATCACAGAAAAACCACTGGATGGATTTTAATGAAATTTGGTATGGTGATATAGCTGGTTATCCGGCTCAACATATAGGGTACTTTTTACCGCGGGAAAATATCTTATTTCTGAGAAAAAATACAAAAACTGCATTGTAAGAGTATACTAATATGTAAAACCTAAGAATTTGGTTTTTGGTTATCCGAACGCGGGTGGAGCCGCGGGCAATGCTTGTAGAATATATTTGAAAATAATATATTATAGGGTTTAAGGTAAGGGCTAAATTATGTTTTATAATCCAAAGTTTATATGCATATTTTTATCACTGTTAAAAAAATACCGATTGTAAAGACAAATGAAACCTATACGTAACTTAAGGAAAGAATAACAAACATGCATAGAAATAAACACACGCAGTATGGAAAATTAAATAGGTGCGTAAAGTATAAAATATATATCATCAATATATATGCGCCCGTGTCTTGCTATATACGTGTAGGTTATAATTAATTACTGATTAAAAGTGTAAATCGTTCTTATTGTAAATTATCGTATTTATAAGGAAATAAGTAATATGTGGAAGATTTTTATGATGTAAAAATTAAATACCTATCTTGAAAGATGAACATGCTCAAATGGTATTATAATAATTATGTAATATATACCAGGTGCTATCTACGCAGTAACACATACAGTAGCTATACCTTAATTTGTTTCTTTGTAACTAAGTAGGTACATACATATATAAGCTAGAAATTTTAAAAAATAACTTAAAAACCATAAAATACTTAAAATTTTCATAATTATTGCTGAAGCATCAATAACACTATTCAACTTATAAAAGGCATACCAAAAAATATGTACGTAATGTCAACTTTATATGAAAAAAAATATTGTCAAAATTATAAATATCAGATTTCTTCTCTAGTAAAAGTGTTCTAGAAACGTAGAGCCTATTCTAATACAATACAATTATTCAATTAGTTGTATTATGAAAATATTTACAGTATTAGCACTAGTGATATATATGTACATATAATATATACGATTTTGTTTTATCATAACGAATGCTTTAAAAATTATACGAGTATTCTAAATTATTTAGATGCTTATAATAAGGCAAAAATATATATTTATTAGTGACTCACCCTCGCTTCGCTTCAGGTTCGTCCCTAGACAAAAACGAATCTATCCCACGGAAACCGTACATTTTCAGGGATTTATCCCGGATCTTACTTTTTAATATTTTTGTTAAAGTAACCTAATTTTACTTTTTAAAGTAACCTAAGTGCTCGAATATAATAGATATCTCTGTGCCAAATTTCATCCAGATCCGTGTAGCCGTTACAGCGTAAAAGAGTAACGAACATCCATCCATCCTCACAAATTACACATGTCTAATATTAGTATGGATATAATATTTAATTTGTAATATTTAATGTGTTTTAACAACCAAATTAAATTTTTATTTTTTAAATTTATTTTTTTCAGACCCACACCTGTGTCCTGGTTCAGTATTGGACCAAACACGATATCAACAAGGTTTACAGTGCGACCGACAAACGAGCTACCTTTGGCTTATTCAACTGCCATTACACTTATCGATCAAATCGGTATAAAAATCATACGGACTACTGAAATCGTTACTGATATCCTGAGAAATACCGTAAGAGCTGTGGTCGGACGATAAAGGTGTCCTAAAATAAGACATGACAATTATTGTTTGTGAAAATTGTTTTTGATTTAGTCATTCGGCCTTTAAGGTAAATATATATATATATTGTTGAAAAATCAGAATTGTTAATTACTTTTAGTGATTTTTAGGGTTCCGTACCTAATCAAAGGGTAAAACGGGACCCTATTACTAAGACTCCGCTGTCTGTCCGTCTGTCACCACGCTGTATCTCATGAACCATGATAGTTAGACAGTTGAAATTTTTACAACAACAAATACTAAAAAACAGAATAAAATAAATATTTAAGGTTGCTCCCATATAACAAACCTGATTTTCTTGGTCGTTTTTGCTCGATATTGATAACGGCAACAGGTAGACGCATGAAATATTCACAGAATATTTTGTTACATACTCACTTTAAAAATAAATAATTAAATTAAAATAAAACAAATATTTAAGGGGGGCACGCACCCATACAACAAACGTGATTTTTTTTGCCGCTTTTATAGATAATGGTACGGAACCCTTCGTACGCGAGTCCGACTTGTACTTGGTCGGTTTTTAATATTATTAGGTGATAATAGGTAATTGTAGTTTTAAATTAAGGATAATTTATACGAAAGAGATTATTATTAATTACGATTAGATTTTGTCTATTGTAAGGTCTATATTAACCGATGAGTCTGTGATTCTAAGAAAAAATATATGAATACATAGATAAATTAATTATTAACGTGATGTGCAACATTTTTCAGGCACATATAAAAACTTAAACGTAGAAATATATTCATATATGAGACATTAAAATAAATTTAAAGGTCAGATCGTCAAATTTTATTTTAAATCAGTTTATCAATTTCATTTTTTTTAAACAAAATTGATTACATATTTCAAATTAAGTCTCAATAATTGTAATATCTCTCCTCTTGACAAATCTCTAATGAACAAATTAAGTAGGTACCTATTACCTACACGTTTCGTCGCCTATCCAAATATTAGATAGATTATTATTTTAATTTAAATAATATTTTCTATCAAAACACGTAATACTACAGAAATTAATTTATGTATTTTAATAGTAACCGACATGAAATTGTATGTATAATATGATATTTCGAAAAATAAAAATGTCTAGTTGTAATTTGCTATAGTTATAAGATTTAAATTATTTGTTTTGAAATAAGAATATTTCGTGTATATTTGAATCTAGCAGCATCAATTTGTAATTACTGAAATTAAAAAAAAAATGGGTTGATGAAATTAAAACAGTGATTAAATAAATGTATTATTTGTACATACATGTTCTTGAATTTTTATTTTTTACCCGACTGTAGCGAAGCCCAAAGCGAGATTATGTGTTTGATATGTATATAAGTATGTATGTGTGTAGGTATGTATGTTCCCACGTAATTATTAAACGGCTTAACCGATTTTTATGATTAATAGATCGTTAGATTTGTCTTGTTATCGGGAGTATCATAGGGTATATATTATATAGATATCATTAAAAAATAAAATGGCGGATCCTAGGTGCCAATTTGTGTCTTGAATTTTTTTTAAATCCGTAGAGTAGTCCAATTCAAAATATAGTTTTTTAAGAGTCAATTACAAAAATATACACAACTTATATGTTTAAAAATAATTTAGGATAAGAAATTGTTAACTAAAACCAAAAATGTCGAATTTACCAAAACTAAATAAGTTGCAAATAAATAAAAAATAATAGAATCCGACTGCGTAAAAAGTGAACTTATAAAAGAGACGAGAACAAGTTGATAAAGAAAAACTAATATGCATAAAAAATAAAGTAGGCAATTAAAAAGAATAGGAATTCAATATCATTCGTTGATCCGTAAAATTAAAGTTAAGGATTTTGACGAAGGGCCAATTTGCTTTAAAGTCCTTTATACCTGAAGCGAGATTTGAAATTTTCAGCGAACTATGAAAGCGTAGATATAGTTTTATTTTTATATATATGGCCTAAACTGAGTTTAGAATAATACAAGCGCCTAGACATTTGTGCAAAGCATATTTGCAAAATTGAGATAACAAGTAATAACGACAACGTGATATGCAATAAAATTAAGTTTATTTTGTTTTTTTTTACAATTTGGATCTATGTAATAATGTTATTAATAATTTAAGTTTGTAAGTTTGGATCTTTTTGGATAGATGAAAGTACTGATCCAATTATAAAAATGCTTTCACCAATAGGAACCTTATACATAACCGCCGAGTGTTTTTTATTCCGATAAAAATATGTTTACTGTCAGAAATCATAACTTTAATTAAAGTCGAAACAAAATATATTGAAACGTAGCTCGCAAAGATATTGTCTGCCAGAGCTTTTTTTTATTGAATTGAGCTATCCGTATTATATGTTAATTCGCTTTGAATGATAACCAAACACACGGCTTCCTGTTTTGATGTATACGCAGTATTCATCTTATATATTGATTAATTCAAAAAGTATATAGGTACAACGAAGTAGAATATTAATATCGTTATAAGTAAAAGGTTATCAAAAAGTTCAGGTCAGAAAAAATATTCAGATACATAATACGTATACATTCTTGTCAATATAAAATATTATCAATACCACAAGTATAAAGTTGGCAGATTAATTACTTTATAACGAGAAAGTGAAAGTAGATACCTAAGTGCGGTAGGAATGACAAAATAAAATGATCTAGTTTAAATTTACTTTCTTTTTTGAATACAGGTTTATACTTAAATACTTTCAGTCAACTTGTTTCCACACACAAAGTTATACACTTATATAATATACTAGCGACTCACCCTCGCTTCGATCGGGTTCGTCCCTAGCTTACTACCCAATACAAACTTCATCTCCGTTTCACCCCCTCAAGGGATGATTTCCGGGATAAAAGTATCCTATGTCCTTCCCAGGGTCTCAAACTATCTTCTTACCAAATTTCATCTAAATCGGTTAAGTAGATCCAGAGATTACCCCCTATAACGGCACAAACTCACAATCTCATAAAACCTCTTTATAATATTAGTAGGTATACCTATATTCAAAATGGGCTATATGGATTTGAATGAGATTTATCTTTAGTAAAGCTAATATTCTGTAGTAGCTAGTAGCTTACACTGTACATCAATTAGGTACTTAAAATGCATGATAAATGTAATATATGATGACCATTCACTCTCACCATTCCTGTCACACTCATTCTCCGGTGGGACGACCGACGAGAGTTCGACACGACCAGTGAGAACTGCTTTCTGCAACACGGGAGTGAAGCACCGCCAACTTCTCAACTCTGGGCTGTTACTACGACTTTTTTAACAGAAAAAGTCAATAACTAAACTTGAGCTCAGCACCTGAATCTGCAGCCATACATAGTGCATACCACTGAATGAGGCAGAAAAACGTAATATAAGTAGTAGATATATCCACACTACATTCTCTGTAACATTGCCGCTACATAGATAATAATGTTAATAGCACACTTATGACGGACATAATAAGGATTTTATTACCTTAACTAATATTATACGTAAAATGAACTTGTTTACGTTCTCTAGGTATGTTGAGGCCTCAACCACTTATGATTTTTGATAGTGAGTGAGAAATAATATACTTTTTATCCCGCTATATATACTCTCGTGTGGTCACCCTAATACATATTATAGATATCGAAGTTTTTTAGAAGACAGTTCTGCAGATTTGAAAATAAATGAGATCGAAAACGGACTTATACTCATATCTTGATAGCAAAACCTGGTACGAGTTAAGTTCAAAAATGTTAATTCTAATAGTGCAAGGGCTTCAATAACTAATTTATAGTTTATACTATTAATTATAATCATAGGAAAAAATTCATGGTGTACAAATTTCCCAGAAAGAAATAATAATAAGCATTTTATTCTAAATAAATATGTCGGGTTTCCCCATGATCATTACCTATTTTCCTTGTTATTTGGAAGGTGAAAAGTTTGATGTGTTTGTGTTAATTATTTTTTAGAATTTCAAACCTACAAGGGGAAGCCCCAAATGTAATATGAAATGTATAAAAATATATAAAAGAAATATTATAGTAAAATTAAAAAATAATATATAAAAAATTAAAAATAGTAAAAATGGAAAATATTGTCAAAAGTACATTTTATATAGAAAAATAAGCTTTTAAATGATCATAGATATGCCTTGTTGGAGTCATAATATTTTACAACTCACATTTGGTTAATATATTTTTTTAAATTATATTTATTATACTTTTAAAATAATTATAGTAAGTTTTTTATACTTATATAATTTAAATTTTAGCATTTAGTGAAATATAGTAAATCATGTAATAAAACACAAAATTATACTTTAAGCATTTATTGTTCTAGTATATCACATCAAAATTATATTTTTACTTTTGGAATATATCTATTTTAATAACAAAATACTTGGATACTTGTTGTTCCCTTATAAATGATTACTTATAATAACATCTTATATAGACATCAAATATGATTTCACACCTAATAACTTATAACATACAAGTTTCACAACATTCATGATCAATTAATCAGATCTCTGTAATCTTAATTGTATAAACTTTTGGCAAGATTTATTGTATGATTAAATCGGTTACATTATCTTTAGTTACAAGTGCAACTAAGCTTCCACTTGGGGGCCTTTCGTCTCCCTTCAACCACTTCTCAAATAATGCAGCAACATAGTTTAAGGGTGTCCATGAGCCAAAGTCCGCCTTAGGCATCCATTTCCTGTTCATTTCTGTATCCAATGTTACAGGAAGTATAGCAACCGCCAGAGAGTTGTCAGGTAACCCTGAATCCTTAGCACCCAATGATTTTGTAAGTTGATGGACAGCAGCCTTTGCTAAACCATAACCAATCATACCCGGAGTCCCTTCTAAAGCAGCTTTTGCTCCTGTTAAAGCTACTAGTCCACCAGGACTTAAATATTTAGATGCAATTGTTGCTGCGATTGTTGAACTCCAAACTGATTGCCTCCACATGAGGTCAGCCTGTTTGCTTAAATCCTTGGCCGCGTTACCACCAGCCCAGCCACCAGCCACACAAATTACCGCATTCACTTTCTGACCTTGCAAAGCTGCTCCTAGTTCATTTACAACGTGTTCCTCTTGTGAAACCCACGAAGCATCTTTAGGTACTGTAATATTTACATCTGCACTATCATTTGGATTTAGATCTACGCTTGCCACCCAAAAGTTTGCTTTCTTAAAGTGATTTACGCAAGCCGCACCCAAAGCTCCACGTCCTCCGTATACAACAATTCTTCCGCTTGCCATTTTAACGTCTTAATTGATCGACGTAATCCAAGCAACTAAGCAAAATAATAGGTCCGCGCAAGATAATTACAAGGCAATGTCGCTGAAGTGTAACCAATCTAACCTCGACTCTCACTTTTTATCGAATTTTGCGGCACAGATGACAACAAAGCCGCAAACGAATTTATATTCTACTAACAATTGTGGGAAAATAATAATTCAAATATTTTTCAATAACAAATGAAATATGTAGATTGTAGAGACCTTAAATGAATTTAACATTTATTGAAATAACTTAAAACTTATATGATTTATGCAACTAGCAAGAATAATATACTCCTAAGTCCTATATAAGTTGAAACTTGAAAGTTCACAGGTGCCGAAATCCAAATTAGATAAATAATTTTTAGGTTCATGACAGTAAATAGTAATATTGTCATTTGTCAAAAGCAAACTTATTTACAGAAGGTAAAATAATCTTGGTTTTATTTTGGAAAATATGATAGTTTGGGTAACTTTGAACAGTTTTTCTTTATTTATGGAGAATGAACTTCACCAACTTCGAAAATATCAGATTAGGTATCTATTCTAAATGAAAACCCCCGTTTAGTTATTTCGGTTTTTATTTTATTTTTTTAAGTTTTTATATTTCCATTTTTAGTGTAGACATAATAAGCAGGTAATTTGTAAGAAGAAAGTTTTTTAATAACATATTCGCTTAAACAATTTATTTTAAAAATATATTTATTGTTGATTTTTTAAAAAACCGCTCGACCGATTTTGATAAAATTTTGTGGGACCACCTGGAAAGTATACCCTTTGAAACAAAAAAAATATCTAAATCGGTTCAGGTGTCTTCGAGTAATCGGTGAACATACATAAAAGAAAGAAAAAAAAGATTCCGACGAATTGATAACCTCCTCCTTTTTGGAAAACGGTTAAAAAATATTTTTTAAATAACCAAAACAATTTGTTTCTTGTAGGAGTAAACACCAGTCGTGCGTCGGAACAAACACACATACTCTTTTTTTGTGATGCAAAACTTACCAAATTTGATAATGGGCTACAGTTTAAAGTAGTGCTACAGTTGGGTCTAGAATTTTTCGTGAGACATAAGCAATGTAAGAAAATTTGTCGTCGCCAGAATAAGATTTCAGTTAATCGGATAAGCTAATGTATGTCGGCTGGCAACAGGGTTCGTTCCTTTTTTCGTGTTTTTCATTAAGAATTCATTATTTTCGACTCATCTTTTACGTGTCACAAAACTTTCATATTGCATACTTTTATATATTAAGCATAACCCGCGGCTTCGCTCGCGCTAACACTACAAAAAAATCTCTAAAAAGGTAGTTTCATACGTATCTATTTTACTATAAAGTACGTACCTATTTTACCGCCTTATAGGATGAATTTCAAGTAATTCTGATTTTTTTGCATTGTATTATAACGTGTTCTCCCGTGGGAATTAGATAATATCCCGCTGTAAAAAGTAGGCTATGTCACTCTCCAGCCCTCAAACTATCTCAATACAAAAAATCACGTCTGTCCATCACTCCGTTTCGACGTGAAAGATAGACAAACAAACACACTTTCAGATTTATAATATTAGTATGGATGTATGTTCCTACAGTGTTCGGCGAATCATAAAGATTATTAAAGTTCATTTTATGTCACCAACTTGACCATACAAATACACAAAACAAACAACATTTTATAATACAACAATCCTTATAAAAAGCTGAAAACGTCACGGCATGCGCATTACCACAACAAGCCAGAGCGAAGCCAAGTATACACCCTAGCTCTATTTTTTTCAGTTATACAGCCGGTACTACAAACTTATACAGAAGAAACATACACTACACAAATGCAAAAATATTTCCTGCATCCTATAGGTATTAATAGGTATTAGATACTTAAAAATAAAATCAAAATGTATAGATAGGTACTTTATTTTATTGAGTATTTACAATATTAAACAATTGCTTAAATCTTTTAAAATACCTAATATTAAAAATGTTTATTAATAATGGAAAGTAATAATAAATTGGATGAATTGTGAACATCAGGTAGGTACTTAAGAACGCAGATTCTCAATATAAATTCACAAATGTAAATAAGTAAATAATAATACTCATAGACATAATAAATAAATAACAAATTAATTTAAAAAATAAATATTAAAAAATATATAACTTAAAATAAAATTTATATCAGTGTAGTATCGGAAGCCATAGAATAAAAAATAGAAATAACAACATTTAATGTTGTAGCTACAACTTTGAACATTAACGAAGTGTTATTCAATATTTCCGCGCTGCGTTGGTGGGGCTGATGATTAATATTAAAAATACAACCAAGAATTGCACAGGCTATCGCTGAAAGAACCTAAAAAATAAAAAACGAAAACAAAAAATTAATAAACGAAAAAATAATAAAACAAAATCTGGAAATCAACATTTTAAATTATTGGCAAATATTTAAATGCATTTTCTTTATTACCTATGTTTTGTAGGTATATAGCGTTTAATTCTTTAATTAAATACATACTTATTTCAGACTAGCTAAAATCATAAATATTAATATTACAGATAATTTAAAAGTTAATTTTTCCTTGTAATATGTCATCCATACATATAATAAACTTGTAACTAAGGCAATCTATACATTAAATAGGTATTTTTTGGAAAATCTTATTGAAATAGGCATTATAATCGATACAGAGGCCGAATCTATAGTTTTCAGAATTTTTGTCTGTCTGTCTGTCATGTCTGTATGTTACAATATATTATCGCACTGTAAAAATTATAATAAATATTATGCCGTTACATCGCTTTCTAGCTATAACCTACAACTCCGCTCTCGTAGTTTAAGTTTATTTACCTAAGTCTAGTTTTTACGCTCTTTAGAGTCACTGTCAGAAATACATACGTATCTTCCACTATTAAATGCATGAAGAATTTTTCAAATACGGATGCTTTCAAAAATTCAAGCTAACAATCAAATATACAAAAAAAAATTAACAAAAACATATAACAATGAAACAAAATCACATAGCTTTACAATATACCTAATACTAATAGATAGGTATAGATTTTAGGTTTTTAAGATTTTGTTAATTATATGCATCGCTGACGAATTACTAAAATAATCTTCCTGAGAGAGTGCAGGATCGAGGCCAAAAGTCATTTTTATGACGTCACAAAACACTACACCAGTCATCATACCCACTGAAATATGATAAAGCCAATCTGCAATTTTCTTCTGTTTTATATTATTTTCTTCATCCAAGGCTGATATAATTAAGGCCAAAACGCCCGCACTCGCCTGCATTAATAAAAATGTTTTTATCGTCTTAACCAATTATATAATATTACAAAAAAGGGAAAGTCGAATGATAAATCACTTATTGACAAAATATTTTTCCACGTAAACCCAAAATAATTTTAGTTATAGGTACACTAACTGCTTGACAACTAACAAGTAACAATATTATTCGAAACAACAAATTTTGTTAAGGAAGCACCGAGGCAATTACGAAATAGTTGCGTTCGTTTGATCCCTTGCTGTAATGTTATTAGTAAAACTTTAATTATGCAATTAATAATATGTAGGATATTTGAGAATTTATTCTATAAATCGTACACTTTAGAAACACGATAACTGGTAGTTTTCTCAATAGAAAAAAATCCAAAATGATCTCTAAAAAACAAAATAAACCCTTAGTGCGGCGTAAATAATTCAAGGAAGTTTATCAGTTTTTCAATAATAACAAAACTATACGTTTTCTATAACGTATACTTACACGTTAAATTTTCAAAATGTGTATTTGTTTTAATAATACGAAGGAAATAGGTAACTAAAATCGCACGCGTTCAGTCCATCCTAGCCACACTCCCCCCTGTCCGCTGTCGTCCTACTAAAATAAAAAGCTCGGTGCCCCTTAAGAAAAACATGAAATATCCTAAAGATTGTTCGAGCCAAAGGACTTCTTTATGATATCATACAAATGTATAGTTTTGAACTAAGACGTATAAAATTATTAGGTATTAATTATTAGAAGCAGTTACAATAAAAATATTTCAAACTTAATGACATTAGCTCGAAGTAATATTTCCTTTTCTTAAATATTCGTTATTAATATATTTTATTCGGTCCAGTATCAATGGATTATTTGAATATTCCATACCAAATGCAGATATAACGATATTTATTACAGAAATAACGAATATAAATATAATAATGACGTCGTTAAGGATTATAGCCGAAGGTTGATCATCGTCATCATTCAAGTCCAAACCCCCGATTACTACGAATAGTAATCCAACGAGAAGCTAAAACAATATTATCTATGCATTAAAAGAAAATATTGCCACTAATATCTTATACCTATTTTATCTATACGCCTACTTAAGTATAATATAATGAAAAATATTTCAAGCGATTTCAAATGTTGAATATTATTATAAAAATTAATAATTAGATACATTTTCCTAAATACTGTAACATATAAATAATAATTGAATTAAATGTTACACTATCAATAAAACAATGAAAGTTTTAGTAGTTAAAGAAAATAAAATATAAAATGTGTCAAACTTTTGCAACAATAAACAATCAATTATTAATCATAGTCAAGTTCAAGATATCTTGCAAGTGATGAATCAAACGCGGAAACAAGAACATTTAGGACTGTAACAACGAAGGCTGATGCCATGGTAGCATAACTAATATTGAGAGCGGACGTCCGGTGTTGTGGATCGTGGAAACGGCAGTCGCGTAGCAAATTTAGTGTTAGTAGTACGAACCTCATCACCACCTAAAATACTTTTATCTTACAAATATCTTACTTATAATATAAATAAATTTTCAAAAGAAATGTCAAGTCCGCCATTAACCCGTACTTGGCCAACTTGGTGGACTATTGCCTGATCCTCGTCGTATTCAAGGGAGGCTCGTGCCCAGCAGTGGGACGTTAAAAAGGGCTGAATACAATATGAATAAGTAAACCGATTTTATTGCAAAACCATACATGAATAAATCTACTAAAATTTGCTTTAAATAACTGGGTTGGCCAAGTAAAATCCTTTGATCTTTGTTCAGTTATAAACATTGAAAATTTTTTTATAGTTATATGAGAGGCTAATTTTCGTTGAATTAATGAATGAGATGTTAATAACAAAAATAATGCATCGGACCTTGACATAATTACGTTTGGTGAAATTATGTATCGACCTTTATATTCATGATGATTTATTATATAATTATTATACCTATATAAATATATGAAGAAAATATATAGGTATAACTAGCGACTCACCCTCGCTTCGCTCGGGTTCGTTCCTAGCTTGAATACCCATACAAACTTTGATCCCCATTTTCGCTCCCTTAAGGGCTGATTTTCGGGATAAAAAGTATCCTATGTCCTTCCCAGGGTCTTAAACTATCTTCTTACCAAATTTCATCTAAATCGGTTTAGTAGATCCAGAGATTGCCCCCTATAACGTCACAAACTCAAAAACTCACAAACTTTACCTCTTTATAATATTAGTATAGATAGTATAGTTATAGTATACGTATAATTTCTATCGAAGAAATAGTCTATATATTATCTCAAGATGAAGATATTGTATGAATGGACAATATTTTTTCATTCCCTGCAGGAATCAAACCCGCGACGACGATTCATACCACACTTATCCACGACGATCACATATAATAATCTATACTATACTGTAATAAAACTGTAGAGGTCGAATGTCTGTACATAAAAAAAAATGCTAAAAAACAAGTCAGGGGGATGTAAGAAGACAAATACAACAAATTTAGGTTTTTTTCCAATTTTTTGTTTCTCTGTCTGTTTGTCTGTTTGTACGCGCTAATCTCCGAATCTATTGGACCGATTTAAATGAAATATTGCATGGTGGTACCTTATATCCCCGTGCAACAACTTAGATACTTTTCATCCCGGAAAATTAAAGAGTTCCCGTGGGATAGTTAAAAAACTATAGTAACTTATACAGCTTAGTACACAACAACTTATGCACATAATTTAGTAAAATTTGGCATGCTGATGCCTCCTTATATTGCCGGTAAAACAACAGGTTACTTTTCATCCCAGAAAAATGAACGGTTCCCGTGGGATAGATCCGTTTGTGCTTTTCTAGAGGCGAAACCGAGCGAAGCGAGGGTGAGCCGCTATTAATAAATAAAAATAATATACTTAAATGTAAGTATGTACTTAACAAACATATATACCTAATAATTACCTGTAATACAATAGAAATAGAGATGAGAACAACTAGCAACGTATAAAACTCGTGTTTCGGTCCAACTTGAAGCACATATTTTAGTTGAGATGCATTCGATGTTAATAGTGCAATGTCAAGCATTCCCTGCGCCACAGTCTTCTTCGTAGCATAGCGATTTGCGTCAAGACCCTTTATCTGAAAACATATTTTTTTTTAAATAATTTGTGGTATTTCCATTATATTCATTAATTTACTTGTTTGGGTACTTAATTTTAAATCCGAAATCCCTCCACGACCGCGGACACGCCGGCGTTACAGTTAACAATAGATTTCTTAGAAATTTACCTGGAGGTGTTTTATTCCCATTATATATAAGGTATTATGTTTATTTTACTTTGTTCTAATCTTATAAATAAATATGAATTGCTGTTCGTGCATCACTTGGGAACGGCGACAATGACCGATTTAGCTAACTTTTTTATAATACACGTAATAGGCTGAATTAGATTTTGAGAGAAAAAATTGAGGAAGTTGTCCGGATAGTTTAGAAATTCTGATAAAACAAAAAGAAGAAAGCATTATTTCACAGGATTTTTGTATTAATTCAAAGATTGCAACCATTTCAAGCCAACCAACACACATTTGTCAAAGGTTGATAAGGTTGAAAATAAACAGCATTAGATTAAAGAAATCTTATAAAGATAAAATAATATTGATTTTAGTAGTAGGTAAACACTAAGCAGACAAAATAAAACTCCTCTTGCTTTGTTTTAATATTAAACTATACGAAATATCTGAAGACTACACAAATAAAATTATTATATGAGTAAGACGTAAATCTACACGTAGAACATAGAGATCAACGTATACTTTTAATTTACTCCAATCTATGTTTTATTTCAGAATTTGAAATCTGTCCAGTATTCTTTAAGTAACATGAAAATAGAATCTTTAAGTAACATGAGAATATCTTAAGATATTCTAAATTTATTAAGTATGAGAACTAGGTACTATATATTTCTTGTACACATCTCTTTAAACGCACTAATTTCTATTATTTTATCCACAATGACAGCATTGTTTTTATAAAAATAAAGTAAGAAAAACAAAAAAGGTTATAGCTACTTTTACTACACTAAAATTTAAAAATAAATTTTACTGCTTCACAAACTTCTGTTGATGCGTCTTCATTATTTAGGTCGTCTATGTTGATATCTTTAGTAGATTGACGTTCATTATCACCCAATTTATTGTCCTCCATGTTTGACATATCAAATAATATACACAAAATTAACAAGAATAAATAAACAAAATAAATAATAAATAAATTAACTTCGACCGTGTTAGACTGCGTGTGTATTCACACTAGAGACTGATTTATGTAGAATGGAAAATTCACATTTAGTTTCCTTTAACCAAGGCCAATAAAATTCGGAAATGAAGTATTACTTAATTCTAGTATACAATTCCATTTGTTCTAAATTATAATTGTACTGTATTTTAACAGTTCTTATTTAATCCAGATAAGATGTTTCTTTATGATACCCAATAGGCGAATTGATTTTTAATTTTATTATAAACAACATTTTAACTATTTAGTAGGTATAATATTTTAAAGTATAACAAAAACATAACAGCTAGCTTATTTAACTTACCCCATTTCGAAGTCCGGTTGGGAATATAGATGCCATCTTTAGATAAGCGATAAATAGAGGCGATATAAGTTAACACTAAGTTTAAGTAACTGAAGACGATATAAATTTCAATTTTTTCATAACAATCGATAGTTTGCCTTTGAATATTTCATTATTTATCGTGAGAAACTAAAATACAATGTGTCTTGCTCCCATTCGATACCACAATGCAAAACGATAAAATCGATGTGGTTACTAGACAACAACGATAAACAAAACATATCTGAGTGATATTATTGATGAGTTAAACTTTAATCTGATCAAAATTGGTTTAGATCTATTGAATATCAGAGCCAAAAAATATTATGAATGTTTTTTTATTTGACTATGGTTCTTTGCATATTCCTCAATCCATGTTTGTAATGATACATCGTTGGGGTAGGTCGAAATAAATTTGTACGAAAATTAAAAAAATAACGTAAGTTTGAACTATCTTATATGCCCATATTGAAAGGGCAAGTAATGACAAAATTAAGAGACTCCCAAAGATTTCTGAAGACAAAGTATCTTTTAAAGTAGGCCAAGTCAAAAGCTGGAGGCCCGCCGAATCAATATATGAAGAGAATGAGAATTGAAGAAACAAAAAAGACTACAATGTACGATTAAAGCACGAATATTTCTTACGACTTAACACTAATAACTAATACCAAAATCATAAATGTGTTCTTACAAAAAGCCAAATTCTTAACGAAAGAACTTGTAAGAAGTACTAGAATAAACGGTTTTTCATGTTGCACTATTGAATAGCAAAGAAACATAAAAGTTTTTTTTTTAAACTGAAGAATGCATGAGAAGAGCTATAATTTAAGGAACTTTGAAAAAACTTGGTATACATAATACAGTTAGACCTCGCTTATTTTATTAGAGAACAGAAGCGAACTTGTCTGACACACTTTCGTGTGTACAAGATAATTGCTTAGCACTCTTATAATTCCACGAATTATTCACAAAGATTTAGATATTATGGCATAGACATGTACCCTAGGGACGATTAAAGATGCTGAAACATCTAAAAAAATTGTTTTTTTTTTTTATGATTTCTTTTTATAAAGTTTTCTTATAGTAATAAATAGGCAGAATTACGTACGACACGTAGAAAGATATAAAGTGAAAAAAATACATTTTTTAGTTTTGACCGTTTTAAAATAGCTTTGCTAATAATATAAATGAGAAACTGACTGGGTTGGTGTGTCCTTATTTCTCACAGCAACTCAGCGACCTATGAAATATTGGCCTAGTGCGATATGCTACGTAGATACTCTACTAAGATAGGTAATAAATTTTAGTGTACTCAAATTTGTATACTCAGTTTAAACATTTACTATTATTTAAAGTTAAATATTACAAGGTATAAGCGTTTACATTTTCTCAAAGTCGACAGACAATGAGATGCTATTAACGCCTGCAGGTTGCTAGTAAGATATAATTAACTTCTATTACCACTGAAAATATCGAGTCTTAGACTCTAGACTACTAAAATTAATCTAAACAAATTCTTCGCAGTCGACAGCACTTCTAAATTATAGCATGTAGGTAATTGTGAGATGTATCAATTTATAATTAAGAATCATAAATTATAATTGATCAATGTAATTTTTGAAAGCAATAGTTCATTTAGAAAATAATCATAAAATAGGTAGGTAACTTTAACAAATCTTGATATTAATGGATTAGGTATTTCCTATTGTCTTTCAAAAAACTATCGGCATTTCCATTGTGTATTCAAATTAATAATTTATAACTACTAAGATGTGTGAAAAATATCCCGTTAACTTCATGAATACAAAATCCTGAATGGTTTAATGTTATTATTCATTTATGAGGGACGATTGAAAAGAAATTTAAAATTTGATACGAAAATCTATAGAGATCTACATATAATTTTGGGTATTTTATTACTTAATTGACGTCTAAAATTAACTACAAAACGGTCTTTAGTCTTTACATATTTTAATTTTATAAAATGTGTCTCTATGGATGATATTTGTTTAAAGTATGAAAATAATTATGAAAAAATGAAGTAGATGCATACTTTCCACTAGTAGTTTTATTTTGCTTGTTATCTAATGCCCATGTTTTCCCCTTACACATTATTCTATAAATTATCCTAAAAAATCTAACATATTTTTTAAATCGTAGAGGATTCCATGACTTACGTGTTACACAGTCTGATCTAAGATCAAAATATTCATTTCGTCTAAACTCTAATATATTGCGAAATAAAGACACTTGTTAAAGTTTACTTTATAGGATAGGTACGTAAGACTTTCAAAACTTTCGAACGTTCGGTTTTCATGTTTACAATATTTCATTTTCTAATAAATTACTTTATTATGAAAGTATCATTTATTAAATAACATATTATCTTAAAATTCTAGAAGCATTATTATTCTATATGAAATTATAATATTTTACAATCCATAAAATGAAACGTCTAACTTCTTCCCGCCCTCTCCGCGTCGTTGATGTTGTGTTACAAGTTGTCTGTCAAACAAAAATATTTCCATATTTTCGATGGCATATTTTCTATAGTTTTATTAAAATTAATAATGATTTGGTTTTTAAATTATAGTTGTTGTTTACTGCTGTTATTGTGACATATGGAAAAATTTTATAAGTGTTTTACTTCTGCTACAAAAGTGAATATCGTGTGGGGAAGCAAATTGGAGTTGATTGTTTTGTTTTGCGAATTTTAAGAAGGGACCTTAAACCTTCCAGATGTTGCCTTCTATGCCTATATTATTTACAAGGGAGAGTCAAGATGCATTTGGAAATAAAATAGAGCCCAGTACAAGTTATTTTAACAAAAATAATGAAATTCAACCTATCCTTCAATCCGTGGTGAGTCAGATGAAGCTTCCTATTTTAAACCACTTTTTATTAAAAAACCTTAATTTGTTGAGAATTTCTTTAACTTTATTGATTTACTGGTAATTCAGGCAATTGTTTGCAATATCTAAATGACGATAACTATGAATTATTACGAAGTAAACAGGCAAAAATTAATTTCGTTTGAGTGTTAATGTCTGCCATCTTATTTTTTGATAATATTTTTTTAATCCATATAATTTATTTTAGACTAAAATTTCGGAGGCAGCAGATAAAAATATTAATGAAATATCAAATGAAGCAGCTAAAAATAAGTGTATTGACAAAAAGAAAGAGGAATTAGCAAAACCTAAAACTGATGAGAATGCTTTGGAGACAGGTAAACAAGTTACAAGAGTGTATTTTGTTGTTAAAATTTAAAAAGGTTATTGTGCAGGTTTTATAAAATTTGTGGTATTAGATATTGATTCAAATAAGTAAATAATTACCTGTTAGTTTAAATTTTCTAGATGCTTACAACATTTATAAAAACAAAAGCTAAACATAAATAATTAACAAATTTTACATGTTCTAAGATATTGGGTTTATTTATGTCATGTATATATTAAAATTGTCTACAGCCTTTTTGTTATTTATTTACTTAAATAGATATGGTGTTTTGTATTAAATAATTATTTTATTTCTAGCACTAGTTAAATCCTACTACACAAAAGTACAGTCAAGATTTTCTTCACACTCCACCTTGCCGACCAACAAGTTTGTTCAATTTAGAGAAATTTTAAAAACCTTCAACCCCTCAAAAGAGAACCCTGTAGATTTATATAAGAAAATAGAGCAGCTATTTAGTGATGAACACAAAGATATAGTAGAAGAGTTTATGTTGTTTTTGAAGCCCGGCCAAGCAGCTGAAGTTGGGAGATTCATGGACCATTTCATGTTATCACAGATGACGGGATTCATAGCTCTTTTACAAGTAAGTATAATATTCTAGCATTATTTAGTTTTTTAGTAATTCGTTTGTAATTAGTATTAACATATTAGTAAATCAATACAACTCTAGGTTGAACGGGACAGAATGTACTTATCTCTTAAAATAGGTTTTAAATATGAGAATTTTGATTAATTTTTGTATACAAACTGCTATACCTAATAACAAATGAATGCAGATGCGAATTCTCTTAATTTTTTTTACATTCTATCTATCCTCCTTTTTTTCATGTTTTTCATAGATAAACATATATTTTATCATGAATACTGTAAGAACCTGAAGAAATACATACATGTTATCATACATATTGAATTACTAAATATTTAAGGAATTGTGTTCCAATTTTTTAAAAATGCAGGTTATATTACTGTAGAAAGTTACTGACTAATATGGTATATTATTTATATATATTAAATATTTATTATTTATTATAATATTTATAACAATCCTAACAATGCAAATAATCTGAAATTTTATAGTGAAGTTGAAATAATTATTGTATTTATTTACTAAAATAATGCTTAGCAATTGACATTATGGTAACTGTTGCTCCCTAAATATTCAATTACTTTTATAGATATTGTTAGTCATGTTAGCCAGGTATATGTAGATGATCTTTTATAAGACTTTAGTTTTGGTCTCTGACAACTATGTCAGTGATTTATGGCAATTTAATTGATGGAGATCAATGGAATAAACAAGGACTTTAGTTTCTCAGCTTTTCTTCTTTGTATATTATGCAAAAGCACTCTCTCTCTCTCTGTTACTTTTACTATAACTTAAATAAAAAAATAAAAAATATTCTTTAACATGGCAGTATCTAGCCAATAGATCCATTATTGATTATTCCTTTAAGCGTGTTACATCTAAGTTGGATGTAGGTTGGTTTGTTATTTATTTATAAGTGTTGATGCTTATATTGTGCTTGAAATGGCGTGGTATTTATCTAATTCTACAAATTTAGGAGATATGTTGTGTCCATGTATATGAGTTCTGAACTCAATCCATCCAAATCTAATCAATTTGAAAAATCCTACAAGGATTTTTTGTACATGCCAATAAAAAAAAACTAAATCCTTATAGTATAGGTTTTCTAGCAGTGGTAGCCTAGTGGTTACGCGCTCGTTTGAAAACCGAGTGAAGCGAGTTCAAATCCCGGGTGTCGCATCTCTGATATTTTCATGTACGAATCATTCCCAACATTACCACTTGTCTTAACGGTGAAGGAAAACATCGTGAGGAAACCTGCATATCTGAGAGAACCTAACAAGTTTTCAATCGCTACATCCCTTTCGCCTAAGTATAAATATTCCCCTCCGTAAAAAATATTATTTTATATATGATCGATAATAAATGATCAGGCTCATTATGCGAAGCGAGCTTTGTTCGAAGTACCTTACGCAGCTAAACGCGAATTAGTAAATGACGTACCTAAACCCCCTTCGACCCTTGAACGATGGTATATTTTTTCCTCAACACGGTACTGTAAGCGCTACTCGTCACATATTATCGTTAAAATATTTTCTTATGCCGTGGTAATACAGCTAGTTGAGAAGTAATCAAAATCACTAAGGGTCAACATTCCAAGCCTTAATTTTGTAAAGTGATGTTCTCCTGGCCGATTCCGGCTTCGGCGGCCAATCTCATTCAGACTAGCCAACTGCGCAGGAGATATTGAAGTGCACAAGTGTACGCGCTGACAGAAGTGCACTCTCTATTCCTGTCGCTCTCATACTCCGGTGGGACGACTACTCGACACGACCGGTGAGAGTTAAGGCGCAGGACCGACGGCTTTACGTGCTCTCCGAGGCACGGGGGTGAAACACCGCCAACTTCCCAACTCCGGGCTGTAACTGAGACTTACTATACAGAAAGACTCAATAACTAAACTTGGCCTGACCCGGGACTCGAACCCAGGACCTCCGAGTGTGCAGCCGTACATGCTAGCCACTACACCACCGAGGCAGTTGTTTTATAAAGTAGACCTTATATTACTTAAAAAAATAGTTGACGAGCCAGTGCATATTTATTGTAAAAGAAATGCACCTTCTGGCTTATATCCTTTTCCGTCTCAAGAAAACTTGATAGTGGTTCTTCGTTTGTACATTATCATATTATCATTTGAAACTTGGTTCTTACTGATAGTGTGAATGCACTTATTGTTTTTCTGTAGAAATACTTTACTAGACCAATATCAGAGATCGGCACTATAGTATGGATCGGGCCTTAAAGCGATAGATAGGTTATTGGCATCCGTAAGACTGATTTAGTTTCTTCAATAAATAAAAATAACAGGATTGAGTTCCTGCTTTTCATAGAAATGTCCAAAAAAGCTGATGATTAAATTTACCGTAAAAATCCAAGAAACTGCTCGAAAATGAATATGAATACTTTTTAAAGATATAGGTTGCTTTATCGTAGTTAAATTGCGATTTAAAAAATGTAATTTTCCCGATTTACTTACATGATGATGAATTTTATAATAATTGTGGAGTATAATTAATGGCTAATGTATTAAACATTAAACAGATTTAGTACGGGGTGAGGATCTTTGTATAATAATAGAATATTAAGAAAAAATATTCTATTTATTACTATGCATTCTAGTAACATAAAAAAATAGGTTACATATTGCCACTTTCACAATTATGAGAGAATATCATACTTTTACCACTATTTGATTTCTTTCCTCATTTCCTCAAGTGGGTTAGTTTTTTTGATTTTTAATTCTTTGAGGTGTTAGCTTTGTCTTTAAATCTAGATATTATCACTTTATGAAACGGCTTTGACTTATGCATTTTGCTGTCATCCTAGGAATAGATTTTACTGAAATGAAACATATTTTTGCCATAATAACATGCTATAATATTCTCATATAAACATCGGACGTAAAAAGTACAACGCATAGGTTAATCAACTCAACTATAAATAACAGTAACATAAGAGGACTTTGTCAGATGGGTGGAAGGAGCCGATTTTCATAAAGAGATACTCTAGTCGAAAATCAAACCCATGTAGGTATGTATTCAGCCCTTTTTAACGTCCCACTGCTGGGCACGGGCCTCAATTCAGTACGAGGGGAATCAGACCATAGTCCAACACGCTGGCCAAGTGCGGGTTGGCGGACTAATGTAGGTATACTATTTGATAATGAATTTTATTATGGTCAAATTCTGTGAAGAAATGACATACCGGAAACAAAAGGAAACTGCTCATTTATATAATTAACTTAGTGTCTGCTTTCGAAAGCAGTTTAAACTAATCACTTAACGATAAAAGCTCTTAATACTTATCGATTACGGATTAATATTTTGATCTATACTTTTATAAAGATACATAACCGTCTAAATTATAACTATATAGGTTGAAGTTAGTCCTCTGACTTGACTGTATTTATTTATTTATTTATTTACTTCTTTTTACACATTGTATCAATTCAATGATCACTTGTGTACGTCAATTAGAAGACTTAAACTAAAGCTACGAGGGTTCGTAACGCGCCCTGGTCTGAGAAGAACCCACAAGAAACTCAGCCAAGTAACATTTTTTTTTTATTGTGATCATTGTTTCACAAACATCCTTACTTCAGTATAAAGAGCAATTCATTCCCAAGCTTTTTTATCACTTAAATAATCCTTTACATTATAATAGGATTTATTTATTAATTGTCTTTTAATGTAAATTTTAAATTTATTTATTGACAGTTTTAAAGTATCATCTGGTAGTTTATTGTAAAAGCGAATACTATTACCAATAAAGGAATTACCAATTTTATGGAGCCTAGTGGTGGGCTGAACTAGCTTATTTTTGTTTCTAGTGTTTACATTATGCAGGTCACTATATTTCTTGAATTTATCAATATTTTTATGTACATATATTAGATTTTGATAGATGTATTGGCAGTGTACAGTCATTATTTTAATTTCTTTAAACTTATTCCGCAAAGATTCTCTTGGGCCTAAATTATATATAGCTCGAACAGCCCTTTTCTGCAGCACAAAAATTGTGTCAATATCAGCAGCATTACCCCATAGTAAAATACCATATGACATAATGCTGTGAAAATAGCTAAAGTATACTAACTTAGCTGTCGTTACATTTGTTAATTGACGTATTTTCTTAACCGCGTAGGCTGCAGAACTGAGCTTATTCGATAATTGAGAAATATGAGGGCCCCATTGGAGTTTGGCATCTAATGTAATGCCTAGAAATACAGTGGTATCAGCTAGATCTAGTTCCTCATTATTCAGTCGTACATTGGTTTTTACACTTTTAACATTTGGTAAAGTGAATTTTACACATTTTGTTTTTTTCTCGTTTAGTAAAAGGTTGTTGACATTAAACCATTGTACCACTTTGGATAAAGCAATGTTCACATCGTCAATTACTGCTTGTCGTCTGTTAACTTTAAAAACTAAAGATGTATCATCAGCAAACAAAACTATCCCGTGGTCATCCTTTACGAGGTATGGTAGGTCATTTATATAAATGAGGAACAAAAAAGGACCCAAAATTGAACCTTGTGGTACACCCATGTAGAAAATCTGCTCACTTTCAATAAGCAGTATAGGTATCTCAAGAAATATTAATTATATGGTATATGTTATTTATTATATATATTATCTATACATATAATAAAATTCTGAGTCGAATCTGTACATTAAATATTTTTTGGAAAATCTTATTGAAATAGTCATTATAATCGATACAGAGGCCGAATCTATAGTTATTAGATTTTTTGTCTGTCTGTTACCGCATCACGAGAAAACCACTGAACAAATTTTGATGAAATTTGGTATGATGATAGCTGGTTGGTTTTCCGGGTCAACATATAGGATTCTTTTTACCGCGGGAAAATATCTCATTTCTGAGAAAAAATACAAAAACTGCAATGTAAGAGTATACTAATATGTAAAACCTAAGAATTTGGTTTTTGGTCATCTGAACGCGGGTGGAGCCGCGGGCAATGCTAGTATAGTATAAATTGTTAAAATAACTAGTTCTTAAAGATCTTATAAGATACTGATTTGAATGAATTTATTTGAAGTTTACAACACTTTAAACGTATTCTTTTTACAACTTTGATGTTTTGTACTTATTATAACAGCTGATTTATTAAATTACAAAACTATTTTAAAAATATATTTCCAACACATTTTTGTAAAATTACCATAGAAATTTTAAAACAGTGTACCTAGTGTAACCTTGCTAATTTATCGCCCTTTCTATGAGTGAAAACCGTATCAAAATCCGTTGTACGGTTTAGAAGAAGTAAGCGGAGAAACAGACAGACGCAGATAGCAACTCTGTTTTATATTATGTACAAATTTAAAAGAACATTGTCTCCACGAGTTTTTTTCCGCACTTAATATCGCTTCTCGACTGATAGTCTCATAGCATTATTTATTATGCAAAAATAGTTTAATGAGAAACTTTATAACGGCTTCTTTATTATTTTCGAGGCCATTTTATGAGTACTGTTATAATATTATAAAATATTTTGTATGGCACGTTTGGAACACGTTTATCCAGTGTTTTTTCTATCAATATGAAGCACGTTGTAATTAATGAAGATAGTGATGATGACAAATAAAAGTATTTTTTATGAATATCGGTTTAATTTCTATTGAGAAAATACCTTTTCCATTCCTTTTTAAACCTTTCGTGCCCAATATTGAAAAACTAAAAATGTTATGCAAGATAAAAGTGTCAACAAGGTGGTCGTGACGTGCCTGGTCACTTACTTTTGATTTTTTTTTGACATGTTGCACCTCTTGGATTCTAATGAAACTTGGCATGCTATTAGACCATATATAGACAATTATTATGTATTTTTTTCAAAGTGGTAATTTATTTATATCTGATAGAAATCGATTGACAAAATTTTTATTTGCATTTTTTAATACTTTTATTTATGCTTGGCCCATAGTAAACAGCTATTAAATAAACTATAAAGCTTATTATAATGCTTACATTTTGTTTTATTACGCTAGCTTTGAAATTAACTAAGATGTATCCCTTTGAAAAAATGTCGCCCCCGGACACTTTTTTTCAAATAGCTCTTCAATTAACTAAGATATAGATCTAATATTTACTGGATCAATTACTTTTAGTGTCCTCTACAATATAACATTGGTAACGATATAGGTTCCTATCGGGGGCACTTTCGCTATGGAAGTACGGCTAGACCCTTTTAATGTATCTATAGATGTAACTAATTTATAAAGCCAAGAACATTGTTTTTGATAATTTAAACACTATTACTATATATATACTACGTATTTTAGTAGTAATTCTAATAAAATCATAGAAAGGTCGAATTTGTACATTCAATTTTTTGGAATTAAAACTACGTATTTTAAAGACACATGGCGACATCTATTGACAAATATCTAAATAATACAAAAATAAATATTCATTAAAATATATTTTTTAATGAATAAAATAGTGCTATTGATATACATTTCATTTAGTTAGTTAACTTGCTAAAATCTATATAGTATCATCGATTTTTTATTCTAACCAGTTTTTGTATTTTTTCTCAGAAATGAGATATTTTTTTGCGGTAAAAAGTGTCCTATATGTTGACCTGGATAATCAGCTATGACCATACCGAATTTTATCAAAATCCGTCCAGTAGTTTTTCTGTGATGCGGTAACAGACAGACAGACAGACAGACAGACAAAAATTCTAAAAACTATAGATTCGGCCTTTGTATCGATAATAATGTTTATTTCAATAAGATTTTCTAAAAAATATTTAATGTACAGATTTGACTTAGTTATAATTTTATTATATGTATAGATAATACTCGTACAGTATTATGTCAAATTACACTTTGTTTTTTTTCAACATTTGCAAAAAATAACCTAAAATAATAATATGTACATATATGTATTCTGTCATTGTCAATACACTGCGTCCGTCACACACCTTTTTAACGTCCCACTGCTGGGCACGGGCCTCCCTTCTACACGAGGGGGATCAGGCCATAGTCCACCACGCTGGCCAAGTGCGGGTTGGGGGATTTCACATGTCTTTCGAAAAGTTGCTAGGTTCTCTCAGACATGCAGGTTTCCTCACGATGTTTTCCTTCACCATAAGGCAAGTGGTAATCATGTTAGAAATGATTCACTCGGTTTCCCAAGCGAGCGCGTTACCATTGGGCTGCCACTGCCTAGTCCGCTTAGATTAATTTATTTTATCTTAGGCAACTTTCAAATATTAGGTATCTTATTTCAGTCAACATTTAGCCGAAAACCCACGGTGCTAAGGAAGATATTACGCGCGATCACGACCGGCATCAACAGTGGCAACAGTTCAGACATGAAGTCCAGAGTTCTACCCCACTTGAGGTCCAACCCACGCTTAACTCAAATGTTTAAAGCCCTCTTTCCAGATGAACGCCCACCGGATAGGTGAGTTGGTATTATATAACGTTAGAGAAGATACTCTAATATAATAGACTTTATTATGAAGATAGTCTAATGTTGACTTTCTCGCTGGATCTTCTCAGCAGAACTGCTTTCAGACTGACAACACTGACCCTGTTTATTTTATCGTCAATATAAAATATACTTTTTAACGTTTAGTATCAATTTCTCAGAGATGAGATATTCTACCGCAGTAAAAAGTATCCTATATTTTGACTCGGTCAACCTGCTATCATCATGCCAAATTTCATCAAAATCTGTCCCGTGGTTTTCTCGTGATACGGTCACAGACAGACAAAAATTATAAAAAATATAGATTCGACTCAGAATTTTATGATTAAATACTAACATTAATAGACGGAATGACTTTTTAAGTAAATTATATTATCGGGTTCCACAAAGCATGTTCACTGATATCAATTTTTTTTTCCAATATCCAAATGGTACAAGCATACTTATTTAGATCATTTGTTCACAGCGTTTACGACACAGGAACAGATGTTCTTCAAGATACCTTCTTAACTTGTGACAAGGGATACGACGTGTGGGAATTTGAAGAGAAAAAAAATACTAAGAGAAAAGCTGAATCTAAAGTCCTGGACTCCGAGGTAATTATATACATACAACGATATGTTATCAACGACATGTCAGTGCCTTAATTGCCTTTTGGCCACATTAAATGTCAGTGTAGATCTAAGCCAAGGTGTCTGAGGTGTTACTATGGGCGTACCTAGCTTTTGGTCCGGGGGACGGGGACGGGGGGGGACGGGGTATGCGGCAAAACAGAATTAATAAACCTAGTCCGAAGCGTGGAATCCGAGGGGGGGGGGGTGCTCAAAAATAATTGTTTCTGGTTTTTTTTTATGAAATTGACATAACTTTTTTTTATTTATGAACCGATTGAAATAAAACCAAATCTAAATGTTAAGTGAAGCTTACCATAAAATACATTCGTGAAAACCGCATCCAAATTGGATAAACCGTTCCACACAAACTCACAGACAAACAGACAAAAATTCTAAAAATCATTTTTTTGGGTTCTATCGCGTTACTAAAACCCCCAATAATAGTTTTTCTCAAATATCTCCCACGTACAGGTTCAGTTCACGATCAGTTACAATTTATTATTTGTATGTATAGATATGGACATTGATTATTTTCTGTCACCTACGTTTGGCTCTTTCAAAACAATAACATGTCAAATACGAGCTCGCAGGCCAGTACACAAGCGCTAGATTAGATTCGATATTCTTGGTAAGTCGTTAGCACGGCAGCGACGGGCTGGCGAGCATGGAGCTTACCGTTCAAGTTGACCGGGCGCGCAGTGCAATTTTTTTATAACCTAACACATAATATATGGATTGTAAAGTAACTCGTAACACTCGTAACCTGACTCAAACAACTTTATCGCCAACAGTAGGTACGTAGACATACACGATCCAGGAGGGGGCAGCTGCCCCCTCCTGCCCCTACCTGGGTACGCCCATGGGTGTTACTAATGATATATTGGGGATACGTGTGACGGACTACATATAAAGATTGTCCTAAATTTGTTAGACAACAAAATATTAAAATGGTTTTGTCACAAGATAATTTTTATTACATGGAAGCATCCTCCCGTTTTCCGTCCGTGCAGGCCTCGTGACCTACATCGGGGAAACGAGACTGTAACAGATGTTCTCTACTCTGTTGTATGTTTCTTCTAGCCCAATCCGATCTCATTCTTCTCTCACTAGATCCTTTAGTCAAATTGTTTTCCGCTCTTCACGAGCTCCTTTAGCTTTCTTATTTATATCGTTTTATTTTATTCACCTGGACACTTAATTTTATACACTGAAATAACAAAAGTTTGCAGAAAAATTGTTATTAATATTATGAAACTAAACTTAATAAGAAACTCGAATGTACTTTTAAATCAAAAGGAATGCCAATGCATTTATGCAATTTGTCAATGAATGTTTGGCAGGAGATTGAATTTTTTAACTAAGCTGTGTGCAAATATTTGAACGATAATTTGAACGATATTTGAACGAAACTATCTGAAAGCATATTCGCACATTGTTCTCAATCTTATGCGAATGTTAAGTTTATTTAGGTCTGAGAAAAAAGTTCGAATTTCAAAAACCAGTAATTTAAGATCAAACAATAAAAGACTGGAAGTAAATATGATTTTTCTTTCACAGTATTTGCACGGGAGAGTGTTTCTTCAACATGGCAGATTTTTACGCACGGCATGTGTGACATACCCATATAGCAAAGAACCATACAGAGTTCATTCAAGACGGCTAGCTCCTAACCATTGCCTGTCACCACCAGAATCAGACTCAGAGAGGGCATCCCCTAAAAGGAACAACAAAAACACATGCAAAGTACCACAAAAAAGATCTAGAAAACAACTAAAATCGCCCACCAAGAACGTAAAAGATGTCAATGATAATACCAAGAAAGATTGCCTCACATTAAATCCAAAAATTAAAACAAAACCACTCGCGAAGAACAAATGTAAGAAAGAAGATATACCTGTCAAAAAGAAAGAGAAGTACGACTCAAAAAATTCGCTTGTGAAAAAAGAGGCTAAACAAAAAGAAGCGGAGAAAAGGCTAGAGAACAAAAGTTGGACTCGCGATGAAGATAAGACGATGTTAGAAGTCCTAAAAGGAGAACCAGGATCTGAACAAGTTTTCTGCAGAATTCGTGAACTTCTCCCGCACAGAAGTGCGACGGAGATAAAAGAGAGATTTTGCCACGTGATGAACCTGTTGCAGCAAATGGCGGTCGGGGAAGTGACATAGATCATGAATTTATTAATAAAATAAGCAAAGCCGGTATTTATAATTTTATATAGAAATAAAAATTATTTTTTACCTATTATCTGGTTTCATTTTTTTTTATCTTGATACTTGATCTGATTGTTTAAGTATATTTTTTTAAAGATCCCTTTTTTTAATCTTTTCACTAAATATATAATTATTATAAAAAGAACTGACAATTATCTTTTTTAAATATTTCTTCTAATTCCGGCGCATCTTCAAGCAAACGTCGCAAGGAACGTGCTCTGTCGTGAGCGAAGGACCGCGGACAGGTCTGCAGGTGCGACGGGGAAATCGAAACGTCAACATTCTTGCTTTTAGGCCTGTCTATTTTTTCATATAATTTTGAACCTTTCATTAAATTTTCGAACAATTTTTCAACGTCATCGTCAGAGAAGCAAGTGCACAAATATTCATATTCTTGGTCTATGTACTGGGTGCTAACATCTCTAGTTTTAGATTCAAACCTAATGACCTCCGGGAGAGGTGAATCTTTCCCTTGATATTTTTTCACTAGCTTTTTTAAACTATCCAATTTGCAAGTCTCGTAAAATGGCAACTCTGGTGCGCCATAAGCGGACATATTTCGCATGTACGCAGGAAGATGCTCTTCCAAATGTTTTTTCACTCTTTTAGAACAGAAACATCTTTTGGGCAATATATAGTCTATGTAACTATCCCATTTTGGTTCACGTTCGTGGTCTAATTCCACACTTCTTGACTCTAATTTTTGGCCGCTGCCTCTAAACGGTATGAATTCATCTGAAACTTCTTTAGACAGGCCAGTTACTTTTTTGGGTGAACTCGCACAATAACAGGTTGGTATTTTACAAACGCAACATTCAATGTCAACTTGCCTCGGATTCGGAAATTCATTTTGTAATAACTGCATTAGAGAGCTCTGTAACTTCACTTGTTTAAGATCGACAGATTTTGTGGGTTTGATAGGAATATCGTATGTATAGTCATGATCATCAATAAAGTCTTCATCGATTCCGCGGCTGCCATCGAGAAATTGTTTTAGTTTTTCGGCAAACATTTCAAAATTGTCACAAGCTGAGTAGATGCATTTTTTATTTACAATAATTACCGGGAGTTGTGACGCGCTAGAAGTGCAGTGCTTTGGGCAAAGATTCTGTTCTATCTTTGGCTTAAAGCCCTTGTCGCAAAACAAATAAAAAGGGTGTGGCTTCGGAATAGGCGTATGAAAGGTATCTTCTTCTGGAACGAACATGCTCTGAACGCTCGGATTTTCAATAGCTTCACTCAATTGTAACAACATAAACTTCTCCATGTTGATAAAGAACTCGGCATATTCGGGCAAAGTATTCAAACAATACGTAACAAATTCTTGAAATCTTTTAACAACATGACAAATTTTCTTTTGCCACACCTGAATGAATTCGAGGCGCTGTTTTTCTTTCTCCTTTTCAAGCTTGATCTCAAAGTCTTGCATTTTGATTTTTTCCGATAAAACTTCCATTGCTTTTTCATGTTCGTGTTTCGATAGGTCCATATCTTTCTTGCACTCCTCTCGCTCCTTCAAAGCGACATAAACTTGGCATGCTAAATTTTGACATTCTAGCACAACCCTCAGTTTTTCAATAGCAACATGTTTTTCTAAGTTTATATCGTGCATTTGATTTCCCATTTCTGTTCTTGAATTTTCAACATCTAATATAAACTGTTCTTTTAGCTTAGTTTTTTCTTTGAGAAGTTTATCAGCGTATCTATCATATAACAAAGTCGCTTGTTGTTTGAGAAGCGTTTCGTAATGAGAAGTCATTTTATCAAAGGCTTCCTTTTTAACACGCTCGATTTCTTTCGTGGCTGCTTCGGAGAGTAAAGCCTCTATTTTGGTCATGGATGTCATGTATAAAGTGGTAAATTCCTGAAATGCCTGCTGAATCTTAATTGTATTTTGTTTGGACTCCTGCTTAGAAGTATCTTCCCATTGTTGCCGGCAACTAGCTTCTATAATCCGCTTCCAATTTACATCGTTTTCAAGGAGAGCTTTACGTTTTTCTTCTTCCATTTGTCTTTGGTGCTCTTCAACTATTTTCTCACCGAAAAAGTCAATACCATTGAAACCTAGTTTCGTTATAAATTGTCTCTTTATGGGTTTCAAGACTACCCTCCCATCCAGTAATTCTTTTGGAGGCACATACCAGTCGCTACCACCACCTTTCATAGGAGGTTCTAGTCCAGCGAGCACTTTCAGTTTAGGCGACATTGATTTAAAATAAACTTGAGCAAGAGATGTGGACATTCTCTCTTTCATAACGCTTTGAGTTGGAACGGTTTCAGATTCGACATAAAATTTTCTGAGATGGTAATTTTCGCTAAGTTCGGACATCTTTATTTTGTGTAAGAATGCTTTAAAAATCTTTGGTACTTCAGTAAAATGTTAATGACAGCTATTTTATTTTATTTTTTCATGTTTTGACAGAAAGGTAAGCTAATAAAATATTTAATTAATGTGATTGAAGATGATTAATTAATATTTATTATATATTTAATACTGTATTTTTATTTAATAATACTATAATATAGATTATATATTCGACTCACAATTTTATATGTATAGACATATACTAAAATTCTGAGTCGAATCTGTAGATTAAATATTTTTTAGAAAATCTTATTTAAATAGTCACTATTTTCGATACAGAGGTCGAATCTATAGATTTTAGATTTTTCTGTCTGTCTTGGAACACATCAAGAGAAAACCACTGGAGGGTGTTTGATGCAATTTGGTAAGCTAGTTATCCGGGTCAACATATAGGATACTTTTTACTGCGCAAAAAATGTCACATCTGAGAAATCTATACTAATTGTTAAAACATAACTAAGGACGGACCCGAGCGGAGCGAGGGCGAGTCGCTAGTTACAAGATAAATAAATAATGCTTTATTAAATCAAACTATAATGTTTTACAGATAATTAAAAATCAGTTAAAATAAGTTTGTGCTGTGTATCCATAGACAATGCGGTATTTGCATTTTATGAGTTGTTCACTCGGTGATACTAACCCTACTTGCTGTGCCAGCGGTCGCGGGTTCGAGTCCCGCTGGGGGCATTCATTTGTGTTATGAGCACGACTATGTGTACTCTAGTCACGGGTGTTTATATTTATAATATGTATGTATTTAAAGTTATATATGTGTAGTGTATCAACTATCTGGTATCCATAACACAGGCCTCGTAGCTTACCATGGAACTAGATGGTGCTGTGTGTTAATGTCCCAATATATTTATTATTATATTCATTATTATTTATTAGGAGAATTAAGTAAATAAAAAACCAGATTCGACTATAAAAATCTTTTTATTATTTAATAAAAATCACTGAGTCGGCCACACGCCGACGTCGCCTACACACGACCGACATTAGATAGATCATACAGCCCGGACCCAAGGGCCTCGCGGGACGATAATTAAACATAAGCGAATGCAACTAATTGAATTATAAAATAATACATTTAAATATTTGGAATAGAGACAGTCGAACTGCCGGTTCTATTGTCTAACGTTAAAGAAAAACGACTGTCGGTACGCAACCTCCAAACACCCAGTAAATTTTAAGAGTTAAGAGCTGTAACGAATTTGTATGGGATTATAGCACTCGTAATATAACACAGGTCGAGTAATGGCGAGCCAAATGATGCTATTTAAAGGAACTGCTGTTTATTATTAACATTTACCGCGTTGTCATTCGCAGCGTATCGAATGAAAAAGTCATAATACGAGCACTATAAAACCAAAATCACTAATTACAACTTAAAAAAAATGAGAAAACGACATACAACACGCGATTTGAGACAGAGACGAACGAAAACATAAACTTACTAAGCAACACCCAAATACCATCTCGAGCCTATCACTATAATAATATAATATTTAAAACTCACATTGTGTATATTTGTAAATATTCTAATAATCGCTACATAATCTTCCGTGTTATAAAATGCTTAGTAGGGTGTATGTTTTCGGTGGTTCGTTAGAGCTCAGTGAACCTCGATCAACAATACTACTAGATATCGGGTCGGCGTAAGAAATCCGTCTCGGTAAATATAAGCTCACTTGCAAAGTGAGCGTATATTTCGATTAGTTCTATTGAAACACTGTAAGCGTAAACACGTTCACAATGCCGCAATGTGTATTTAAAAGTTGCAAAAATAATGCGCGAAGAAATTTTTCAAACGGAATGTCTTATTTTCGTTGAATACATGTAGATTAAGGCAATATTTTAAGATTAAACCTACGAGATAATATAAAAATGAAATTTTGAACAATTTTAAATCCGCTAAGAACGTTGGCCCAGGTCGGCCAATACACGCGCAAATTCAAAGAAACAAATAGAAACAAAACAACGATTTAGCTAACAAAGCAAACACGGGAAAAGTGCTTATGTTTTTTTTCATATAAGGTTAATTTTACAATAAAGATTATAAAACTTACGAAATGATCGTAAGTGTATGATGATAATTCGAAGATTTGTGACTTTATTACAAGGTGCTATGGTGTTGATTAGCTTGAAAATAAAAGTATTATAAGACTTTGTCTTGGTTCATTAGTACACAAATGTAGCTGTATAAGTACATATTCGCGCGGACATAATTTAGCTTTGATATTGTATGTGACACGTTATCTAGTAGTATTGTTGATCGAAGTCAGTGAAGTAATGTCAGCTGTGGCTGTGGGCGGGGAGTGCACGCTCGCTTAGCTGTAGAGGTCGTCGTCACCGCCCTCCTCCTGGAAGGTGGGCTGGTCGCCGCCTGACGTGCCCGTGCCGCCCGACGCCGCGCCGCTCGTCGGGAATCTAGAATGTTAAAGTATACTATTGTAAAATACTTAGCTACTTACTAGGTACGTTTTAATTTTTTTTGAGCGGGACTCTTCTATTATAAAAGTTCTCCTTATAAAATCAGTGAAAGTCGTGTCAATATCAGTGCAGCCGATTCCGAGATTAGCCAAAACAGACAGACAAAAATTAAAAGAAAATGTACTTTTCTTATAGCTACCGTATATAATGCCATGTATATTAAATAAAAAGCTGTTATTTTGACATTAAAAAAGACACTTCAATTTTATTTATCTGTATAGATTATAGTCATACTTTCTTAGATCTACGCGAATATTTGACATTTTAAATAAAAATATCTTCCGTGACCATGAATTCATTCGAAATGTCAAAAGCAAAAACCGAAATATATCCGCAAAAAAATCCGAAAAGATACTTTTATTCAAAATAATAAATAATAGTTTAATTATTAAACCAACAGTAAGCCAAACCGACCTGAAGTTAGTGCCGAACCCGCGGCTCTGCTGCAGCGTCTGCGCGAACATCTCGTACTTGCGTATGTCGTTGTCGGAGACGGAGCGGCGCGCGAACTTCATAGCCTCCTCGAAGTGAGCGCGGCTGATCTCCGGCACCGGGTCCTCCTCGTCCATCTTGTTGAAAATCATTATTACAACATTATTATTCTAAATAATAATAATTACAATTTAAAATGACAAAATCACTACACTACTACTTCATTCTAAAATTATCATTAATAAAAACGAACACTCATCAAAAATGCAAGTCTTCTTAATTCCATTTTTTATTTAAATCTTTATAATGAATGTCAGATACGACAATATCTATATAAAAAAATATAACTTGTAGCTAAAAAAAACTACTACTACAATACTCCAATAACATTCTCAAATAATCTAAATACGATTATACATATTACTTCATTATTAAAAACTCATACTTAAAAATTTTTTCTATAACCCAGTATAAAGACATACAATACTTTTACATATATAATTTTCTAAATTTTAAATATAAAAAAATGGTATATAAATCCTCTCTCTAAAATATTATTCTAATATATCTATCTATATTATAAAACAACATACGTCCATGACGGCGGCGGCCGCCTGCTGCTGGCGCGCGCGCTCGCGGTGTATCTCCGCCTCGATGGCCTGGCGGATGGCGAGCTTGCACGCGCGCTGGCAGATCTCTGTCAGATCGGCGCCGCTAAAGCCTTGCGTCACCTGCACGTACACATTAAGTTACTTTATTTTTTCAATATAGCATAATAAAACTCACTATATGAATTTATGCAACCGAAAAATAATATTTAATCAATTACCTATACTAATATTATAATCTATCTCTGGGGGTAATCTCTGGATCTACTGGACCGATTTAGATGAAATTAGGTAAGAAGATAGTTTGAGACCCTGGGAAGGACATAGGATATTTTTTATCCCGGAAATCATCCCTTAAGGGAGTGAAAATGGGGATGAAAGTATAGTATTGGAAAGCCAGCTAGGGACGAACCCGAGGGTGAGTCGCTAGTATTGATATAAAACACGTGTTGCGTATATAGAAATACTAGAATAAATATCTTGAATTTAGACTCATCATATCACACTATACTAAAGGGAGATTGTATCGACTAATTTCATACTGAAGTCTAAATCTGTCGCATTGTAATACACTCATTATTATTTTCATAACGCGCCAAAAGAAGTATAACTTCAAAAATGTATTATAAATCTAGCATGGAATAGTTCAAAATATAACATGGAAAAATTAAGAAAAAAGACATATTCAGCTATTTTTAACGACCTACAGCTGGGCATGGGCCTTCCTTATTAGTGATGCAACGAATACGAATATTCGTATTCGCCGAATATCATCACGAATATTAAAAACAAAATATTTATTACTGAACGCAACCTAAATTACGTTTTGGCTGGCAACGTGCACCATTGAATGAAAGGAGTTATTGAGTTCTCAAGTTGTCAATTGTTACTTGTTTCATAATAAAAGAAATCGCCTAATGCGCGAGAAATTACAAATGTTGTTTTTTAAATAAAAAATTGCCAGAAATTTCAATTATTAAATATCTTAGTAAAATAGAATAGAGTGTATTATTTATTGCCTTGTTGAATTATTCATATTCGTATTTACCGAATAGTAGATTTAATATTCGTATTCGTTAAAGTAGTATTCGTTGCATCACTGTTCTTTATATGCGAGTGATCAGGCCACAGTCAGAAATCAATCTCATATGTTCTCCCTTTCAACTTAAAAGAAAATCAAACTCTTATAATAACAAACATACCTTAGCAATGTAAGACAGGTCGACATCCTTAGCGATGGGCGACTTGCGCAGATTGGCGCGGAGGATGGCCTCGCGGGATTTCTCGTCTGGCAGCGGGATATAGATGAGCTGGTCGAGGCGGCCCGGCCGCAGGATGGCGGGGTCGATAATGTCCGGTCTGTTCGTTGCACCTGGTTTGTTGGGTGAATTAATATTAGTTTTTGTATTATAGGTATTTTTTATGTGAGCTGGATTTAATAATTATTTTTATGGTGTGTAGGTGAATTGTAATTTTTATTGAGTATTTTATTTTAAATAAATATTAAAAAATTAAGAAACTACCACACTACAAATATAAATCATTAAAAAAAGGCTATTTTTTTTTAACAAATAATTGTAACTACTCATTAACAATTTTACAAATAGTTGTGTCCAAGTTCACATTTGTCCATTACATTGTAAATTTTACAAACAAAAATCAACTTAGCAAAAATCTTTATAAAAAAAAATTGTCTACGATATACTTGTGTCACATCATTTTTTAAATTTTCGCGTTCCAAAATTGTACAATTATGACGAGACTTTGTTGCTATAAATTCATGTAACGAGTTTCCTTATTACAATATAAAGAAATATAATTTAAGTCCTGTAGTGTCACTATTATACTCGTGTAAACATCACACAAAGCTAGTACAGGTAGAATAAGAACAAACAAACCAATAATAAAGACGTTCTTCTTAGCCCCCATGCCGTCCATCTCCGTGAGTATCTGGTTGATGACGCGGTCTGCGGCGCCGCCCGCGTCCGACACGGAGCCTCCGCGCGACTTCGCGATCGAGTCCAACTCGTCGAAGAAAAGCACGCAGGGGGACGCAGAGCGGGCCTGTATACGTTATTATATTATTAAATATTTTTATATAGGATTTGGCTTGTTATTTATAAACAGCATTGCCCGCGGCGCCGCCCGCGTACTCTTATATTGTAGTTTTCGTATTTTTTCAGAAATGAGAGATTTTCCCGCGATAAAAGTAACCTATATGTTGACCCAGATAACCAGCTCTCACCATACCTAATTTCATCAAAATGTCTGTAGTGGTTTTTCTGTGATGCGGTAACAGACAGACAGACAAAATATTCTAAAAACTATAGATTCGACCTCTGTATCGATAATAATGAAAAAATTCGGCTTAGTTACAATTTTATTATATGTATAGATATGTATTTACATACATTAGCAAAAACATTAGATTATTTCGATATATTAAATAAACAATTTTGACAGGTATTTGTTTTTTATAGGTACGCCATACCATATATTACAAAATATATTTATTATTGTAATTATGGAATAAGTCATTGATAGTTATTCTGTTATAAAAAAATATCTTAAGTATGAATTACGCATATCTTTATATTCATCATTGCCATTAAAAGTTTTAAGTTTTCTAAGATTTTATTACACATATTTGATTTACATCTTCTAATAGTATGTGAGGGCAAGACATATAACGCCACACGGTTATTCTTATTTAAAAATATTAAATAACCTAAAAAAAAATATTATAAAAGCGCACCTTGTCGAAGATATCTCGCACATTAGCCTCTGATTCACCAAACCACATTGTGAGCAGTTCTGGACCTTTCACCGAGATGAAGTTAGCCTGGCACTCGTTAGCAATTGCCTTCGCCAACAAAGTTTTACCTGTATAGTTATATACATTTATAACTGTTTACTATATAATACACAACCCAAGAAATTTTGAAATAAGACTTCCATGAGAATTGTTTCAATAAAATGAATTGACTAGAAAATATATTCAATACCTTCGATCATTTGTTTAAAAATTAAAAAAAACACAAACCTTTAATACAAAAAAAAGTATATTTAATATCTTGAGCTTTACTTTAAAAACGAACTTCAATAACAACCAAAATTAATAACATATTCCTTCATTCACTCACCGCACCCCGGAGGTCCATAGAACAGCACACCCCTAGACGGCTGCATACCAAACTTGAGGAACTTATCGGGATGCTCCACCGGGTACTGCACCAGCTCTTGCAGCTCGCGCTTCACGTTCTGTAGGCCTCCGATGTCGGTCCACGATACGTTGGGCACTTCCACTACCGTTTCGCGGAGAGCGGATGGCGATGATTTAGTCATAGCGTACTGTAATATAAAATGTTTTTAGTAACTTATTTTTTAAAGTATACATTACTAAAAGTGTATCGCTAATTTAATTTAAATGTTAAAAAACTTGCAGTAAATAAAAAACTAACAACAAAGCATTTATTACTCACACGGAAGTTATCCATAGACACAGCGAGCGAGTTGAGCACTTCCGCGTCAATCTGATCATCCTCCAAATCAATGAGGTCCATCTTCTCACGGATCTGTTGTAGCGCAGCCTCCGAGCACAGTGAAGCGAGATCAGCGCCAACATGACCGTGGGACTCAGCTGCAATCTGTGTTAAAAAAAAGGATTAATAAACAATATTTCTTTAAAATTTACTCAAATGTTGTATGTATAGAATTTTTTTTTCGGATTTTTGTGGATGTTTTAATGTTTCATTTTTGTTTTCTAAAACACAACATTAGCTAATACGGTTCATAATATAAATGCGAAATTTTGTATGTTTATTACTCATTCACACAGATATGACCAGACAGTTTTTGATAAAATTTAATACATAGATCACGACGTGACTTGACCTGACACATAGGCAGGTGAAAAAATATAAATGATAAAAAAATTAAGTAAACTACAGAAATTAAAGAAAAACTCGATGGTGTAAAGAAGTCGGTTAAAAAGATGAAAATATTGATGAAGGAACATAATAATATATTCAGCCTATAGTATACAGTGCAGTGTATTATAAACTAAAAATTGAGCATCTATCTTTTCCATGTAAACGAAAATGGCCAGGAGCCCTGGGCGTGTGCCCTTATGGTAAAGTCGGAACTGATTAGGCTACCGTTAGTTTTCTAGAAAGGACAACCAAGCAAAGCGAGAATTAGTCACTAGTGTCACATATTATGTTCTCAATCTATGCATACCTGTTCCAAATCCACATCATCACCGAGCTTCATATTCTTGGTGTGAATGCGCAGAATTTCCAAACGGCCAGTGGCATCTGGAATACCGATGTCTATCTCTCGGTCGAAGCGGCCGAAGCGACGGAGCGCCGCGTCGATGGAGTTGGGACGGTTAGTGGCCGCCATTACGATCACGTGGGATGATTTCTTCATGCCTGGTTTTGAGTTGTTATATAAAATAAAGAATTTATACAAATTAACATATAAAATCTTTTTGCAATAACAAAACTGATTATTAAAGTTGCCTAAGTAGCAATTGATGTGTATGTTTTTGTATTTTAAATAAAACTATACTGATTTTCTCGCGGATTTTTCATTTTTAGTTCTCGACATTAACGAAACGTCAGGAACCAAAAATCAAAGTAAACCCGTGAAAATATCCGAAACGATAATTTTATTTTAAATGTCAAATATTCGCGTCAATCTAAGAAAGTATTAATGTATATAAAGTGTTTTTATAATTTAAATTAATGTACTTGTTTATTAATCAAATTATTTTACAATTATTTAAATTATATAAATTGTTCTTGTTTTTTAATTTATTTATATATAATATGTATTATGTATGACAAAAAAAAACAATTTACATATTCACAATTTGCTATCACAAGCAAATTATAATCATTCACTAATAACAACACCAATAAATCCAACATACCATCCATAAGTGTAAGCAACTGCGACACAATACGACGTTCCACTTCACCGTGGGTCTTCTCACGTTTCGGTGCAATCGCGTCCAGCTCATCGATGAAGATGATAGCTGGCGAATTCTTGTCTGCTTCTTCAAAAGCTTTTCGCAGGTTCGATTCTGACTCGCCGGCAAGTTTCGACATGATCTCTGGACCGTTGATCAGGAAGAAGAATGCACCTGCATAATAATTTTTTTTTGGATATTTACAAACCGCTATGTTTGAAACGAGCGCACCCAATACTATTCTCTAATAATATCGTTTTAAAAATGCGTTGTTAAAATTAAAAACAAAATCAAATATAGAATATGATGAGCTCTATTGGACAAAACTCACAAATCGACTTTTATACATTTTTTATTAATCGAACTACTGTGGAAGCACCATTTTGTTAAGTTATTTTTAAGCAATGTAACATTGCCCTTATTTTTTTGTCAGACGTTTTTTCATGTTATCTTAAATTATTGGTGATTTTAATAAAATAAATAATAAACTATTTTTAACATAAAATTATTTTTTACAACTAATATTATAAATCACAGTCACCCAAGTGAAGTAAGAGATTTTTTTTAGCTTACCTAGTTTTATAACAATAACTATAAAAAACATCAGCAGTACCTGTTTCATTAGCTACAGCACGGGCTATAAGGGTCTTCCCTGTCCCCGGAGGCCCGTACATGAGGATACCACGTGGTGGCTTTACTCCGATCGCCTTGAATAGAGACGGGTGGCGCAACGGCAGCTCTACCATCTCCTTGATCTGAGCTAGCTGTTTGCGACAGCCTCCGATATCGTCGTAGCCCACTGCGTTTAGGGCTTCCTCCTCTTCCTATTAAAATATTGCTAGATTAATTATCTATATAAATAAAATTCCAGTGTCCTTGTGTTCATATGATATTTGATGATTTTTTTATACTATTATTTACAGGTTGCCATCCGAAACATGGATGGTTCGTAACTATAGTTGAACGCGATAGATGGCGCTGTTGTCGAGATCCAGTTTTTTAATGTTTCAATCAGAAAGTGATCTGTGGCAGGACATCTGCCTACCGGGCTACTAGTACACTAATGGAAATAGATATGAAAACATTGCCTACACACCTAAACTAAGAATTTTACCACACTTTATTTGTCAATTTTAAGAATGCTCATTCTGATGAAGAAATAATAATAAATACATTAAATACATACTTACAAAAAAAAATAGAATTTTATAAAGTTGATGAAAATTCCTTTGTGAAAAAAAAATATATAAGATAAATAGTTCTAATAATAGAATATAAAATAGCCGAAAAACTAAGATCATATAAAATATACTATTCTTATGTCATACCTAAATTATAAATTAAAAAAACCGAAATTTGAAATTTCTCACATAATACATTTGTTGCAATATTGCTTATCAGTTGTAAAAAAATTTATCAAGGCTATAGACATGGCTAGGGGGTGTCCATTAATCACGTGATCTTTTTTTAGCATTTTTTAACCCCCCCTCCCCCATTGGTGATACGTAGTGAGGTTTAAGACCACCCCCCCTCCCCCTTCTCAACATCACGTGTATTTTTAGTACCTACAACGAATCTTAAAATTTTCTGAATATTATCTTAATTTAAATACAGGTATAAACTATAATCTTATTTTATTCTGAAATTAAGGACCATAATAAAAATGTCTACACCAGGTTGCAAGTTTTTTTTTTATTGCCATAACAATAATAATAAACGAAGAGTGTAATCATAGGAAAAACATGTATTGTACTAGTACATGAATATATTTATATTGTCCTCGAACCACGGATTAGCAAGACATTCTTCAACACTAACAACTGGATAAGCGTCTTGCAGGTGTTTGAACGAAAAAATAAATACACGAGATATCTTACTACACCCCCCCTCCCCCTTGTGTTATTTTCGTGATTTTTATCAAACCCCTCCCCCCCCTTTCAAGCCTCACGTGATTAATGGACAACCCCCTATTTGTTTGATTCACCAACTGTGGGGACAATTTGTTAACTCTATGGATCCTATTTGCTTGTTATTATCTATTATCTATTTTAAATAATTAAATTGTGGATATCACATTAAAATGACCAGATATTTTTATTAAAAGTAAAGATATGCTATGTAGTATAAAAACAACTATTACATCAAAGAGGAAGATTTTGTTGGTTGTTAATATGGCGTATTATTTTACTGAGTCTATATATATATATATATATATATATATATATATATATATACTATATATATAAATCGATGTGTGTATGTATGTGTGTGATTTTGATGAAATTTTCAGGCAATCTTCAGACTAGCCCAGCAGGTGATCCTGTGAAGTTTGGTAGCGATCAGAAGTTTGAGCGCAGGCGAAGCCACGGGTACTGCTAGTATAACATTGAACTATTGCGTTAGAGTTTTAAGTGCTTGAAGCGCCATCTTAATACCATTGCATTAATTGTACATTCCATGACATCATTAACTTATGTGGAGGATTTTTCCAGATAGTATTTTTTTTTCTATTCTTGTTTAATATATATATTTATTTATTGCTTTCTTTTAATTGCAACATTCTTTCTGCCAAGTTTGACAGTTTTTTTATCATGGGGTATTTAATAACGCCCGCGCGAATTGCCGCATATTTTTATTTGTCAAAATTGCATCATATATTTGGGCCATTGCAAAGGAAAAAGGAATATCACCCACGTGTTGTCATGTGTCATTTAAATGGTCTTTAAATTAAAGGTCAGAGGGTATCTGACATGTAAATTTTCACCTAACTGCCTCTAAATGAGGAAGTGATTTACAAGTGTGTATGTGATTAGATAGATTATAATTTATAACATAAAAGGTATTATAGCACCACAGAAGTATATTTCTATGGTGTCAATTTGTCTTAGTTGGAGGGAAAAAGAGAACATTTAAAATATAATCTATCTACAAACCCCTAAAGAAGAAATGCAAGGTTTTTTTTCTTGTTATGATATAGGTATTAGTCATGTACCAACTTAGACTAATAAATAGCCAAAAGTCTCCAAAGATATGTACAGTAGTAGCACTAAACTACACTGTAGAACATTTATGCAGTGTTTTTTTGTTTTATCTATATTAATGTAATATTTATTTACTTGTTTGATATCTTTGTTTAAATTGTTAGTACTTACTTCACGTTTAATAGGCTCTCCCTCACAATGTATGACTGTGTCGGGCGCCACGATGCAGTACGGCGCGGGGTCGGTTTCAACCACTTTGAACTCTACAGCTCGCATTCCACCGCGGACCATGAACGTATCGTCACGGTGTATCGGCCTGTATGCTTCCATGAAGTATGGCTTGAGGTATACTTCGAACAGATTTCTGGCAAAAATAATGTCTTAAATTTTAAATTTGACAAATGTTGTCACTTAATAAAAACTATGAACTTTGGCTTGCAGCTTTTTATGTTTGAATTAATGAAATAATATCGTTAATAATGTCTTGCACAGATTAGTACCAGGATTCTAAAAATAACTTAATCTTATCAAACTCTTAACAAATTCAAATATTAATACATGTAAAACTTTAAATAAATATAAAGAATGTAAAACTGTGAAGAGATTGAAAAAATATTTTATGCCAACTTACCCAGTCAAACCTTCAACTGAATCATCAATGGGCAGAATATGAACCCGCTTTCCATATTTAACTGAGGGACAAGGTGCTATTGACACCACATCAGACAAACGTACACGTAGATTGTTCCTCACTACTCTGTTCATGCGAATTTTCTCATCTGGGCAGTTATCATCAGAGAGCACAATGCAAACAGTCTCTTTACGACGTTTTCCTTTAAGCAATACTGTATCTCCTCGGAATAGTTGTAGCTGCTCCATTTTAGCCTAAGAAAACAAAAAATGTGATAAAGACACAAAAACTAGCCATCCACTTAAAACATTTTGATATTTTAGTATAACTCTATTATAAATGACAAGGTAAATTGAAAAAAAAAATCTTTTTATACAGATTTTTTTACACCTGTATTAGAAAATTGAAAATTCTTAAGTTAATATGTTCTTAATATTAATTAGCTTTAAGCATCAAATTATGGAATGTGCATATTGCACAACTAAATATACCTATGACTATTCATAACAGCTGTGATTTTGAATTGTGCTACCAGCTAAATCAACAAATTCTCAATTAAATACTATTAAAGTGTCAATCCAGTTCCATGTACTAATTAAAAGTACCTGAAGTCTGAACTACAAATAAAATATGTAAATTTAAAACAATTTACAATTTATAGTGTTATTTTCACTCAATGTTGGATTTATTAGTTGTTTTATCATCAATATCAGAATTGGTATATTCAAAAGTTTTAAGGCAAAGTTTTAAACATGATACATATTTCTTAGAAAATAAAAAATTATTTAACTTTAAAAATTTCAAAATATGTATACCCAAATAATAAATTATTTTAATTACTATAATAATTTTACAGGATTGTCTGACTCAAAATAATGTTATACATATTTTTATGTATTAAAAATAAAATGCCAAGGGAGCATGACAACTTAACTGTCCACAAAATAGACACAATAGTAACAATCGAAATGTTCATCTAAGACTCATGGGACAGGGAAATGGTTAAAATATGTATGAAACAAGTGTTTTTAAATCTTTTTTATAGAGATAATTAGTTTTAATTGTATGTATATGTGTCAAAACCATAAACGGTTGATGATACATAAATCACAATAATTTAATTACTATCAGCAACACTAATTTTACTTCTATTGAATCTCAATAAATAATTTACTAATTCTTAATTATTTTAGTCAAAATAGTCCAAATGGTTTGGTTAAAAAAACCTAATCTGCTAAAAAAGACAAAGGACTGACCTGTGACAAGGCGACAACGGAGTTGTCGTCGCTAACGGCTTCTTCGACGATGAGACGGTTGGGCCTATCCTTGCGGCGCAAAATCGCGGTGGAAAGATCATCAGGGCTAAAAAAAACATATCATTAGCCCAAAATGCCCGGCTTAACATCAGCCTTCTATTATAATTAAGAAATTTAAAATTTTACTTTTTAGACTAAATGCACTTATTTCTTTAAAATTATAGAATAAATTACATTTTTAAACTGGAATAACATCAATATCATTATGTTATATTGTAATGTTAGACATGATGACAAGCCAATTTTCGAATATTGGTTTCCATGATATTGTATTTTTTAATGAAATTGCTTCTTAAAACATAGTTTTAGCATCTCACCTCTTATTATCTGCCATTTTAATCACTAATTTAGCTTAAAATTTGTAAATTTAACAATTATATGTAACGCCGATCGTATAAATCACTTGTTCACTACTTCATGAGCCCGCTGTGCGTGACGTTGCTGTATTTCATTTGTTCTATATCGATAATGAAAGTGTTGCCACTTGCCAGCTTTTGTTTAGTCTCTGGTTAAATCGATTTCATTTTGGGTTTTATTATTTATAATGTATAATGTATAAAGAAAACAAAACTTTAAAACGTTTTTATTTGTTATTATTATTTTATTATATTTTCATAAAGTAGAATGATTTTGAAAAATAATATAGAGAAAAATGGACATTACTAGAATTTATTGTGAATTTTACTTAGACGTATTGAAGTGAATCGATCTTTATTTGATTCTTTATATTTGATATGAAATATACATTACCGTATAAACAAAATACAAATATGTAATAATCAATAAATGTAACTTTTTTTTATATATATAATAATAAAAGATACCTAACCTAAAATATTTTACTTAATTTATTCAAACAATGCCATTGCTAAATTTTATACTGAGGGATTAACCGAAAAATATTTTAGTCAAACTAAGTATAAGTAGTAGATGTAGATTGTAGATATAAAATCTCAGAAATATCAAATACATTTTAGTGAATAATGAGACTTTTATATTTTTACTAGACACACTCGCTTCTTTATGGTGCAACTTTACAACAGTACAATTTTGTTCACAATTTCGTGGGTTTTAATTTTTTTACGCGGAACTCTGATTATTTTTCTAAAATATTAGTAGCCAAAGTACGCCCTATAACATCAACCATCTACCAGTGAAAGTTCCGTCAAAATCGGTTCAGCTGCTTCGGAGGGTAGCCGAAATAAATGCAGACAGACAGATATTTTTTTTGTTTTTGTACCGCATAAAATTTCATATGCATTTAATAAAAAGCTGTTATTTTGACATTACAAACAGACACTACGACTTTATTTATCTGTATAGATGAGACAAAATTTTATGAATCCAAAAATTATATTAATAAATCTATAAATAAATATTACAGTAAGTAATAAATAATAAAGAAGAATTTATTTTTTAGTAATTTATTAATAATCCGACACGTTTATATATGTTTATATATATATATATATATATATATATATATATATATATATATATATATATATAATATATATATATATATATATATATATATATATATATTATTATTATTAAGAAGTGATTATTCTTACCACAAACTATATAGAAATGCTATAATAATTCTTACGATCTACGGGACTACGGGAAGCTTTTCCGTAGCTGACTCGTCGTGGGTCGCTTAAATTTCGTTGAAGCTTTCAGATCCACGAGAAAATTTCCCCTACTTCTCAGAATTTTTACATTTACTTATAAATAAGTTAACAAAAACAAATTATGTGATAAAGTAAAATTGCAGGTTTTCATAACACTTAAAACAAGAAAAAAATGGTACCTTAATCTACAATAATTATAAAAACGATTAAATGAGATATAATGATTAATTTTAACAAAATACATGTAAGTAGTAAATTATAGTAAATGCTAGCTATTTAGGGTAAAGTATTTTTGTTTAATTTGTTTAAACTTTAAATTTGAAATTGAATTGCCAAATATGTCTAAATCTATTTTTTTATTATCTTATAAAATTTAACGTCTTCATTAACGCAAAAAACCCAAAACAATGATTTATAGATTTTGTGTCTGTTTATCTGTGCGTTTGTGCGCGCTAATCTCAGAAACAGCTTAACCGATTTTGGTACGGTTTTTACTATTGTATTGTGGTAATCGTCACTTAACATTTAGTATTTGTGTTATTTCAATCGGTTCATAAATAAAAAAGTTAGGTCAATTTAAAGAATCACCTAGGGACGAGCCCGAGCGAAGCGAGTCTTGAATTAAATAGAATGTGATTAAAAGAGTAAATGTGTGTAAATAACTTCATTAAAATAAGTTATTTGGCATAGTACGTTATAAAAATATTGAAGTACATACATATATGGTTAGTTGAAAGTTTATATGAATATCACTATTATATGTAATACTACGTGCTTGAATGGATTTGAAGTGATTATAAATAATATAGAAACATTTTTCCTCAAGAAAATCTCAAATATTCATCTCTTTCTTTATCGTAAAGAAATTCTTTAATAGCAAATTTTAGTTTTCTTTCTAAGTCTTTACGATCTCTTGCGCTCAATTTAAGGATGCTCCCTAAAATGACATTATTTATCAATTTCTCAGTGTCTTCGTCCATATAAAGTTTATCGTTAGTGCCATAATTCTGCAACTCATAAACATAGTCATCAAAAATTATATATTCTCTTAAAGTAAAAGCTGTGTTTATAGCGTCCAGAAATGCTATACGATGAGGTCGCTTTGTGTCCAACGCCTGCTTGTAGTATACTAATTCTTTTTTAATGTCTTCCGGGTACATTTGAGACATGTATTTGATGTGTTTGGCTAACCTTTGAGCGTATTTGTACTCCACATCGTATGTATGGTGACTTAATATTCGACAATACTTTGGTAGTTTTCGCTCTGGAAATGACGTAGTTAAAAGTTCTAATAAGCGTCGAAGAAAACTTTCGAAAATACCATCCGTTCTCAAACCACTTGTCTTTTTCATATTTGGTAGTACTATCATACGATCTGAGTTTTTTGAGTCAATTATTCCTGTTATGCTTACATTATGACATAACTTCATATTTATCGCTACAAAAAGTAAACATATACATATTCTTCCATCAAACATTTTAATATAATACTTACTAGGTTTACTTATTTCATGTGAATTACACGCGATAAATTGAACTTCAGTACACTATAGTTATTCTATCCAATTTCACGGTATGAATATCATAATCAAGTAAAAATAATTATATTTTATCATGTTTGTTTTGATAATACTTTCTTAGATTTACGCGAATGTTTGACATTATTACATAAAACTATCTTTTCGGATTATTTCGCGGATTTATTTTGATTTTTGGTTCCCGACGTTTCGAATGCTTTACAGCATCCATGGTCACGGGAGAGACTGACAGTCTCTCCCGTATAATCCCGTATAATAATCCGAAAAGATAGTTTTATGTAATAATGTTTGTTTTGACTCTTTTTTATTCCTTCCAAGGCAATAAAGCAAATAATTATTAAAATATCAACTATCTGGTATTCATAATACAAGCCACATAGCTTACTATGGAACTAGATGATGATGTGTGTAAATGTCCCAACAAATTTATTTATTTATTTATTTATTTTTGTTAACTAAATATAATATTTATTTTGTGGTTTTCCATATACTCTAGTATAGCTGTTATAAATTTAATTTGAATGTTATTTTTAATAAAATCTTCTTGTTTCTTTATAGTATAAAATATGAGTTTATCAAAAATCTCTCTAGTTTGACGCCAATACGTCGCTTAAGTCTACGACCATATTGCTTGAGACGTTGTATAAATCGAGTTTAGAGTTTTAAATAATTCCTTTTCCTTCGGAGTATCTTCAGATATAACAGTCTTAAAATTTGTGATATTTAATCTAATAAATTTGCTGTTGAAATTAGATATTTTACGTAAAAATTTAGCTAATCGTCTTATCGTCATTTTCATGAGATATCCAGTTCCCAAGCCTTTAAGAATTTTACTCAATATTCGCATATATCTTTGAATTCTGGATTTTGAGAAATGATCATCTAATAATATTTTACATATATTAACAATGAAATTATATAATGGACCACCCATCGGTGAAACAGGGGCTGTTGTCGATTTATATATATGTGGCTTGAGGTACTTACTTAGATCAATCAATTCGGTATCTTCAATATCATCTTTACTGTCTTGAATCACTTTGTTTTCTCTACTTTCACAAACAGAGTAATGAACAAAAGTTAAAAGGAGAAGTGGTGCGAGCATTGCTAAGGGGTTAATTAATTAAGTATTCTAGTATTTTAATTTAAAAAAATAATCACTAATATTAATTTTCTCTTCCAATTTTATTTCTTAAATTCCAACTTCCAAACAAGATTCGTGAGAATTTCATTATCTGAAAAGAAAAATAAGTATATCTTTTATTTACTATCGTCTAAATGAGACTATACATTCCTATTTTCACAATATCAGTTATATAGTTACCTGCCACACAATTAATGTGGCTAAAGCTGCTACAAGGTGTTGCCCGGTTAATATCAAAACACTACCAAAAAGCATGGCATCGAATGTCGCCAAAAGCCATTCTTCTCCCAACCTAAAAAAAGTTTTTTTTATCATTAACCAACTTCTAAGAATAGAGATTTGAAATATTACAAATACTACATACATATATTCTACACTAAACAACAAAAGCATACCATGTTACGGCAAAACAAGAAGGCGTTGTAATATCAGTATCATATAACAAAACACTGGTGTTGCCTCCTTCCCTTGTAATAAGTTCTACGTCCAGTAACTTCTCAATTAAAGTCCTTTCACTTGCCACCCAGTTTAGACCGTCGAGAGCCTATAACATAAATTTTGATTATTACGCTCCGTTTGTTACCCTTACACATGTTAACTGTCATGTTTTTGCTTTCCACCAATCCCCTGAACAAATTACTAGCCAGAATATGTATTTTATTGTCTAAAATATTGTAATGTACTTAGATACATTAGAAATTTAAATATTGTTCATAGAGCGAAATTTAGAATTAGGTTGTTTTTCAATCGCAAAAGTCTTAATAGTTATGAAAACTGTTCATTTCGAACGTATAGCAACAAACTAACAAACACTAAAACATTAATTAGTAACTTTTTATCTCTTACTCAATTTGAATTCCTTCATTTGATGGCCGATTTTAGTGAAACCTTCCCTGGTGCTTAGTTCCGATATAAGAATTACAGCGTATTTTGAAGGGTAAGGAAAAAATTGTTGAAGTTTAACCGATTTTATTGGGACTTTCACTGATAGATGGAGTATTCGATTGAGAATGACATAGGCTATTCGTATGTTCTAACTCGCGAGATGAACTGCGGCACAGAACCAGTAGTAATAAAAAAGCTTTATTTCAAAAACTTTTACGTCTTTTACATTTTGCCTTTACTACTTTTCGTAAATGTTTGACCTAAATTTACAAAAAGGTCGGACAACAACAAATAACTAAAGAAAAATCTCAGCAGGTAATTTCTTATTTACGAGAGATACCTATTTGTTAGAATTTTATAACAATACTAGCAGAACTCGCGACTTTGCTCGAGCTAAAACTACAAAAAAAAACCAAAAAGGTAGGTTTCTTACAAACTTTCATCCCCTATTTTACTCCCCTTTTGGGATGAATTTCGAAAAATTCTAAAATATTTATTTAATTGTATTGTATAGCATTAATACCAAGTTTCAAGTAATTCTTATCATAAATATTTTTTTGGGTCGTAATATAATGTGTTTTTCCGTGGGAATGAGATAATCTACCACGATAAAAAGTAGCCTATGTCACTATCCAGCCCTCCAACTATCGTCTCACAAAAAATCACACCAATCCGTCACACTGTTTTGACATGAGAGAAGGACAAACAAACAAATATACTTTCACATAATATTATTAAAGTATGGATAATACACTTACTCTTTCGAAAAATGCTCCCAAAAATTTAGATAAAAGATCTTGGTTTCTATCATAATCGCCGTAATTAACTGTAAGAAGTAAGTTAAAAAAAATATTAAAAGTCGTTTTAAAGATAGTGAAACTCATATTATTATGACTTTCCAGAAAATATTTAACGTACGTACCAGTATTTGCCAGTTTTCTGTACACCGTCCTAAAAACATTTACCTACCTGTTAATTAGTTATATAAAAACATTTGAAGTATACTTTAAATATTATTTTAATCTTAAGTAGGTACTTGAATATATACATATATATAATATAAAATAGATATTTATTAAAAAAAGATTATACCTTAATTGTGAGGAACATATAATTCGACAGGTTTGTAGTGGATTTGAATTCGCCCTGAAGCCCATTAAATCTTCATTTCTAAAAAAGCAAAAAATTGAATATTTAATATGTGCCAGCGAACTTTGAAGCTATCATATGGAGCTTATATTGTGATTTGCACTATGCCAAAGCTGAAACAATAATTAAGACTTTTGTGTGTCTCAGTGTCTGTCTGTTTGTATTTGCAAATTGTACTTAATAAAAAGAATAAGCCGATTTTAATAGACTTTTACTAGCAAATAAAAGAGCACTTGGCATGACTCGTTTGCTCATCTGTAACTGGTGTTGCTATAATATTTACTCTACTACGAGTATAACCTCTTTTTTTAAATAATTTTATGAAATCATAATTTAACAAGTAAATACTTATTCGTTTTTATAACTATGTTTTACATATTATAGGTTAATTCTCCATACAAATGTTCATCCCTATTTTCGTCCCCTTAAGGGATGATGAGGATAAGAACTATCCTATGTCATTCCCAGGGCCTCAAACTATATTCTTACCAAATTCCATCTAAATCGGTTCAATATTTTCGGAGCCTAGTCGGTACAAACAAACAAAAACTCTAATCTTTCCTCTTTATAAATATTGGTAGGGGAAAGGGGGGTACACTGGATCACTTTTTTTCAAATGTAGTTTACCTATATAAATAAAGTATAAATTACCAATATTTATATGTAGAGCAATGAGGTGTTAAGTTGGCTATATAAATCTAGTTCAACTTTAGTAATCATATTAATAGTTTTCTGAAAGCAAAGGTTTTTTTAAAAAGAGGGAAATTATTCATTGTACCCCATATATGGGGTACATTGGATCTCCGCATGGGGTACAGTGGATCTTATTGGGGCACAGTCAATCAACACATGAAATCATCATACTTTTACTGTTGGGTTACAGCGAATCAATCAATATTGTAGAAAAATTATATAAATAAAAATATTTATGAATTATGTGAACACTTTTAATCAACAATATTACAAAATTATCAATCTCTATTTATTTTCTATCAGTCGTAAGTACACATTAATTGTAGTGATATCTTATAAAACATGTATTTAGTATTTATATTAAGAAGTTTAAGGTATTATTTAAGGTTTAAAAATTAGTAACTGGATAACATAAATCTTGAGCGAAACAAAATCAAACATATACACAATAAAACTAATTTCAAAAATAAAAACATATCACGTTAATACGAAAAGAAATTGAAAAAATAAAATAATAATTAACGCAATCTTAAGCGAGAAAAATTGAGATTGAAATTATTTATAGACTTGCTGTTGTCGTTTAGTGCCACAAAATGTAGGCAGAGGTAATTTCATTATTATATATTCTAGGGGTACTGAAGCTATATTTGGAACATCAGGTAATCTGTACCCATTCTTTACTTTTGTTCTCCTTTCCTTTCCTGTGTAAAATACTTTCTTTTTATGTGCATCTAACTATACTAAACGCAGAATTTTTTCTTTTCATCCTCTTTGTACTTATTAGTCGTTTCTCTCTCTTAATTTGTACTACTCCTTTGTTTTTTTTATCTTCGTCACTAGAATCGAATTGCATAACTTTTTTACTAATATGTTTTGCTACTTTCACAAGCTTATTAATTTTATCTTGTTGACGTTGCTCGATATATTCTTTATTATTAATTCTTTTTCAAGTGAAAATCTTATTTACCCCATAATTGGGAGTTAAACGTAGCTTGCCAATGTGTGTGTTTATCTTTTCGCATAATATCTATGTAAGATTGCATATGGATTACTTTTCGAGTTTTGCAACTTTTCTAATTTTGTTGCCCCGTAAAACAAAGACAATGGCATTTTGTCTATTCAGTTATTCAGTAGTAAGACCAATTTGAGTCTTTCTCTTTCGGTGCCGTGCTATGTTGTTAATCTAAAACAAAATTTATTATTACATACTATAAATAAAATAGTCTAATCAACTCGAAATTTAGTGTGGAGTACAGTGGATCGCTAATCCATTGTACCCCACATGGAAATGGCCCACTGTTCCCCAAAGCACCACTAACAACTGAACAACAAATTCCTATAACTTACATAATCTATACGAATCAAACAGCTATTTATTTCTGAAGCTTATTAGATTATTGTTTAGGTAATTTAAAGTAAGTCATTCAATATTAAACATTTTCGTGAATAAAACACTCGAGTAATAGTAGTAAAAAAATAGATTTGATACTCACGGATAGCCAAATGGCGGTAACACATTCTGCAACAGCGAGAGCGTGATGGACACTGGCGGGGTAGAGGTTTAAGTACTAAAGCATGCGTTCCATTATTGTGGTACGTGTATAGAAAGCATAGGCAAAGAGAAGTAGCCACTGATTCACTGTGTACTACGGCTCACTGTACCCCCCTTTCCCCTATAGATAAGTACAATATTTTTAAAAATTTAATTACATATTATGTAGTGTTGATCAAAAATAGTACAAGCTATTTTTATCTCCCAGACTTAATCCCATGGGATTATTATGAATATTTTGGCAATATATATTATATATATTTATATTGAAGGCCAAAGTGAAGTAAGAATGAGTGGTTTCTAAAAAATTTAAATGATTGGTTCATTCACATACCGTCCATCCACATAATGAGCATAAAACTCTTCCTGAAACACTATTAGAGATAACTCTAAATCAGTACATAGTTTCAGCAATTTCTTGGAACTTGATCCAAATAACCTATCTAATAGAAATCGAAAACATAGAAGTGTTGTATAGGAGCTCCACCAGGTTACTGTCGCTATAACCCATTTATAGCCATAGCTTTTTGGTAGGTATGCATTCCACGTATTTAAAATCTGTAAAAGAAAAATAAAATACATTATAAAAATAACTAGCGACTCACTCTCGCTTCGCTCGGATTCGTACCTAGGTACGTTTTAACGGTTAGTATGAAATACAAATCTTTGAATTTCTCGGCTTTTCTTTACTATAATATGCATGTATTATATAGACCTGCCTCTTGAATCACTCTATCTATTGCTAAAAACTGCATTAAAATCCGTTGAGTTTTTTTAAAGATCGAAGCGAAAAGACAGCGGAAGCGACTTCATTTTATACAGTATACTATGTAAAGATTAACAGTAATATAAAATCGACCTGCGTAATCAATTTTATACTTTATTTTATACATTGCGTTTAATTGGTAACACACCAGTGTTTTTAAGATATATATATATATATATAATATTAGTGTGTTTTTAAGATATATATATATATATAATATTAGCGACCAACCCTCGCTCCGCTCGGGTTCGTCCCTAATTACGTTTTGACGTTTAGTACTGATTTCTCAAAGATGAGATATTTTCCCACAATAAATAGTGTAATATATCCTATCCCGGATAACCAGGTATCACCGTACCAAATTTTATCAAAATTTAAAATCCGTCCAGTGGTTTTTTCGTGATGCGTTCACAGACAGTCAGACAGATAGACAGACAGACAAAAATTCTAAAAACAATAGAATCGGCCTCTGTATTGATAATAATGACTATTTTAATAAGATTTTCCAAAAAATATTTAATGTATAGATTCTACTCAGAATTTTATTATATGTATAGATAACATATTATGTAGGCAGATGTTGATCGGTAATATTTTATGGTCAAAACAAAATCTCATACTGTCAATAGAAAGCTATATTCCTCTATATACATATACAATGAGCTATAATATGTATTTAACATGTATAGATCTACTGCACAATAAAGATTTAATTTTTACAAAAATTTTTTTATTAATACTTGTAAAATCAGAAGAGTACTCGTTGCAGTGAATCCCGGAGATACTCTTCGTCTTGTTTGCATTGACGTCCATTCGCGGACTAATATTCCTATTTTCCAATTATTTGACTTTTGTTGAACTGAAAAATCTATTTAAAATTAAAATAATTAAATTAATGTTATAGTAGGGGAGCCCAAGAGGGGATTTTCTGTAGTTATTCGAGCGCGGCAGATTAACATAAAAGAGGTTACCTTGCACTCTATTGAGTACTTTCACCATAATATAAGTCTTCTATATAAAGGGGCGCGTCTAGGGAAGCCGATTAAAATATTTAAAAAATGTTTTGATAAGGTAGAAATACTTGAAACCGTCAGATTAAGGTGTGGTAGGCTAGTCACATCCTGAAAAGTGTCCAATTCAATAATCTGCCGATTTGCACAAGCCGAAGAGGCAAAAATCGACTATAAAGTTTATGATGATTTTTGAAAATGAATTTTATGAAAAGTATTTTTACCTTATCAAAACATTTTTTAAATATTTTAATCGGCTTCCCTAGACGCGCCCCTTTATATAGAAGACTTATATTGTGGTGAAAGTACTCAATAGAGTGCAAGGTAACCTCTTTTATGTTAATCTGCCGCGCTCGAGTAACTACAGAAAATCCCCTCTTGGGCTCCCCTACTATTATTAATTCAATTCAATTTTTTTTAAATATTAATTTTAATTGCTTTAAGATATTAGGTAAATGTGTAAATAGCAAATAACAAGAATTCACAAAGATTTTACATTAGACTGGTTTTGTTTCTTGAGGCTCAAAACTGTTTTAAGTACTTCTAGTTACTATTGTAGTAGAACAACTGATAAAGTATTGTCACAGGATAACTAAGTGAATCAAAAATTTCTATGGCTAATTAGTGAAGTAATTTCGATGAAATTCAGTGGGTTATTGTTGAAATAATTTTGCGAGAATTAATGGATATCAAAAGTGATAATGACAAAAGTAGGTACGAGAGAGTATACATATTTGTATTACATTTTACAATGTGCAATGTACATATCACAATATATATATAATTCTTCTGTATTGTGTATGTTAACCTACTCCTCCTAAATGACTGGACTGGTTTAGTTGAAATTTTGTGTGTATATATGAATGGGTTCCTAGATGATTTGAAAATACAAATGGATCCAGTAGGTGGCGCTGCAGTCTATGTGTCACTAAATTTTCATAAAAGACTCCATTTTTTGAGCAATAAATAAATTTAAATTCTTGATTAAATTAAATAAAAATCGATGTGTTTTCTATAGATTCCAAAACAGCTGGAGCGATTTTGATGAAACATTCAGATTAGCCCAGCGGGTGATCCTGAGAATTTTGTATATATTTTTCGCCACTACTTCGAATGTGTTACATACGTACAAGTATTCAGTTAGTTTTAGTAATTTAAAAAAAGGCTATTACTGATAATGACTGACTTCTATAGATCTTTTAGTATAATTGGTACCTTATAATTTCTAATAAGTACCTATTGTTGGTGGATTATATTTGGACCAATCAATAAAAAATATATCGCAGCGACACTGGTTCCAAGTTACCCATAATATTTTTGAAGACTGAAAGTAATAATAATAAATATTATTAAAGGAAAAAATATTATTTCAACAATTAATTCTATGCTGATATTTTACTTTCCTATTTATATATTCCATTACCTTTAATGCAACAGCAGTATAGATTATCGACTGAATCACATGTTCCTCTATTTGTGAGAGCGGTAGAGTTAGTTCTAGCGTACCGGCCTCGGCGGCAAGCGCGTGGAGAGTTGAAATGATTGTCGCCTATGTTTAAAACAAGTCCAATAATAAAATTATTACTTAAACACATTTAAATAGGCTTCATTAAAAAATTATACATAAACTGTTTTAAAAATTTCAACACTTTATTGCCATATACGAGTGTGTATTGTCTATATATATAATAAAACTAACTAAGCTGAATCTGTACATTAAATATTTTTTTGAAAACCATATTGAAATAGACATTATTATCGAATCAGAGGCCGTATCTATAGTTTTTAGAATTTTTGTCTGTCTGTCTATGACTGGATTACGGAAAAACCACTGGATGGATTTTGATGAAATTTGGTATGATTATAGCTGGTTATCCGGGTCAACATATAGGCTATTTCTTACTGCGAGAAAATATCTTATCTCTGAGAAATCTATACTAAACATTAAAACGTAACTAGTATGTGTCTATAAATGTTTTAACGTAATAAACGCTTAACTTAGCTTATGTTATGATTTGTAAAATGTATTATTTTAATATTCTAATATTCTAAATAAGTAATACTTACACAATATAGAGCATCGGCGACACAATTCAAACTTATAGGAACCAGTGAGATGTAGAGACCTCCTCTTCTAACCACTCCACGCCATTGTATCAGAGCATATAATGCCATTAACGATCCTAGAAGTCCTCCCCATATCTATCGACACGGTAATTTTACTTTACCTCTATTATTATATTATTAGGCAAATAATTTAAGTAACATGTAATTATCTAGTTTTTTAAAAATTAATGATTGTATCAATTCGATTGCAACGACTTTAAAATCTTTATTTATTTACTTCAGAAAAAAATATCAAACACTAATTATATTAAATAACAATAAAAGATAATAAAACGATTATTTTAAAATAATAAGTATTTAAAAATAATTTACAATTCTTAAAAAAATACCTGAACACAATTATGTACTAACTTCAAAACTATGTAGTACTCCAGCACTCGGCATGTCATGTTCTACCTTTACATACGTTGTCATTACATCAGTAAGATGAGACTTTGCAGTATATCGCGCTTCGATGTCAAGATACAATCGCAGAGATGTACTTCGTTCCACCCTTTAAGAAAATAAAGTTAGATAATTAATGAAATAAAGGGTCTCGTTATAAAAAGTGAAGAAGCATTCTAATAATGTAGATCGGTACAGTATCTTGCGAATACCAATATTCCGAATTTGCGATATTAAGCGACGTTCCACGATGATCGTTGTTTACATTTTTTGATTGCATGTTTGAAAGAACCCAGCGATGTTTTATGAGGCATTACAGACTAAAACCCTCCCTTTTAAGACTTTCCCTCGTTTAAAGGGTGGTGCCCCACTGCTGGCCACGGGGCACCGGTCTCCGGAGGAGACCTGAATACGCTGAAGGAGGGCTGAATATGCAAAAATATTAATATCTATCATGTATGTATTAGGCAATATTAATTAAAATTATATTAATTAATTTAATTTAAATATTGTAACTCTCAAATACTTACCGCACTCGAAATAGTAGAGTTTGCAGGTAAACGATGTTTGTTGTATTTGTGGTTGTAGAAAGATAACTGGTAATTAGAAAGAATTTTCTAAACTTATTTGAAGACCATGCAGCTTTCTGAAATATTTTTAAAACATATAAAAAAACATATTGTGAGTCACAATTCTCCATTACCATTTATAAATATGATTAAAGTTCTACTGTAGATAATTGATTTTTTTTAATCTAGTAAAACTATTTTCACTAACATTCGTACAAATACTCTAAAGTTTTGTTTCAAATATATTTTTTATTACATATTAATAATTTATATTTATGGAATTACCTCCACATAATGATAATTTGGTTTAAGCAGTGTAATCGGAAGAGGCAGTAAGCTGTTCGACGGTGAATTTAGATACAACTCGAATATATCTCCATATTCACTTTTATAGTAGGATATATTTGTTGAACATTGTCGTCTAAAAGAAACATACAAGATTTAATATATTTGACATACCGGAAACGTCACATTTAAAGGAATTTAATCTATACATATAATAAAATTGTAACTAAGCCGAATCTGTAAATTAAATATTTTTTGGAAAATCTTATTAAAATTGATATTATTATCGACACAGATGCCAAATCTATAGTTTTTAGAATTTTTCTCTGTATGTCTGTCTGTCGATTACCGCATCACGGAAAAACCACTGGAGGGATTTTGATGAAATTTGGTATGATGATAGCTGGTTATCCGGGTCATTATATAGGATACATTTTATCGCGGGAAAATATCTCATTTTTGAGAAAAAACGTAAAAACTGCAATGTAAGAGTATACTAATCTGTAAAACCTAAGAATCTGGTTTTTGTCATGTAAGCGCGGGCGGAGCCGCGGGCAATGCTAGTTATTAATAATTATTAATTATAAAAAACAACAAATTCAATTAATGCAATACACTGTCTCCTAATTAGAGTAGCTGTCACAGTTATATATGAAACTGAACATTCACGTAAACACTTGCACGCCCATACAAACTGTACACATTTAATTAATTAAGTACACTTGCAAGGAAAATAAAATACCATCTATAAAATTAAAAATTGTAAAAATCCTCGACATTTTTACCGTACACGATATTTATCGTTCGTATCACAATGGTTTTCGTATACATCACAACCAGGTAAAGTTACAGCGTTGTTTCGGGTCTGAATTGCTCTCGATTATTTATAATTTGAGACTTATCCTCTTTTTTGAGCGGAACCCTAATTCTCTTTCTAAAATAAAAGTTACATATATTACTCGTCATAACATCAGCTATCTGTCAGCCGTTTCGGAGATTAGCCGGAACAAATAGACAAAAATTTTAAAAATTCTGTTGTTTTTTAAGAACCGTATATAATTTCATATGCATTTAGTAAAAAGCTGTTATTTTCATATTACAAACTGACACTTTAATTTGATTTATCTGTACAGATATAGGTATAGAAGAAGAGATAGACCGAAGTAGATAATATGTATGTACTGGGAATGGGAGGGAAATGAAAGAATATGTTGTACCAACCCCACAAAGAGTCTGATAAGCACAAGGAGAAGAAGACGGATACCATAATTTAAATAATATAATAACTCTATTACTCACAAAGTGTCATCTCCAATTTTAAAATTCAGTGCCGGAAGACCTTGATTATTGCTGGTGTCTTGAATAAGTTCGAATTTGCCAGTTTTCTTGTGTACACCCAAAGCTATTTTTAACATATCCTTATAAAATAAAATGGTTATTATAAACATGATAATAATAAAGCTAAAATATTTCATTTTATACTTATCTGTACTTACTTGGCCACGTTCTAAAAATATTTTATATTCGCTGATTTTAGATTCATCAATCGTGAGTAATGGGAGACCTAAACAATAAGATGGATTAAAATAATGATAATTTAGAATCATAACGTATTTAAAAAAATACTGTAACGCCACACCACATTATATAGCCGAGCCTTATGACGCCACGCCATAGCCAAGTGAAGCTAAGCCAAAGCCAACGCCAAAACTGTCTGCCGGTTGTGAGTGACGTCACATCCGACCGCCAAATAAAGAGGGTATAAATGCCCAAATTGTTAATTTCTCTGATTATTCTTGTGTAAGCATCGAAATAAGTAGAAACTCTGCCAAGTTGCATAGTATAGTGTCTTAGTCTAAGCCAGCCTTAAAAACGGGAAACTTTGAACTTTAACTTGGGCAACTGGGCTATTGAGATAAATAAATAAGTCAAGACATTAACACACAACACCATCTAGTTCCATGGTAAGCTACGAGACTTGTGTTATCGATACCAGATAGTTGATACACTACACATATATAACTTTAAATACATACATATTATAAATATAAACACCCATGACTGGAGTACAAGCATTCGTGCTTATCACACAATGAATGCCCCCAGCGGGACTCGAACCCGCGACCGCTGGCGCAGCAAGTAGGGTCACTACAAAGTGAGCCAAACGTTGTAGTGTTACTTAATAAACTAACAGTTTGCATAAATTGCGTAACGTGTTTGTTTTACCTCTGCGTTTTAATATAATTCATTCACCTTGGACATCTGTCATATTGCCCTGTAACCACAGTCTACAAGGGCCTGCAAGGTTTGAAGTATAAAAATTTCGAACACAGGCGCTAGATAGAGCTCGGCAAGCTCGAATATCATGTTGCTAAAAAAATTGAAGATATTAAGATATTAAAAAATAAGGTTTAAGGATAACTATAATGAAAATGTACTAAGCCATACTAAAAACAAAAGCCATACAAATGTAATATGAAATTTTGTCTTTGCCTATCATATTCTTCTGTAATAGATAAAATAAACTTTTGTATATTTAAAGAAGGTCAGGTCAGATGACTGAGGCTCTCGAGGAGCGTATAAAAAGAATGATGATAAAATATAAAGCAATATACGTACGCGAGATCTTAACGCTTCAAAGCACTCACCACAGGGATATATCTTGAAAATGTATATGTAATATGTATGCATTATAAATTCGAAAGTTTGTAAGTGTGTACGTTTGATATTCCTTCACGTTGAAATGGATTGATGATTTAAGTGCACAGTAAAACTATGAGCTGGAGTAACACATAGGCTACGATAACATTATTATACATAATAGTAACACATAGGCTAATAAAATTTACTAAATGTGGCATTGCTTGTATATAACTGCCTCGGTGGTGTAGTGGCTAGCATGTACGGCTGCACACCCGGAGGTCCTGGGTTCGAGTCCGGGACTCGAAGTCGGGCCAAGTTTAGTTATTGAGTGTTTCTGTATATTAAGCCTCAGTAACAGCCCGGAGTTAGGAAGTTGGAGGTGTTTCACCCCCGTGCCTCGGAGAGCACGTAAAGCCGTCGGTCCTGCGCCTTAACTCTCACTGGTCGTGTCGAGTGGTCGTCCCACCAGAGTATGAGAGTGACAGGAATAGAGAGTGCACTTGTGTCTGCGCGTACACTTGTGCACTATAATATCTCCTGCGCAGTTGGCTAGTCTCAATGAGATTGGCCGTCGTGGCCGGAATCGGTCAGGAGAACATCATCATCATCATATAAGTAAAAAAGGCACACGTATAAATGACTTGTATTCAGCTCTTTTTAACGTCCCACTGCTGGGCACGAGCCTCCCTTCAATACGAGGGGGATCAGGCCATAGTCCACCACGCTGGCCAAGTGCGGGTTGGCGGACTTCACATGTCTTTCGAAAACTTGCTAAGTTCTCTCAGACATGCAGGTTTCCTCACGATGTTTTCCTTCACCGTAAGGCAAGTGGTAATCATGTTAAAAATGATTCGCACATGAAAATATCAGAGGTGCGAGACCCGGGATTTGAACCCGCTTCACTCGGTTTCCCAAGCGAGAGCGTTACCACTGGGCTACCACTGCCTATAAATGACTTACTGGAGTAAAATAACTTACTGTACATAAATATTCCAATTTTACTATCTCTAACAATTCTTCGGGATGCAACTCATTCACAGCGTACTTAGGTCTGTCCAGTAAAAAATTTTTCGGAATACATTTCCCTTTAACGATTATTTCATTTTTATTACACGTACAAGCTTCACATTTAACACAAATATTGTTGAGTGCCTTGTAGCCACGAGTACATTTTATACACTGGACCTCTTTCATTGGTGAGCCGTCAAAATTTTGCGTTACTATAAATATTAAGAAATCAAAATTTAACGTAACTTGCTCTCTTAGGATTTGTAAAATAAATATATAAGTTTTTCTATTGATAAAATTTCAATTTCTCAGAGTATATAACGGTATTTCTCCGAGATTGCGTTCTTCATCTGATTTATCTGGCCAAAAATTTTTTTCATTTTTGGCTCTATTCAACATACTTTTATGATTAAAGACATGCCAAATAATATTTGGCTATTATAATATAATAAATCAGATGAAAAACGCAATCTCGGAGAAATACCCAATAGTACTTGCTATGTATAGAAATAAAATATTACCTGATATATAATCATTAGGACATTTCCTGCAAACAATCCTGCCGGCAGAACTCTGACATCTCCGAGATACGCACATAGTGCCATCAGTGGACACAACATCAGTAATGTTACAAGGTTTACATTGATCTATTCCAACGGCGATACTGTGATCATCACAAACGCACCCGAAACCTCAAAAGATACAGATTTATTGAGAAAAACGTAATGTTAAATTAAAGAAAATTACATGTGTCAATTAGCTGTTTTATCGAAGGATAAGTTGATTGATAAAGTATATAAAAGGATGGCATAGTCTACCTGAAAATAAAATCTTTTTGATGATTCTGAATAAAACTCACAACTAACTTTTATTAATGTTTTATGACACATCTATACTAATATTATAAAGAGGTAGTTTGTGAGTTTGTAAGTTTGTGACGTTGTAGGGGGTAGTCTCTGGATCTATTGAACCGATTTAGATGAAATTTGGTAAGAAAATAGTTTGAGTCCCTGAGAAGGACATAGGACTTTTTATCCCGGAAATCATCCCTTAAGGGGGTGAAAACGGGGATGAAAGTTTATATTGCCAAACAAGCTAGTATAAAATAAATTAGTATAGTCGCGAAATATGATATTAAAAAACTTGTGGGGGAAGCTAAGGTCTCAGATATTATTTAACTTACCATCCTCAGATGTAACTAAAGATGCATTGTTCCGGCACGGCATGCAGTCCAGTAAACTTGGCTCATAGTAGTGACCGGCGTCACAGCTTCCAGGCAATTTAAAACCATTTACAAAACAAAGCAATAAGAAAATTAATAACATTTCCTTTAATAAAAAAGCCATAAGAATTTTCCTAGCCTCTAACCAAATAATAAAAATTTAAGAACACTTAGAGAAAGTAATAACACATCTGTAAGATTAGAGTGGCTAATAATAATTTGAAGATAAATTTGAGTTTTATTATAAAATAATTTTATTAAAAAGCCACAATTTGATGATTTAGATTTTAATTCATTAGAGACAAGAAAGGGAATTCACAAGAAGTTAATAGCAAGTGAAGCACTGTGCGACGCGATATCATTTGTTTACGTAATTCTATTGGGGTTGCCTAGTGACGCAAGTATAGAGGGATAAGACAACCGGATTTTAATATGCTTATGTTTTTAGTACAATATAAACAATCACAGAATAGTTATTTACATTAATTTAAACATAATGCGAAGCAGTAGTTTCTTAACCCTTAAGAAACTTTTTATTATAAAATTTAATCCAAAACTTATTGCTACGATTTGTAAGCATTTTTATATTTCTTTAATGTTTACTCACAGAATTATAATAATAATATGTCTATTGTAATTATATTTTAATAATAGAATTTACATAACGAAAGTGCTTCAGAACATATGAGTAAAATGAAAGTATGGCGTATTGTAAATATTATAATTTGTAAATGTTTATCTATGTAGGTACAAATACTAAGTAGTAAAAAAGCAAAATCTGTACGTAAAATATTTTTATAAAAACAAGAACTGTTGCATATTGTGTACAGAATATAGACGCCCAAAACAATAGTTGTTGAAATGTTTGTCTGTATATATGTTTGTTTTTCACGCAAAAAGTACTAAATGAATTTCAATTAAATTTTGTGTAGTGATAATTTATAACTCAAGTCAACATTTAGAATACCTTTTACTTAAGGTGAAGCTGTCATTCCCAGGAGAAAACACAATAACTACTCGGCCGAGTTTCCTCAAATATAGACACAAAATATTTACTAATTAATAATTATATACACAAACCTTCCTCTCATACTGTTTTTGTATGAAACATGTCTTTCGTTGGCTAAGCCTTAAGATACAACAAAACAAAGTACTAGAAAATTTTAGGACTTAAAAAGCCTACAAAGAGTCCACCACACAACAGCATGTGTGTATCTCCTAAGATACATTCACAATGATTATTTTTATCTATTTAAAACGTACCTAAGGAGTAGAGATACACCCGAGCCTATATAAAAATTGATTTCTCGGACTAGCAAATAATTTGTTTAATCCCTCCCCGACCGCAGACACGCCGGCGTTACATTTAACAATAGATTTCTTAGAAAAATAATTAATTTCTTAGAAATATATCTAGAAATATTTAAGCTCTGATATGTGCAACTTATTTGCCAATTAATACTTTTAGCGAAAATTTAATAAAGTGATTTGTTTACCGCATTGTCTTATGTTATTTATATAGTAATGTGATGTGTGCATTTATGTAGGTTTCGAAACAATACTTGATTGATAGCTTTTGCAAATGGAACAAACGTTTTATAATGCACTTAAATTGAACCATTTAAAATCTGAACGCAGTTACAGTTAAAGCTTTTATGTATTAACATGGTCAATTTAGCTGCCATTATTTATATTCTTATTTTTACAAATTCAGTTTTTGCAAATTTAAAAATTAAATATAATCGACATTTAAAACACGACCATATTATTAATAGTGCGATCGAAATAGCGAATAGTTATTTCAATTCTAGAACACCAACTGTGGTTGTTTCTAAGGACGTCGAAGATGATATTGTCAACAAATTTATTCAGTCATACCAGGGCATCATTATTTTAGACCATACGATAAGAGCACCTAAGCAAGTAGTCATCTTAATAGAATCTTATTACTCTTTAATAAGAAGTCTTGGAAAGTTAAAGCCAGATCTAAAAGGCAAAACTTTGCTTCACAGCGAAGCACGTTTTTTAATAGTAGTCTTCTCGTACCCACACAGGCTTCAACGAATAAATAGTATTTTATGGAGCTATTATACGACAAATGTGGTAATCATTGTTGTTAATGAAGATAAGAAAATTGCTTTATATACTTACTTTCCATATAAAAACCATTTGGATTGTCAAAGTGTGGAACCTACCCTCATCGGTTTTTGGGATGACGGCGCGATACTTGAAAAAGATTTATTTCCAGATAAAATGAGTAATTTGAAAGGTTGCCCTCTTTATATATCAACAAATAAAGTGTATCACCCAGCTACAGAACAAAAGATTCCTTTGGAAATAATTAAAAGGGCAATCATAAGATATCTTAGGGATGTAATGAATTTTACGCCTATAATATCGAGTAGAGATTATTTAAGCATTGACTCGGATGGAGCTAAGAATTGGTCCGAAACTCTAGATGATATATTGACAGGTACTGCAAATATTTCAACCTGCAGTATTTCCCCAGGAATGGATAGAATTGGTATTCTAGACTATTCGATACCCTATTTCAGAATAAGTATAGCGTGGCTTGGCCCACCTCTAAAACCTGGTCCGATATGGTGGCGACTTCTAACACCTTTAAATGGCTACTTGTGGCTAATCCTTTTACTTGTCGTTACTATTGTTAATTTTATACCGTTCACAATGAAAATAGACAGGGTAAGAAAATTTTGTCATAAAAATTTTAAAAATTCAAATAAATTGCATGGTATTGCTATAAGGATTTGGGCTGTAATGATGGGCCAACCCATTAGAGTCTCACCGAAACGATTTAGAGATTTCTATATTTTAGGCCTTTGGATATGGTTTACGTTCGTAGTCAGAAGTGCTTATCAAAGTGTGCTGATTAGTGCCTTGAAATCAGACACCACGGTAGGCAATTTTTTTGATCTAAAAGAAGCTGTCGACAACGGATATAAATTTGGAGGAAGAGCGGGAGTTTTGTCACATTTTGAACATGATCCTTTTATTCGTGATGGTTACGAAGTAATACAAGAGGTCGGGTTTGAAAAAGCTTTTCAAGAAGTATTAGAAGGCAAGAAAAAATTTTTCTTCGCCATTTCTCTGGAATATGTATGGGCTTACTGCATGTCCCAAGGGATAAATGAGAATGAATGTGGCCACACACTTCCAGACTCTATCATGACGGTTCCGTTAGTAATATGGATGCCTAAAAACTCTCCCTTTAAAAATCCGTTATCTATTTGGCTCATACGATTCTTAGAAAGTGGCTTATTGGAGAAAGATACAATGAAAATGTCAACTGCATCCATTCTGAAATCAACTGAACCGACCGCGCTCAGAAATAAACAAGTCTTTAGTAGTATTCTATGCCTTTTAATAGGTTATCTTATTTCTTTCGTAGTGTTAATATTAGAAATAATAAGATTTAAAACTAAAAATACTTATATCAGAAAAATATATAGAAATAAAATAAAATTTTCAGGATAGCTAAATATGGCATCTAATTTAAATTTTAAAAAAAATATATAAAATAAATCGTAAAAATAGTGTTTATAAAAACTAAATAATATTTAATCCCTCCACGACCGCGAACACGCCGGCGTTACAGTTAACAATAGATTTATTAGATATTTAATTAATTTCTTAGAAATTTACCTGGAGGTGATAAATAAAAAAAAAATTAGTAGACTGCTATTTTAAAGGTACTGATTTCGTAGCATACCATTTTTTCATTAGAAAGTTTGTGTGTCAGTTATTTTTTCAATCTGTAAAAGCTCAACGGATTTAAGCGAAATTCGAAATGAAGTATCTTACAATCTGTAGATTAACATATAAGCATTTTTTTTTGTGAGCTTCATTGCTTCCTATTATTGTTATTGGCTTTTTGGGTCCATTTTCTTGACGTAAAAATATTTTAAAAAAATATCTTATATAAATTAAGAAGTTAGTTTTAAGTGCTTATTGCTTACATTTAATATTTAAATAAAAAAACCTTTTTGTGAGAATAAATATTTTATTAACATTCAATACATTTATGTAAATAAACTTTGACTAGATAAAGAAACTATATTTGACGCAAATAAAATCACAGGACATAAATACATTCATACATTTACTCAATATTTCTTACAAGGATATTTTAATGACAATTAGAAAGAAACTAATGAAATGTATCTTATGCAAAATTACACATTGTATATAGATAGAAGCTTTATACAAAATCAAGTACTTGTAGCTATACGTTATTTACTATATAACATACTTAACTCAAATTATCGAAGAATTCGAAGTGTTTGACTTAAAACAACTAAATAATTTGTTTTTATATTATATATGATGCTCTTGCGTAGTCCTAAAATATCTCCGTCGAAGTCAGATTAACTTTGAAATAAAGGGCTTTTGCCCGATTTCACCAACATCCCATAAGCTACCACCTACGTATGGGATCCCTAGCTTAAAAGTTCCCCTAAACTAGCCTCTAAATTAAATTTCGTTTTACCATCGTCAGAGCCCGTATTTCTAATACCTATATTTAGGTGGCATTTTAACATTTAGGTGACCCCTAACTGTCGGTGAAACAGAAACTGTCCCCTAACAGCCCCCTACCCATGCTTAGGGGATCCCTTAAAGTTAGGTGACGTAGGTGAAATCGGCCATTTATCTATTACTTATTTTTCTAATGATATTACAAAAATAGTAAAGACATTACAACAATATGGTATAATACATACAAAAATAGGTATTTCCCTACATTTATAATCTCGCGACTACTATAGATAATATCTAAATTTGACTTTTTTTAAGGTTTTAAAATTCATAAAAGATTTTCCTACTTAAGTACTAAAAAGATGAATGCAATATTTTTTTTATATTTTTAATTAAATGAATACCGAAAAACATATCTATCTATACATATAATAAAATTCTGAGTCGTATCTACACATTAAATATTTTTTGGAAAATCTTATTGAAATAGTCTTTATTATACAGAGGCTGAATCTATAGTTCTTAGAATTTTTGTCTGTTTGTGATGGCATCACGAGAAAACCTCTGGACAGATTTTGATGAAATATGGTGTGATTATAGCTGGTTATCCGGATCAACATAAAGGGTACTTTTTACTGTGGGATAAATATCTCATCTCTGAGAAATCTATATCACCGTTAAAACGTTGCGTAAAAGGGTGAGTCGCTAGTTATATAATATATTTTCCTCTCTGACACCATTATTAAAAAAAATTGAAGATGCAAAAGCTATTTTTCTTCGTTAGTTCTAATAAGCCATGTTCATAATTTTCTTGATCTTTTCCCTCGCCAATGTAGCCGAGATATTAAGCCAAAGGCGCTTCTCACTTCGAAGCAGAAAAATAAAAACTTTAAAGGTCTGTATTATCCCTAACAGGGCTTAAGCATTTTCTTATTATTTGCTGTCGGAATATTAAATATATAAAAGTAATGCAAACAAAGCTTACAGAGCTATAAAGAAAACGCTTTAAGGAATGGGACGGCTAAATTTGAATCCCAGAGGAGACTGAATAAAACGTTAGGAAATTATAAAGGGAACATTCGAGCCGATATGTTAGTAAAATATCATATAAAAGATTGCGTACAATGTTTATCGTATTAATTCATTAGATATATAATACCGCAGACTAAAACTAGATCATATAAGAATTACTTAGATAATATACATAATATATGCCTTAAATATTTTTTTTATTAATAAGTACTCATATTTTAATTGTATAATTATTTAATATATTCTAGTATTAAATATATAATAGTTATATATAGAAATGTTGATGTACCAAAGTAATATTCACAGAAACCTCTTTCATTTACTGTTTTAATAAATATGACCCACGGCCTTTCTTTTCTAAGGAACTAATTGGTATCATTCCTGTTAGTTGAATGAAAAATGCAAATTTTATCGTTGTATCTAACTAGCTCTCTTATTTTAAACAACGAGCTATGTTGTTAGGTTTTAATTAACACGCCTTTAAAGCATAGAATAACATGGTATAGGGTTGACAACGAGTTTATATCTACGTATCAATGTTTTTTGAAGTAAATATTTCTTGAATTACCTACAAAAATATAATAATTTCTACTCGTGTCTATAGTAGCGGCTTCTGCTTTTAAAAAGAAAATTACTAAAATATTAATTTATATAATTATATTTAAACTTACAAATACTTAATTTACAATAATATAAATAAGTAGGTAATTAAGTCAGAAATTAAAATGAACGTTTTACAACTAACAGCCTCACTTCCCGTTCCAACTAATAAACCAGCCTGTTTAAACATAGTATACTTGGTGTATATTTTGAATCAGGTCATTTAAGGTCAGCGGAAAATTCCATTTATGTCAAAGGTGTTCTTTCTATATTTTGAAAGGTATACTTCTTTTGACACGTTTGGAAAAAAATATATGAGGAAATTTATACGATACGCGCGCACACCGACAGCCAAAAAGCGACATGATGAAGTTAGCTGTATTCCTTTTACAAACAGAGAGTTGTGACATACGGGATGAAATCTTTAGCTATTTTTGTTCTGTTACGCCAAAGAAGTATAACTTCTTACGTGCGTACATACATAAGTACACATACACGTTTTTTTTAAATATTTATATGCAGAAATAGATGTGACCTTAGCTAGATTCTGTTTAGTGTTAAAAAGGCCAGATAAATATAGAAATAAATTCATATCATTACACTACATACTATAAAATATAATAGGTTATGATATGAGTTTATTCGAATTAATTTGAATTAAAGTTGAGAACTAGAAGAAACTACTATACGGATTCTCATATCTAAACAGATAAATAAAATTGAAGTGTCTGTTTTTAATGTCAAGGTTACAGTTTTTTATTAAATGCGTATGAAATTATATTACGGTACATATAAGAGAAAAACACAATTTAAAAAAAAATGCCTATTTGTTCCGGCTAATCTCCGAAACGGCTGGACTGATTTTGATGATACTTTCACTGGCAGATAGCCGATGTTATAAGGGTAAGGGGTGTAACCCTAACACCCCTTGTGTTAGTTAACTCAAAAAAATGAAGAAGTATCTATGGACGCACCCGAGCGAAAGGAAAGCCGCTAGTATAAAAAAGAGGGATTATCTAGGAAGTATGCTAAACCTTATAATTTTTTCAAAAATAATTAGCACTGGTATTATGATAATAAATCAAGTCGGAAAACATGTTTATCTAAAGTGGCACTCGAGTAGAGTGAGCAACTAATTTGTTTTTTTTTTTATTTATTTGTTTTTTTTAATTCAAGCTGTCAGCGTCGGTGGATCCACTACCAAATAGGGTGTATGTAAGATAGCAGGTTGAGGTAAAGCTGGAAACAGTATAGGATATTGTGGGGGAGGCTGGGGCTCTTGGGTGACGAGCCTCGCTTCAGGTTCGGAACAATGCAATAACCAGTGCGTGAGCATTCGACCGCGCCCTTTTAGTTCCACCTCCCCACGTCTCTCCACTACAAAAGTACCCCATTGTTCAAGTAATATTCTTGTGTTTTCGCTTAGATGAATCCTTAATGCTGCAATTAATAGTATTTGTTTAATATTTTTATGAAATATAAAACAAGTCATCTTTATAATTCTCAATAATCAACGTATAATAATTTTTATTTTATTTTTATTAAGTTTATTCGATTATTGTAAAATGAAATGATAAAAAAATATTAATATCCAAAAATATTTTTTTTTTATCTCCTATATACGTACGCTGTCCAGTAGACTCCATCCTGCTAGCGGTGTTGACAGTATCTCCAAAGAGACAATAATGGGGCATTTTAACCCCCACGACGCCCGCACACACCGGCCCCGAGTGAACACCCACACGCACCTAATAATAATTTTATATACAAATAACTTCCATCTGACTGTAAGATTCTGAATGCGTATTTACAATATCTATAACCACTATTCACAACTATCTTAAGGGTAGTAGGTAAACACCGTCATAGATGTTCTATACAAATTAACTAAAACGAACATTAACGAAGGGTTGGAAGTTGGAAGAAAATCCGTTTTTTTTTAAGTGACCAAAATAGTAATACCTAAATAATATATAGTTTTAAGTACAACCTCTGTAATGAAAAATATTAATTATGATATATATAATGAAATGAAGCAATTAATAAAACATAGATAAGCAACACGAGCGGAGCCGCGGAGAAGGTATATATCTTTAAGCGCGAATTTTAAATGAAATTATCTTTTCGGATTTATTTTATATTTTTGTTCCCGTCGTTTCGAATACTTTACAGCAAATATACTCACGGGAGAGACTCTAGTCTAAAATATAGTTTTTTTTACATATTATATATAGGTACATGAAAACGAAAACATATTAGATAGATAACCTCCAGCCTGTGAGCGGGGCGGTGCCGGACGACGAACCCGCGCACGGCGTCCACCACGGCCAGCGCCATCAGGCAGATCTCGCGCGCGTGCAGGTCGCCGTTGCGCTGCGGCAGCCCCGACACTACCATGTACGCGTCTCCGATCGTCTCTACCTGCTCACCGACATTTTTATATCATATTTATGTTCATAAAAAAGTATATTTTTATTTTTGTAAATTACAAAAAATGAATAAATTTATTAAAATTAATAATTAATTACTTTTTTTCGTAAAAATGTTATTGGCATTGATTTTTTTTAATCTGTTTAACTAATATCAACTATAATTAATAAAGGATTATTAATTATTATACATATAGTATAATAAATAAACTGAAGGGACAGTCGGATATCTGTTACTCTTTATACACTCTCCTCTCATCTCTGAGAAATCTATACTAAACATTAAAACGTAACTAGGGACGTACCCGAGCGGAGCGAGGGTGAGTTGCTAGTGATAAAAATATACTTGCTTTGAAAAAAATTATGAATCATAGAAACAATTTTTTTTTAGTAAAACTGATGGTACAATATTATATAAACCTTACCTTATACACGTCGTAATATCCGATAATCCTATCAAACGTGCTGTACAAGTCATTGAGGAGGTCCACGACCTGCATCGGCGTGGAGGCGGCGCACAGCTCCGTGAAGCCCACGATGTCGCTGAAGTAGACCGTGACGCATTCGAAACTCTCCGGCTGGACCACTTCACCCGCCATCAGTTGTTGGGCCACGGGGCTATGTTATATGAATATAGCATGAACGAATTAGAGACTAATTCGTTCATGGAATATAGATATTATTTATCAAACTATGTACTATTATAAATGTGAAAGTTTGTTTGTATGTAGGTATACTCCTCAGACTAAGGAATAATATAAAACCAAATTTTCCTTTTTTTTTAAAGAAAGTAAACTATGTAGAAAAAATCGAGAATAGTAGCATAAACAGCAAATCACGATTCTATTTTTGACTTTGACTTTATTTTTGCGGACCCAAGGCTCGTGGCACTTGAGACACAATCGACCGAGACGAGAACAAATCGCTAGTATTATTATAGATTTGAATGTTTGTTAGGATATTTGAATGTTTGGTAGAAGGGGTAGGATGAATGTTAATCAATTATGTATTTAGTATTTTAATGGCTTTGAATGAAACTTGGCATTCAGACCCTATCCTGCACTAAAGCGCACTTTACATAATACATATAATAATAAATCATCCCAGTGTTTTGTTTGGTTGTATTAAAAAAGTTCAACTTAAATTTATTCACCACGAATGTTGAAAGAAAATAAAAAAAAACGCTCTTACGGTGAAAAAGCCGCGGCCAAAAACCAGTTGAAATATAAATTTTACTGCTGCCTATATAATGATAACTATACACATATAAATTTAATTATAAACTTTTACTACTAAACGAATATACAAAATATTACAAATTACTTCATTAAAAGTTGGACATGGAAAATTACGTAATTACTAATCTGTGTCTAAAACATTTTTACTAACATTAGATTATTTATATAAAATAAATTACTATAATATGATGCGTAGAATATAATATATTAAGACATCAGTTAAAATTTAATTTTATAACTTATAGCTCACCGTGGAAGTACTTGGTAAAGCAGTTCCTCCGATCGTTTCTTTTCCAAAGACAGCTGTTCGGTCTTCTCTTCTACGAGGGACTCGAGATTGTTAGCATATTGCTCCATGCGACGTAAAAGATCATCCATCAAGTTGTCACAATATCCTCTAATAAAAATAATTATTAATTAAAATACCCTTGTTGTACAAAAAGTAATTTATTATCATATTTCTTTGCCATAAAATTTTATATTATTTAGCTCCAATTCTCTAACTTCGAGATTATTTAAAAGGTAAATAAATAGAAATAAATATTTATCAATCCAAACAGTTTACTCCATACGAGAACGGAATTTTTAACTTTCGATGGCCCCAGACGTCAGTTAGGTACAATTACACTAAAGAAGGCATCCAAGTGAAGCGAGAGTAAATCGTTTGTTATAATAATTTTCAATAACACAAACTTGATATAATTAGCATTAATAGCGTCGAAGGAGGGCCGGTCGTCGGGCGCGTCGAGCCAGCAGCGCGCCGCCAGCTCCAGCAGCTCGGCCGCGGCGCCGCCCGCGCTGCCCACCTCGCGCAGCGCCACCACGGGCCGGAACGCGGGCGCCTCGTGCGCGCACACGCGGGACACTATCTCTGATGTGTATATTGTAGTATGTTAGATTCTTATTGTTTGAATATTTTTTCTATAGATTTACACGAATGTTTGACATTTTTAATAAAACTATCTTTTCGAGTTTTTTCGCGGATTTATTTTCATTTTTGGTATATCGGTTTGGTTGGGAGACCCAAAAATCAAAATAAATCCGCGAATAATCCGAAAAAATAGTTTTATATAAAATGTTTTTTTTATTAATTTAAATTTTATACAAAATGATATTTTTACTTCGGATTTATACTAGAATTACATAAAATTTGCTGAAAAATGTAAGATACACGATGTAAATAGTATTTAGGCTATTGTTTTTTACATCTGTTGTGTGTTGGTGGTAAGTAATTTTGATTCCTAATATTTACCGTGAATATTTTATTATTTATTATTTATTTATGTATTAATTTATTTTATAATAAGAAACTTTGTGTTGTATGATAGAAAAAGAATGATTCATAAAATGATGTCAGATACTATATGAATTCTCAAGCTATCATATAGTTTTTTTTTCAATTAACAATAAAAATTTTATAAAAAAATATTAATATAACAAATAGTATAAGCATTTACGTGTTTAAATTATAGTACACAATAACTGACGTTAACTAAAAAGAGGTTTTAAAATCGAATGTTTATTCTATATGTCCTATAGCAAAAAAATATGTAATACATATATGTAAATTATATGAACTATATGTATGAATCTCCTTACACAAGACCTTAACAAACATAAATCTAATACATAAGCTATCTACATATATATATAATATTAACCTTTATTAGTCATCGTGGCCGTATAATGATGGAAGGGGCCCGCGCGTAGCACAATCTCTTCGAGGATGATGCCGAAGCTGTAGACGTCTCCCTTGAGGGAGGCCACCACGCCCGGGTACACGCTGCCCGCCACGAGTTCCGGTGCTGTCCATAGCAGTTCTATAAACCAGTATTATATTTTATTAACGTAGTTTTTATCCGTGTCTCCATTTACATAGTTTATTTATGTATCCGCCTCTAAAAGTGAAATATGACAATATTTATTCTTATCAGATTGGCAGTTCCAAATATTAAGGGGATCGAAATAAACTAAATAATTGTAAAATTTCAACTTATATATTAGTATAGCTATAAAAATATGATTTCTTTGTAATTTTAAATAAAACTATATTTTCGGATAAAATGATCACGGGAAAGTCTCCCGTGACCGTGATTGCTGTAAAGCATTCGAAACGTCGGGAACCAAAAATCAAAATAAATCCGCGAAATAATCCGAAAAGATAGTTTTATTTAAAATGTCAAATATTCGCGTAAATCTAAGAAAGTATTCTTTATAATTAATACATGTGAGACATTTTTAGGTTACTTCACCATAAAAATTATATATCGAATTATAAAGTTTACTATTTTACTAGTATTGATATTCAATTAACTATTATAACGTAAATAAATTAAACTAAAAAGCAAATTAAAAAAGTTGTCAAATGAAATCTAAAATTATTCGCATATTTAATATATTAGCGAAACATGTTCAAAGAATGCTATTCAATAGCTACGACCTCTACGAGGCCAACGTAGCAGCTACACTGATGCTACGACTGCTACGATATTCGTGGAATGAAATTTTCTGTGCAAGCAAGTTTAAATTATATATTATTATCAGATTCATAATTATGGTCTAAGTAAATACTATATCTTATTATTCGTAAAAAATAATAAAATTTGTTTTTTTTTCAAATGTAATATTCAAAAAGAAATCTAATATTTATAAGAAAAAGTAACAAAAACTACCGAGGTAAAAGTAAACTGAAAAAATATTTACTCGTACAGTTATTTCCTCTAACATTAATTTACGTAAACTAGAGAACATACGGATATAAGTTAACAGCAAGGTGGTCAGTCGAGCGCACATCTATAAAATACATATTAAACTATATAAAACCTTTTTTTTGTTTTTATATATATTCAATTAAACAATATTGCCGTCGAAAAGCAGAATTATTTTTTTGAAGCATTGCAACGACAAAGCAAGTGCTACGAGCGCTACGACGCTACGACATACCATTTGAAACAAAATTCAATTTCCTTTTCGCTATTTTAATCATATCTTATAACTTTTTACACGTCTTTTTCATGTAAAAGAGAATTCCAATATTTTTACTATATGATTATACATTTTAACAAATAACATGTACTTCAGCAAATAATATTAAAATTAAGAAAAATATTAAAAAAATAAGTATTTAATGTATTTGTTTAAGTAAGTTGATATTCGAAAATATTAAATAAATGTTTCATTTGATTTTTACATATTAAATATCGTTTATTAGATCCTTAGATTATAGAGTTATAATCTAAGGATCTATTACTTAGATTTAGAATATCATCGTGCCTGAAAATCTGCCATGCCGTAAACCAGTTAAGACAAGGTTTGTTAAAATGAGGTTTAAAAAATGAAAAAGCTTATAAATTGAATCTTAAGCAACAATGTTTTTGGATAATTACTGTAATAATAGGCGTCGTCTTTAATCAAATCAGTGGGCGTGCAAAGTGTGTTGAGACCGTAGTCGGATATCTTTAACACAAAGCGCCCGTCGATGAGGCAGTTTGAAGACCGCAACTTGCCGTGCGCCCCAAGTCCACTATGTAGATAACACATGCCCTGTATTAAAATAAAAAAAAATAAATAACATTTATGAAACAATTTTAATTAAATTAAAAAGTAAAAAATGCAATGATTATTATTATTTAATTTTAATTATTATTATTCATATATGCTAATATTATATAATTTAACTTTCAATATCGTTTCCTAAGGTCTAAGTTAAAATAAATAGAAAAGTAGCTTGATATACCAAATTTATGCGTTATCATTAAAATCCTTTGATTAAGGTTAATTCCATATTTCATGACATGGAACGTGCTCTTCATCTATAAGATACTTTTAAATCCATTAATTAAATAGGCTTCAACCCTTTTCATCATCGTAAAATATGACAACTCTATAAAAACATTATAAACTAGCGACTCACTCTCGCTTCGCTTAGGTTCATCCCTAGCTAAGTTTTAACGGTTTGCATGGAATAGTTAGACTATAATAATACATATTATTTTTTTCTAACTTAAACTTGACGCATTGTTGTAGATGGTAGGCTCGTCACTATTAAAAGTGATCCAAAGTAGTGATTCCCATCAAAATCAACAGTTCAGAACTTTTCGATTTTCCAGCTGTTCTTCTTCCCCTATTTATTTATACTTAAACCACCCAACACACACACTCTCGGCAAAACAGAAAAAGAATTATTCAAACTGGTACAGCCATTTTTTTTAATTTTTAGCAAGACTAACGAACAGCAATTGATTTTTATATATATGTAGAAATATCATAAAGGGCGTGAACGTTTACATTTAGAAAGAAAAGTAATTATTAAGAAGGACTTCTAATTTGGCCGTTAATTTTAGATAAGGGTAAATTAAGCACGTTCAAATTAATCTGAAACAGGAACACGCATATGTACAAGGCGTTGTTAGATCGAACGGATTACTGGATTTGCCACAAAGGTCACGGCTACGTTAGACAATAGATATACAATATAGGTATATATGTATATGTTATAGTCAAGACTATTTTTTAGTCAAAACTACTTTTGACAAAAGAGGTGGATCAAAAGTAGTTTTAAGTAAAAGCCTACAATATTCTAAGATCATATCGAAATGTATTAGATTTGCTTTGCATCGGCTGGCACCGACTTCGAAAATATCTGATTAGGTATCTATTCTAAATGAAAACCTCCGTTTAGTTATTTTTTACAATTTAGTGCCTGGAAGTCGGTTTTTATTTTTTGGTAAAAAGTTTTTATTTTCCCATTTTTAGTGTAGACGTAATAAGCAGGTAATTTGTAAGAAGAAAGTTTTTTAATAACATATTCGATTAAGCAATTTATTTAAAAAAAATATATATTTATACTTGATTTTTTTAAAAACCGCTCAACCGATTTCGATAAAATTTATGTGGGACCACCTGGGAAGTATACCCTTTGAAACGAAACAAAAATTTTCCAAATCGGTTCAGGCGTCTTCGAGTAATTGGTGAACATACATTAAAAAAAAAGATTCCGACGACTTGAGAACCTCTTCGTGTTTGGAAGATAAATAAATATTATATATATTTATATATATATATACATTTAAAAGATTAAATGTATAAATGTATGTAAAATTGTAGCAAAATAATTTTAAGGTAGTAATAGATAAAGATAGAAAATACAAACTTCGAAGGAAAATACGAACATAAATATTATCTCATCGTAACAATATTGCGAGTTAACTGTGCGAGATAAATCAACAAGTTGGCAGTTAAACAAGCTCAGTGTATTATGGGTCAAAGTCATAAAATGTAAGCTTATTGTTACACACTCAGCTGACAAGTGCGGATCGAGTGCAAGCAGTTATCGGACGGCGGCACTTGAGATTTAATACCGATGACACTATCTAGTTTGCTCTAAGAACTTATTCTTGTGTGTAGAGATACTAAAGAAGCGACCCATCTTAACCTTGCCCAGGGATAAATTTTATTCATGATTAAAATAATTACGTAAAACGTCATCTTTTGTATTAAAGGAACATTTAATAATTGTCACACAAAGAGTTTAGTTAACAAATAGTATGCCTAAAATATTTATTGCTTATTAACTATTTACTAACTAATAGCTATATTACTAATAGCTAGATTTCATGAATAATTCTGCTCCATTAATCAGTTTGTCTAATTTGGACAGATATTATACGTAATTGCTAGATATTAAATTCTCTTTGGCCGTAACATATACACGCCTATTCTATTTATTAATTACGGTTTGTAATTACTCTTTTCAAATTAATAAATCTTTAGTAATATTTTATTGGTACTAAGTATGTCCAAATCGACTTTCATAAAGTGGAATTGTGTGTATATATGTATCTATGAATCATTTTCATCAACTTAATAAACAAACTGCGCTGTGAAATTTCGAGAAAATTAAACATTTATTAACTTGAAATTTAAGTTATAAGATAAATATATTAAATTGCACAACAATTCAGTGCTAATATTTTATCGCAAACTTGCTCTATAATTTATGTTTGCAGGAAGAGGGTACAATTGTTAAGACATACTCGTAAGAGAGCACTGAATTAACAGGTCGAATGTTGAGACATAATTTCATATACACTTATAACAAGTTAAATACTTAATTAAATAGTATAACACTATATCCACTCATAAAATCTACGACAATGAAGGACATTAAAAAAAGTAACGTATAAGATTTTTTCCACTGAATTGGATAGAAGAGACTACTATTATTTGTAGTAGGGCCACTATTGTGCTACAGAGTTATTTTTCTTTATATGCAACTAGCGACTCACCCTGACTTCGCTCGGGTTCGTCTATAGGTTGATTCCCCATACAAAGATTCATCCCCATTTTCACTATCACTATCTTATGAACTTTCCAGTCTTAAACTATTTCCTTACGAAAATTTTATCTATATCGGTCCAATAGTTTTTGAGTTAATTCGTTACAAACATACAAAAATACAAATCTTTTCTCTTTATAATAGTAGTGTAGATTAGAGCGGTAAGTATTAAGTAAGTTTAAAAAAGACTCCAAAGCACACATACATATATAATAAAATATTCGATCGGTACATACCTGAACAATATCATGCACAAGTGAAGTCCTGAAATTCCAATCCAGTTGTAATTCTTCATTAGCAAGAACGTCTTTCAAAGATCCTTTCGGACAGTACTCGGTAAGAATGAAGACCAGCGGACAATCGACACAAGCGCCGATAAAACGCGCGGTATTCTCGTGAGATACGTTACGTGCCTAAAACATATTTTTTTAATTACTTTTGTTGCTGAGACACCTGTTATTTTTTTTACTTACGTTCTTGTTTATACACTATTCATCTAACCCGTATCTATACTAATATAAATGTGAAAATTTGTGAGTATGGATGTTTGTTACTCTTTCACGCCAGAACGGCTGAACGGATCAGGATGAAATTTGGCACAGAGATAGATTGTAAAATGGAAAAATGTATGGTTCCTGTGTGATAGGTTTGTTTTTGTTTTCCTAGAGACGAACCCGGGCGAAGCGAGGGTCAGCCGCTAGTATTATATAAAAGTTTGTAAGTAGTAGTTAGATTAAGTAAGCGATTAAGTGAGTAAATATATGTGTACGTGAATGTAACTTTTTCACCCTATAAGTCTCTACGGGTTTGGCGAAATTATTTATAAATAACGAACGGAAATTCCCTTTAACTAGAACGATTGTTATTAGTATTACTGTATTATTTTATATTATACAAATACCCTACTAACATTATAAATGCGAAAGTTTGTGAGGATGTATGGCTGTCTGGATGTATAGATGTATGGATGTTTGTTACTCTTTGACGCAAAAACTACTGAATGGATTTTAATGAAACTTGACAATAATATAGCTCGTATATCAAAGTAACACTTAGCTAGCTTTTAATCCCGGAAAAATGTACGGTTCCTCTGGGATAGACTTGTTTTTGTTTTTCTATATAATAAATTTTTTTTGTATATAATAAAATAATTCTTACTTGCTTTATTTCCCAAAGTAATTTTTTGTTTAAATCCAATTTTTTCCTATGTATCTTCTTGACAGCCACACGATTGCCCTTATATAAGCCAACCGTAAAAGAAGAGAGTGTGAGAGAATGACTCACACCTGTAGAATTTGAGCTACGAGTGCTCCATCCTAAGGATAGCTGATAAAAAAAAACTAATATTCTTAAGTAATATAATTAATTATATTTAAAAATAATACGGTTAATTATAATTATATCAATAGTTTTAATTAATTAAAATTATAAAAAAATATACAATATATTCAGAGGTAGCCCAGTGGTAACGCGCTTGGGAAACCGAGTGAAGCGGGTTCAAATCCCGGATCGCGCACCTCCGATATTTTCATATGCGAATCTTTTCTAACGTGATTCCTACTTGTCTTTCGGTAAAAGAAAACCTGTATGTCTGAAATAACCTAACAAGTTATTGAAAGACATATGAAGTCCGCCAACCCGCACTTGACCAGTGCGTGGTGGACTGTGGTCTGATCCCCCTTGTATTGTAGGGAGGCCAGTGCCTAGCAGTGGGACGTTAAAAAGGGCTGAAAACATACATACAATATATACATAAACTAACATGCCGTTAGTATGTTCACATTACTATGGAATTTTTATTATCATCATAAAACTATAGGCAAAAATCATCAAATTCATCAGCTCTTGTTACTTTTTCTTTGATTCATTGAGTACAGTACAGACTAAACAGTTATGTATGGAACCTAAACATAACAATAATTAATACAATATATTATATCAATCTATAAATAAAAATATAATTTTTAATTAATAAGATTTGTTTTCTTTGAAAATTATAGCTAACAAAGGCAAGACGTAGATATTCTTGCCCTTGATATACTGAAACCACCTAAGTTTATTTGATCTGAATAAAAACTGAAAAACCAATAACAACAACATGGAAACATTTAGTTACTGTTCAATAATTACTTCGTATTAATTAACAATATATCGAAGGCCACTGCGCTGAAATGTAGAGCTTAATGAAACATGTTGAATTTAATTGATATATTTGATAAGAGCAATTAATTGGTTCTTTTATTGAATCAAAAGAGGGGAAAACAGTAAGTGATACTATATAGTATATACATTCACACTTTTTTTTATAAAAACTTGTAATAACGTACACTTATAAATAAAATTGTAATATCTGTCTGTGGTTTCGAGTTTCTATGAGTAATTTTAAGAGTCATTATAAAAAATAAATATCTAAGTTATTTAATAAACAACTTAGAATTTTATTAGGTGCATAGATTATATATTTTTAAACTTAAATATATATTTTTAAATTTTTATATTATGACATATATAAAATATATACAATACCTATAGAAATAAGTGATTTACCTTAAGCACTTCGTTAATGCTGTGTAGGGCGGGACTCGAGCCGAGACCTGTGCCGACTTCGACTAATACCTCCTCGGGACGAACGCGCCACGACGTGTTGTTTAGTTCCGCATCTATTCGCACTTGCCTAATACGATAATAATGTAATGGTTTAACCTGACACAATTTCTATAGTTTTATTATATATTATTTTTAATTTATTTATTTAATCATTTATTTCAGGAAATATTTACAAAAAGATCTTAAATATGTAAACAGAGGCCCATAGCAAAATATATACCTTAAAACTAACATATATATTAATTATAACTATTTAACACGTAGTCCAGACGTAAATAATATATTTGATCTAATTTTACCCAATAAATTGTTAAAATTAGTGCTAAATGAATATTCTAACTTCAATGACCCTGTATTTTTTATATCATTATTGTCATTATGTAACAAAATAAAAAAATACAAATTTATTGACTTTACCCTTAAAAAATACAATATTGTGATGCTTAATTTATTTGTGTTTTCACAAACAGTTTTGTTCTCACATTAAGGCTTTAACTTAGATTAACAAATTGTTCACGGTCCATCTTTGAGGACAATATTAATTGTTATAAAATAAAAAATAATAATAATCGTTTTAATTTCTTAATCATCTTTACATTTTGTGCTGGGAATGGCCATGTTATGATGTTGAAATTCAAGAGTTATGTATAAAAATGAATGTAAATAATAATTAATGACATAATCCGAAAGTTTTAATGGATGGATAAACATCTAACGTCCATTCAAAAAGTTACTCAATCACGCGAGAACAGCTGAACGGATCTCGATGAAAGGCACAGAGATAGATTATAGTCTGGAATAGCACATAGTTTACTTTTAATACTGGAAAAGTGTACGGTTCCCGTGGGATAGATTTTTTTTTGTTTGCACAGAGCAAGGGATCGACTATCTATTCCATGACTCGCTATTAAACTTAAAAAAAATGGATAATTTTCATTAAGCAACTAGCATCATAATTACTTGTCAGTTACCAACTTAAAATAGTTAGATTCTCCAATCATTAAGCATTACTTTTTTTTTATAAAAAGTTACGTCAAATTGTTGTGTGAACCATAAAATATTACATATATGTAATAAAATAATTATTCAACAAAATAACTTGTACTAAGAAATCATAAGGATGATAAATTAAATAATTCCCTAAGGGGATCATAATTCTACGAACATTAGAATGGAAATAGTTAGGTCTGGACATTGTGATTATATAACTCTAATATACTCGTACAGATACAGTACAGGAGCAGTATCACATGCAAAAAATGGCTTTATGATTACATGCTTATACGGGGCTTGTGTTATGGATACCAGATAGTTGATACACTACACATATATAACTATAAATATATACATATTATAAATATAAACACCCATGATTGGAGTACAAACATTCGTGCTCATCACATAAATGAATGTTCCCAGCGGTACTCGAACCCGCGACCCCCGGCACAGCAAGTAGGGTCACTACAAATTGAGCCAAACGAGTCGTCAAAATACTAATTCTTCATTTTGCAAAGGATTTACGCTTTATTTAAATTGTTATAATTTGGTTTTATATTTTAAATACTATACTATATTTAATCAATAATTAAGCCTTACAAATGAAATAAAATATACTGACAACTTAACCACCTTAAAAATGTTAAGAATAAAATATTTTCGTAACTTTAGTAGTGTTACTTTCAAGCTTTTGGGAGAATTGTTTTTTTAGTAGAGAGCATATCATTAAAATCAAAACAACGTTAACAATTTGCGAAGATATCGCATAACAAACTCACAAAAAAAACATAAATTTGAATTGAATTTCAGTAAATAGTAGTTTTTACAATTGTTTTGAACCATTAAGTAGTTTACTATGAACTACTTTACTTTTCCTTAATGCTAGTTTTTGAAACTTTTTCATTATTCGTACTAATAAAAAATCTTATAAAAATGATATAGACGTTGCCACACAAAAATATAAAGATCTTGTTACATTTTTATGGTTGTTACGAAAAATTACGATAGTTTAGGTGAGCTATATATTTTTTTTTTTTGAAAAAGTGCAAAATAAGCAAATGGTCCACCTGATATAATATAGGTACACCTGATATAAGATAAGTAATTATCGTCATACATAGTCATCTGCAACATAACAGGACTCGCAGACGCTTTGCTGACCTCTAAGAGATCTTTATATTGTTGAATTCCCTATAAATGAAGTAGGAAAGAATTGGAAGTTATTTTAATATTATTTAAACAGAAAGTCCTTTTCTTTCCAAAAATAAACACAGATAGATCATCTTCGTATTAGATAATACTTACTTGTAGGCCACGCAACCTGCGGTAAAGGCGAGCGTTAAGAAAACAGCCAGCCCAATAAAGCAATATATCAAAACTGCCTGGGCCTCTAAGCAGCGTGAAAATGAACGATAAATTACAATTTGTGTCTAAACCACTGCTTACCACATCTTTTATATTCGAAGAATAAAGCCATGAACGAATTAGCCACAATTCGTTCATGAATAAAGCTTATGAAAGTTGGCATTGAGGTAGCTTTTGTTTGAGACATTTTGATAAGAATAATAATTAATGTTATTTATGAAATATTTTAGCTGATAATTAATTAATAATAAAAATTAATTTCGTTATTTTTGCTTAAAAGTTTGATTTTTTATTTTATACTTTCAAATTTCTTATTATGTACTACCTATATTTATAATTACGGATAATTTGTTAGATTAGTGTCTCATTGGTTAATTTATTAAAATTTAAAATTTAGATCTTAAAAATTAAAAATCTACAAGATAAATTAACAAAGCGTATAAATATTTTTATTTTTTTAACCTAAACGATGGTGAGTGATTGCAGCCGAGTTTGGTAATAATCTGTTTAATTTAATATTTCATGATAATTCACAGTCAAGGGTAGGATTCGTTTCTTGAACATCCTTTACAAAGGAAAAGTTCATTGAACTCGATTCTCTCACAGTCCGGACACAGTCCGCTAAGCAATTTACTATAATTTAATAAATTGTTTTAACGAAACTACAAGGATACAGTAGCCATTTAAAAGTTTTCGCACATAAATATTTACGTTAGTAAAACAAGCTCAATTAAAATATATGAACATTTCTAACAATGTGTTAACAATAAAGTCAGCCAAGAACATTTGTAAAAAGTTACTTTTTCGGTTCATTCGCGCTTTTGATTCCCGAAGTTTATAATGCTTTACAGAAATCGTGGTCACAGGAGATATATCAACAATAATATAGAATAGAAAAAAATACTAGTGCTTCTTTTAAATCTTATTAAATCTTCTTATCGCGTAAAGCCAAAAATATGTTAAATACTTGTATAATATTAAAAATATTTCTGTAAATTATAAAATAATTATGATCATCTCACCTCCCTGACACATAGGGTCAGTTCCAAGAAAGCCACAGCGAGGCTTGTCAGGAGGCGGCCCGCGTCTACCGCCGGGCCAGTGGATGGCTTTACCTGCTACAGGCTTGTAGCTCATATTCAAGCCATGGTAAAAAGCTACAACCTATATTTATATGATAAATAAATAAATTTTATTAATTTGAAAACAAAATAATTAATTAAACGTGTAATTAATATCACTTAGACTCTTAAATTAAATTTTCGTTAAAGGCTTGAGAGACGAATGTGAAATAATAATTTAGCAAAGATTAGTACAACATAGAGAGAAGTTTCTATTTTGAAAGTTCTACATATAGAAGAAACTTTTATTGTTTTTCTTATAATGAACAATTTAAATATTTTGAATTTATAGCAGGCTTTTCTAAAACTCTTTGAATTCTATCGGATTTGAGTAAATATTGGAAAGAGCTGAAAATTGTTAAATTCTAAAACTGTATTAATTACAACTATTTATAGAAACTATGTATAATTCATTGTAATTTATTTAACAATTAAATAACATTTAATATTTCATTTTAAAATTAAGTTCAAGAAATTTGAATAACGAATGCTATATCTACAAAATTATGCGAGTACAATGACGTTTCCATAGATTACGCTGATTCAGGTCAGCGACCATTCGTATTATTGTTCTTAGTTTGAATATTACAAGACTAAAAGTGTGGTCAAACTAATAGGATAATATTAAACAACATTTGGGAAAACTAACTTCAAATTTTCCAGTCACAGGATCCAAATCCAAAATGGCATAATCAGCATCTCTATCTCCTACGGAGTCGATGCGCACGTGACCTGTGATACCTGTCAAAAAAAATCCTTGTACACATAAACTATTCATTGTTTAAAAATAAACAAATTTAAAATTTCACATATAAAAATTTTTTTGATAAAAAATGAGACAACTCAAAAATACTTTCGTTACGAAAAACTCTAAAACTTAACCTTTTTATCCACGAAATCTGTATTTTACATGCTTTCAATTTTTTTCTTTCCTTTCTAATAACAATATTTACCATGGAAATCCCTCCCCCACATACGTCGCGTAATATTCCTTCCGTCCCGAATGTCCCCGCCCTCTGTCAATGTTTCATTTAACGCCATACCCAACAAGTAAACGCCATCATAAAACGCGCCTATAAAGAAGTTCACCTGCTGACAATACGACAGATTAAATATCATCCTATGTATCTATTAACTTGGAAACATCCACAATGTTGTACTATAATAAGAAACTGACGTACATGTTGCTCAATTTGCTTTACGTTTGAATGGCACTTTTCGTATATACGAGTAGCATTGTATAATAAACAAGCATTACATTTTATAAATATTATCATAAATGTATATTAGCGGTGATTCTTTAAATTGACATAACTTTTTTTATGAACCGATTGAAATAAAACAAATACTAAGCTTACCACAAAGCATAGGTAAGTGAAAACCACAACCAAATCGGTTAAGCCATTTTGAGATTAGCGCACAAACGCACAGATAAGCAGACAAAATTTTTAAAAAGCATTGATTTTGGGTTATATTGCGTTAATAAAGATCCGCAATAATATTTTTTCTCGGATATCTTCAATATAGAGACAGCGATCAGTTAATTTTTTTTTTATATAAATATAGAAGTCTGATTTTGTGATAGCACTCAAAATGAGATTTTCATCACGATGTTTAAAAATATATTTTTATTTATGATATGTAATATATGATATGTAATCTATATAATAATAAAACAAACCTCTTCACCATCCGAAAAACTATAATTATAGTGCAATTTAGCTCTAGCCCGCACGGTATCGGCAAACTCGTCAAAACGATCGCCGGTGGGCAGTTTCAGGGATACGCGTAATAACGCTTCGTAGGCAGCGCGGGCTGCAGCATCACGCTCATCCCCCGCCGCCCACCCTGTCTCTCCCCAGTAACCACCCTACAAAACAATCGTAATAATTGTTATTTAGCAGCTTTTTCATGTAAGTAATTCACATATTTTTCAGCAAATTAATCTTTATAATATTAAACTACAAAAGGATTTATTAATTGAAAAACATATTCTCAAGTGTACCATGTGACGTATGAAAATAAAGGATTCGTCTAAAAGAAATTTAGAATGTATGTTTAAAGATATAAAAGATGTTACTTATCACGTCGTCTAATTATTATCTATCTTTTCAGTTATTGAGTAAATATATATTATACTATATGTATGTATGTATTACGTGTACATATACTCGTATATCATACGTGTATATATTTTTCTCTCATATGTATATGTAACCATATATAGTATTAATTGTACAGTCCTGTCTACGGTTCCACTAATCCTTTCAACAAAGGTTGTCTCTAAGAGATTGTTCGAATAGCAATAAGATATGCATGCCTTTTTGTTATTTTTCTTTTCATCTTCTGTACTCTTCTTTTGTGCGTGCAGTAAAGTATTTATATATCTATCTACATGAACCAATCAGATATGCCACAAGAATAAAGTTAATATAATCAAATAAAAATTTACATATTGAACTAGACTTCCAGACTTTTGATGATCGGTTGATTAAGACCTATCCTTCCACACATAGCAATGATGAGGTGAAATAATTTAATATCTTTTATCTACTATATCGTACCTGAAATATTTCCACATCTAGAAAAGCCCAGTCACCACGCGTCATGCCGAGAGAGTGCGCCGCGAGCAGGAATTCCCGAACCAAAGATCCTCTTACACTGAGAATAACAACTAAAAAATATATTTTTATAAGACATCTGATTTAAAAATACGTAAGATTAGTTTTTTAAACTAGGAATTTCATGAGAAAAATATTATAATACCGAGAAACGTCTACTCATAATTGCCCTCGTCTAAGCTATTCCGGCTTTTCTTCGATATTAAATTTTTATTTTTCAATATATTTAAGATTAGCGAATCACCCTCGCTTCGCTCGGATTCGTCCCTGTGAAAATGCTTGATTCCAAATAAAAAAAAAAATCTCCATTTTCACCCCCTTACGGGTTGATTTCCGGGATAAAAAGTATCCTATGTGCTTCCCAGGGTCTCAAACTATCTTCTAACCAAATTTCATCTAAATCGGTTCTATAGATCCAAAGATTACCCCCTACAACGTCACAAACTCACAATCTCACAAACTCACAAACTTTACCTCTTTATAATATTAGTATAGATTTTGACGAGACGTCGGTTAAACGTTAACCAATAAATGTCTTATCTAAGTCTAAGTCAAATATAAATGATGTAACAGACGTGGTGGATCAACAGGTAGCAGAGATGTAGCATCAATAATCTGAACACCATATCTTAGACTAAACTTAGCAAGTAGCAGAAATATTAAGTATACGATTATTGCTTTCTTCAAACTCGACAATAAAAATCAAACATTATAAAGAACGTAGTAAAATAATTGAATTATTGTTATACTTAGGCTTTAAAAAGAAATATATTTGTTTTTTTTTAAATCCACTTAAAAACTGCTCAAATGTATATAGAATAAACACAGTAAATTTCATTTATCTAGCACTAATATAAAGAAATGTTTCAAATAGACCAGATGCTAAAATATTTAGCTTAATGTTTTCACCGCCATTCACCTATAAAAATAGCCCAAAAAATATTATTTTCTTTTTAAATATTCTGTAACACAAGCATTTAAATGTTCTGTTATAGAGCAAATTGATTTCAATTAATTTAATTTCACAAAATTGACAATGGTAGCGTTTTCGCAATTCATAATGTACTTTATATTCCACATATGTTTTATTAACATTTTTAACTAAAAAAACTCGAAGAACTGAAAGACTTATGATGAGAAATACACACATAAATAATCAATAGCACATTAAATTGAATATGATACAAATAGAAAACAATAGAGGATAAAAGCTATCAACGTCCAAACATATCGACGCGTTTCCAAATTAGACGCGAATCACTGAACGCTCTGACTTTGAACTTTGCTCAGAAGTCTCTAGATTTCTGAGACGTAAGAATACTTACACACTTAAACTAGTCTAGTCAAACTGTTAGAGAAATATTTAAAACTATCAAATTGGTCGTAAATTTTATTCACAATTTCATGGGTTTTAATTTTTTACTCGAAACCATAATTCTTTTTCTACAATTAAAGTTACTCTTTATAACATCAGCTATCTGCCAATGTCGCGTCAAAATCGGTAAAGCCGTTTCGGATATAAGCCGAAACAAACACACAAGCAGTAATTACTCGTAATATGTAAATATAAATATACTATTGCCGATTGAATAATCTATACTATAATAAAACTGTAGAGTTCGAATGTCTGTACATATAAAAAAATGTTAAAAACCGAGCCAGGGGGGTGTAAGAAAAGAAATAGAACAAATTCAGTTTTTTTTATTTTTTTTGTTTCTCTGTCTGTCTGTTTATCTGTTTGTCTGTTTTTACGGGCTAATCTCCGAATCTATTAAACCGATTTAAATGAAATTTTGCATGGTGGTTCCTTATATCCCCGGCCCATATCTTAGATGATTTTCATTTCGGAAAACTACAGAGTTCCCGTGGGATAGTTAAATAACTATAGTAACTTATACAGCTTAGTACACAAAAACTAATTATTGGATTTTAATGAAACTATACAATGATATAGTTCATACATCACAATAACAAATAGGCTACATTTTAGCCCGAAAAAACACAGACAGATCTGTTTGTGCTGTTCTAGAGGCGAACCCGAGCGAAGCGAGGGTGAGCCGCTAGTGCTAAATAAATTCTGCATAACATATTATAAAATATACTAATATTGTATATTATATAAAGTAGGAAAATGCGTTCATCTTTCTACAGATTCTGGCAATAGCCATAATATAACTATAACTATCTATATAAATATCTTTTAAAGTATCGGCGTCTAGGCTTATTACTTATTATACGACGTTTTGCGGTGGTTGGATATGTTACCCTTTTTCTTCTACCCCTTTTCCTTTATATGTATCTATGTGCATATATACATTGGAGATATATTACATTAAAAGTTATCGACTGTATTCTACATCTTAAAGTCCGATGGTCTTTATTTTAATCAAATGAGATTGTTTTGGTTTCGGTAAATTAAACTTGGTAGAGCAGAAACTAAATCCACGTAAACAATAACTTCACGTGGGTGTTTGTTATTTGCAAATTACACAAACTTTGATTAGGAAACACAGTTAGTATAATACTGGACAGCTAGTTATAGAAACTGCTTTAATCCCTGTGCTTGTAATAAAATGTACATATGTTTTTAATATATAATAATTATTTTATTAAATTGATTTTTAGATGTTACAAAATACGGTATATGGTGATAAATTCATTCATCAAGGCCATTATAATATTTCATTAAATAAATATTTAAGAAAAAATAAAAATTATTTTTAGTTATTAGTTTAGGAGATAGTAGCTGTAACAACATGTTATGATGTTCAAAGCGACCAAAATCTTCTGCTAAGACAAAGCCCACGATAGTACCACGGTTTACAAAATGCAGAGCTTAGTATGTCTCATAAGCAAAGGTGCATAAAAATAAATATCTAATTATGTATAAAGTAAAAAGGTACATTTTCAAAGTCAATTTAATTAATTAAATCCACTTTGAACAATCAGAGGAATACTTGATAAAGATATGTATATGTATCATATCTAGTATACACAAAACAAAAGAGAAACTAACACGTGTGTGGTTAAAAATACTTCATTTAACTTTCACTATCATTTGTGATTTAAAAATTATTTTTCATAATCGAGATTAATTAATTTTATGGTTATTTCTATAAAAACTTAAAGTATTTGCGTTTAATATTTTTGGTACTGTTATTATGAATTAACTTGGCTGTAAATAGCAAAGTTTATTATTGCTTACTTACCCCTTGCGTACATGCTAACGTCCTTAAGTAGAGCTTCGCAAGATTCTCTTTCATTTCCATCTAATTCCCTCACGGCCTTGAGCACTCCTTCCTTTCTCAAACCCCACTCCAAGGATTTTCCTATACAACGAAAACCACAGAAGATACTGTACATTGCTCACATAATTTCTAAACATTTAAAAACATATATTAAACTTAGTAGTTACCCTAAAAATTTTATAATAATAGAACTTTTAAACGTGATAAATTTAATTTAATATTAATAGTTGTTTTTTTTTGGTTTTTGTTTTAAGGATTTCTATTGTGTAACTTTATAAAGTATTAAGATGTCTTCAAACTTACGCTCGAGTATTACTTTGCTTGTAGCTTCCAAAATTACAAAAGTTTGTACCGTCACTAATGTTTTATACTTATACAATATTAATAGATAGGTACGTATTAAATAAGAAATATACTTTTCAACTAAATTCATTAATCTTCAAAGGAGACATTTTCAATTCAGTATATTGAGTATAAAATATAATAAAAGTAGACTAATCATTATAATAACTTACCAACTGTTAGTGAAAATAAATCAGATTTGTCCAGTAGTAAAGCTACGTGAGCCCATCCAAATCGCTCAAAAACGCTGGTAAAGACGCGCGGCAAACGACACTGGCAATACGACATTCGTGTGAGTGTTGGGTACTTGCCTTTGTCGTTGAACAATGTTTGAGGCTAAAAAACAATCAAGATTTATCATATCTAAATATATATAAGTGTTAGTTAGACCATTTATAACTCAAGAACGGCTGGACCAATTTTTATGATATAAGGTTTTTTGGATTTCTCTTAGTCCGGAATAGGATTATAAATATTATAAAAATATCAGAAAAATTAACGAAAAAACAAATTGAAATTTATATGGCTAACGCTGGCTAATAACTTTTTATATATATTTAAAACGTACCTAGCGACGAACCCGAACGAAGGGAGGGTGAGCCGCTAGTTATATTTAAAAAAAAAGATTGTAAAATACCTTTAGCTATATCACATACGGGTTACAATAAGAAAATATTAAGATGATCGCTTTTAGCCACGTGGTAGCATTAGCATTTTGCCGTATGTATATAAGTACGATCATAAGATGTAAGTTATATAATAATATTACGTGTAAAATAGAAAAACATAATAAATATTTTATTTTTATTTTATAACGGAATACTTACTCTAGTTCCCTTGCGCAAGTTTCTCAATCTATGCATCCGACTAACGACACTCGCAGGCGCCGCTAACTCTCCTTCTGAAGGAGGCTAAAAATATTTTTATCATTAAATGTTTCTTATTCTAATATTTAAATACTTAGATCTTTTTAAAACAAAACAAAGCAATAAAAAATATTTAACTAACCACCAAAGTATGGAGTAACACCTACGGAGATAGAAAATAATCTATGTCGCTCTTCAACGCAAAAACTTATTTATTACGTAAAAATCACATCGTCATCGATGATTTTAGGTAAAAAAGACAAATGAACAAATCCACTAAAGCTTTTGCCTTTTACAATATTAGCAATAATACTTCACTACTTTATTTAAAGGCTAGAATAATTAAGAACGACGCAACAGCCTCCTTTCATGAAATTAACACAGACAAAATATAGATAATTGATATATTATTGTAAAGCTTATATGTATTGTGTTAAAATAATTATATTTATTATCTGTTGTCCAAGACAAACAAACTACACGTGTTAACGTACACGTGTTTTAAAAAGAGAAATTCAATTTTCATTACGGCCTTGTATAACACGCATGGAAAAATTGATATTGCAGTACTATTGATACTGTAGAAGGATAAAATAAAATACGAATATAATATGGTGGAGTTTTAAAAAAAATAAGTAATCTATACGTATAATAAAATTGTAACTAAGTCGAATCTATACATTAAATATGTTTTAGAAAATTTTATTTAAATAGACATTATTATCGATACAGTGGCCGAATCTCTAGTTTTTAGAATTTTTGTCTGTCTGTCTGTGACCGCATCACGGAAAAACCACTGGAGGGAATGTACAGAATAGGTATAGGATACTTTTTACTGCGGCAAAATATCTCATCTCTGAAAAATCTTTATTAAACATTAAAATATTTAATAGGTCTTTTTATTATTATGGAATTTAGTTGCCTAAATTGATAAAATATTTTTTCTATAATAATATTTCATCGTTATCTTTGAACAGTATTCGTTAGTACTAGTTCTATTTCTTATTGTTTGTTCATCAATCAAGAAACTATATACAAAATTCCATGCAAAAGTCTCTTAAAAGTTAAAATTGACACCAATTGTGTTTAGGTAATTATTCTAGTTCTAATAAATATACAACATTGTAAATGGAACCTTAAATTCAATGGTTAAAGTTGTTTTCACAAAAAAAAATTAAAAGCGCTCTCAAATGTTCAAATGAGCGCTCATTCGGTGAGGACATTTTATTTATTTCGCTGATTGTGTACATATCTAGTACTTTTTTGATCGATATGTTTGTTCTCCTTCACACTAAAACGCTGGACCGTTTTGGATGAGTACTCAGATAGATAGAGGGGCGCACCTGAGGGAAACGTGGGTTAGTCGCTAATAGAAAATAAACCACTCCATAGTATAAAACAAAGTCGCTTCCCGCTGTCTGTCTGTCCCTATGTATGCTTAGATCTTTAAAACTACGCATCGGATTTTGATGCGGTTTTTTTAATAGATAGAGTGATTTAATGGATGGTCTATATTATGTATAATACATGCATAATATAATAGAGAAACATTGATAATTTTAGAGGTTTCTAATGTGATGTCGCAAATAAGCCCATTTTTTTGCGCTTACATTGCAAACGTTGGCTGAACACCCCACGAGATAGATCAAAATAATGTACCATAGTATTGTACACCTTAAAAAGGTCTACACAGAAGTCCGCGATGACATATGTCTATCTCTTAAGGATAACATACTATATCCATTTTAATTTAAAACGTACCTAGGGATGAACCCGAGCGAAGCGAGGGTGAGTCGCTAGTGCCTTTAGAAAACAAAATATGCCTTAAGCTTACTACTGCTCCTCAAAAAGTTTTACAGTAGGCATATGTAATTGATAGTATTATGGGTCAATCGTAAAATAATAGATTGTAGTTACAACGCAAACAAATAAATAATTAAATGACACATTATCATTAATAGCATCCGATACGTCCAATCAATATGTATACTTAGATTACGATATGATAAGCATAAATAACGTAAATAGTAATAAAGTGATACTATTTGTACAATAAAAGATTGTTTATTGTATGTACAAATTGTACAAAGTAGTGAAAAATCGAATTCACCTTCAGTATTTCTTTAAATTGTAAACATCTTTAATTGTACACGATTGGTTTCTAACAACATATATGAAAACAAAACAAAAATATCGAATTCATTATCAAAGCGACATCGACACTGTAAATGTAGAGTTCTCAAGCCATTACATTTCAATTCCATTTCATTGAGACCTCAATGCCAAGTTCGTGGATTCCCGTCCTCGACAGCTCTTTCACTGATTTGTTTATACCCTTGACCACAGGACGAGGTAAATCGAGCTCGTAATGACTGGTCACTCGGGGGTGTAGGGGGTGGCTTTCCTCTCGCGCGAACAGAAACACTTGTTTTTAAAATACTGTTGCTATGGAAAGTATTTTAGAAAGAAATCTATTAGATTGAATGATTCATCTATATTTCAGAAACTCATTTCTTTTCAAAAATTGAATAAATTCTTTTGTATAATGAATCGCAAAATATATATAATTGTAAATAAGCATACATTTAAATTACCCACGTTTTTCTCATTATTTTAAAGAACGTAGTTAAGTAATTAGTAAAAGCCAGAGATCGCTTATCAACAGAGAAACTACAGGGACCGTACAACAAAGACTTAGGGGCTTCATTAAGGCTAACGACTTAAGGTAAGTAAGAACGTAATATAACATCAACACAAAGTGTATGCTAGGTAAAAAGGTCTTAATCAAAAGGTTTTGATGTTTTAGTATAATTTAATTGTGTATTTAAATAAATAGCTATAATATTTTAAGGTAATGGCCGCCCAGTGGTAACGTGCTCACTGGGAAACCGAGGGAAGCGGGTTCAAATACTGGGTCTCTGATCTTTTCATGTGCGAATCATTTCCAACATCATTACCACTAGCCTCACGGTGAGGAAAAACATCGTGAGAAAACCTGCAGGCAGAGAGAACCTAGAAATTTTCGAAAGGCATGTGAAGTCCGCCAACCCGCACTTAGCCAGCATGGCGGACTATTAGTCTACATCACAAGTCGAAGATTGTGAAAATTGAAAAGATTGGATCCGGAATGACGTCTAGAAAAATGTGTTAAACCATTTTTAGCTTGTAAAAAATTGCAATCTTGTAATAAGATTAAGTTATAAACAAATAAAGATAAAATAGAAGGTATTTCGTTTTTCAAAAACTATGAATAATTAAGAAATTTAAAAATTTCCAATAAAAAAGCCCCAACTCTTGAAACTCTACCTCAATTATTTATAATTTTGATTTAACACTTAAAACGGGGGTCCAAGCGGCCGATGAGGTGTGCGCGCACCGCCTCTAAATATAAAGCGAGTATATTATGTAAAATAACTTTTTTAACAGTATCAAACATCAATTTAAAAATTTGAATAAATTATGGTGTATTGTGAAAACTTCAAAGAATTTAGTCCCGTTGGAAAAAGTTTTTAAGTTATTTTTTTGAAAAGTTAGGCGATTGTTAATTAACAAAAATTTTTCGTACCTTTGTGGTCATTGAAGACAAGAAAAATGTTTAAATAATTGGTTCATATGAGTACTTACCACATTAAAGTTTTTTTTTAATTTTAATTATTTGTTGTGAAAGTAATGTAAGCATGTACTCCAAACTTATCTCCACCGTTATATAAGTAAGTTTTAATGTTAGATCATTTATTATCCTATAAATTCTATGAATAGCATGACTGGCATCAGTTAGCTTTCAAGCACTAAGTAATTTTCAAAACTAATAAAACAAGAATTCTCAGATTAAATCTTGATCGGTTCGCCCTTCTCTCAGTAATAAGTTATAACTCCGTGTCCTGCAGTTTTAATCGAGTTTTTTAACGAAGTGCATCCTTCGCCATACTAAATCGAGTTTTATAAAATAATAAAGTTTAAAAGAAGATTGAAACGTTGGATAATACTTCTAGAACTTTCATCAAGGACTTTCTTTTCTATTCAATAATTATTCGTAGTACAAATCTTATTTTGAAAGGTTCTTATATATAGTACAGTAAGTATTACCTACTGCTATATGTACATTGTACATCTAGAGTAGAAATGGGCCGACTGTGAGTTTTGCCGACTAGCCGATTGGTCAGTTGGGAAAAGGCCGACTAGTTGGTTTCTGCCTCTAGGTTATATTTCTTTTAATAATTAATACATAGTCTTTGAAACTGTGAATCAAAAATAAATAATTTATAAACAAGATATTATATAATAATATTCTTTGTTCAGAGTTGTAGAAACTTGTGTTCAAAATTTATTTTTTTTGTTAATCTTAGTCATATGAGTATTAAGTCTACTATTCCTTCCTCCGTTTCTAATCCTAGATTATATTGCCAACTGTAAGACTTGATACTAAAATAAAAATAAGTATATTTTTTTTTAATTTTGAATTTGAATTTTGAATAAAGTAATGGCCCGACTAGTCGCCCAGTATAAATATGGCCGGATAGTCGACATTCCGGACTAATGGCCACTAGTCAGTACATCTCTAATCTGTAGTAATATAATAGAATTAAAGAGTTCCTTTGTTTATTTGAAAGCATTAATCTCTAGAACTACCTGTACTTGGAAATCTGACTGGAGTCAGATTTGAAAAAATATTTTTGCATTATATTTGAGCTAGGAAGATTTGAACACCGGCTTGAAAAGCAGTTCTGCTAATAGCCGACAAGAACTTCAAAAGATGATAAAAAACTAGTACGAAATACTAAATAATTGTAACAAGAATAGGACTACTTGCACCAAATTATTAATTTCATTAAAATGTCTTAAATATCAATAAGTACAGTTTGATTATATTCAGGAAACTTAAACTTAATTAGATAATACTTTCTTAGATTTACGCGAATATTATATATTGAGATCTTGTTGGGAAGTTAGAGCTTATAGAGACGAAATTTCAATGGATCTGTTATTATTCTACGTGTAACTATTTCAATTAAAATATAACCACAGATCATATAATACTATACTAGTAATATAACTAAGTTTTATTTCCATCGGCTGAAAGATAAGTCTCAGTTCAGCTCATTTCGTGCTTATGAAACGAAACAGAGATCATGTATTATAGACATTCAGACGAGAATAGCTGCTAGCTTTGGCTAGTATTAAATGTAATCTTACCTGATCTCCCATTCCAGTAATAATTGGTGTATTCCAGTATGCAGCCAATCTGGCCACTGGTTCAAGGGCAAAAGCGCAGGCGGGTCCAACAAAAGCTATAACGTCGTCTTTAAAGTGCATGTCCGCCGCTAACCCCGGAGCGAGAGCTCCAGAGCACGTTGGATAACTTTTGAAAAGGAAAAATGAATAATTTATACGTTAATTTAAATAATAATATTTATTTACTATTTAGGTGAAGGTTGAATTGAATTTTCTAGCTCGATACAATAATTTTAATGCAATAATTGTTGAATAAAGTTTCGTACATAATTGTAACATCAACAGCGGTCTGTCCTGGTTTTTTTCGGCTATTTTTTATTTCATTCATGAATTCCCGTAACTGTAAGAGTTTAGAAACGTAAATTCAAGTTTTGTGTAATTTTTAAGGATTTTCGATTTTCGCACTGGAACCTTAAATTTTCCCGGAATAAAACATTCTATATGTAGCCCTACAAATTCCTTTATCCTTCAGTGAAAGTCCCATTACAATCGGTTTAGCCGTAATACTTTCTTAGATTAACGCGAATACTTGACATTTTAAATAAAACTATCTTTTCGGATTTTAACGTCGGGAACCAAAAATCAAAATAAATTCGCGAAAAATCCGAAAAGACGGTTTAGCCGTTCTAAAGGTTACACCAGGCAAACAAAAAAACCGACCAGACAGACAACATTTTTAAAAAGGGTTATTACTCGTAGTTAGTACTGGATCAGAATTATAAATAGCTCTATGTGAGTACGTCGAGTTATGTTAAGATATTTTGAAATCAATCACAGACAGACTATTTATAGATTACGAGTTGACTTGTTTGATAAAACAAATTATTGCATTCTACACTATATTCATAGAAAAATGAGCATGCTCGTCTATGAGCGGCATAATAAGTGACAATGTACAATGAACATTTTATAGCTGTCGTGAACTTTGAAGCTTTTTTAAGATACCATTTTCACTCCATCCATCAAAAATATCGTATTTTATGTACCTTTTCTAGAGAAAATGAACTCTTAAATATAAAAATACAAAATACTTCAAACTATGAAGGGATATTGTCCACTTTGAAGCAACTTAAAAATAACTTCTTATCACATAAAAGTTTTGTATAAAGTTTATTACAAACTTTTATGTCTTAATAAAACGTGTTTTAAAATTGATTTGTAAATATCAAAATTTGAACACTATAGCAGTATACTGTGAGAGATCGATTTATTTACTCGCAAATAGTACCTATGTATTTCTAAAATGCTTGTAGTGATGTCACGATATGAAAGTAGAAAAGAGACTTCAAACCCATTAAAAAGCATTTAAAATAAAGTTTAGAATTATACATACTGTTTAGTGTTTTCTACCTTACATATATATATATATATATATATATATATATATATATATATATAAATACTACTACATATACAAATAATGCATTAATGAAAATTATAAAAAAATATAATAAATAAAAAAATAATAATGAAAAGCTGTAGCAAAGCAAAATAACAAAAGTAAACTAGTTTTGAGTGAAATAAAAGCACCTTATTTTTTACCTCTACTCTTAGCTACATCTTCAAGTAGCGTACTTTAAATTAAACTTTGATATTCATTTGAAAAAGTTCAAAATTTACAAAAGAATACGACAGACGTACTTAATGAAAATTCGCGTGGTTTGACCTAAATGTCTCAATAATAAAAGATGAAAATGATTAAACTGAACTTTTTCGTGAAAAAATTAAAGGTAAAACTACTCTCACAGTAAGCTATTTGAAGTTGTAAATCATATTATAATGCTAATTTACATCAAAATCTATCTAGTAGACTATCTACTAGCAAAAAAATAAATTTTTAAAGTTCTGTCTCCTTTTTCACGAGAATTGATATTTTATTCATATTGTTTTCCTCGGAAAAAAATTATATGCTAGTAATATTTAATTAAAATTTTATCAAAATATTATAGTATTTTTGGCGTAATAAGAAGGCAACTTCATAGTTGCTTTTTTAACATAGTATTCCATAATAAAGCCAAGATTAAAAAGAAATTTTAGAAAAAGAACTGTAAATATTTAATAATAAACAAACCTTTTTTCAAATTTTATCGTAACGTAACGTCCTATAATTGTTTTCAATAAAAAAAATGCAGGTAATTGTCGAGAATTTTAAATAAAAAAATTACTCTTCCTCTATACCTTCGATACGTAAATTCAAAGGAATTGCTAATATATTTTATATAAACAAGCAAACTCTACCTTCCCTGAACTTTTTGCAGTTCGACATTGTGATGCGCGAGGAACTTTTCGTTCACTTTATCCAAAGCTAAGTCCACAGCTGGGCCACATCGTTCCAGATCGAAAGGAGAGTCCAGTCTTGAGGCCATCAGGACCCCTATTTTATATACAGTGCGTTCTGACAAACAGATCGACAACACTTGTGCTATTACAAAAAGACGAGACAATTTTATTAAATACATAATTATTAACAGTCTATCTTAATATAATATAATATTAAATTTACGATTAATCAATTCTAAACAATAACATATATATTTTTAATTCAAGTTAAAAGTTATAATATCGCGTCCGTATATTCGCATGAAAATAGAACGTGCTATTTCCTGTGAGACGGATGATAAACTGACTGAAAAGTGAAACTGCCGGCGCGACAACTGACACAGTGACGCAACAAGTTCCCGCCAATCCTCGCCATTAACCCTTCATGAGAGATCGTGAAATTAATGTTTGAGTTATTATAATTTTAGCACGTTTAAGTGCTCTCCCGATTAATAGGTATTGTTATGAAAATTTTATTTAGGTGTATATGTATTATTTTTTCTATAATAGACGAAATAGGTATTTTTATCATCTCTATGCTTCAAATAACATCCAAATATCTAACTTTGAAATGATTACATATAAAATTATTTGAACTTACACAGTTATTTAAACTATAATCAAACATAATACATTTTTAGATTTACGAATATTTGATATTTTAAATTAATATTAATTTATATAAAATGAATTAATATACAAAAACACACTATTATATAAAAAAATAATTAATATAAAAAATACACCATATAAAGTGTCAAATCTGTGCCGTATAATTATCAACATACTGCATCTTTACGTACATACCGTAGTCAAGAAATCTATTTTTATAAGATATAACGTTTCAAGATGAGCTACCCACGATGGTCAAGATGTCGGCTGCTGTCATTAAATGCAAGTTTACGACTTGTATTGTTAGTGCGAAGTATTATGGACACAATGGTGACATAACACATTCTTCATATATGTGAAAGCATTTAGATTTATAATGGCTTATTTTATTTATAGCTAGAAAAGTACATAGCACTCGTATATTAAGAACATTTATATAATGTAGTTGCATTTAATTTTATATACATACATATGTATATACTATATATTAGTTGTTAATTTAGAATTTTTGAGAATAAAATATAAATAATAAAAACAATACTATGTTCTTTGTATTTTTATGCATTATAGTCTAAGATACAAAGTAAGCTCGACCTTCACCTATCTGCCTACCGGATAAAAATTTTATTTTAACAAATGAAATATGTTCATTCAAATATGCCATTAAAATATGCCATTAAAATATGTTCATGGCTATAATTAATTAAACATAATATAAAACATTTTTGTTTTATTTTTAACGACTTCCTTGCTAAACAAATAAGTCAAATAGAAAGCATACAACGTGATTAATTCGTTTATGCATACAACATACATAATATTATGCAATAGCTAGGTTGCCGATGAGTGCAATTACTACTATCAATTCACCTGTTTGTACACGGTACCAGGTAATAGGGACCAGAAAAAGGTAGGCAATTACTTTTCTATTTCGTAATTTTTAATTTAAAGTAGAAATTGAAATAGTTTTTGTAATAATTAGTAATTACAAAAACTATTTTAGTTTTAGTTACACGTTTTACTTTATATCATAAAAACTACTAAACCGACTTTAATGAAATCTTTACTATTTCCTAAGTTGAAATAAATGTAAGCAAATAAAAAAATAATTATCGCAATCCGAGTACTAATTTCGGAGAAATGCGTGGATAAACATACATACATCAGCTTATTAAATTTTGTATATTTGTTTGAAAGCCCTAATGGAATATCATATTTTGCAGTCCCAATAATATTACGTACATATATTTCGAATAGAAACCTATTCGCGCGGTTGAAGTAAGACTTCTTTGGCGCTGTGGCAGATACCGCAATTAAATTAAAACAAATCAAAATACAAATATGTATAATATATAATATTTTTAATAAAATTATTAGTAATAAATATTTAGTTTTATAAGTTATAATTATTATAAAATTATTAATAATAATATACATTTTTATAAATAAGTATTATTATAAAAATATAAATACATACATACATTTTTTTAATGATGAATATTAAATTTGATTCTCATTTCCGCGGCACTGACTTCGGCTACACTCATTTTTCTAATGTATTGATTTGCCCCTTAAACACGCCTAAAGAATTTTAACTTCAAAAGTATCCTTTACGACATGCCCAGTTAGAATATAGCTTAGGAGACAAAAGTAAAAATATATCGCGATATCTTATCTAGGGAAACGTCTGAGTGAAACACATATTATTTTAAACAGGACATTTATTCAACAAAACTTCTACACACTTCTTACAATTTTGCATAAAATATTTATTATAAATATGAAAAGGTACTATTTGGTGTTATAAATAATTTACCATAACATAATTTTTATAAATATTTGAAGACAAAAATTTTCAACAACATCAACATATTTGTAAGTAAACATGCTTTAATTGATTGTTAAAGCCACTACAATCTCTATGCAATATAAAAAATTAACAATAAATACATAATTTTTCAAACTGACAGCATAACCGTTTGTGTGCGCTTGTAAGAATGACATATCGATCCAACCTCACCCAACCTGTGATTATATGACCCAAGCGAGTACTAAACGAATAATTAATTAGATCGACATAATCACTGATAATTGCTTTTTTATTTTGTCTAATACAATTAATCATATAAAAAAAAATTCCACACTTGAGCCTTTTTTTATGACCAGGCATGACCTTAAACGACTTCATATAAAGATGGTGGTGAGAGAATTTACTGATTCTTTTCATCTAAAAGGAGTTCATAATAACTAAGGTTGGGAAAGACTGGAATACATATTAAATTGGAACTTCGAGTAAGTCATACATATTTGATATTATTAAGTAGATTTCACTCATTACATAAATAAATTAACATATATATAACCATTTCTATATGCGTTAGAGCCTTAGTATAATATATTTTTATTATTTGATAAAACACAGATAATATATAATTGTAACATGTTTACTAACAATTTATTTAAAACAATAAATAATCTTTAAAAATTCAATCCCATTCAATAGACAACCGTATTGCCAACATAGTAAATAAACTTTCTAATAAACAACGAGGATTGGTTCCGTATCGTCTTTTGCAACTATTTTATAGAAATAGTAATAAAGAACCTAAAATAAATACTGATAAAGAAATACACGAAGAAAACTATTGAATTTTTAGTTATAAATATGGGGTTATTCATATTTGTGGGTTTTAAACACAAAGCAAAAAGAGATATCTAGATCTTTTTTACTTCATAATGCAGATACACTAGAATAGCCTACCTAAATTAATAATGACTAGATGCCTATTGGTGAATTCCACTAACAAATGTAATATGGAACTTTTTTATTATTAATCAGTATTTTGTTTATGGCATTTAATGGGTGCCATACTCATAACGTACTGTCCAATTTCGAAACCGACATTCGTAACAACATACACTATGCGAATATACATATATACCTATTATGTATACTGTATATTGGATCGTTTGTCATTAATATATTGGGCGGTACGATTATGCGTATGGCCAACCTTAGCAACTAAGACAGCAAAAGCAATGAAGCCTGCATAGTCTTTGTAAAACTTTAAAGTAATATTTGTTTATACTATTTGAACACTTTAAATTCACATTTTACGTAATTAAAGAATATTTCGTGTTTATTAATTATCAAAAAACTTTCATTTTTCTTCCTAGCATGGAATATGACACTGATTTCATAAAATAAATGTAAATATCATCAAAGAAAACTTTAAAACCGAATAAATGTCGTATATTTTAATTTATGATATTATTAATAAGAATGTTTTAAAACGTTTACTTTCATAAAATGACGAATGAGCAAATAAATACGTATGTATATAAATGCAAGAAATGTTATCATCAAGAAATGTTACCTATATAGGGTAATTCAGCGACAAGCGCCGCGAAGCTCATGTTACTTAAAATTACAATTATCTATAAATACTCTAGTTTGACACCATGGTACTGAGGGAATTAATTCAAAGATGTAGAATGTCACGCTTAGTATAAAAGATTAATTACATCAAATGAAAACAATTAGTTGTAATCGATAGCTCTACGGTTTCTAAATCTTGATTTTTTGTTTATATTCTACTAGCGACTTATCTTCGCTTCGCTTGGGTGCGTCCTTGGTACGAACGTTTAAATTTTTTTGAGCGGAACCTTAATTCTTTTTCTGAATTAAAAAAAACTTAAGTTATTCTAAAGAACATCAACTATCTACCAGTAAAAGTCCCGTCAAAAGCGGTCCAGCCGTTTCGGAGGTTAGCCGGAACAAACAGGCAGACAGACAAAAATTATAAAAATTGTTTTTTTTCTTATATGTACATACTTTCATATGCATTTAGTAAAAAGTTGTTATTTTACCATTACAAAAAGACACTTCAATATTATTTATCTGTATAGACTACCTTTGCCGCTTTTGGATAAAATTTTTAGACATCATTTCAGATCTGATATAAATATAACATCCATAATATACGAAAGTACTCTGTCTATCTGTTTGTTATGTTTACACGCCTTAACCACTTAATCAATTGTGACGAATTTTGGTATAGAGATAAATTAGAAATTAGAAAACATAGGCTACCTTTTCTCGCAAAAATAAAACTTGAAAAAGGAGAACCATCATTTTTGGGAAATTTAATAAAAGTTCAAGTGTTAGAGGGCTCAAAACTGACAAGAATGATTTTAGATACCTAGGGACGAACCCCAGCGAAGCTAGAGTGCGATGCGACACTGGTATAATAAAATTAAGGAAGATTTATGCAGGTTTTTGTTTTGAATCAATATTGACTTAGTTAATTATCTAATAAGTATTTATATACTATAGGAAATGTAAATAATCTCTTTTAAGCGTGACTCAAATCATCCTCTTGTCCACATTAACAGCTACTCTAAAATTTGTGCGTATCGACCTAACATTACATTAAATATCGACGTCTCACAACACTAAAATCACACACACGCCAAATAAATTAGTTACTATATAAATATATTTTTTTATTTATATTTTATTGCTGTCTCTGTCACACAGATAATACGAAGGGCACGCTACTTTCTTATTCACTTAAATTGTACTTCAGGGCCGAATCTAAATAAATATAAGATAAAACCTTGCAATAATTACAACATTTATAAATTATTAATGTTGTAAATAAATATGATAAATAATGTGCCATTTAGACCTTGTTTATTTTCTTATTTTGTTCCAAATATCAAACCTGTAACATTTTGCTTGGAAGGAATGGAACAATGTGAAATGGATTTTGGGCGGAATCTACTAAATACTACATACATTACGTCTACTTCTAGTTGTGAAAACTATCTATCACTTTATATTTCCAACACATTTTCTTCTGATTTTCATTTCTAGGGGGTTTTTAGGCTCTTAATTTAATATAAAATGTATAACATTACCTACATACATATTCTATAAACACTGATAAGTACTTTAACAAAAGAAACACTTCTGCTTATATTTTTTTGAAACATTTTGATTAATTTTTAAATCACTTCGAATATTAAAATGTTATTCGAATATAATATTAGTACGTGTCCCTAAGATGTTTTTATGTTTTTGCACAAACTATACTTATAAAGAGTCCTCGCGCACTAGAGGTTCTAACGACCAAGTATTATATGTTATCGGGCAGTAGTTTTTTACGCCCCACAGCTGGGCAGAGGCCTTACTCGCATTGAAACGTGCTAGTGGTATAAAGCCTTATGTGGTGAACACCATGCTGACCAACTGCGGGTTGACAGACTTCACGTGTATTTGAAAACCTAGATAGATTCTCTTAGACATTGAGGTCTACTCATGTTGAAAATTATTGCACATGAAAAAATCAGAGTTGCGAAACCCGATTTGAGCCCACTTCTCTTGGTTTTTAAAGGTTACCACTGCACAACCTCTGTTAATGTTAAATTATAATGGCATTAGTTGCTGGTGACCGTGGTCGTAGACCTTGTAGTGGTCGTGGTTGTTGTCGTAATCGTGGTCATAATTGTGATCGCGGTCGACTAGTGCGCGGGCGGGCTTACTCTTTGTCGAAGACATAAACGTGTTTCCAAAAAAACGTCTGCAAATTCTTGAAATTACACTTAGCCCTTTTGCGTTATTTTTTTTCACTCTAATTATTCAATTCTACTATACTATTCAATTCTCTCAATTTATTTAAACGTATATAAATATTATTTACGCTATCTTCACCACTACGAGACTGGGGTACAACATTAATCACTACATCGCTACTAAAGTAACTGTATTAGTATCTAGAATCTAGATAAATCAAATGGTCTAATATTTAAGCTGCAATTTACGCCAAAATACCGTAAAAAATTCTTCCCAATTTTTCAAACCCTCATTATTTTACTTCTCTTTACTCTTAAACAGTCGTAGTATATACTGTTAGTAGAATACTACATTGTAAATAATATTTTTTATTATATTGTGTAATAAATACATATTTCACATCTCATCATTTTAAAATGTTGCGTTTTCCGACCATTCGTTTTTTTTATTAAGCACGTTGTAAATATCATTTAAACAATGTATTACAACTTCAAAGACACAATAAAGTTTTTATGCCAAATAATTTACTAAATTTATTATTGCTTTATTGGATTTCTTTGCGGAAGACATCCATTACGTCAGGCCAGTTCAATAGGCTTCATTGGACTCCATTATAATCATTCGAGAAAATGTTGAAATACCAATTTTTATTTTTAAATCTGAAGTTTTTGCCTTCCAAAAGATTTTTTTCATCATAATTTGTTATGTTTGCAGGAATTTATGTGATATTGCCTCAAAATTAACCCCTTATTTCGAGTTTTCGTGAGATTTAAAAATCAGAAAGTTAGTTTCTGTAGAATATAATAATATTCTCATTCTTTTTTTTTTTTTGAAATCTATATACTATCGGAAAGAACTACGGGAAGAGTTATGTCACAAATACTTCCATATTTAAATAATAAATATTTAAGTGTTTTTAATATTTGACTGTTATTATAATTCGTACTAGGCCCCTAAAATATCAAAGTCGCAAAAATAATGTGACTTTTCGACGCTGTCATTTTCACAGTGACAGCTATTAATTAAACAAGCATTATAGACGTCATTTAAAAGTACACAGATACAAGTAGAATTAGGCCTACATTTGACTTATGATTTTTTATTTTTTTAAATTCATCAAAGGATTTTGTTAAATCTATTAATGGCTTTTACTCAGGAACGTCAATTGAACCATTCAATAGTACGAAAGAGGTAGTACTGTGTATAAATATATATTTGATATTTGGAAATTTAATATAATAGGATGATAAATAATAAATATTATTAATATATCTATCAATATGGCTACAGCTAGGTACAGAACAAAACTTAATTAAATAAATAGCATTCAATTGAGGTAGTGGAAAATTAGGCACCTGACCCTAAACGAGATAGATTTTATGTTATGGTCTCTTTCATTAAATTACACGTAAGCGTATTAACAGTGAATATACTTTAAATTAGTTTCGATCTCAATAACAAATCGAACATAAGTTTTGGTAGTCTTATTCAAACAATAATTATTTTTCTTTGATATAAATTATTTTTTAAACAATAGAGAGTCGATCGATAAACAATGCTATATTTGAATATATTCGACATTTTGATATAAAATAAAAAACAGCATTCTAGAGACCTCAGAAGAATCAAAAATAATGACAACAATTATCGCGGTGCGAATTAAAATAACCCTTATATGCGCTTCATTAAATATTCCTATGCCAAAATAAATTTCACTGTTACAAATATCAGCTTAAAAAATGTGAAATGGTTGCATTTGAAGGGTTATATGACACAAATTAGACCTTTATTAATCAGGTGGATTGTTGCCTGCGCTGCCTGCGGAACACAAGCGCGAATATACTGCGCAGGCGCCGCCAGCGCCGCCGCCCACCGCCCGTCGAGATGCCGGTGCCGATGATGGAGGACTGGAGGCAAATAAATAAGTTAAGTTTCATCCATAGTATTTCATAGTCACTACATAGTATAAAAAAGGCACTTCCCGCTGTTTGTCTGTCCCTATGTATGCTTAGATCTTTAAAACTACGTAACGGATTTTGATGCGGTTTTTTTTAATAGATGAGTGATTCAAGATAGTTATAGAACAGAAAGGCCGAGAAATTCAAAGATTTGTATTTCATACTAACCGTTAAAACGTACGTAGGGACGAACACGAGCGAAGCGAGGGTGAGTCGCTAGTAATATTATAAATGTGAAAGTATGTTTGTTTTTTTATCCTTCTTTCACGTCGAAACATAGTGACGGATTGGCGTGATTTTATTTGTGGAAATAGCTGGGAGGGCGGGAGAGTGGCATACGATACTTTTTAACGCGGGAGATTATCTCTTTCCCACGGGAAAATACGTTATATTAAAATTCAAAAAAATATTTATGACATCAATTAAATAAATACGTGTTTTAGCATTTTTCGCAATTCATCCCAAAAAGGAAGAAAAATAGGGCATGAATTTTAGCGCGAGCGAAGCCGCGGGTTCTGCTAGTAATATTATAAAAGTGAAAGTGTGTTTGTTTGTTTGTTTGTCATTCTTTCACGTCAAAACGGATTGACGGATTGGGGTGATTTTATGTGCAGAGATAGCTAGGATTGCGGGAGAGATTATCTAATTTTAACAGGAAAACACGGCATAATATATATAACCCACACCAATTCATGTGAATTTGTCATCATACCTATCTATTCCATACTAACCGTGAAAACGTACCTAGGGACGAACCCGAGCAAAGCGCAAAGAGCAAAGTTGCTGGTTTTAAATAAAACAATTTTTTGAGATCATGTTGATTTCCCGATGTTAAGAATGCTTTACAGCAATCATGGTCAAGAGAGAAACCATGACCATGATCGTGATCATGATTACTGTAAAGCACTCGAAATGTCAGAAATAAAAAATTAAATGTGGCACTCGGAGACTGCCGCGGTAAAGCTATTGCATAGCATTTTTTATCAACTTATGCAATTATAGTTATTTATTTATTTTATTAATGCAGTATTTTTTTTCCTTGACTTTCTTCATTAATAAATGCACTTTGTTTATTCATATTTAAAACACTTTGTACACAAATTATACGAGTACAGATATTCACTGTTGTACATAGATGATAAATACCTATACACCTATATACTTTCTCACAAACAGCTGATTACGGTAGTTTTCCAATACAACCAATGCCACCTAAAGGCGGGTTGCTGAACTAAAGAGACAAGCGTGATATTTCAAAAAGTCATTAAAAGTTCTGGTATTTATCGATAGATGGAAGTATCACCGGTCGGAGTGGGGGTTGTCAGGTTTTTTTCGTTACGGAATTTCTGGATTCGGTCCCCACGCTCAATGCCCGCGATAGAAGCTATGCAATAGCTTAAAATCAAAACATGTGAACCCGTGAAAAAAACCGCAAATTATTTTATTTAAATTGTCTTTTAGCATAAATCTTAGTCTAAATATTATTAAAAAAATATGTTGCTCATGTTTTTTTTTATTTAAGTTCTAATTAATGCCGTCCAATTTATAGGGATGGAGTCTCTGTATCAATACAGAGTGATATCTGTAATAACTTATACAGATGTAGCACCTATCACGTCCTGTACCCCTAGTACGAGTTTTTGACAGTTCTCGAATACGATATGTAGTTTCGTTTTCTTCCATACATTTACGTGCAGCGCCCCTAGCGAAAACGTGGTGGAACTAAATCGGCAGTACAATCGAATCATAGTTAACGAACTCGACGAAAGTTTTCGAGTGTTAATACACTCGCACACTCGCAATTGCATTTTGTCAGTACGAGTTAAGACTTTGACAAGTTAACGATAGTAAACTTTGACGTATTCGAAAACTTTTTTCGTTTTGGCACTCACCAAGTAAATCTCGGTGAGAGCTTGCGACCATCTTTGTTTTTGCGAATTTCTTTGAACAGTAATTATGTTAGCGAGACGGTATCTTGCGTGGAGGTTAGCTGTGGAGGCTGACCATGATGAGGAGCGACAGGAGCTCGTAAGAAGGCGAAAATTAAACGTGCCCAGCCGTATCTCCGACACTCACTTTGTGCAGCGGTATCGGCTAACCAAGGAGGGATTTGTGTTTCTCTGTGATACCTTAAGGGAAAAAATATTTGTATGTAATTAAAACAAACTAACACATCTTTTCTAATAATATAGTCTATATTATTAGAAAAGATTGTTACGTACCTGTCCATAAAATCTACCATCACTTCGAATTGCGACAAGCTGGTTCTCATCATCTGACAAGTTTTTAATAAAGCAAAAGATTAAGAAGACGTCTTAAGTCCGTTAACACTTACCTAAGTTTCAAAACTTCATCCAAAACGTCAATTTAAACAATATCGAAGGACAACATTCGTCTCTTTTATTTTGCTGTTGTGTAAAAGAGATGAAGCGAATAAAGTGAAGTTTGTTCCATCGAGCTAGTCGATGGTCGCCCTCGTGTAAACTATATTCGAAAATAATTAACTCGTACTACCGATTACATCAAAAACATCGAGTTCACCAAAACTATCATCGTTTCTGTAATTTGTAAACTCGTACTAGGGGTACTGATTTCAATACAAAAAAAAAGGCATTGTATATTGCTGACCAAAAATGCAACAATTTTAGAACATACAGTTGATGTTATTATATCTGTAATTTTTAGGGAAGGAAAATTTTCCCTCATAACAATTAATTATTATTAGTAAATATAAATATACCTGTCGCTGTCGTTCTAACCGACGTATTTCCCTTACGAGGCCGTGGAAGGCGTCATCTACGAAGTGACGCAATGCTGCCGACGTTTCAAAGAACGGACACCCCAGTTGAGTCGCGAGGGCTTTTCCTTCTTCTACTGTTACCTAAACATTATAAAAAGAATTTATTAGTATATTACATATATTTTATTTCACGAACATATAATTAAGTTGTAGTAGTAACTTGAACTTTAAGCAAGAATGATTAAGGTATATATATGCGCAAAATAATCTAACGATGCCGCTAATTATAAGCGATCGATCTAAAGCTTAAACACTCTAAATGCAATGTGTTTATCTTTTCATATATAGCCCTTATTAATGATCCGCATACCTTGGAAAAAAACTGCTGGACATGGGCCTCCCGAAAGGGATCAGATCAGAGCAGACCACAATGACCAATTACAGGTTGGTGGACTTAAAATGTCTCTTGAAAACTAAATAGTTTTAAGGAACCTAAATAGGTTCTCTCAGACATGCAGGTTTCCCTACTATGTTTTCCTTCATAAGACATGTGATCAGAGGTACAAGATTTTAGATCATTACTTATATTTTCCAAGCAAATATGCCACCACTGCTTTTTCATATTTAGTACAAATTTAACCACAGCAAAAGCTCACCCACCTTTGTGACTTGTAAGACAGAACTTACTACTCAGCCCTTACTTAATTATAAACATTAATAAAATCTTCAAATGTGACATGTCATGAGATTTCAACAAAATTTTACAATTAAATAGATTATATAAAGTGTTCATAGCAAAAATCACCTGTCTAAACCTTGGGGCAAGGTCCAGTTTATTTCCAACAAGAACCAAAGGCAGCCTCTCAGAGGGACGAGCTTGGGCGAGCAATCGTTTATATTCGGCCGCCGCGCGAAATGAACGTCTGTCTGTCACTGAGTAACACAGCATGAAGCCTTCTCCACACCTCATGTACTGTTCCCTCATTGCTGTAAACTCTACCTGGTGATATAGAAATTTAAAAATTACATCTACTAATGTTAATTTTTAGTTATTAATGAAAAAAATATCTGTACAGTTTCACATACATTTTTATTTTGCTTACTTTGCGCGATAGCTTTTCCAGGCGACGCGTCGCTTCATTTTTTACGAGTGCATTTAAAGAAACTGAGCTGATACCTCTATCTATGATCTACCTATGAACTGAGCTAATAACAACTATATTGTACTGTTCTAACTGGGACAGTACATACCAGAAATCACAGAAATATACTAAAAAATAATTGTATGTACATCTCTAATAATGGCTATGGTAGTTTTTTTTTACATCCCAAATAAAGATTTGGTAATTAATTCTATAAAAGAAACTTACAATAAAATTATTTCAACTAAAGTTAACTTATTGTGACATAAATATAAATTTAGAATTATTTTTATAAATTTTATATGTAGAATTATTTGTAAAGAATTTGATCTAATATTTTATAATTCATACACATCAATATATCATAATAAACTAAATTAAACATGATTTGTGTAACTCTGAAATACTATAGTCTGAAGTTTATTCCAAAGGTAAATACTAAACATCAACAAATAAACATATTAAATTCAAGCTAAACTGCTTATAATTTTTAAGTTTCGTTGATAGATTGAGCAGTTATTATTTATGTTTTCTATTTAATTAAGTAATATTGATACCTGTCCAGCTGTATCCAAAATGTCTAATAATGCAGGCTCTCCATCAATCACAGCTTGTTGTTGGTATGAGTCCTCTGTAAAGATGTTCAAAGAAGGATATTATCAAAATCACATCATTTAATTTTTATATCCTAAAGTATAGCTGCACTTTTGTATTTTTTTGTTATTTTCTAGCATTATTCGGCATAACTATAGAATAGTAATAAGATAAATATCACCTATTTTTATAAAAAAATGTTCCATATGGCTTAATATATTGTCCAAATATATTGATACTGATACTGATACTACATTATTTATTTCCTTCAGTCATTTCTAATAGTTTAATGCAACAGATGATACAATACAAATTGATAGCTTACCTATTGTAGGATCATGATAATCCAGAAAACTGTGACTAACAAATTGCAGTGTGACCGCGGACTTGCCCACTCCCCCGTCGCCGAGTACTACAATCTTGTAGACGCGGAGGCCACGCGACGTGCCTGCAGCCTCCGCCATGCCCCTGCATGCCTGCGCGATTGGGGGCCCAGGAGAGCCGCGCCCGCCGCGGTCACTTGCACCACTTGCTCCTCGCGCTCGCCATCCGCATAACCCACCTCCCAACACTACCACGGTGGTGGTTTAATTAATAATTAAATCAAACTTCACGCCATTTAAAACACATTTTAGGATTAGTTTTGATTAAAAAAATTTATAGCCAATAATAAAAATCGACAGCTGATTGAAGGCAATTTCGATTGACAATTTGACATTATGATTTTTTAATGTGCGTCTGTTGTCATCCGAACGTTTAAAAGTAAATAATAATAGACAAATTTTTAGGTATCGTTCGTTGTGTTAATTTATTTTTTAATTATATATATTAAAAATAATATTTTTATAATATTTTCTGATTTAGTGACGATATAGAGAAGCTAAGATTCAACAAGAAAATGACTTTGACAAATGACGTCAGGCAATCTAGAAATATTTCGCAGTACAATGGAAATGTGCACTCCACAGACTAGATTAGACCGCTTTTAATTGTTAAAATCTTTTCCAAAATAAGGACCTACCCTACCCCAGCCTGCAAATTTATGATATTTGCAATGAAAAAAATACTAATCGATAGATTTTCAATAGCTCAATTTAACTACGTAGCCCTTTCAAATTGCTCACCTTTAATTATTTAATTAAAAATCAATAAAGTCTTTGAAAAAAAAATAATTTATCTGTATATTCAAACTCCTATATCTTTTGATGTATACAATATTTCAAATTGCTCAAAGTTCTAAAACACTGCTCAAGTTGCATTTGTAATTGCTCGAGTAGAGTTTTTACCAGCTCCACTTTCGCTGATTATTAAATAATTAAAAGTATAGTTGTAATAAATGTAACGTAGGTTAAGTGAGCGTGCGCATGCGCACCGCGCATTGTCGGTCGGCCTCGGCGGGCTTGGACAATCGTTCCAATTCAACGTCTTAATTCTGTTTCTCGGTGGATTTCTTTAAATTTATTGAATTTATGAATTGTTCACATTACGTGATTCCACTTCAGATATTATAACATATAGAACTTAAATTTATTCAAACTATTTATATTTATTTAATAATTAAGGAAAGTGGAGCTGGTGAGAACTCTACTTGAGCAATTACAAATGCAACTTGAGCAGTATTTTAGAACTTTGAGCAATTTAAAATATTGTATATATCAAAAGATATAGAAATTTGAATATACGGATAAATGATTTTTTTTTCAAGAACTTTATTGATTTTTAATTTTATAATTAATGGTGAGCAATTTGGAAGGGCTACGTAGTTGAATTGAGCTATTAAAAATCTATCGATTAGTATTTTTTTCATTGCGAATATCATAAATTTGCAGGCTGGGGTAGGGTACCTAAAATAAGGACTCTCTGTTAAACCATTTTATTATGTACTCTGTAGTGTGATAAGTCTTCCTATAATCTATGATTCTGTTCATAAAACAAATCCATATTCTGTGGAAACTGGAAACAAACAACAATGTATATGAATTATACTATAGTACTACAGACTACACAGTTGAGTTGATATTCTTTGTGTTTTGACTTTTATGTATGTTTTACTTTAAATCTCCAAAATAATGAATTACTATAGTTTATTTTAACATTTTAAGTAATAAAGTGACAAAAACTGGAAGAAAACTTTACGAAATTGAAAATGGCTCATATACAGTTAGTCGATGAATTAGTTCGTGAATATTTACTATTCAGAGGATTCACTTCTACTATAAAGGCATTTGATAATGATTTAAAATCTGATAAAGATAAAGGTTTCAGAGTTGATAAAATTATTGAACAAATTGTACATTATATAAATGTCTCGGACTTGAATGGTCTTAAAGAATACTGGTCCCATTTAGATAGCCTAATTTTTTCTAAGTTGGAAATTCATGTGCAACCCGGTAAGCCCAATTTATTGCGTCTAAAGTATTCCTATTCCATATTGACATGCAATGTAGTAAAACAAATTTTTGAAACAATATAAATATGTTAAAATTTGCTTTTAGCTGTCCGCAAAATAGAATATAGCCTGTACAAGTTGTACTTTGTAACAGCTTCACAATCTACAAGCTCCACAAGAAATGAAAAAGTGACGGAATTCTTTTATAAATTAATGCCAGAATTGCAAGGACAAAATGAATGGAAAGATTGGTTTAGTAAGTGCCATAGACAAATTGTTAAGAAAAACAATTATTACTTATTAATTAGTAACTAGCAAATCAATTGTTTCTTCATGATCTTTATTATAATTTTGTTTTATTATAACCAAATCATACAATATTGTACAATTTTATTATCATATTTATTTCAGTGCTGCCCTACATACAGAAACCCGAAGAGCATCCCTCATTTAATCTTTACTTTACTAAAGCTTGGCAAGATAGTGTTTTAGTCTCACTCCACAATTTATTAGCAACAGTTTTCCAATGCATGCCACAACCCACATTAATAAACTATGAAAGTGATGCTGCACTAATTAAGCAACTACAAAATGAAATAGCCTCATTAAAAATCAAAGTAAGTTACCATTTTCAGGGTTAAATGTAATAGCACTTGTCTGTCTATCAGTCACATTTCTTTAAATGTACTAGTATTATTAAAATGTATTATTTAAAATGATGTTATTGTAATTTTTTTCATTACAGTCACAGCAACCTACTGAAAAGACTTCACCCATAGGTCATCAATCCAGGCTTGCCCAATATTCAGAACGTCTCAGTGGACCCTTGCCATTAGTTGATGATTTTTCTGCCATACCATCTGAACAGCTCGACAGTGGTAATAGAGAAGCTCGTGGTTTAAGAGGATTGCTTAGGCAAATGGGTGGAAGTCCTGTTATGGGGAGAAAAAGTGGGAGATCTCAAAGCCAAAACTAGGTTAAGCACTATGAAATTATTTTATAACTATTAAAATAAATTTTTTAAATATTACATTAATTACTGTTAATATTTTATTTTTTAACTAAGGGCTCACCCTTGCTTCACTGGGGTTCATCTCTAGACAAACAAATACCACGGGAACCGTCCAATTTTCCGGAATGAAAAGTATCTAAAATGTTGACCGGGTATATAAGGTACCACAATGCTAAATTTCATTTAAATCGGTCCAACAGTTTCGGACATTAGCCCGTACAAACAGACAGAGAAACAAATAATTTTTTTTTTCTATGTACAGACATTTGACCTCAACAGTTTTATTATAGTATAGATACTAATATTTAACTGTGTAAGTAACTCCTTCTCTCTGCCTGTCTAGTCGTCACTGTTTACGCTTAATCCGCTTAAATTGAATTAAATAATTTAAATACAAATGGCTCATAACTTTGGCAAATTGTAGAGAAATTATAATTAACTAGCAGAATACGCGGCTTTGCTCGCGCTAAAACTATAAAATAATCTCTAAAAAGGTAGTTTCACACAAACTTTCATCCCCTATTTTAACCCCTTATAGGATGAATTTCGAAATATGCTAAAACACGTATTTATTTAATTTTATTGAAGCGCATTAATACCAAGTTTCACACCATTCTAATCATAAATATTTTTTGGATTGTATTATAAAGTGTTTTCCCGTGAGTATTAGATGATCACCCGAGGTTAAAAGTAGCCTATGTCACTCCAGCCCTCCAGCTACATCCATACAAAAAATCACGCCAATCCGTCACTCCGTTGCGACATGACTCCGTGAAAGAAGGACAAACAAACAAACACACTTTCACATTTTTAATATTATTATGGATATTCAATTTTTGACTTTGATCAGACTAATTTTGGCATTGAGCAGTGTAAAATATTTTTAGGAGACTAAACAGATGGAAAACTCTCCTCATACTCTCCAATAAAGAGAATCAGTTCAAACCGCAAACGTGAGGCGTGAAGTGAATGATGACCTCACACTTCTGGGCTCTGTCTCTGTGTGTGTAAATGTATCAATGATCATTGACAATAGTGACCATACACACACACACACACACTAACAAAAGTCGGACGAATAAATTAAGCATGGAAATGATTGCTACTTTTAAATCATTATCACGTGATGAAATTACAACAATTTTTCACGTGATTTCACCTGCTACTTTTCACGCATAGATTTTTGATTTCGACGGTCTGGTGTCACACTTTATATTATTTGCTATTAAAATGAAGTATGAAATGTCACCAATGGCGCTACTGATGTGATATGGAGCAGAGATATAGATCTGACGTAGTTGCATACGTACATGGTGCTTTGAATGAACCTATTTTCAAACAATTAACTTTCCCCATACTTCTACAGGCTTGGGACTGGCAATGTAAAATTAAATGAATTTTAAATATATCAGAGTAATCACACGGTAAAATTGTATTAAGCTAAGTCCCATAATTACATTGGCGTATTTAAAAGTTCATTGTTTTTATGTACAATAAGAATTTTTATAAAAGAATTTTATACACTTTTTTTTTGTTTTTCTTAATTTTTTTAATTTGTTTATAATAATTTTTTTTGCTTTTTGATTTTTTTGATGATTGATTTTTTTATGAGATATCTATATACAATAGTCTTCATTGCTTTTTAAAAATACAAGTTCCGCTGTTCGTTTTCTGCTTAATCGTGCTCTTTTTTGGGTTGCAAAATTTCCCGCTTTTGAAAATACTCTCTCACACTCCACTGATGTCACCACGATGTGACAGTGCTCATGAAATATTTCCGCCAAATTGGGGTACATATAGGAGTGAGATTTCCACCAAACTAATGGCGAAGAATCGCGCGGAAGCACTGGTTCATTAATAAACATTTCTAGCTCGTTCTCAGCGTTGGTGGTTATGTCTGTACGTATTACACATAATCATTCAGTAAAAATTATAAGTTTGGATAATTGGATAAAAAACTAAAAATGTGCTCTAAATTTAATTGTTTAACGGTATTAACTGAAAATTGTATTTTGTTGAATAAAAAATCAATAAAAACATCAGTACGAAAATGTATACGGAAAATGCGAGTAACGAAATGCATTCGTGAGTAACGTTTCGGTACTCGGTACTAGATGGCGTACCCGTTACTCAGTAACGAATACATACGGTTTGCTACAGCTCTAGATTTCACCAAGTTGTGATTTGTAGCAGCCACTATGAATTTAAGTAGCAGGTGTGACGTATGATTACGCATTTCACGTGATTTTTCACTTGCTACTCGTGAAATGTTCCATCCCTAGAATAAATAATAGAATTGAATACAGATCAAAAGAAACTTGCGGCAAGTGCGTATTTAAACGTTGGTGCGTATTTAGTGTCGCTTTGCTCACTAGCTCGTAATGTCTATTTACAGCTTAGTTACAATTGTATTATATGTATAGTTAAAAATATGTCGAGCCAAAGCCAATAGTCGACACAACTTCAAACGTCTACTCGGTCTACTGCATAGCTTGCCTCTCCGTTCCCAGTTTATAACTATACTCTTTGCCTCTCCGACTCCGACTTCTCCCTAGAGTAAAAATGTTCCTTGCTCCGACTAATGCACTCGCAAGCATGTAAAATGCATCGACAGACATAGCTTATATTATCTGTGATGCATCCAAGTGTTTGTAAAGTCTTGGAGCTTGTAGACGTTTACCAAGCCTCAGCAAGCGTGTAAATGTAGCGTTATAAAAAAAAACATACTCTTGTTGCTCCTGGTCTATGGCATAGACTACTGCCTAATGGTCTATGGTTAATACTGTCAAAGTGGTTGAAAGCAAGCCGGTTGTGGTTTTGTACGCTTTAGTTTTTTACTCTTTCAAATATGAAATATACAATTAACCATCTTTAAGAAATAATATTATAAATACATTTTTAGCTTCATTGCATACTAATTTAATATTTAGACTAAAATATTATCACGGGCTTAATTATTATCAATATAAGCGGTGGCAAAATTTGCCCTCCAAAATGTCGGGGTAAGTTGCAAACTTATTGTTAATGATGAAGTGTAATCCTTAATATTCCAAATAAATGATTAAAAATTAAAATGTCATTGAAAAAGAAAAATAATAATTATATATTTTTATAATTTCAGTGTTCCTACCTTCATTTTATATTATGTATATTTTTGTCTTTGTGCTTACTAAAATTAATACTTGTGTTTACTAAACTATATCCTTTTTTTAGATCATGTTTACCTTTCAGTAAACTAATATTTTTTTGCTTTATATAAATACTTATACTATAATAATAAAAATTTCTAAGAGAAAGAACAATAAATCTAATATAATTTATTTTCTTTTATAGGAAAGCGTATACAATGAAAGAAATGAAAACTATAGTAGATTATTTAATTGAACACAAAGCTTACAGTGAAACCAAAGGAAGAAAAATGTGGATAGACTTACAAGATTCAAAGGTATAATTAATATTTATGGAATTTTAAGCCTAATCTATATTCCAATAACTAAATTAGTAAATTTATTGGAAATTATGATTTTGCTATATTTCAGTAGGCATACATAAGTAAATTCTAAGATTTTGTGATGAAGAAAGGAAAGATTCAATATTTATGTAAGAAAAAAATATTTTTTGTTAAGAAATTCCGCATTATAATCAAAAAAATAATATCCAATGTGAAGAAGTGTAATTAAATCAAATGAAAATCAAATGCATTTGTATGTATTTTTAATGCTGAATCATAAAAAAATTAAAATAAAAAATTTCATCCAAAATAAAAAATTTTTTGGGGTGAACCACCCTTATCACTTAGGGGTATGAAAAATAGTTTAGGTACTATTCTCAGACCTACTGATTAAACACACAAAATTTCATAAGAATCTGTCAAGCCATTTCGTAGAAGTTATGTTACAAACACTGTTACATGAGAATTTTAAATAATAGATTTTAACAGTACATAAATAAATCTGCGAAATGTGTAGTTATATTATTTTAATCCTTGATGAGCTAAATAAGCTAAAATCATAAATACATGCAACTATAATTAATATTTTAATTTTATTTAATGCATAAATCTTGTTATTATTTTATTAATTTATTAGTCCAAAAAATGTTAATATATTGCATTACATGTATAGTTTTATTATTAAAGTGTGTGTAAAATTAATAAATGATAAGAATCAGGGTACTTACATATTAACACCACCACAGTTACAGCGGCTATGCTATGATTTTAGCTAAACCAATTTGCTCATTATATATTTAGATTTTATTTCCCATTAGCAGTTCACCCTCGCTTTGCTAGGGTTCATGGTACTTTTGTATTAACGACACCGCTGTAGCTGCGGTGGCGTATCAACGTAAGTACCAGAATCAGATATAGAAAGCAAATGACAAAATTAGCCCAAATTAGTGATGTCTAATTTTTTGTTTTGGTATCTGTACTAGTATAGTATTATAATTTATGTCATCTGTGATTTTACATAGTTTTTACTAAATTATACTTTAAAACATTTTTCATACAAACCTTAACCCATTTCCAAATTTCAAAATGTTTGTTTTAAAACACTGATGTATACAAATTAGAATAAGAAAAATATTTATTCGTAGATGTTCAATTTTTCTCCATATATGTACATTTTAAATTTATCCATTTAAACCTTGTTTAAAATATTTCATCCTGTCACTTGTACATTATATATGTTTTATGGTGACAACGGTGTTATATGGTTTTCACAAAGTTGCAGGAAAAAGTTCAAATATGTGAATAGATAATACATATTATTTAATATGAATGTTGGAGACAATAACAAACATGTTAGTATAGCTATGACATGACATCTGGGTGTGCTAATTTTTCCTCAAACATTCTTGATTCTTGCTTTTTAGCTACTTGGTTTTTATTAATTTTAGGTGACAAATCGAACATGGCAAAGTTTAAAAGAAACATTCATTAAAAGAATACTTCCTGATATTAGCAATCCATACTATAAACTGACAACACAACAAATATCTAGCTTTAAGCAAGGGTAAGTTTTGATGGGGAGTCAATTGAATTAAATATGTAGTATAATGTTATAATTAGCAATTATTTTTACAGTTATGACATAGAAGCAAGGATTAGTAATAGACTGCAAATTAGATCAGCAAGTGGTGATTCAAACACAGAGGGTAAGATATGTCTCTTTCTGTCACTTTCTTACTCTATTAATTTCAATAATATTACTATTATATGTTATACAAATCTAGGTGAGAGCCACAAAAGTACTGAAGAACCTGACAGCAATAAAGACAGAACAGGTGAGGATCTTAACCAATCAAAATCAGATCTAAGAGCCTCCACAGAAACACTAGTCTTAGAAAATTATGAAGCCCCTGAAGAAATACAAGAACAAAGCCAATCAAAATCTCTTAGAGAACTTATAACCTACTCCGAACCGTTAACACCAATGCTTCAAGCAGTCATGGATGATTTTGCTAGCGATGATGGTGATGGATCCAATGATGAACCTAAGATGCAAATAGTAGAACAACCAGACTCGGAAACTAATGCAATTGATCCAGATGTTATTCTAGTAGATGGTTCAAATTCTGATGATCAACAAAATTCAAAACCCAAAGAAAGTGAGAAAACTTCAGATAAAATACCATCGTCTAACAAAAATGACACTCAAATTGATGAACCAAAATCAAATGAAAAAGTTCATGGCAAAGACCATAATGATGAATCTTCTATCTTTCTTAATGGAAGTGACACGAGTCCTAGTAAAGAGCGAAGTGTTACCGAGTTAAAAAAAAGTAATGCAGAAAATCTAAGCACTGAAAACAAACTAACGCAAAATGCTTCGAACTCTACAACTGATACTTTTTTGCCTGACAATCAAGAAGGGTATAAAAATAAAGAAACTAAAATAAAAGAGAGAACCAAAGCAAACTTAAAAATAAGTGATGCAAAACGTGGGAAGAGAAGAGCCAGTTCACAAGATAATCCTGCAAGTAGCCAAAAGAGATTATTGGAAAATGAAAAGCAAACTAATTCAGATGTAGATATTCTCAAAAAAGCTAATAAAAAAATAGATTTAAAAAAACTTATAGAAAATATACCAGAAGTAGTGGAAGCGTCCACTGGTAAAGAATCTAATAGTGAAGCTAAAAATCAAGATACAGCTGCAAGCAAAGAGAAAGAGAAATCAAATGAAATCATGCAAATTGACGAGATAAGTACCCCAGAAAACGAAAACCCCTGTTTAAAGAGCGTAAGCCTGTATGAAGAACAGTTTTCAAGCAAGAAGTATACAGATTCTGAAAACAGTAACGTTGAAGGTCAAAAGAAAGAAAAAAAGAAAAGCAATCAAAAGGATGAAAAAGCGGAAGCCACTAAAACAGTAACCGTGAGTAATAAAGCTAAAGAAGTGGTGGTATTGAAATCCAATTCTGAATCTTTAAGCGATTCAACAAACGAGCCAGCTAAGAGAGTTTCAGATAGACTTCGCCAGCAAAGGGCTCTAGCGAATGTTTTTGGATTTAACAGTGGTAAGTGCAATGTTCCATATATAAGGTATGTGCATGTTGTAGTGCTCTCTTCTTTTTTAGGTAAAATATAGTATTATGGTATAACATGTTAAAAAATGTGGTGTTTAATAAAGAAAATAAAAAATAACGAAAATATGACGCATCTTAAATTAATATAATGAAGAGCTGATTTTTCATTTATCAGAGAAAAGTTATACTTATACCACAACTATAATTTGACGACGACAATTAACTTGAAATATCCGATATGTAGTCATTTTGTTTTATTTACTAATGTTTGTCTTGTAAAAGTTCAGCAAGTATTATTTTTTAAATTTATTAAGGAAGTGTTATGGGTATTAAAAATATGGTGTATATATCCTTCTAATATTCAAAAAACATTAACAACGATTTTTCTAGGTGGAGTAAATAGAAATCGCAGAAGAGGGAACAGTTTTCGAAAATCTCGAAATTCTCGAAATTCAATATCTCGCCATAAATCAATGTGAGTATTGTTGCTATTTTACAATATAACATCTGTAATATATTAAAAATTTTATCTGTTATTCTTATGTTTGACCTTCGATTAACAATACTACTAGATAACGTGTCACATATAAAATCAAAGCTAAATTATGTCCGCGCGAATATGTACTTATACAGCTATATTTGTGTACTAACGAACCAAGACAAAGTCTTATAATAGTTTTATTTTCAACCTAATCAACACCATACCACCTTGCACTAAAGTCACAAATCTTCAAATTATAATTAAACATTTACGACCATTTCTTAAGTTTTATAATCTTTATTGTAAAATCAACCTTATATCAAAAAACTCAAAGCACTTTTTCCCGTTGTTGCTTTGTGAGCTAAATCGTTATGTTTTGTTTCTGTTTGCTTCGTAAAATTTGCGCGTGTATTGGCCGACCTGGGCCAACGTTCTTAGCGGATTTAAAATTGTTCACAATTTCATGTTTATATCATTTCGTAGGTTAAATCTTAAAATATTGACTTAATCTGCATGTAGTCTGTAAAATTTTCTCTTCGTGCATTATTTTTGTAACTTTTAAATAAATATCGCATTGTGAACGTGTTTACGCTGGCAGTGTTTCAATAGAACTAATCGAAATATACGCTCACTTTGCAAGTTACCGAGACGGATTTCTTACGCCGACTAGATATACAGTACGAGTAGTATTGTTGATCGAAGTGTTTGACCTATTTTAAAATGCATGTCCCCCCCAACGTGCGTTCACCTTGTCGTGGTGGGGGGGCTCAGTAGTAGTAGTACGAAGCTAAGAAACGCACAGGGAGGTTGCCCACTTCGGTGGGCGGTGGGAGGTGGCCCTCTTCGGGGGGCGGTGTACCTTGCGGGTTGCTCCTGGTACTTCTCTGATAGCAGAGTGGACCTTGGAGCAACCCCAAGGTTGTGGTGGTCTGCTGTGGCAGACCTGCCGTCGGGGCGTCGTAGTTGAATGCGTAAGCGATCCTGCGACGCCCCATTAAGACGGGGGAAGGTTTTGTTGGGTTTTAGTGGGTAGTACTGGCTGTATTACGCCGGTGAGTCCCACACGTCGTGCGTAAATGCATTTCCCAACGTTAAAAAAAAAAATTAAAATGCATGTACTTAATTTGGGTATATATTTATTTTTTTGTATGTTAATAGGATTTCATGTTTCTTTTCTAATATATGTTGTAAAAGTAAATAACTCAGGGTAGTCTAATTTTAAAAAAAAAGTAAGAGGAAAAAAAATCGTATGTATCTCGTGATGAGATCAGCCTTCATTACAGACATTAGATGTAAGATACTAGTGACTATTTATTGAAGTGAAAACTTCTATAGGCAGGTTTGGATGGGGAGTAAATTCATGTAAGTCGTCATCGACATGGTCACGTGACGTGTTAACGCTAACACTCAGAGCGCCGACAGATGTCAAAACCAAACAAATGTAAACAGTTTTAATTTAAGATCAAACAATTGGAATATCCACAAATAACAATTGTGTGTTTATAAAATTTTAAGTTTTCACTTCTGTCGGCAGTCCTCACGACTGGTTTTTTTATAATACTATACAGGCAGCACCACCTTTAGCAAATGTTAGTACCAACAAAAGCCTATGTGCTATTCCAGGTCATAGTTTATCTGTGTACTAAATTAAAGTAATTAAAAAAAGGATAACAAACATACATACTTTCAAACTTTCGCATTTATAAAAGTAATGTAATTACAATCACTTTTTTACAGTAATATGAGCACGGACTCGACCGAATGGACCTCTGACACCGGGTCGGAGTACGTGTCGCCGCCTCGAGGACGGAGGAACAGACAGACAAGAAAATATTTGTTAGAAACTTATATATATGTTTATTGATTTAAAAAAAACATAGAATCAATAAAGGAGCTGGTATTTGCTTAGTTCAGGATATACGAGCCTAATTTAAACTAATAGTTCTGCGAACAGTAGACCGCACGAGGACAAACTGCATTTTGATGAGCTATACTGCTCTTCACGCCGAAGATCCTCATCAGATCTTCACCAATTTTTTTTGAGACCAAATAAGTTTGTACGTTTTAAATAAAAGAAAAACCTTTGAAATCGGTCCTCATAAGACGGAGATATCCAGTAGCCTGCTTTTTGGAGGAAGTACCCCTCCAATCAAAAATCCCCTGCGACAAAAAAAATCGATTAAGTCTTAAAACCTGTATAACAAGTTTCCAGATCGGTTGTAAAAAACGACCTGTAGAGGATTACCAACAAACTGACAGAGGAAAGCAAATTTTGATAGACTTGAAGCAGAGACGCTTCGCTCGGTAGCTTAATCCCTCCACGACTGCGGACACCCCGAAGTGTCAGTTAACAATAGATTTCTTAGAATTTTAATTAATTTCTCAGAAATTTACCCGGAGGTGTAATATACTCCTTAATACACAAGCTTTTGTTAAACTTGCAATGTTTGTATCTATATTTGTTCAGGTCAAATCTTGCAATTGAATTTTAAAGCAGTTATCGTCATTTTAAATAAAACTATCTTTTCGGATTTTGTCGCGGATTTATTTGTATTTTTGTTTCCCGACGTTTCGAATGCTTTACAGCATCCATGGTCACGGGAGAGACTGAAATCTAAGAAAGTATTATTCAGTTATCGTCAATCGATTGAGGTGAAATTTTGCATACACGTTTAGTTTGGACTAGCGACTCACCCTCACTTCGCTAGGGTTGGTAGGTTGCTTCCCCATATCAATTTTCGTCCCCATTTTCTCTGTCTTAAGGAATTATCTATTTTTTTTTAAATGTCTTTATTATATATATTATATTAAACAAACAAAAAAAACTTTCCTCTTTATAATATTAGTATAGATGACAATATGGCGGACTCTCAAAGATGCGGAATATGTTTTTTATGCACCTCCATGATATGGATATCAAATGAAAGGGTTTGGCTGAGAGGGATACGAATAAAAACTAAAAAATAAAAAAATGAACTTTAAATTAAATCAAACCATATTTTTTTATAACACTACACAATTTATATGATATAAAAGCTTGTTTTTAAGAATTTTTTCTCAATATTAATTTATTTTATTTAGTATGTTACGCCAGTTACCTCTTTTATAAACTACTAGCGGACCCGACAGACGTTGTCCTGTCTACACGTCTTTAATTTGAAAATTTCAAACTTTTTTTAATAAGCTAAAACATTCTGGACCATTTTGATGAAAATTATTATTCAAATTGTGAATCTAAACCATTCCCAGATCGCCTTGAACACACACAAAAAATTTCATCAAAATCGGTCCAGTCGTTTGAGAGAAGTTCAGTGACATACACACTCACAGAAGAATTATATATATAAAGATATACATATAAGTGACTTTTCATTTTGAATTTAATCACTTCTATTTAGGGTTTTGTAAAAAAAATAATATTTATTTTAATTTTTATAGAAAACCCAAATCGGCCCGTGTGTTATCGCTCGAGGAAGAAGGCGGGCTTTTTGTAATGTATGGGAAGAAAATTTATCCTGTTGTGAAAGATGGCAAAATTATCAAAAACTATGTCTCTTATACACCAGAAGGTAAGAATTTTCATAGTATGTAAACTTAAAATAAAAGTACTAATTAATAAAAAGTAATCAAATGTTTAGTCAAATTTTTTCATCTTAAAAATTACAACAGTACTCAAGTTTTGAATTTATTATTTTTTTAATTTAAGGTTACTTATAATTGAATTCAATGATTTTTACCAGTAAAAGCTTTAAAATGAATAAATATAGTATAGTCTAAGTTAAATCTCATTCAATATTGCTTTGCTAGATGATGTTGATCCGGAGGAGTCATACTGGAAATTGAAATATGTTGAAGAAAAGAAAAGGACAGCAGAACTTACTAAGTAATATTCGTTTATCGTATTTATTTCCTATACAATCTCGCACTAAGGTGGAATAACCTTAGTCCGAGATTGTATGATATATTTTGTATAGTAGTATTATTTACAGACAGAGTGTACAATAATGTTTAATTTAAATAAAAAAAAGCACTAAAAAGTAAAAAAGTAAGTGATTAGTAGTTTTCATGTACTATAGATACCTAATCAGATATTTTCGAAGTTGGTGTGCTTTGGTGACTACCAAAAATTACCAAACAGCTAGATGTTACTTGTAGTGTTTTTTTTTTGAAGTCGGTTTTTATTTTATTTTTTTCCATTTTTAGTGTAGACAAAGTAAGAAGAGAGTATTTAAAAAATTCAGTAGGTGGAAAATCAATCATCCCCTGTTTTCTATGTGGATTTTTTTTTCAAATTTAAAATCAGACCATCCTGTAAAAATTTATGCGTGGTCAAAGATAAAAAAATATACGTGTCAAATTGTGAACCTCCTTCATGTTTTTCGTCTTTTAAATTAAAAATAATATGCAAATGACTATGCTTTTACTGAGTGTTAATTAAATAATTAAAATAGCTAACGGATTTTATTATAATATAAAATAAAAAAACTAATATTGTGCTAATATTTTCAACTAATGCTTAAAAATAAAAAAGAATATAGTATTATTATTCATATTTAATAAATGTATATTAACGTAATTAATAGATATATAAAATTTCCTGTATTCTTTTAAAAAAGCAAACAACCTGTATGTTAAAAATCGAGAATAGTAGCATAAACTGAAAATTATGCTACTTTTTTACTTCGACATATTAATTTTTAGTGCGAATAAACAATATGTATGTACTTATAAATAAATATTTTTTAATAAATATGTTGGGACATTAACACACAGCACTATAGATAGTTGATACACTACAGATATAAAAACTTTAAATACATACATATTATAAATATAAACACTCATGACTGGAGTACAAACATTCGTGCTCATCACACAAATGAATGTCCCCAGCGGGACTCGAACCCGCGACCGTTGGCACAGCGAGTAGGGTAACTACAAACTGAACCAAACGTGTCGTCAAAAAACTTATAAAAATTTAAATACAAATAATTATTTACAGATTATTAAACCAAGGTAAAGATAAAAGTGACACTGACACCAGAGTTCCTGTTATACCATCGACTTCAATGTGAGTTAACTATTCAAAGTATAAATACATATATATACAAAGTTTATGACATTGGCAATGTAATCACATATATATAATTGCTGAAGTAGTCAGTGCTCTCGACTGGCACGCTTTGAAGACATTGACAAGATAATTGAATTGAACTATATATAGTTTTATTTAATACATTTTTTTTAATTTTCGTATTAATTATTACTTTTAATATATATTTCCTCTTTTAGAAGTAAAGCGCTTGTAGACAGTCCATCCAAAAAAGAAACAGAAAAAATAGTCTCAGGTAATTGTTTAAGAATATGGCTTTATAGGATGATATTGAATTATTTGGATTTTTTAATATTTGCAATGTGATACTTGTTATAATAATTTGTATATATCTTTATAGATAATATAGCGATATATAACGCTGCTACAGAAGATAAAACAGTGAAACTAAAGGTCACAAAAAATAACGAGGTAAATAATATTTACATTATGTATTTGATTTTTTTAAACATAAATCTATACTATAACATTTTAAAGAGGTAACGTTTGTGAGTTTGTGAGATTATGAGTTTGTGACGTTGTAGTGGGTAATCTCTGGATCTACTGAACTGATTTAGATGAAATTTGGTAAGAAGATAGTTTGAGACCGTGAGAAGGACATAGAATACTTTTTGTCCCAGAAATCATCCTTTAAGGGGGTAAAAATGGGGATGATAGTTTGTATAGGGAATCAACCTAGGGACGAAGCGAGAGTGAGTCGCTAGTGTTCAATATAATAATAATGTCATCCCGATCGATTCCGGCCACGGCGGTCAATCTCATTGAGAGTAGCCAACTGCGCAGGAGATATTATAGTACAGACACAACGTGCACACTCTACGAGTATTTATGTCACTCTCAAAGTCCAGTGGGACGATACTTCGACACTCGCGGTGAGGGTGTCGGCGCAGGACCGACGCAACACCTTTTTCTTTTTTTTTAACGTTGGGAAATGCATTTACGCACGAGGTGTGGGACTCACCGGCGTAATAAAGCCAGAACTAACCAATATAACCCAACAAAACTGTCCCTCGTCTTAATGGGGCGTCGCAGGATCGCTTAGGCATTCCACTACGACGCCCCGACGGCAGGTCTGCCGAAGCAGACCACAACAACCATGGGGTTGCTCCAAGGTCCACTCTGCTATCAGAGAAGTACCAGGAGCATTACATGCATGCAGTACATGCTAACCACTACACCGCCGACGCAATCAATATAATAAAAGGGTAACCTTTAAGTACCTAGATATTTTAACATTTAATTGGATCAATTAGAATACATCCAAAGAGAGTATCCAGTGTGTTGTACAAGTATTTATCGTACATATTTAAAAAGAAAAAGTGTCACTGCCTAGTGACACTTTTTTTTTTAAATATGTACGATAAATACTTGTACAACACACTGGACATTTTGGTCCATGCCGTTTTTTTATTATTTTTATTTGAAATTGATTTTTCCTTGTTCTTATTGGAAAATTTTCTGCATTAAATTGTTTCGAGTGGCTTGGTAAAAAATTAAAAGAAGTCTATATAATGCCATAAGATTTTCTTATGGACTAAGTTCACTTTAGTAATTTAAGTATGTTCGCATCTAGTAGACTGTAGATAACTGAATGAATTCTATTGAATTTATACAGGATTTTAGGAGTTTATTTTGTTGTGGGATGGTGCAGTGGGGCGAAATTTGTTTTTTTTTTCAATAGGAAGCTATATTATCGCCAAGTATTGTGTGTTATTTTTTATATCGCTAAAAATGTGTTTGTCAGAAATCATGATAATTTTAATAGAAGTCAGAAAAAAACTGGACATTGGGTTGGGTCAATTTATCAGGGTAAACGTCTTCTTCGGTTGGACACATATTTAATCATATATTAAATACTCTTATAATCAAAAGTAAGCGTAGTGGGTGGTCGACCATATATAGAAGATATATGAGCGCTTTACTAAAGTAGGGCTTACATTGGACTTAATGCTATACTATATTATACTATACTTAATGTATAAACATTCTACACTTGAGCAGGAAGTGCAGCTGGAGGGTCACTGGTCGCACGTGAACCCCGTGCTGGCGCAGGTGCTGCAGCTGCTGCAGCGCGAGCCCGCGCCGCCCGCCGCACCCGCGCCCGCGCCACGTGACTGCGCCTCCGACGCGTCCAGCGTCAAGTCCGCCTCCGTCGTTGTCCTTGAGCAAGGTATGCCCAGCTATTCGCATTTGTGTGTGCGTGCGTGTGTGTAAATTATTATGCATGCGTACGTGTGCGCGTGCATGCGTTTCTGTCTCTCCTTCTCCCTCCCCCTCCCCCCTCCCCATCCCCTCTCTGTCCCTGTCTCTCTCTCTGTGTGTGTGTATCTTTCATTCCATGAATAGTTAGTAATAATGATACCATGCTCATTTTACTCACTTAAATAATCACTATTATTTTTTTACGACATTTGTTTGATTTGATTTATCTACAATTAATACAAATACTTGCTTCATGTGGGGTTACAATTCATAAACCTTTGAATTATAATTTATAGTCAATGCCAGCTAGTGTTATTGTGGAGGCTTATTGTATTATAGAGTTGATTCTTATTGTTTATATGAAATCAAATTTTGCAGATGTTAGCGCAAGAGTCGACGAACTAGAAAAAGAAATATTTGAAAAAATAAAACAAAAAGAAGACGAACATATTGATTCAGACAAGGAAGAAATTGATATGAAACCAGCTGAACCACAAGGAACCCCGAAGAAAGAAGATGAAAATGATAATAACTCAAATGAAAACATCACAAAACGGTAATAAACATGTTCTTGCTTTATATATTTGCAAGTGTATATTTAATGTGATGCGATCATTTGGCATTTAATAAAAAGTATCGAGGCTTGTCATATTATATTTATTTCATCAACATTATAATTCCATATAAATAAATATTAATAATAAAATAATTATGTTTTCAGCAAAGGTCGGCCGAGAAAGTCTGAAACAACGCCCACTGCACCTTCTCCGGCAAAAAAATCTAAACTAGATGCAGAAGTACAAGTAGAATCATCTATAGCTACAAGAAGATCGCTCCGGACTTCTAGAAAGATATCAGGTAAGAACACTTTACTATAAACTTAACTTTTATAACTAGTGAATTACTCTGGCTTTGCTCGGGTGCGTTCCTATGTAGTTTTTAACTTTTTTTCAGTGGAACCTTAATTCTTTTTTCTAAAATAAAAGTAGTCTTAAGTTACTCTTGATAATATCGACTACCTTTCAGTGAAAGTCCCGTCAAAATCAGTCCAGCCGTTTTGGAGGAACAAACAGACAGACAATTTTTTTTAAAATAATGTTTTTGTTATAAGTATCATAAATAATTTCATATGCGCTTAGTAAAAATCTGTTTCTGACACTTCAATTCAGGGGTCTAAAAAGTATTAACAAAGGCGGCAAAATCCCATATAATGTCAAACTTCAATTAATCGATTAAGTCCATCACGTTATTTTGTTAAGTAACTGACTTGTTTAACATTAAAATACAGCTTAAATTAAAAGGTATCAAATTCATAGTTATATAAATACATTTTAACAATAAATATGTAATATATTTTAAATGTTATTAGTTGTTTGTAAATGACTAACTGGACTTTGTCGCCTTTGTTATTAGAGCCCTCTGAATTATATTTATCTATATAGATGTACATAAAATACTTCAAATATATATGTTTAATATTAAGATTGTACATAAGCAGTGAAATTTCTACTGTGTATGATGTCTTAACATTGCCTTAGTGCATTGCATTTGTTGAAACGACCAATATTTGTTGTATTTTAAAGTAGAACGAAATTATTTTTTTCAGCCTTATTAAAATAATGTGTATTTAAAACCAATAGAAATGACATTTATAAAAACCGACTTCAAAAAAAAGCACTAAAAGTAAAAAATAAGTGATTGGTAGTTTTCATTTACTATAGATACGTAATCAGATATTTTCGAAGTCGGTGTACTTTGATTTGTATTGGATGGCACCGACTTCGAAAATATGTGATTATTGTAAATAAAAACTATCAATCAGGTATTCATTTGTTTTCTTTTGAAGTCGGTTTTCATTTTATTTCTTTTTAAGTTTTTATAATAAGTAAGAACGATCTAAAAATTTTTTGTAAATTTAGTCACGATATGGCTCCAAGCCCATTTTTCTTTCAAAAACTCACATTATGTCGTCGCGTGTGGCTACGAGTAGTTAGCTGATACTTGGAAGTCCAAAATACTGAAACTAATTTTACAGCCGATATGAAATTGATAGGTGAAATGTTTCTCATACTATTTCATTTTTATATATATATATATATATATATATATATATATATATATATATATATATATATATATATATATATATATATAAACAAATCTATCTTTTGTGTTTGTATTTTTTCCGAAATAAAAAGAAATGTACGTGCTATTCCAGACTATAATCTATCTCTGTGCCATATTTCATCCATATCTGTTCAGCCATTCTGGTGTGATTGAGTAAGAAACATCCATCCAAACTTTTGCATTTATAATATTTATGGATAGATAACTAACTATAAATATTTATTAATAATTCTTCTTTTTCCCATACACAGATAATAATGAAGTGAAAGAAAATAACACTCCAAAAACTCGCCAAAACACAGCAACAAAGTCAAAAAAATTGGAGACTCCTGTGAGTGATGACATTAACGAAGTCAGGTTCAAGTTCCCTTCTTCTGCCGAGAAAAGTACTAACAAACCTAAAAAGGATACGAAAAATACAAGACTACGAAAATCTAACAGGTAGTGAGTGGATGTCATTCCGTACATCTCAATTTCCTTTCTGGCAGATGTTATGGTACATCACTATTGTAGTCAATTTCTTTTATAACTTTTTTTCTATAATGTAAATATCACTGGCTATATCTGTATAGTGACGTGACTATTTTCCTTTACTTACATATTTTTTTATTTTAGAACTAATTAATGTATATTTTTTTACTTTTCTTCCTAGTTTAAATCGTTTATTTGTTGAACTAATAATAGTGATGTACCACCTAGTAAGTTTTGGTATATGTCATAGGATTAATTGAAATAATTTTTTACAGTACAAGTATGACTATATTTTTAATCATATCAAATGGATTAAATATATTAGTATAGACGTAAATTGACTAGATGTGAAATATTTTTTTGTCCTTAATAAGTCATACATTAATGCGTTTTACACTGAGTTATCGTTTCGTAAGTCCATTCATAAAATACGTCACGCAAAATTTCGCCTTTTTTAAATGTCTCAGTTACATGCAAAAGTATTTTATAAATGGCCCCGTTTCATTTATTTTTTTTGAGACTGAAATATGCCAAAATTGTTGACAATTAACTGATTTATCGTAATGATTTGTGATTGTGCTTGATTTTATTTTTACATTTAAATTTTTAAATATTATACATTACATGTCTAATAAAATTAGTTTTAAAATCTATTCTAATAAGGTAATATTAAATCTTTTAAATGCAAGTAATATATACATTTAATATTATTTATAGTTTATTTTACGAAATAGCACTTTTAAATTAAATAATGCATGATATTGTTTATATTTATTATAAATTTGCTTTCCTCTATGCAGTGTAAATCATAATTTTAAGTATATTAAGTACTGCACAATGCTTTTGCATTGTTCACAGATAACTCAGTGTAACCTAGATATAATAATACATTGATTAGTACCTATTTGAAGTTTATAAGTAAATCATGAAGTTTTATGTTCTTATCCCAAAATCTTACGCTACATCTACTCTTATAAATAAAATACTTTAGTGATGTATATTTTTTAACGTTCTTCCATTTATTTTTAAATTGAGAAAATATTTTTAAAATGTCTTTGTAATTTTTTTATTCTACACGTAAGCGGTAGTTAAAGAGCTAGACAGTTAAAACCGTTAAATAATAAATGGGAGCAGGTCGTATAAATAAATATGTTAACATACCAAAACTTTTTTTATTTATCAACTCGTATTATAATAACTTATTTCTATAGTATATATATAATGTATATCTTATATATAAATAAAGTTTATAATTTATTTAAAAAATTGCCACATTTGCTAATTTAATTATATTCTTTATTGACATAAAAAAAGTTTTTATTTTTATATCATTCATATTTAACATTTATATGCATGTATTATTATAGTTAACCTGCTTCCATTGTGATCGAGTTGTTCTCAAAGCTTACTGTTACTGGCTTGGTCTTTTTGCACTTTAGCTTCTGCCCCCTATTGCAACTTGCATGTTCACGCTGTTTGCTTCATACATGTTTCTTTTAACAGCTCGACGCACTTCAAAATATACACATCGCCAGACAACTTATCTCACAATTCCAATGAAAGTACTCAGGGGTACGTCGATTCAGACCCCAGCCCCACTAAAATAACTTTAAGGAAAAAAAGAAAATCGAGCATCACTATTCCGGCTTATAGAACTAGAAGTCAAACTAGGAAACAAAATTTATCCCATCCCTATTTGACTGATGATGTGTCGAGTGATTCTAGTAACTCCTTTCAAGGTCCAGTTGAAACTCTAACCTTCCAAAATTCAACTCTGTCTTCTGACATATATAAATCAGATTCTTATCAGCTCTTAATCAATAATAACACCTCAATGCGAAATAGAAATCTATCCCAAAAATTAGATAAAATCGACGAAATTGTTCCATTTGCACAAGAAACAGAAAATTCGACAGAGCAGAATATTGAAGCCCTTTTTAATTTAAACGAAAATAATAATTTCGAACGGAAAGACACAATTTCCCAAACAAATACAGATTATTCAAGTAATATGACAATGCCAACATCACCAGCTTTATCTATAGTTGAAAATATATCTATAAGTAAGAGCATGTTGAATAATACCGACGATTTTGTCTTCGATGGTGACTTAAATGGAAATGGAACAGAAAGAATAACGCTTAATAATTTCATGACACCCACATTGGATGTGTCCATGCCTTTAATGGAACAAGAGTGTGACATTGATACAAAAATTCATGATGGTGTTGAATACCACTATAGTTTGTGTGCTCCAAAAACACCTTCAATTATCTCTGAATCATTTCTTAATAAAATAAACACTGTTAATATACAAGACCCGACATCGGACAGCATTAACGATAAGCTAAAGAACTTAATATTGGAGAGTACTAAAAAGAGGATAAAAAATAACTACAGTGTAGATGAAAATATGGAACAAGATGAAATTATAAATACTGATGATAAAAAGAGTAAATTCAAGAAACGAAGTTCAACGCCTCGCAAACGGCAAACTACATCTAAATTGAAATTAATTCAAAATGAACCGTGCATTGAAGAAGAGCACATGGAGACTTGTTCCCAACTCAGCCGCAAGTCTTGCCCACCGGTTTTGCAAATATTTGAAGAGATAAATAATAACAACGAAGCGATTGCCACCATTGAAAAAAATATTGATAAACCGAAAAATAGAAAAAAGAAGGATATTATTAAAGTAAAAATTGATAAGCCTAAGAGAAAACGCAAAGAAAACGAGCCTGATTTAAAGTTGAAAGAACAACCATACCAAACTAACAAGGAACAACATCAAAACCATGAAACAACAAACAATAACCAAATAGACAGTGGCATAAACGAGACGCAATCTAGTATATTTCTTCAAATGTCTGAGGACAGCGTGGATTTGATTCACAATCACTCAGAAACATGTCTCAACGCGCACGAATGTTTGGAAGCTAGTGTGAAAATCATTGATAATTCCACAAAATCTATTATATCCATTGATTCAAATTCGATGCTGTCTAACGAAGATTCTAATAAAGATTACTTTAAAAATTTATCAGATATATTGGCTCAGGAGTTGTATTATAATGACGCGCAAGATGGAACACAAATGATTAAAGGTATTATTGTCTTTTTTTTAATAACTTAACAGTTACAAAAAAATATCAATATCAGTAAATAAAAAACGCAGATATAAAATATCAAGTCTAAATCAATATAAAATTAATAGTTAGATGGTACAGTAAGTTCTAAATAAAATATATAGACATCTCTGTCTATACGATATTCAAAATATCTGAAAAATGTATGTATATTTATATATATTTTGTTGTTACAGCTACCTCTAACTACGGTTCGGAATTCAGGCAAAACAACGCTACTGCTACAGTCTTCCACACTCCGCTGGGAAGCCTGTCGACACCTAACAGTCTGATCACAGAAGACCTATCTGATGACGCTCTCCCAAAGCCCGCTTGTAATACTAAATGGTATCTCTTCTCTGAAGATGAAACGTCTAATACGAATGCCTTTGAAGTTGATCGTAATTCCGGCTATGGGGCAAATTTAAACGATATATTCCCACTAACATGCGCCGTTCCAGACTTGTCCACCATTACAGAAATGTCCAAAGATGTTGACGAAAATACAAGGAAGTTCGGTGAAGATACGAACAGTAGAAATGATTTCGATTCTCAAAGTTTATTCAATAATTATTAGAAGGTTTTGTTTATTATAAGATATTATTATTGCTGTGCATCTTTTTTAAATGATATGAATTAATAAAATATATAATGAATGATATATTTGTTCGTGTTTATTATATTATAGTTCAGAACATATAATATAGCTTACATTTATGTTACGATATACGGGATTTTTACCCAACTGCGGCGAAGCCCAAAGGAGGGTTATGTGTTTGAACTGTATGTATGTCCGACACTATGTTGCCACGTAGTTACTAAACGGCGCACACGATTTTAATGATTCATGTCGTTAGATTCATCTTGCTTACGCGAGTGGCATTATATGGTATTTAAAAATGCCAATTTGTGTCTTGAACTTTTTTTTACGGTCAAATCAATCGAGTGGAGTATCAAAATATTCAGGTTTTTAAAAGGCGATTACAAAAATATACATATACAACTTTTATGTTAAAAAATATTTTAGGTTAAAAATATTAAATAAAACTAAAAATGTTTAACTGACTAAAACTAAAAAGCTGCAAATAAAAAAAACAAAAATAATAAAGTCTGACTGGGTAAAAAGCGAACCAAAAAAAAAGAGAACAAGTTGACGAAGGAACACAATTATGCAGTCGAAAGACACATATTTAGTATTTACCCGTTTTATACAAGATGTAAGTCTTCTTCTTCGTCGCAATGTAATACATAATGTTTCGCTTTTACGCAGTCCGAGTTATTTTATCTTTTTTTTTAAATTTCGTGATTTAAAGTTCTGACATTATTTATTACAGAACAGCTTGCGGCAGAATTTATATATCAGAATTAATAATATCTTCTGTACATAAAATAGCAACCAAGCAAAATCTGTATATAAAATAATGACTGTTATGTACACATTGTGTACGGATTATAGTTAGTGTACCTCAACACCGTAGTTGTCGAAATTTCTGCCTGTTCTCATTGTATCTGTTTGCTTTCCACGCAACAAGTACTGAACGGGTTAAAAAAATGTGTAGCGTTAACTTAATATGGGGCATCCATTCATTACATGACCTGATTTTCTTTCAATTTAGACTCCTTTCGTGAGGTGCAGGGCTTGAACCGCTTTAAAAAAGCGATTTATTTCGGTAATGTAATGGTGAATTCATTATTCGTTCTTTAACCGGTTAATGAAAACGAACGGCTTTGTAAACCTAAATAATAATGGTTAACGATTATACTTACAGAAAGGTTGGGTTTTGGTTTTGATACCGAAATAAACCGGTTAATTTATTCATAAGTTAGAAACGTATATGCATCCTTCTGCTAAGCCATTCACCATTAGCAAAGACGCGCCTAATGTAAACACACAAAAACTCACCAGTCAGTCTTTTACCTTACATATAGACAACGCAACGGATTAGTAATGAATCGTATAAAATATTTAATAATTTAACTAAGTTTTAATATTCATTTTTGACTAAAATTTCTTAAGCCACTGATTTATAGACGTAGACATCCTAGTTAAAGTAAACTAAACTATTGTGAAAAACATGAAAGAAAATTATAGGTACACTATTATGTTTCAAAGTCCACTTCTATTCTTTTTAAACTCCATTGCTATTGGCTATTTGCTAGATTAAATTTACGATATGTACCTTTCTAATATAATATACTATCACATAAGCCAAACATCTGTATTAATTTATTATCTTAAAACTTTTTTATTCTGTTTAAATATGTCAATCAATTCAATTTTTGTTATGTTGTCAGCTGCTGTTGTCTGTCAAAGTGTCGGAAAATATATAAACATTACGATTACGCTCCCTTTCATATTTATTCATTATTAAATATTTAAATACGATAAAATATAATTATTTTAATAATTAATATGATTTTTTGCAATTCTATGTTATTTGCGTAACACAAAATGTGTAGAATTTTTCCCTTAAGGATAGCTATTAAAGATTCGTTGATTTTAATTCTTCTAGTTATATTTAATACAATTCATGTAACTGATTTGGGTAAGTAGGTGCAAATTAGTAACAGATTTATATATTTTTATATCTAAAACATTTGAATTCGTTTATATTTTTCTGAGATAATTTAGTAAGTCTAGTGTTTACTTCTATTACAGCTAATAATGATATGGATATTCAAAGCAAGCAGAGCAAAACCAAAGATGATACTAACAACAAGATTGTGAATTTTAATAGCAATGAAGATTATTTGAAGAACTGTCCAGTGGAACAGGAAAATGTATCGGACTGTTCTGTACTTAATTATCCTTGTATCAACTGTAATCGGGACATAGACTGTATATATGGAGGATTCTATAATTATACATGTGTTGTGAAGCCCAAGATAATATGCAATGTAATATCCTCATTTTGATTTTTCTTACTGTAAATTGTTATTTTTTATATTGAGTGGTTGTTATGTATATAATTTACAGTATATTGATTTGTTGAACATTCCAAGCAACTTTATACCTCTTCATTCATTTTTTACATCATATTTTTTCTAATATCTTTAAAGCCTTGGTTTATATACTTAATATTTTTTATATTTTCAGGGTTCAAAGACATTTAACAGAACAGCTATGTGCCGTTTTTGTTATCAGACAGAGAAATGGGAACACCGGTGTGATCAAAAAGCTAACTGCAATTCTTTAGCTTCACCAACCAAATATTACTTGTGAGTTTCAATCTATCCATATCTTCCTTAGTTAATAATTAATTTGTAATTAATACACATTTTTATAAAGTGCATTAACTTAATATCTTACTCATATTTTAAAAACTAAATATACCTTTTTATAATATAAATTGTATTTAATTCTATTATTTTTAGAACAAATTGCACAGTGTCTGATGATGTAATCTGTTTGGGAAAACGAAAATTTTTGAAGAAAATCCGATGTTCCTGGACCTCTGGGACTAGGTGGGGCACTGCACTTATCTTGGCTCTTACCCTTGGCGGCTTTGGTGCTGATAGGTTCTACCTTGGACATTGGCAAGAAGGCATTGGAAAACTCTTTAGTTTTGGAGGTTTAGGTGTCTGGACTCTAGTGGATGCACTCCTTATTGGCATCCATCACCTTGGCCCAGCTGATGGATCTGTATATATTTAATAAATTAGCTTTAATCAACATGTAACTATTTAGTATTAAAATTTTAATTTATAATAAATGTGTTTTCGTTTCTTGCTTTATTAGTATTATTGACATAGATAACACTATATATTAAAGTTATAATCCCTCCACGACCGCGGACAAACCAGTGTGTCAGATAACAATAGTTTTCTTAGAATTTTAATTAATTTCTTACAAATTTATCTGGAGGTGTTAATTATCCGATATGAAAATAATAATGAAGTTTAGAAGATCCTACATTGAGCTATTTTTGTTTGACTGCTAACCAATAGATCGCGTTGATTCATGAGTTGCCAAAATAGTGTTTTTTTATAAAAACGTAAAATATAGCTTAACAAGTATGCTCGCCGGAGACATGTACATGTTTTATAATATCCGCGAGTCTTGCTACGTATGTGTGTCTTGGACTACATTATACTGTTCCTTCGTCGACTTGTTCTCATCTTTTCAGTGCGCTTTTTACGCGGTCGGGGATTTTTTTTGAAAATTTATTTTTATTGATTAGTATGACTATAAGCTGTACAAAAAGGTTCTTTAATATTTTGCATATTATTCATACAAAGATGTCAAAGTATTTGTCAGGTTCAAAATAGTTGAAAATAATTTAGATAATAATTAAAATTTTCTGTGCTAAATCAATACCAAGAATAATGTCTCACGCATTCTATGCGGACGCTTGGCAGAAATCGAAACGTAGAAACAGGCTATGGTATCAGGAAAATTTAATGCCAGCTTTATTGGCGGCTAAGGAGAGACGAGTGCGGGAAATTGACGCTTCCATAGCACTTGCTAATGAACTTTTAGAAGTACGTTACAATTAAACCGATATTTTCATTAAAGTTACTAGAAATCTTGAATAAATTATAAATTAATATTAAATATTAAATTTTCTAGGCTTATAAAGAACCTTTAGTAAAGCCGAAGCCGGTTCCTTTATATGAACTTGTTCCCTTAGAGGATGACAATCTTATGAAACCGATAGAACCAGATGTATTAAATCTATTGTATGGATGTACCGAGAAAGGTGCAGCTAGACAATATCTTAGGGCTAGATATAAAAAGGCTCCGGAGGACAAGTATGTTTTGACATTATTTATTAAATTTATTGAATTCAAAAATAGGACTGTATCAGACTTTAATAACTATAAATGCGAAAGTTTGTATGTGTGGAGTTACAAACCGTATCTTTGTAACTCATTCACGCTGAAACGGCTGGACAGATTTAGATGAAAGCATTGACGCATACTACCGGTGTACATACATACAGGTGGTTATGAGCAGGACTCACCGACTAGAAAGCCAGTACGACCCATTAAAACCCAACTGTACCTCCCCCGTCTTAATCGCTTACACACAACCACGACGCCCCGTCGGTAGGTCTACCAAAGCAGACTACACAACCAAGGGGTTGAATTGCTGAACGCTAATGAGATGAACCTCCTCACCACGACAAAATGAACTTACATCGGAGGGAGATAAGCTATGACCTGTATTAACTATTGGGCCACGAATTGAAAGTGTCGCTAGTAGTCATTAAATTTAACTACATATTTGATTTACTATTCGCAAATATGACATTTTTATTACTAATAATATTTATTCATTAATATTGTCTGCTTCAAGTCGTTGAAGAAATATTTACGTAGGCATATAGAAATAAAATTTAATCGCAGATTCTACTTTCGCTTAACGTCGAACTGGGATTACGGCTGGCAGCAAAAGCAGTCCCGTCTCAAAGCCCGCGACGTGAACCGCGGCCGCTGCGCCATACTACGGGACACGTTCTACCGCAAGAGCAACCTCGCGCCCGACCCGCCGCACTACTCGAGCCCCGCCGGCGGAGAGTTCTCCATATGCAGCGAATATTCATGCAACGCTAATTAAGTATTGGCATTACAAGCAACCGAGCAATTCCAAATAAAAAGACAATGTATAGCAAAAAACATATATTTTATAGTTTTATTATTTACAATAATTCAACTTTTATTTACATATTTAACAACAGCAAATGTACCCATTTCCTAAGGCCACATCTCACTGTTTGAGGGAATTATTAAAATAAAAAATGTGTACAGAATAGTCGTTTAATTTACAACATAAGCGTCGGAGCATGCCAATGGACGGATCCAGTACAACGGAAGCGGTCGTCTCCTACGCGATTATATAAAAATAATATTAGAATGGAAAGATGTATTAACAGCTATTGTGACTCTAACATTAATATGGATCCATCCATTGAAACGTCGATAACGAATACTCAATTACAACTAAAATTAATCAACCAGACTCATCAACAACATTCGCACCCTAACAAGTAACTAAGATAATAATAAATATGAGACGTCTTTGTTCTTTCTCAAGTTCATATTTGACACATAGTATGTACAATTATAGACTACAAAATCAGTCCTTTTAATTTAGCAAAATCTGCTTTTAATTTCCCTTTCTTACAAATTGTGCAAAACAAGACAAAATGCTCTCCCTTTTGGTACATTTTTAACTTATTTTGAGATAAAGAGAAATTTCTAATAGAAATACAGTAAATACAAAATAATATTATATTAAATAAATTATTATAAAAGTATACATTTACCAAAAACCCAAGGAATAATTGAATTTTAAATATTAAATAGTTTTTTATTTGTTAAAATGTAAGCTAACTATGATTGTAGTTAACTCTGGACATTAATTAAATTAAATATGTTAACAGTTTTTCTCTTGATTTGTTTACCTGCCTTTTAGTATATATAAACAGTTGTGGACCAATAGCTCCAAGGTAATATTTATATATACATATAATCCAAAGTTTGTATGGTTTGTTCAAGATAATTCATTGCAACGACCAATCATTAGTTTTGTATGTTTTTTACAGATCTGCAATACAGAATATATAAACCTTTAGTTTATATGTATGTGCATATACATATTAAGTGGGCAATATAAATTTTGATAATTGATTAATATTGTCAGATATTACATAGATTTAAATTTTAGTTTAAAATTACACAATGAGAAATAATATGTCAGTTTACATCTAAATAATTTATAACACAAAATTGTACATATTATAATTATACAGTTGCTTGCTCTGTTTTAAAATAAGATAACACTTGATAACAAAATTTAAAGCATCAAAAAAGCTTTCACTAAGCTGTACAATATTTGTTAGGAATATTTGATAATACTACTAATAATAAATATGATATTTGTGAATTAGAACCTAAGTCTATGAACATGTACACGGAGGTTATAATACGCTTTCTGTTTAATATATTGTTATTAAGTAGTCTTATTTAATGGTAAACATTTTTAAGTTTCATAAGGAAATTTTACATTTAAATAAATTCCCATAAAATAAAACCATATTAAGTCGATTCTTAATTTGAAACTAAAAATATATTCTTAATATTGTTTAAGGGCAGAGCATTACAAAATTAAGTCATGTCAAATTTTCTCATCAAACAATTCATTATTTCACATTCACTATATACGGCCACAATCACACCAAAGATCTGGGGGTCACATTGGGTCACTTTGCACTGTTTCACACTTCACCTTTTTATATTCCAACACTTAGCACTGATAGGTTGATAGTCCTAGTTAATCCACAGTAAATTTGAGTCATCAATTGTAAAAGTAACATATTATTGGCTACAACGTAAAATAATACAAATAAAATTTCGTACTAAAATCGATTAAATATTTAAATACAATAAAATTATTTTTTATAAAAACAAATTCTTCGTAGTATTAAAAAGTGACGAAGTGTTAGCCAATAATACATAACTAGTGCGAATGACCTAATCATGTGGGTTTTATTGTTAGTGTTCTAGCACCTATGTGCCGGTGTTGCCGGGCGGCGGCGGCAGCGCGGGCGGCGGCCCGCTCGTCCAGTGTACGAGCGCGTGCTGCGGCAGCTGCGTGGCTTGGAAGTGGTCCTTGAGCAGGGCTTGGGAGAAGTTGCAATGCATTTGGTACGCTTCGTTCTCGCGCTCCGTATCCCCCGCTAGCCTGTACAGGTCTGGAAGGGATAATGGATAATAAGCTTTAAAAAATATAAATGTGCGCAGGAACTACATGAATTAATTCCCCCATCCCCTTTCCATCATCGGACAACTCGACGAACGGCTGGTCTCCATCCTTATGTCGTGGACATTCCACCCGTCCGCACGAAGCGTTTCGCTACGTCATTTATTATACGTACGGCTAAGGATTGGAACAACCTGCCTGCGTCGGTGTTTCCGTCCGATTATAATATGGGTGTCTTCAAGGCAAGAGTGAATAGGTGGCTACTGAATTAGTGCGACTTACCATCTACGACTGCGTTACCACTTACCATCAGGTGGAACGTAGTCAAGCACTAATTCGGAATAGTATAAAAAAAAAAATATGCATTCTATATTACCTAGTCTAAAAAACGGAGAAAAATCATGGTTACTAACATCCCAATAACAAAAGTTATAACTCTTGTGCCCGATTCAGGATTCAAAACCAATTTACGAGAGAAGCAATTGAATAAACACCACAAGTCACAACCAATGTTATTGTTATTTACTATTTCTACTACTCGAGAGCTGGTGGTTTCAATTCTCACATGCTGTGAAAATTTGAATTTTCATTTACTTTTAAAACATATCTATCAATATATTTAAATAAAAGAGACTCACCCTCTACTTTAAATTGAAATAAGTTTTTTATTTATGAATCAATTGAAATAAAACAAATACTAAATGTTAAGTAAAGTTCACCACAGTACATTAGTGAAAACCGCACCTAAATCGGGTAAGCCGTTCTTGAGATTAGCGTGCACAAACGTACAGACAAAAATTCTAAAAATCATCGTTTTGGGTTCTATTGTGTTAATAAAGACCGCCAATGATAGTTTTTCTTAAATATCTTTCGTGTACAGACAGCGATCAGTTACACTTTTATTATATCATATATGTATAGATATTGACAGCTATAGCTAAGCACCTTTAAGTATAGCACTGGCCCACAGCTGCACATGCACGTCGGGTATCTTGCTGGCGAGCTGCATGGCGGGCGTCACCATGTTCATGCTCTCGCGCGAGTTGTTGATGGAGAGGAAGATGTGTCCGAGCAGCACCAGCGAGCACGAAGTCAGTCGGTTCAAGTCCTCCGCGTTGGCCATCTTCAGTGTCTCTCTGAGGTACCGTCTGGAATTTTGGTATTCAATTAATTATTATTACATTACCACATACAATATAATATGATAAAATCTTTTACGCACTTTAATAATAAATATAGCAGTAAAAAGAAGTAGAAGTCTTATGTGTAAAATTTCAAAGTCGTAATTAAACAGAAAAACAATATATTTTAACAGTAATCTTAATCTTTCTCTCGTGTCATAAGCATTTAATATATTAAAATTTTATGTCCTAAATAATCTCACAATACTTATTTACGTTTAAATTATAAATTTTATATAATAGGTGCATTCCACCTAGGGACCTTTGGTATTTTTATTATATGTCATAGTCTAGGTCTCCAGGTCATATAAACTATTTCCAAACCTGTTCAAGTGTTGTCAGCATAAGAAGTGACAAACATACACACATTCAAACTTCAGCAACAACAGTCGATGACATAATATTAAGTCTTACTTGGCCTCATTATAGCGCGCCTGGAAGAACGCCTGCAGGCCCAGCACGTAGTACGAGGCGGCGCGCAGGCCGTGCGCGTACGCAGGTAGCGCCTCCGGCCGCACCTGTCATGGAAATTGTTTTACTTTACTTGCTTAATATTAATAAAATTAACACTTTCTTCGACTTACGCGAATATTTGACATTTTAAATGAAACTATCTTTAGGGATTCTGTTGTTCTTATTTTGTTTTGTTTTTTTTTGTTACCGGCGCGGCGTTTCGAATGCTTTACAGGAAATATAGCCACAAAGAGACAAAGGTTTTCGACATTTTAAAAGATATTATACAGTTGTTATGGACGGTATTTAATATTTACCCACAAAATTTTGTGCTGAAAAGATAGTTTTAAAATAGAAAAAAATAATAATTTAGAAAACAATAACTGAATAAACATACAACATAAAATATATGCTATTTTATGTGAACAGTTAAAGGAGATAGAGCCTTTGGTATTGACAATCTCCTATTATACGTAGCAAACATTGAATTCTGGTATATATCTACAGGAGACACTATTTGTTTATGTGCATTACTTTATTCATATAAACCAGTTTCATTGTGTATCGCTATTTAAAAAAAATGGCGGTGGATGGCCAATTATTATTATTTTTTAAATAAAATATAACTAATAAACTAATATCACATTATTTTATCTGATTAATCTAATATATAAAATGTCCATGTCACAATGTTAGTTACCGTACTCCTCCAAAACGGCTTTACCGATTTTTACCAAATTTTATATGCGTATTCAGTAGGTCTGAGAATCGGCTACTATCTATTTTCCATACCCCTAAGTGATAAGGGTGGCCCACGTTGGGGACGAACCCGAACGGAGCGAAGGTGAGTCGCTAGTTTAATATAAAACTAAGTTTACCTGTTCCATGAGTTGTGCTAAGTCGTTGTCTCTCCGCCCTCGTAAATACACAATAGCCAAATTAAGTTTTGCGAACATCCATAAGTCCCTTTCTTGTGACATCTATAAAAAACAAAGAATTAATTAAATAGCAACATATTAACACAAGACAATAACTAGCTATAGACTAATATCCAAGATTTTTTCTGCCAGTCAACATAAGGCTAGAATGAGAAATATTGTTAGGTAAATAATGCTTTAATACTTATGTAATTTTACACCCAAACACATACAATTACTAACTAGATTAAATATTGAAAATATTACGACTAATAAAGTGTTATAATAAATTTGTTGAAGGAAATATTTCTACTTTAGTCTACCACTGCCAATATATATTATAAAACAAAACCTCCTTATTGTATTCCTTCAAACTTCGACGGGACAACAATTCCGGCGTATGATCGACGGTTTACGTGCTCTCCGAACACGGGGTACAACACCACCGACTTTCCAACTGCGGGCTGCTACTGAGAATTTCTTAACAGAAAAACTCAACTTAGTTCCAATCCGGGACTCGAACCCAGGACTTCCGTATATGCAGTTTCGTGTTAGCCACTAGACCAACGAGTTACGTACATGTATGGCGGTGTGGAACTGCGCCTCGGCCGCCTCCATGCAGTTCATGGACATGGCGTAGAGGCCGAGCAGGCAGTGCAGCTGCGGCGTGTGCAGCGCCGCCGTGCTCGCTGCGGACAACAAAACAAATATTATAATCTACACTTACATTAAAAGATCATCAAAGACGGAATATGGAACAATAAGAGTGAAGCCCTATTGCGACCTAAAAATATATTATGTGGGTATGGGAGAAAAACTGAAAATTTTCAATCATGAATTTAATTTTAAGAGAATCAGCAAAGTGAAGAACCGGAATGTAGTTCCCTTGAGAAGACAATATAATAAAGGCCGATCCACATTATAGAGCCAATCACGGTCCGCTCTGGGACCGATAACGGGTCAGGTAAATTTATGGTAGGACATACTATGTATATAGTAAGAGTTAAGTTCTATTAAAATTATACTTCAGCAACATTTCTTGTATAAAAAAACTTTACCAGACCGATCGGATATAAAACGAACTGTGATATGCACGTAGTGTAGATCGGTGTTACATGTTCGAAGCCGAGTCGACGTGTACATAGTACATACGGTTGGGCGCCGAGTTGAGCAGGTGTGCGGCGCGCGCGATCTCGTGCAGCGCCTGCGCCTTGCCGCCCGCCACGAGGCGGCACAGCGCGGCGTGCTCCAGCAGCGCCATGCGCAGCCGCCACGCCAGCGTGGCGCCGCCGCGCACGCCGCCCGCGCCCCCCGCGCCCCCCGCGCCGCCCGCGCAGCTCTCCTCGCTCGCTGGAACCACACCACATACATAATAGTATAGTCTAGCCTATATGCACTTGACGCTGGAAAACACACACCGGTAAGAAAAAATGAAATGAATTAAAATTATTATTGTAATTTAAAATAAAATATCTTTTAAGATTTTTTTGCAGATTTATTTTGGTTTTTGGTTCCCGACGTTTCGAATGTTTTACAGCAATCATGGTCACGGGAGACAGTCAGTCTCTCCCGTCACCATGACCGTGACATAAAAAGATAGTTTTATTTTAAAATGTCAAATATTCGCGTAAATCTAAGAAAGTATTATGATTGCAACTTAACTTACATGTAATATAGCATATGATGTAGACCACATCATGATATGGGCAGCGGGTACTACGAGTATTCTCATAAAATAGTCGTGAAATGCTATCGTATCATGAGTGGTCATATCGTCAAATTGTTACAACTTACATTATCCACCGTTAGAGGCGCTATAATTATACTTTTGTCATTGTGATGCATATTGGCGGTGGACAATTATTTTGTTTTAAATGCGAATAATAATGTACAAAGAGAAGATAAAAGTGCACTGAGATGTTGTTAATTTATCTATTGATCAAGTCACTCACATTAAACGAACACCAGTAACGTTTAAAGAGATTTTTACATTTTTTTTATTTAATTTTAATTATTTTCTTGTGTGACTCGGATCACGATTACAATTATTATGATACGAATTTCCTTTCGTAGTTCGCTATATATGCCCTTGGCTTATAAATTAAGCCATAAAAATTATCACGATTACTAGGGTATCATAAATATCAATCAATAAAATCATTGTACATGTTGAAGAAAGGTGCTGCACATAACGAATTTCTTACAACAGAAACTCCTTAGCACTTATGATCGCCTGGTACTTACGATGACATCACATGGGATGCTTTTAGTAAATAATAAAAAGTGTCGTGACGACCGAAATATTACTTTTTTCCGTCTTCCTTTTATCACTAAACTAGCGATAGGCAAGTTTTTTTTTTTGAGCGGAACCCCTAATTCTTTTTCTATAACATCAGCTATCTTCCAGTAAAAGTCTCGTCAAAATCAGTCCAGCCGTTCCAGAGATTATACGAAACAAACAGACAAAAAAAAATGTATATTTCATTTAGTAAAACGATGTTATTTTGACCTTACGAACAGATACTTCATTTTTATTTATCTGTATAGATATTCTGAGTGTATCGTGCGATGAGAAACTTCGTTCCCACGACGAATTTTTAAAATTTATTGCCCTTAAAAACTTTACCAAGAACAACTATCATCAACTATGAGTAACAAACAAAAAAAACAAATGTCTCACAAGTGAGCTTGTCTATCTGCGCCAGCGCCTTCTCTGTGTACTTGTGCGCCTTGTCCATGTAGCCGGCCTGCGCGGAGTGCATCACCGTCACCAGGTACACCAGCACGTACAGCTGCTGGCGCGACAGCCACACGAACGACTCCCCCGCCGCGCTGCCGCACACTGCTGTTATTACAACGACCGAATGAGTGAATTAATTAAATATAATAATACTAGCAGAACACGCGGCTTCGCTCGCGCTAAAACTAGAAAAATCTTTAAAAAAGATAGTTTTATACAAACTTTCATCCATTATTTTACCCCCTTATGGGATGAATTTCGAAAAATGTTAAAACAAGTATTTATTTAATTTTATTGAAGAGCATTTATACCAAGGTTAAAGTAATTCTGACCATCAATATTTTTTGGATTGTATTATAACGTGTTTTCCCGTGGGAGTTCTCCCGCATTGAGAAGTAGCCTATGCCACTCTCCAGCCCTCCCAACTATCTCCACAAAAAAAATCACGTCAATACGTCACTCCGTTTCGACGTGAAAGAAGCACACAACAAACACACTTTCACAACAAAAGAGTTATATATATGCGTGTGTTTGTGTCAAATATTTTTATGCAGAATTTTAAAAAAATATTAGCATTCTGCACTCCTTCTCTATACAAACTATAAGTATGGGAAATTTCATACTCCTAAGTCCGCGCAATTTTCGTAAATAGGGTTACAAAGTTTTTGCTTCACGTATTAATATATAGATCATATAATAATGTAATGTCCTGTTGACCGATTTCTCTCTGCGCATGAGATATTATAACGCAGCCACGACGTCGACTCCCTATTCCTTTTAATCTCAAAGTCCGATGGGAAAATATTTCGACACTCGCGGTGAAAGTTCAGGTGCAGAACCGACGGTTTAACGTGCTCTCCAAGGCACGGAGATAAAACACCGCCAACTTACCAACTCCGGGCTGTTACTGAGAATTTCTTTGACAGAAATACTCAGTAACTGAACTTGACCCGACCTGGAACTCGAATCCAGGACTTCCGTACATGCTACGCAGTTTTTAAGGTTTACTATATAAATTATAATATGAAAAAAAATCACTACCTACATTAGAGCGCAAATAGAAATTTTAACAAGTCTAAATAAAGCTGTGTTAACACGATCAAAGTCTATTTTGTCAAAGTAGTTTTGCTGACTACTTTGACGCAACTTTGATCAAGCAAACGAGCAATCAAACCGCACTTTGATGTGGACGTTAATCAAAGTGGACTCGGACCGATTTCTATTTTTCAAAGCTTGCTTTGACAAAGTAGTTTTGATGACTACTTTGATCACTAACGTCGGCGCTCAATCATAGTAGACTTGGGACCGTGTTTATCATAGTAAAGTTCGTTTCAAAGCTTTTGTCAAAGCAGACAATAAGCGTGTCAACAGGTATCCAAGTAAACATTGATCAGACTTTGAGTGTGTCAACGTGGCTTAAATTGCGGTTTGGTTTATGTGTAGTTGTTTTAGGTGTGTAGTGTTAAGTAAGAGCAAAGTTTCGGTTTCACAGTAAATACTGTTTTAGTCGGATATTCTTTTTAATATTGTTAAGACAGACACCTTTTTCGATAAAGTTGTGTGTTTTTCTAATGTTTTCGGCAACAATAAAGTTATTTAGTTTTTAAGTTTTAAAATTAATATATATGTTAGTTTGTAAGTTATACATGTTATGGGCCTCTGGTTACATATTTAAGATCTTATTGTAAATATTGCCTAAAATAAACAATTAAATTTAATTAAAAAATAAAAAAATGAAAATACTAATGTATATTGAACTAACCATCATCGTCTGGCCATGTAGGCGCCATAATCGTCTGAATGCTCTGCTGCAACTGTTTAAGGCATGGCTTCACACTCTTCACTTGTCCAGCCATTAAATAATGACATACCTAATAAAAAAAGTTATCAATTATTAAACAGGAAAATATGATACAGTTCAAAAGGAAATCAATTTGTACAACCTGGTGAATAACAAGAATGGTCAAGTCATTTAAGATTTTTTACAGAACATTGAATTTGAATTATTATAATGGCATGTACATAATATGCAAATTTATATAATAAATAATAATTATGAAAAACAAAAACAGGAAAACAGTTAAGTATTTTATTGAAGGCTTAACAATTTACAAATCAATTATGATTATAAAATGCTGGGTTTATTATTAATTAATTAAAACTATATTATTCTTATTTTTTTTTTTTAATTAATTGAATATCGGTATTTTCTGAAAAAAAAAACACTTTATATCTGTGCTGAAAAACGGCGAGCGAAGCTCGGTCGCCCAGGTATATATGTGTTCAACCTTTTTTTATTTTTAACGTCCCACTGCTGGGCACGGGCCTGCCTTCAATACGAGGGGGATCAGGCCATAGTCCACCACGTTGGCCAAGTGCGGGTTGGCGGACTTCACATGTCTTTCGATAACTTGCTAGGTTATCTCAGACATACAGGTTTCCTCACGATGTTTTCCTTCTCCGTAAAACAAGTGGTAATCATGTTGAAAATGATTTGCAAATGAATATATCAGAGGTGCGAGACCCGGGATTTGAACCCGCTTCACTCGGTTACCTAAGCAAGCCCGTCACCACTGGGCTACCACTGCCTCGGTCGCCCAGGTACTAAAATTTAAATTTGAAATTTATATCAATATTAATCGTCATTTAAGTCAGATTCTTTTTTCGAATGTTTTTCATAAAATACTATACTGAATTTATATAATCAGTTGTTAAGTGCAAAATTCTTAAAAGTTTATTATCAGTTTGAAAATAATGTATTTGTTTCTTATGCATTGCAAGATTGGAAGGTTTCATAATTATTATTATAAATTCTTCAATAATAATATTAATATAGTCAAATTTTACCTGCAACACAAGGAAGAAGACTTTAAGGTACTCTTTTTGATGAAGGCTGCCCGCCCAAGTTTCCACTAGGTGTCCAGCCTGGTTCAGTAATGGTAACACTTCCTGGATTTTTTTATCTATTAACAATAACTGTAAAAAACATATATAAATCAATTTTATTTCATATATGATATTGCAAGCAACTATAATAAACATGAAACATCATAGTCTGTAACATACATATTTTAAGCGGCAACAATTAACACTATTTTAATCAAAATATTTTAGCCAATACATATTATTGCTTGCAATGCCTTTATAAGCTAAGCTCTGAATGCTTGGGTTATGGATACCAGACAGTAGTATTGGCTTTGCCGGTGAGTCCCACACCTCGTGCGTAAATGCATTTCCCAACGTTAAGAAAAAAATGGATACCAGACAGTTGATACAGTACACATATATAACTTTAAATACATACATATTATAAATACAGACACCCATGACTGGAGTACAAGCATTGATGTTCATCACATAAATGAATGTCCTCAACGGGACTCGAACCCGTGACTGATGTCACAGCAAGTAGGGTCACAATAAACTTAGCTAAACATGTCATCAGATACTTTTAGTTAACTTAATAAGTTACTTAAGCAATCCTGTAAAGATTTCTCTTATAGTACCAATCACTTACAACATTTTTATCTGAATACACACAGATACAATGATTTACAATACATTAACTATTTTAATATCTAGTAAGAATTTAGTATTGTGTATATGAACTTTCATAATATTCACTTCTTAGAGGAGTTTGTTAAGACCTCAGAATGTTTTAAGTTAAATATTATCTAATAATCATTCTTATCTAAATTAAAAAAAATTGCACAACTATTAAACAGACAACATCCTCTATCTTGCAGTAACTCTTAATATACCTGTTATTATATTTATATATAAAAAAAATAACAATCTAGACATAACAATCCTCCTTAAATCTAGTTGACAACATGTTTTATACCTACCATAACTCTACTCAGCAGGAATAATACTCTTGTATATGCTGCATTGGAAATCTGAGCATAATCCACACCTACACCCAGTAAACTACTTGCTACTTCGTATTCTCTTTCTGTTGCATGGATTTGCTAAAAATAATCATGTTCCGTTATTTCTAGTAAAAAAGTCACTCATACACACATAATGTACATACTATGATAAAGTGAAGAATGTTTAATAAAAAATATCATAATATTAGCAAGTAAGTTTTCAGTTAAGTTACAAAACATATAACAGACACCCATTTAATTCTAAATTAAACTGATCACTTAAGAAAATTAAAGGTTTAATAACTTACTGCCAATTGGAATATTAGCCTGCAGTGCCAGTAAACACTATGTTGTGATAACTCAATAGCTTTTCGTAATATGGGTTTAGAATGTGTTGGTTGACCCTGTTGTTCAAAAAGCTCAGCTAGGACACTTGCTGCTTCGAATTTGACATCGTCGAAACCATTGATAGTCTGAGATAAACACCACTGCAACAAAAACAGTATATGACCCACTTCAACATCATTGTTTACATTCTATATGAACCTTTCGCTCTTATCACCAATATAAAATAGAAAAGAAAATATATCTCACAGCACTTTATTTGAACAAAACTGTAAAGGCATTAACGTATCTTTATGAACTTCCAATAAAATAACAAAAAAACTTACACTCTGTTCCAAATGCGTTCTCGCCAAGTCGATGTTTTTAGTGTGTGTCAAAAGGATATTCCCGAGTTGTAAATGTGTTCTGGCCTCGACCCTTTGCGGTGGTTTGAAATTAAATACGGCTTGAAGGCACTGAATACAACTTTTTATGTCAGGAGGATTTGATGTACGGAAATGTTCCGCTAAACCAAGTAATGAAATATACCAAGCGTCCTGCGTTGACGCCATTTTGACATTTCTGCTTGGAGGGAGCAGTGTTGACAGCTAGTAATCTTCCATAAATTTTGTAACAGATACAACTTATTTTACATGAACTAAAACAAACATTATTTACTATCGTTATGAAAATTATAATAAATTTAATTAAAAAAGTTAAATTATTTTTAAGACTACTTATTTTCTTGAATGAATTCACTAAGTTTTAAACTATAAACGAATGTGTCAGGACCTGAAGATATAAAACAAGGGATGTGCGAAGTAGTGTGGTGACGATAATTAAGAATATAATAGAAATGTTAAGTGTGTGACATTTTTGTCTGTCTGTTTGTTCCAGCTAATCTCCGAAATGGCTGGACAGATTTTGCCGGGACTTCCATTGGCAGATAGCTGATGTTCTATGGAGTAACTTAGGTTACTTTTATTTTAGAAAAAGAATTAGGGTTACCTAGAGATGCATCCAAGCGAAGCGAGGGTAAATCCCTAGTAAATAATAAAATTGCTTTGCATAATTGTGTGCATTGAAGATTGTCGCCATCTTTGTAAGAATACTATAAGTAAAAATAAATACTTAAAGAAAAAGTACTTTTTTGATCGATGCTACAGTTTAACACAATATTGAATCTTATTTAAAGTGGAAAAAGAAAAACTTTTATATTGATTGATGTTCTCCTGACCGATTCCGGCCACGGCGGCTAATCTCATTGAGACTAGCCAACTGCGCAGGAGATATTATAGTGCACAAGTGTACGCGCAGACACAAGTGCACTCTCTATTCCTGTCACTCTCATACTCCGGTGGGACGACTGCTCGACACGACCGGTGAGAGTTAAGGCGCAGGACCGACGGCTTTATGTGCTCTCCGAGGCACGGGGGTGAAACACCGCCAACTTCTCAACTCCGGGCTGTTACTGAGACTTACTATACAGAAAGACTCAATAACTAAACTTGGCCCTACCCGGGACTCGAACCCAGGACCTCCGGGTGTGCAGCCGTAAAATATGCTAGCCCCTACACCACCGAGGCAGTTCACTTCATATATTCACTTTTATATAGGATATTGATAATTATTATGCTAGTTTTGACTAAATAAAAAACTAATATTTAATTGATTCTTTATTTATAGTGCAATGTATGATTAATGGTGTAAAGTTTGTTTGACGACACTGGTTTCGATACAAACAGTCCATTGCAATTCCCCTTTTTTATTCTTCTGTGCTATCAGGAGTGTAGAGGAGGGTCGTCAATTAATCACGTGAGTCGTGATGTTTTTAGCAACTTTTTAACTCCCATTCCCCCCTGGTGATGTTTTAGACTAACCTCCTCCCCAATCCATAATCACGTGTATTTTTATTGGTACAAAGTATTTAAAAAATTCTGAATTTTACTTTAAATATATATACCTAGTCAAAATTAATTCTAGAAAAATATAACCGTGATAAATATGTCCAGACAGACATTAAGGTTGCAGTACCTAAAGCAAATACTACTAGCTCTCTCTCAAATGCTCGTTATACCACTGCGGAGAAGGCAGGTCTGGAATAAAGCTTTCAGCACTGTCATCGGGCTCGACATACTCTGCTACGACGTCATCGCCGTCGATAACTATGTTATTCCATACTTCTGTGAGAACTTCTCCAGCCTTCTGAATTTAACGAAAGAACGGGGAAATACAACGAAAAAATAAATACGCGTGATGTCTCACTACACAGCCCCCCGCCCCCCTTGTGATGTTTTCGGATTTTTTCAAACCTCCTCGAAGGGGACCTTTCGAGCCCCACGTGATTAATGGACGATCCCATACGGGTATTTCTATATAGTTTGTGGGTATTAATTACCCTCTTTAGTCAAGAATAAATATTAAATACTAGCATTGCCTGCGGGCTCCGCCCGCGTTCAGATGACCAAAAACCAAATTCTTAGGTTTTACATATTAATATACTCTTACATTGCAGTTTTTGTATTTTTTCTCAGAAATGAGATATTTTCCTATATGTTGACCCGGATAACCAGCTATCATCATACCAAATTTCATCAAAATCCCTCCAGTGATTTTTCCATGATGCGGTAACAGAGACACATACAAAAAAGAAGTAAATAAAACAAATGGGTTAAAATAAAATCTTATCAAGTTTATTCATCAATAGTTAGTGCACCACTGTTGATGTCTGCAATAAGATCATGGGGCGGTCTGCCTTCAACAGTGCAACCAACGGACTGGGCTGTTCCAAGAATCTCTTTCACTGTACCAGAGAGATATCTTGCCATTGATCTAGGTCTCATTATTTTAGCAATACCAATAACATCTTCTAATGTAATATTGCCATTGTGTTTAACTGAAAGTATAGAAAAATGCATTTAATAAAATTTTTAATTGGATCCAGATGCAACAAATAACAATATGCTTTATGAAACTTTATAAATAATAGTAATATGTATGTATGTATTCAGCCCTTCTTAACATCCCACTGCTGAGCACGGGCCTTCCTTCAATATGAGGGGGATCAGGCCATAGTCCACCACGCTGGCCAAGTGCGGGTTGGCAATAGTAATATAAGGGTGAATAATTTTTTTAACAAGATCATTCATTTTCCAATGGAAGTAATTATCATACACACACAAACAAAAATATTCCTGTATTATATGTATGAAAATCAAATGTACATAATACTAGTATTTATTATCTACTAGGAAAACAAAAACAAACCCACGTGATATTCCACAGAAACCATACAATTTTCTGGGATAAAAAGTTGCCTGTATGTTATTCCAGACTATAAATCTATCTCTGTGCCAAATTCATCCTCTATTCAGGCATTCTAGCGTGAAAGAGTAACAAACACCCATACTCACAACAACAAACTTTCACATGCATAATATTAACAATAATACAGATTCATTTAATTTGCATGTCATCATTTGCTTGACAGAGCATGTCTATAGATATTTTGGTTAGGATAAATACTATGATAGTAGGTATAATTCTTTTTAATTAGACTTTTCCACTTTTGATTTTTTAAAAGATAAAACTTACCATTCTTTTGCTTTTTACGATCACGGGGAGGTTCTTTAAGAGCTCTGATGATGAGAGCTGCTGCAGAAGGAACAACAGAGATCTGCGCTTGTCTGTTTTGTACAATCAGTTGTACTGTAATTTTCAGTCCTTTCCAGTCTCCAGTAGCCTTTGCGATATCATCACCAACCTTTTTGGGGGACTATGGCATAGGCAAAATAATTAATAAGTATACAGGTTAGCAGAAACTCATATTTAAAAGCAATTTATAACAATAATAACCAATTGGCTCACTTATGTTTTGTTTTGTAACTAGCCTATATTATAATTAGCCTGGTCCGCGACTCCTTATTGGGCATTCGGAGTAGCCGCGACAGGGAAAATATCCTGAGTCGCGGGTTCCTTCCATCCGCCACCCGGAAGGACGCGCCTGGTAGGGAGGCACCCCCCAGGATCATACATCACATTTATGAGGTCGTCAACACAAAAATAGAACTCATATTTGAACCAATTTTAATATATATTACATTTCCTTTTAACTATAGCATTGTTAGACCATCTTTGCACTCATTACCTTATTTAACGTAACCATATAAAGATAATAATTTCATAAATCTTTATTCGTTAATATACGTATTATAAAAAATACCAAATTGCCCAACGATGTAATTATAATACGTGCAAGTATTTAGCAAAAGAAATTTATGAAATGTTGCACATGAGTTTTAGTTGACTAGGTTAGGTATAAACTATTAGTTATCAAAATCAATAATAAGTAAGGATAATACTCACGAGACCCAAGGGACCAATTTTAGGAGCCAGTGATGATGTAGCTCCAACTTCTCCACCAACACATCTCAAGTTAACTAAAATAAAACATAAGATTTGTAAGCCCTACATAGCGATAAAGAACCGAATCATTTAACACAAAAATATGTCCTTACCGATTTTAATTTCGTTAGGATCGAACTTAGGAGGCATTGTGCTTTGTTAAACAGATATCTATTTAAGATATTAACCCAAGTCCAAAGCGATTACTTTGGATTAGACACTCGAACTGCCGCGAAACGTTCCGTAAACGTTGACAGTTCGTTAGAAAAGAACAATCAATTTTGATGAAAAGGTAAAATCTATCGAACTGTTATTTGTCAATGTCAAGTGAAGACCACAGAGTAAACAGATTTTTAAGGGTTGAGTATTTTTGTATTTTATGGCAACTTTGAAGAATATTCTGCAATCAGTTTATTACAAATTGGGATAACTTTGATCAGTTTTTTTTCACGGTAACAGTCTAATGATATTGTAAATAATAGATATCTTCATAGTAAGTTTTATAATATAATATTATTGTTGCAAACAGAATTTTAAAACCGTAACCTGGTTTCGGTACTTTATCGGAGTTCTTTCCATTTATAAACATAAATGGAAAGAACTCCGATAAAGTAACGAAACCAGGTTACGGTTTTAAAATTCTATTTTGTATTTATTGTGTTATGTTTATTAAATTTTTTTCTGCCTGTATATAATATTATAAGTTATAAGTTACTATAAAAGGCATCCGAGTGAAGTAAAAGTAAGTAGGTTCTCTCTACCGGTTTGGGCCACGGTTGTCAATCTCTCAGTTTAACCAACTACACAAGAGACATTAAATTGCACTAGTGTACGCGCAGATACAAATGCACTCTCTACTCATTTTATTCTTACCTCACCGGTCCCACATTCCGGTGTGGCTCCACCGGAATGTGGGACCGATGAGGTATGAGGAGCAGGGCTGATGGTTTTACGTGATCTTCGAGGGATGAGGGACTATTTCTTCCTGACTAAGCTTATAACATGTTTAATCCGTTATAAATACATAAAATTTAGTAAATAAATAGATAGAGCATACAAAATGATATACACATCCGTCCTGCCATTTTTCTCAATTATTAATAGTATAGTAATAAATAATATTTTATTCCACATTCAATAAATCACTATTTTCCTGGGTAATTTATTACTTTTGAAAACGAAAAATTATTTGTATCATATTTCATCTATTTTTAGGGCAAGTCCAATTTCCTATATAAATGCAAAAAAAATCATATTTTTATATCAAATGTTAATTAATTGATGCAGCACGAAATAACAAACAAATATGATCCTATAAAATAGAAATGTATGTGCTACACATGAATGAGCCTATCAATTTTCATGTATTTAGTTTCGTTATTGAATTTTTGGGCATTGTAGATTTAATTTAAATTTGGTTAGTAGTAATTCTGTGATAAAATATGTAATTAGTATGTAGCTAAATATGTAGTACTTTCTTTGCGTGAGATCATTTAAAGCTTTTTGTAATTATTTTTTCATGATAATCCCTCCACGACTACGCACACGCCGGCGTGTCAGTTAACAATAGATTTCTTAGAATTTTAGTTAATTTCATAGAAATTTACCTGTAGGTGTTAATGAAAATGGAATGGAATGTTAATTCCAAAAAACAAATCAATATATAATAATAATAAAATTTAAAAGTATTGAATTACTAATTACTGCATATTATATTATTTATAATTGAAGAAGAGAAAAGAATTAACAAACAATTTTATTTATAAAAAATGAAGTAAGGAAAGGAAAACGTGTTAGGTTGGGGTTAGGCTTGTTAGAATTTTTGCAATAGTGGATCATGAAGACTTTTTCATGAAGTTTTTCTGCGCTGTAATTAGCATGTGCTATATATATTAATATTGAAATGATATTATTATGAAAATGTGCGATACCCGTAATTAAACCCGCTTTTCTCTGAATATATAATTATATATTATTTTCTGGCTAACTTTATGCCAAATTTTATTCTTCGATTTTTAAAAATTATTAATTTATAAATGCTTTCATTCAGCCAACAATGTCTAACCAACGACCAATAAACCGTAAAATGTAGTAATAATAAAAAAATAACCGGCTGAGATAGTGGAGCAGCTGCTGGTGCAAAATTATTTTTTGGTGAATAGACATAGAAGTTAGAACAGTCATACCTATATTTTTATTATTTATAGATTATATAGAATAATTCCTTTGTTAAATTTAGAATACAGATTCACAATAACAGATGAATAATATTGATGATACGTCGTTGTCAAATTATTTAGTTTGTCGCCTTTTGTTGAATTGTTAAAGAATTTCATTAGTATTTTGTTCCTGTAATTTGTGTAAGTGCCTATCATCATGGACCACAACGAGGCTATTTTAAGGTCACATCTATCGAATTACAAGCATCGCGACATTACACTACGAGAGGTGATTAGTGTAATTCAAGTATATCGCAGTCTCACTTATCGTTTAGAAGGATTTGTTTTTAACAATGGCGTTAGAAAAGATTTATTGAACCTTGAGGGTACAATTCCTGTGAACTTCAAAGGTGCATATTACAATATCCCAGTGTGTATTTGGTTGATGGATAAACACCCACAGGCTGCACCACTATGTTTTGTGAAACCGACAGCAGACATGTCGATTAAGGTATCTAAATACGTTGACCATAATGGAAAAGTATACTTGCCGTACCTACATGAATGGGATCAGAGAACATCTACACTACAACAACTTATACAGTGCATGATAGCGGCGTTTGGGGAATTACCCCCCGTATTTTCTAAGCCTCGTAATGAAGCCCGTGCACCCTACCCTGTTAGTTCTTTTATGCCTCAACCTGCAGGTTATCCTTATCCTGCTGTAAGCACACCTCCAACAGGGTTCCCGAATGTTACTCCATATCCTGCAACATCAAATTTGCCATATCCAAGTTTCGGTTCTCCTTATCCTGGATCTGTTACTTCTAATGGCATTCCGTTTTCTCCTTCAAACCCAACCCCATTCAAACCACCAACTGGTTATCCTGGACCAGAAACAAGTGGTACAATAACTGAAGAGCATATTAAAGCTTCTTTATTATCTGCTGTTGAAGATAAATTAAGAAGAAGACTTAAAGAACAATCTCAACAGTCACAAGCTGAGCTTGAAACATTACGTAGAACTCAGCAAGAGCTGAGGGAAGGTAAAACTAGATTAGAAGATATATTAACAAGATTACAAAAAGAAAGAGCAGAACTTGATAAAAATGTTGCTACTTTACAAGAAAAAGAAAAAGAACTGGAGGCTGCTTTGGAACATTTAGGTGAGCAAGAGACTGTTGATGTTGATGAAGCAGTAGTGACTATTGCACCACTATATTCGCAATTGTTGAATGCTTTTGCTCTAGAAGCTACTCTAGAAGATGCAATTTACTACATGGGTGAAGCATTACGTAAAGAAGTTATTGATTTGGATACATTTTTAAAACAAATGCGTATACTTGCTCGTCGTCAATTTACTTATAGAGCTCTGATGCATAAGTGTAGGCAAAAGGCTCAACTTGCATGTTAGTAAATACTGGAATTAAAAGTTAAAAGCATTATACTTTATACTTATATATGTAAGCTCATTTTTTATTTCTGGTATGTTATTGAGTTTTGTAAATCTTAAACTTTATCAGAAGCTACTAGATAAGATGTAATGTAGCTATTATTAAACACGACAACATTTCTTTATCTAAATGACTAAATATGTGTAAAAAATAAAAAAAAATAAAGTAACTTTACACATAATTTAGAGCAATAAACATTTTTTGACATTTTATCAAACTCAGCACACTACCATTGAATATTTCAAAAGTTCATTACTCTTTAGTTAATATTCTGAGATAGTTACATAACTCATTAACTGTAGAATCAACTTGGATTTATCAAAATGAGTCATGGGTTGTGTACATAGCAATGTTTGTTTTCATCTTAATGATGCAATAAATATTTTATGAAATCATTTCACATTAACAGAACATTTTTGTAAAACCAAAAACAAATCAAGGAAATTGAAGACTATTTTGCTTGATTATATTATAGATAATAGAATTAAAATAACTGCATGTAAGAGCTTGAATAAAATGCATTAACTAACAAATATACAAAAAATAACTTAAGATTTCTGTGATTTAAATAGCAATGTTATGTGAAAAGAGAGTAAGAATAAATCAATTTATGAGATTCATTTAATAATATATTATGTAAATTAAAGACAACATAAAAAGAACATTAAATTTATATATTGGAATCTCAAAATTGTTAATTTGCTATAAATATGTGCCATTTGCACCAGAAATGAAAATACTATGTAACCATATATATAATCATGTAGATTGTAATTGTCGTAGCATTTTATATTATATACTCGAAAGCTTTTTAAATGTTAAAATATTTTTTTGTATACAAATATTGAATATTTTTTGCACAGATGGGGAGCAGTAATACCATAAATAAAATAAGTTAGTGTCTTTGGCTTTATAATATTGTAATACTAAATACTAATGGAGTTGCAGGTTCAAATCCTCGTAGATGCTATTTAAAATAATGTATTCAACTGCCACATTAAAATATTTCAAAAATATAATCATTGGAAGTAGAATAATTTATTTATATTTTTTAAATACTTTGCTTTAACTGGTTCAAAGTTTATTAAGTAATAGTATCTTACGCTCGCTTTGCTCCTATGCGTACCTAGATTCGTTATTAATTGATAAAAATAGTTATTGTGTTACCTAAGGAGATACATACACATACACACACTCCCTTACAATCGCTTAAACCGTTCCAAAGATTACAGTGGACAAACAGAAAGACAGACAAACGAAAATTTTAAAGAGGGTTTAGGTACTTTAAACAACTTTATGTGCTTGAGAAAACAGTTATTTAAAATCATAGACGGACACTTCAATTTCATTTATTTCTATAGGATATCAAGAGATTTCATCATAAACAAAAAAAAATAGTTTAAATGAATGTCAATAGATGGAGTTATTGATGTTTGTGTAAAATTATTAAAAGAAATACCTTTATAGTATATACCAATATTCAAGAACATACATTATGATTTATTGAATCAATATTCATTACGTAATGAGTTTGTAGTTGTGCATAATGTTTAAATTTTATGAATTATTGTCACATTAAAAATAGAATTAACTATTTTTAACGTCTCAATTGTTTCAACTAAATGCAAAATAAAGTTGTTTCTATAATTGAATGCACAGAAAAATAACGACGTCATTGGATGTTTAGGAAGTTTAATTTCAGAGCAGAGCAGCACAGTTATAATATGTGTGCTAGCGATAACGATGCCGGTGTAGTTGACCATCTGCTTATATCAGAGGTCACGGATGTAAATGAATATATAAAGATGTCCATATTTCTCATTACTCTCTCACTCTCGCTTCGCTCGGGTTCGTCCCTAGGTACGTTTTAAATTAAAATAGATATAGTATGTTATCCTTAAGAGATAGACATATGACATCGCGGACTTTTCTGTAGACCTATTTAAGATACACAATTCCACCATACATTATTTTGTTATTTCTCAAAGGGTTCAGGCAGGTTTTTCGTTGAAAGTTCCCAGACAGCTTATTTTATTCCAACACCTCCAAAAAATATCGTTATATTTTAGCCAATGTATACAAAAACTTAACAAATTATATACTTAAACCTTCCTCGAGATGGTTCTCGAGGAAGGTTTAAGTATATAATTTGTCTATCTATCACTATCCATTGGTGAAAACAGCATGAAAATCGGTGCAGTAGTTTGTGTTTATCGCGAACAGACAGACGCGGCGGAGGACTTTTTTCCATAATATGTAGTGATGTAATCAGAACCTCTTCATTTTTGAAGTCGGTTGGAAATATTATATCACCATAATATGATATAACTTTGGCATGTCACTACGTATATATATATATATCTTAAATTGGCAAAACTTGAATGGCGACTCACATTTTTACCGTTAAATATATTATTGAAGTGAGAGAAATAGTTGTGATTTTATTATAGAAAATTCCGTTAATAATTTTATACATTTTGAAGGAGCATGTATATATGTTGGACGGTTGTAAATATAAAATGATTGTCACAATAAAGTATAAAATACAAAATGTTTGTTTTAATCAAATAATCTTTTTAAAACTTTACTGTAACTTGTTATACCTATTAATAAATCAAAAATGTTTACACTAATAATAATTACTTTCCTATCATTAATATGTTTAACTAGCAGAACCCGCGGCTTTGCTCGCGCTAATACTACAAAAAAAACTGGCTTTATGCTATTAGTAATAATGTATGGAAGTCTGCCAGATTTGTTGACATTTATGATTACTACTTCCCTCCCATAGGTAGTAGCATGATGATAACCATCCTCAATAAATGGGTTATCTAAATTCTAATGCAAAAATAATTTTTCAAATCGGATAAGTTGTTACTGGGATTAGCGCGTTCATACAAACTCTTTATAATATAGTATAGATTAAAGTACGATATTACCAAAGTCAATATTTAAATATTAACGCTAGTGATAGTGCATAGAGACCTCCATTTAAATTACTAAGCAAATCAAAGTTGTGTTGAAAATAAAACAAATTGTTATATTTTGCAGATGCAGACTTTTATAATGGAACAATAATTCGGACTGTTTATCAGATAAACAAATGCATAATGTGACATTTTAAGCTTAGCATAAAAATAAATTAAATGCTTGATAAGTTAATACAGAATTGATTGACATTTATGTCTATTTCTTCTCTTTCTTGCCCTTCTTGGAGGCAGCGGCTGCCTCAATATCTATTGGAGCAGGCTTCACAAATGGTATGAACTCCTGGTACTGTTCTGGCATCCATGGCTTCAAAGCTTCTGGTATCTGTAAAACATTTTATTGTATAATATTTATTTTAATAAATATTTATTTGAATAGATTATAAAAAATCCGTTCGATTTTTTACTTATTATTACAAATAGGCACTGGCCAGTACACTCGGGTTCGCCCCTACCTACGTTTTAACATTTTGTGTCGATTTCTCAGAGATGAGATATTTTCCCGCAGTAAAATGTATCCTATAAGTTGACCCGGATAACCACCTATCATCATACCAAATTTCATCAAAATCCCTCCAGTGGTTTATTCGTGATGCGGTAACAGACAGACAAAAACCCTAAAAATTATAGATTCGGCTTCTGTATCGATAATAATGTCTATTTCAATGAGGTTTTCCAAAAACTATTTAATATACATATTCGGCTTAGTTACAATTTTATTATATGTATGGATTATTAATATTATCCATAATTAAATATAAAATCGGTGTTTATACATAAATCTGAACAAAATCTGATGGTATAAATTGCAAACATTGAAATCAAAAATAGTAGCAGATAATTAACATTTAAGATGAATAAGTTACCTCAATACCGCGCTCGCTCTGATGGACTTCCAGTACGGCACAGATGACGCGCGTGGTGGCGCACATGGTCGCGTTGAGCATGTGCACGTACTCCGTGGCTGCATTCATCTTCTTAGTCTGACCGTATCTGCGGGAATTTATTTATATACATTAATTATCCTTAATACATACACGGGAGGAAGGATATTAAGAAAAAAAACGTACCATCACTTCATTCAATCGGCATTTTAATTTTTTTGAGCAAGACCCTAATTCTTTTTCTAAAACAAAATAGCCAATGTTACTCCTTATAATATAAACTATCTGCTAGTGAAAGCTCCGTCAAAATCAGTCCAGCCGTTTCAGAGATTAGCCAAAACAAACTGACTGACAAATAAAAAGTAAAAAATAACTGATTGGTAGTTTTCATTTACTATACATACCTAATCAAATATTTTCGAAGTCGGTGTGCTTTGGCTAAGTAATTAAAGCCTACCAATTAAATACATACCTAATCAAATATTTTCGAAATCGGTGCCAGCCCATACAAAGCAAAGCACACCGACTTCGAAAATATTTGATTAGGTATGTATAGTAAATGAAAACTACCAATCAGTTATTTTTTACTTTTTAGTGCTTTTGTTTGAAGTCGGTTTTTATTTTTTTGTTAAAAAGTTTTTATTTTTCCCTTTTTAGTGTAGACAGTAGTAGCAAAGTAAGGAATCTAACGTGTTAGGCTTGTCAAATCAAACAAAATAAGCCCAAACTCAAAGTATCTACTATTAGCCGTTGAAGAGTTCCACCTATCCACCTTCTGGCCTTGCCATCAGATCAGGTCAACAACACCGAACCACTGTACTATCAACGGAAATAGAAATACTTGCAAAGTTTCAAGTCAATATGACAATTAGAAGTAGGTTAAATTCGTCATTAGTTGTTTTTCCACCCTTAGGGGTGGGTTTTTTTTTTTGAAATTTAAATGGGACCAATCTGGAAGTATACCCTTTCAAACAAAACAAAAATTGTACAAATCGGTTCATAAATGACGGAGTTCTGAGGTAACAAACATAAAAAAAAAAAACATACAGTCGAATTGAGAACCTCCTCCTTTTTGAAGTCGGTTGAAAAATTAAAAATTGTGTTTTTCTTATAAGTACCATATATTATATCATACGCATTTACTAAAAAGCTCTTATTTTGACATTACAAACACTTCAATTATATTTATCTGCATAGATAGATATATTTGGTATTTTAAAATGAATGATATGTATAATAATTTATTAATGTTTGTAATTATGTGCTATAACATTGTATACATATTCAATATTACTAAAATAATTTAGTACCTGACAAGCAAACGTCTAGCTTGGTATTCCAAGCAGTTGCTGCACGAGACCAGTTCACGGAAGGCGCCAGATCCAGGGAACCACGCTTCCAAGTCCAACTTTTTAGCTGCCGCATGGTTGAGTGCCCCTGACACGATATTCACAACGCGATACGGTATACCCAATATTTGGTAGAACTCTTCTGCATTAGCGATCATCTCATCCATCATTTCCCAAGATTTGTTGTCATGAGGAGATGTTAAAACGAACTGCTCTACCTAGTAAAAACATGTACTTTTTAAATGTATTGTTTTTCCATATTTGAATTATAATAAATGTATATTGGTAGATACATTTATTATATGTTAAAATATAATTCGAATCCAGAATAGTTGAAAGAATTAAAACTAGTTATTGATTAAGTATCTTTGCTTTTTTAGTTCCGGTACCTTTTTCCTACTTTGCAGCTCTGCCGCTCAAAATGTTTCATCATTATAACAATGGATAACAAGTACTGAAAAATGACAACAATTAATAATAGTTTTAAAATTTTACCTTTTCAAATTGGTGCACCCTAAAGATACCGCGTGTATCACGACCATGTGACCCAACTTCTTGCCTGAAGCATGTGGATAATCCAGAATATCTGAATAAAAATTATACATTGTATTATACAAATTATTTGCACAGGTTTATTTAAAAGAAATATTCATACTTTATGGGTAACAAAGCTTCTGGAAGCCATTCATCCCTGTGATATGCAGCTATAGGCTGTTCGGATGTCGCAATGAGATATTTTTCCTCCACAGCTGCATCTCCCTTGTTCTCAGAGCCTTTTCCTATCACCTTATATAGTTCTTCATCAAATTGAGCTAATTGCGCTACTTCTTGCATCACCTAAAAATGTACAAATAAACAATACAATTATTACAAACAGTGATAATATTTAATACAATAAGGTCATAAATCATTATACATTTTATTTAACTGACTTCCAAAAAGGAGGAGGTTGTCAATTCATCAGAATCTTTATTTTTTTACAATAATTTTTTCTTAAATTTCTTTTTTGTCTTATTTTGTAAAAATGTATGTAATACTATCTTTATGTCAATAAGCTCCATAACATCAATATATTGAACAAGTGTGATTTATAGTCAAAATACCTAGTAACAATAACCCACCTCTTTTTTCATAAAAAAGGGTGTATAGAGTGGTGTATATCCTTTTTTCAAAAGAATTCTTAGAGAGAGCTGCACTAATGCTTGTTCAAGGAAAACTGCAGGACCTTTAAGATAGTACCCTCGACCACCTGATACTGCAGTACCCCTCTCCCCATCCATACCTAAAAAAATATTATAATAAATATAAAACTCATTTATTAAAATTTTATCATAATTTTTGTAGGTTTTGTATATATTATATATACAAATATTTTTTCTGATGTTTGATCAAGTGTTGTAGTGTTTCAATAAACATTGAGAGTTTATATGTATATGGCAACAGATATATATATATTTATTGTATAAATATAATAATATTTTGAGTCTTAAGTTATCAAGAGTTAAAGTAAAACAACAAAAGGAAAGGCAGAATGGGGAGTGTGAATAAAATACATTTATAGGAATTTAGAAACACAGCTAATATTCCTTCAACCTAAATAGTAACCATATGTTTTTTTTTCAAGATTTAATTTTTTATGAACTTACCATCTATCATGCAAATGAGGTCCACATGAGAATACTTTTGCCTGACAGCACAATCACCAAAAGTTCTCTCAACAGCATTGTGATCCTCATCATCATCTACAGGTACCGACTCATGTAAATGATTACCCACCTCCCTTAAGGCTGAGGAACGTGTTTTCTCTGCTGTTAATAGAGCTTCTTCATTTTTTGTGATTGCTTCATCAATAAGTACTCTCACCTATAATGATAAATTAAATCTATTAATAATAGTTAAATATCAGGACTTTTTATGAAAATACTGCATACAAATAGACGAGTGATTAGTTTTTATGATAAATAAATAATAATCTTCATGTACTCTGCCACATGCAAAAGTAGTTTTAACAAATAAAATCTTCAACTTTTTTTATAATATTATGAAAATACCTTTTTTATTTGGTTTACTGTAAGAGGACGTAGTTGTTCTCCAATAAGATTGATAAGGTTATCTGAGATTTCTTGAGGGACTGGCTCGTCTTCTGGTCCGACGGGTTCTTTATTTTTCATTTTTTGCCCTATCTCTTTGCTACACACATTTTTAAGTTTATTTAAATTATCGGCATCGTGGCGTAATTTTCTCCATAAGGTGTCCTGTTCCACAACAATATCTACCAAAGCAACGTCTTTATAGCGTTTACGTTGGTTTTCGCGAATTTTGTCTGGATTACCATCTTTGTCAGCACGAAACAAATCTAAATCTAAAACCATTTTAATATAAAAATAGAAATAATGTAATTTAAGTGAAAAATATATTTATTTAACGCAACCAAACTATTGGTGACGAAATTTCAAGTTTTAATGAAAGTGACAAATTGCGGCTGACTGTATCGGAAATCGGAAAGTGACGTTTTGAAATGTGATTATATTATTTTCAATTTGCACAAACAAAGACGATTTCGGCAAAATATACTTATTTTATTCAAAAAATTTCAAATTTTACGTTGATAATGTAATTTAATAATATTTTTTATTCATTTTGATTATTTAAAGCTTATAACTACAAAGTTAATATGGAAAATTAAATCTACTGAACCGAACTATCGAACGTACTTTATGTGACATAGATATAGATAAGAAAAGTATTTTAATTTTTACTTAGAAAATTTAAGTAAATGGACGGAGTCTCTTTTAGTTTTACTTTTACTGGTTCATTTTTGATAATAATTATTTTAACATACAGTAGAATTATTTAACTTTAAAAAAAGATAATGAGTTAAATATTAGTCCCGCTGAGTTTCTTTCGCCAGTTCTTCTCAGGTCTGAGGCTTCTTTCCGAACTGGTAGTAGACTCATGACATTCAGTGAAAATTGCAATAAAATGTTGAATAAAATATTTTTAATTTGAATTAAAGGTGCCTGCTACTTTTACTTCTGACATGTACAAACATTAGGTATTCAATTGAATACTGTGCCTGGCAACTATGAATAAATACTTATTATTTATTCGTAGCCTGGCAAATGGCAATAATAAATAAAACGTCAAATTGGCGATTGGTCGGCTAGTTTTGAGATCATTTTTATCATATTTTGCTGAATGTTTTGTATACTATGTTAATCCTAATAGATACTTGATGAATTAATATATTTTATTGGTTCAACTAAAACCTGTAAGTATTTTAATATAACTGTATTATACTCTTTATGGTAGTTTATTTTGTTTAACATATTGTTTACACGTCTCCAATATCCGTCTTCTCCGTATTTACAAAGGGGAGGATACTTATTGATGTAATTATTACAATATACAAATTAAATTTGAATTATTATATCAAAATATTTTACCGATTTTAATTGCAAAGAAAGATATTGACATAAATATTACATGATACGGTTTTTCGATCACCAACTTTGTCAATTAACGTATTTTTTTATTGGGATACCCTGATTAAAAAGTACATGTTGAATAAAGTTTATAACTGCCATATTGTAACAATTTCTCATAATAAATAGTTAAATGAAATATTTCTTTTGTTATAGGCAATGTTAAGATGATTCCACTTAAAGACAATCAAGATGTGGCAACTTTCCTTGTCACTAAACATTCCTGGAAAGGCAAATATAAGAGAGTATTCTCTATAGGCACTCATGGCATCACCACATACAATCCTGATCGCTTAGAAGTAACAAACAAATGGCAATATTCAGATGTGGTTACCCTTGCTTCAGCAAAGCATTCCAATTCTGCTAACAACCATGACTTTACACTTGTCATGAAGAAAGACAAGAAAGTAGATTCAATGAAATTTTCATCAGAACATAAATGTCTTATTTTAACTGAAGCTTTTAAATACAGGCACTTGTTTGCTGAAAAACCAAAGGATATATTTGTAAGAATTTTTAATTATTTATTATTTCTAATTTATAAATTAATATTGATTTTTAAATATAAATTTACAATAAAGAGATACATTTCAACATTTTGACCATTTTTTTATATATATTAGCTTCATAGTAATCATAATATACTCAAAATAGAAGAAATTTTGGCCAAAACATTGACCATTAACATTAACAATTACACATCAATCCCATATAAGAAGTTCGACTGCAGGGCCACCATAACATTTAGAGATTTTTGTTGTTATGGCAAATAAAAGTTTCTTTAATAAAACCTAAGAATAAGAAGAAGTCTTAAAGCAAGTTGAATATATCACTAAGCTTGAACCCTCAACCTCACTATACATACCAGTATAATATCTATTTATATAAAATCTATAAATAGGTATTATATTATGTTAATGAAATAATGTTTGTGTGATGGAATTACATAAGAAATTTCTATATTTTATTTCAGAGATATCAAGCATATAAGCACCATTGGAGTGGTACACGGTTACCAATAGTACTTGAAGTGGGACCATGTTCTCTTGAGCAATTAGATCCATCAACACATACACTGCTTGCAAGCTATCCATACTGTGATATACAAGGCATTCTTCCAGTAAGGGATATACCGGGAGGTTTTGTGTTAGCTGTCGGTGGTTATAGCCGACTTCATTTGTTTTCTAATGTTATGGATCATCAGATTATAATAAATAAAATGCTTGAAATGGCTAGCTTGATGATGAGCATAAGTATCAAAGTACTGTCAGCTACTATCACACTTGATGACTATCACAACCAACGCTTTGGTAAATACAGGTAAAAATATATACTTTATATAATACCTATAATGTAATATTAAATTGTTAAGCATATAATATTAATTATGTACAGGTTTAGACAGAGTATTATTTATTTAGGTTTAGCTTACAGTATACAAATGAGGCTAAAGTGTAAAATAATCTATACATATAATAAAATTGTAACTAAGTCGAATCTATACATTAAATAGTTTTTGAAATTTGGTATGATGATAGCTGGTCACCTGGGTCAACATATAAGATATTTTTTACAGTGGGAAAATGTCTCATCCCCAAGAAATTTATACTAAATGTTAAAACATAAGTAGGGACGAACCCAAGCGGAGCAAGGGTGAGTCGCTATTTAGTACATAAAATTCAATTTGCTTTATGTGTGTTTAATTAGGATGGTTTTAATATAGGTTACTTTGTTGTATGGTTCAATTAAGAACAAAGCCCAATTTCATTACAATTGGTTTAGTAATTTTGTCATGGAAATAGCTATATATTATGTGAAGCTTGCAATCTTGTTTTTAATAAACATTTTTAGGTTCAATTTTCAACCAAATTTTCAAAAGAATTTAAAATATTGATTTTGCTTGAATTTATGTATGAGTAATTGAAATTTGAGTACAGTAAGATATATGCATATAATTTTTTTGTAATAGCTTTTAGATAAGGAATATTTAGAAGTGATAAGCAGATGATGTTGTTTTGAGTTTATCAATTTTAGTTACAATTCAAATTGCTATAAATATATATATATATATATATATATATATATATATATATATATATATATATATATATATATATATATTGTTTTAGATAGTAGATTTAAAAAATAATTTTCATAAATTAAGCTTTAAGCATAAGCAAGAATTGAACTCGCAAACAAAAAAAGATTCCAACGAATTGAGAACCTCCTCCTTTTTGGAAGTTGGTTAAAAACCACTATAGGATTTGTTAAATTGTTGTATAATTGCTTCATAAAAATAATTATTGAAACATATTAAAGTAGTTAACTGAGCATAAAATATTTACTAATTTTTTTTTTATTAAATCATCAGTATATTTAAATTAATTAATACTGATTTTATCAATACTTCCCTTATAAAGTCACCACATGATTCATGTGATCTTCGCCATTTCTGTTCTATTTGTTCCAGTTTTATTACCCAGAATGATATAATCACATTGATAAAAGCTTAAACATAATATTTTGATAATAGCACATTTGATGTCGATTTTGCAAAAGAAAAGGGAAACGGAGAAAAATCCTCTTTTTGTATATATAATATTTTAAATTTGATAATTATGTAAATTAAATTTGGCCAAGCTCATGAAATCTTTTGATTTTAAAGAAATATTATTTAATTTAAAAACAAAAATAAGCCAGAACTAAAGAATAATGGAACAAATCGGCTTAAAACTTTGGACCTCTGAAGACACATTAATTTATTATCTTCTTATATGAGGTTAAAACTGTATTATAACATTTTTTTTTACTTTACAGTGGCGATCAACATCAAACATCGTTAAGTGAATTCTTGGTCCACAAAGTGAATCCAGCACGTCATATGGAACCGATGCGGCGAACCCTTTGTCTTTCTGATACATGCATTTTAGAGAGAGATCCTCAGACTTATTCTGTAAGGCTTATTAACATTTGAATAATTATAATACTTAGTTACTATTTTTTCGCCGTTTTACATAGATTTTTCTTATCTTTGCAATTATAGCCACGGGGAAAATTAAGGTTATTTAATATAATATCTAACTAATAGTTATTTTTAAATTTTTAATACATATAAACAGACTTTAGTACACGAGTGTACTCAAAGCATGTGCACTAACTATCGTAATCCGATATGCTGCCAAGCTAATACAGCATGCACCTATAACTAGCAAGGTAAAGGACTAATATACTTAAGGACTTAATTATTGTCTTAACTCCATACCATTACTGAATAAAGAATTTCTTAATATAGAACCCAATGATTAAATTTTTGGGCAGCTCAGGACTCGAACCCAGGATCCCAATCCCTTTCCTAAACTATCAGATCAAGAAAACTATAAGTGATGGATATTTAAATTAGATACCTAGTTAAAAAAATTTGATATATTTTAATTTATTGATATTATCTAGTTTTTATAACATTTATTTGGTTTCTTTTATAGAATGATTATGACGCCATTTTTATTTCAGGTAGTTTGCCTGCGGCCGCTGAGTGACGTTTTTGCCTTAGTCCGTGATCCAGACCACCCTCAGAAATTTTCGATTGAATATTTAAATGGACAGACTCGAACATATTTAGCTGGTGAAAGGTATGTTGTATCTACTCTTTAGTGTAATGTAGATGATTTTTTTTAATGTTCGGATGTAGATACTATGCTAAAACGGCCCTTTATGTAACACGAAAGCATTCCCCTGTAAGAAAATCTTGAATACCCTATTCCTAAAATGTTAAGACGTAATATTTTTTTTTATATTAAAATTTAAAATATTAAATTATTATTTTAAAAATTCAGTCCTGATAAATAAATTGAGAAAATAAGAAATTATCTGAAGACTTAATTAGAGTACGTTTTGTCATCCATTGTACAAGTAAGTAAAACTCAAAATGGCACATCGGCAGGACCTGGCAATATTTGTCATATAATGACCATAACATTTGAGGCATTTATTTAAGGAGATTTTGCTAGGTCTTCTTTAAAAAAAAATTTTTGGTTTTTATTACCTCGTCCACTATACTTTTTAACCGACTTCCAAAAAGGAGGAGGTTCCCAATTCGTCGAATCTTTTTTTTTATGTATGTTCACCGATTACTCGAAGACGCCGGAACCGATTTTAACTTTCTTTTGTTTCGAAGAGTATAATTTCTAGGTGGTCCCATATAAATTTTATCGGAATCGGTTGAGTGGTTTTAAAAATCAACAATATATATTTTCTAAATAAAATAGAAAAATGAACCCTTTTTATAAAACTGACTAGGCACTGACTTCGAAAATATCTCATTAGGTATTTCTTCTAAATGAAAACTCCCGTTTAGTTATTTTTTAGATTTTAGTGCTTGGAAAGTCGTTTTTTTTTAAGTTTTTATAACTTATTATAAGACGAAATAAGTTAATTTATTATTGCACCAGCGATAAACGATAATTTAAGTTCAATTAGCACGATATATATGTATGTGTGTGGATCAGAGACGCGCTGCTCGCGTCGCTGGTGGACGGCGTGCGGTCGGCGGGGCAGCGCGACGTGCACGTGCGCTCGGGCCGCACGCCGCGCGGGTACCGCCTCGGCCCGCTGCACCACCCCGTCGACGAGGAGACCGAGTCCAACCATCTCAGGTGGGTATTTGACAAGGACATTAAATTTAATTTAAAGTTAAAATATGAAATTGCCGATTCAAAAGTGATTGTAAAAGTCTATTTGAATAAAGTATATTTTGATTTGATTCACTAGTCACTACTCCGTTAACACTGGACGTCGATATATCCGTAAGCTTTGGGAAATAGCGAATTGTGAATGAAGAAGTTTCCTAAGTCGGAAAAAATTATCACGTTATTATATAGATCATAACAAAACAGTGTTTTTCTTTCCAAAATACGTTAAAAAAATTAAAGAGTAATAAAAAACAAAATTGAGAATTGGGAAATAATCAATGGCTCGACGCAACTAATATAATACTCGTAGATGCGTCTTTCCTAATTACCGCGCGTAGTTTGTGTGAAAAATTGATATTTATACACCGACTGTTTAGTGCATAGATTAGATCCTTACACCGACTAGCTAATTGATGTAATAAAAACTTTTAAAGACATCGTTTTTGCCTATAAAAATTTTCATCTTTATATATTTGCTTAAAAATAAATTTCAAAATACATGTACATAAATATATATATATATATATATATATATATATATATATATATTTGTGATTTGACCCATAGGTATATGAAAAAAATTAAATTTATTTTATGTTTGCAGATTATTTCAAAATCCTGTTGGGATGTCAAGAGCTGAAGTGATCGAACGTTTTAATGCTAACGTCGGTTACAGCGGTCTCATATACTCCGTCAGTCAAGATGTGAGTTTATTTTGTACATAAAATAGTTTAAACTGCTTCCACATAATTAATGTAATTTTTTTCTATAGTTTTACTATTCATTGCTTTTACAAAATTAAATAAAGCCAAAAAAATAAATGCTTCATTCTATAAAAAATACCTAAAACTTTATTTTTTTAAATCTTGGAGATATTTTTTTTATTTCTTAATTGCTTTCCCCTCGTTGTACTATTTAGTTATGTCCTAGTGACCAGTAAAATTAGGTTTTTAATAAACGAAATGTTTTTGTCTGTTTATTTGAATATATCATTAATATTATATCATCAGTAGAACATAAACATTTACGTCTGCCACATATTCTGTCATAATGCCATAAATATAATACCTACAGAGAGACAACTTCATATAACATTGCACTTGGTATTAGATGCATATTCCTCACTACCACTAATATATGAAACGACTAAAATGATTTTATGAAAAAAATTATAATTTAGGAGCAAATTTTTATGCAAGGAAAATTTAGGGTCCTACATATGGGGGCGTAAACTATCGTATAGCTTTAGTTCCAGGATAACTAAGATTTCCATCAAAGATCATTGTGGACGAGGCATGACAATTATTATTAAGTACGTACTCGCTACTCGGATGTAAAATCAACATAAACTCGTCTGCCATATTTTTTTTTTATTTTGTATCCCTCTAGGATTATACTATTCCGCAGGATAGCTCTTAATTGTATGAAATTCCGGTGCCTACTTGTAAAAGAACTGCTAAAATGACTTTATAACCATTTTCTAAGTGTGCAGTCAATTAAAAGGTAAACAAAAACAATGTTTCAATGGAGTTGTCCTTTTGTATATGTACTCTGCCTCTATCACATTCTATTGCTACATCATACTCATATCGCACTACCAGAACAATAAAATATACTTAACATTTAAATAAAATATCTTTTCGGATTAATTCGCGGATTTAGACAGTGCCTATCTGTAACAAGTAGGTATATGTGTTTGAGAAGTCTATAACCCTAGTCTCTCCCGTGACCATGATTGCTGTAAAGCATTCGAAATGTCGAGAACCAAAAATCAAATTAAATCCGCGAAATAATCTGAAAAGATAGTTTTATTAAAAATGTCAAATATTCGCGTAAATCTAAGAAAGTATTACATACTCAACAGTCAAGCAAAATACTATATTAAAAATATTTTTTAAGAATATCCCACAATACTGATCAATACAAGATGTATAAATTATTATATTACCAAATATTTTATTATAGCAAAGCGAATGCTTATGATGAACATTTGCAGGTTCTTGAAATTTAATTAATTAAATTAATAAATGAGTACAATTATTATATTTTTCGAGAATTGACACAGTTCATTTAAAAATTAAAATTTTTGTTTGTCGAGAATTGAATCCATAACCTACCTTTTAAAACTACAAATAAACACGATTTCATAATTATGTCTTATGTTATTTAGATTTCTTTAACACTTTTTATAATTGCAATTTTAAATTAAAGTATGTTTTCGGATACTGTCGCGGATATATTTTATGTTTTGGTACTCAACGTTTTGAATGCTTTACAGTAAACATGGTCACGCGAGAGACTGTCTCTCTCGTGACCATGTCAAATATTTACGTAATTCTAAGAAAGTATTATGCAATAGATGATTGAATTGTTCTAGTCGTGCGATGTGCGGGCATGTTAATTTGATGTTGTTGCATTGTAGGTTAGCCCCCTGTTGTGGCTGTTTCTTACGTGGGATCTTGTAAGTCCCTACAATATTATTATCTGTCCCTCGCCTACTTGCAATGTAAGAGCTGGCCTTAGATTAGAAAATTTGTGTTAAAATCAATCAATAGCTTAACAAATATATCCAATAATTCATACCTAAGGTCGACTCTACTTTTTATTGGGTTCACAATTCATTTACATTTTTGGGATATTTCAAGCCTTTTAAGTAATTGCTAGATACATCAATTTATTAAGACAGGTAGTTGTAAGATGTATTTGATCTAGTTAGATAGAAATGGAGTTGATTGTATTCAATACAATATTTTGTATTATATCAACAAATAATAGTATAATAATAATAATATATAGCTGGATGATGTTTAAGTTTATGCAAGAAAGAAGCAATGTAAATAATGCTAATCATGCTTTGTACATAACGCTGTAAAATATGTAGAGTACGTTTAACCACTCACTATTAATTATATGTAAATAATTCTTGAAATTTAAATTTCCTTTACAAAACTTATATACTTTTCAATCTTTATATCGAAATCTATTAAAATTTTATAAAGTTTTATAATATTTTTTATTATACGGTTGGTCCACCAACAGCGACTGTTCGCGGAGAACAAAGAGAAGTTGATAACGGGCGCGTTGGCCGCGATGATGGCGAGCGCGCCCGCCGGCGCCGGCCTCACGCTGCGCGAGCTCGAGGCGCAGTTCCACGCGCTGCGGCGGCTGTGCGCCAGCAAAGTCGGCTTCGCCGCCTTCACCGCTTTGTCTGGGTAAATTGAAAATTTTTAGTACAGAGGAGTGTTAACAAAATGTAATTTAGAACAACAAAAGTTTAAATGAACTCTAATATATGTATAAAAATTAACGTTTGTTAGTATTTCTTTTATTGTGCCAACTTAAACTTATTGCTTGCACTTGCACGAAAATTATAGACATAGTACAATTAATTTGCAGTAGATGGCGCGTGTACCATATCGGCAAAATTTAAAAGGACATTTCTGCAATAACTAACTTTATGTATTTAAAACGGACATAGGGACACACACGAGCGAAACGAAGGTAAGTTGCTAGTATGTGATATAGTATCTATGATAAAAAAATATAGTACCTACTTCTTATGTAAGAAGATAGAATACTATTTATATATTATACTAGCGACTCACCTTCGCTTCACTTCGGTTTCGTCACTAGCTAGCTTGCTATCCAATACAAAATTTCATCCCCATTTTCACCACCTTAAGGGATGGTTTCCGGGAGAAAAAGTATCCCATGTCCTTCCCAGAGTCTCAAACTATCTCCTTACCAAATTTCATCTAAATCATTTCAGTAGATCCAGAGATTACCATACATAGTATAGATAAATATAGTGATTCGCGTTGCGTGCAGATTCCGCGAGTGGATGGGCAGCGCGGTGGTGGGCGCACTGCGGCGCGAGTGCGCGGCGTGCTCGCACGCGGCGCTGGACGCGCTGTGCGCGCTGCTGCAGCCCATGCACGCCGAGCCCGACCTGCGCCAGGAGCAGCTCAACAAGGCCTCCATGCTCGCCTCCAGCGCCTTCCTCGACGGCCTGCTGCTCATGTGGGCCGACCACGTGGTTACTACTTACTACATACTTTGTATTCCACTGTGTCAGCCATGTTCCTATAGCAAAGTTCGCGTTTTCATTTAATTGAAGAACGTTTTGAATGTCATTACATTGAATTACAAATTAAAAATATCTCGTCTTTTATTAAGTTTAAGCAGTTAAAACTTCATGTATTAAATAATCATAAGTGAATAATTAAATTTTAACATCACGAAATTGTTTTTTAGACCGCTTGAATATATAAGTAAAAACCTGCTTATATGTATTAAATATGCGCTTAATATTTATTAATGAGAACATGAATTTTTATTCCATTGCAGTCGGCAGGCACGGGCGCGCTGGTGGTGGCGGCCATGCTGGACTTCCTCACGTTCGCGCTGTGCGTGCCCTACAGCGAGACCACCGACGGCAAGCAGTTCGACCAGCTGCTCGAGATGGTGGCTAGCCGGGGCCGCATCATATTTAAACTTTTTGAGGTATATTTAATTATATGATCATTCACTTATATACTGATATATGAATGGACCGTCCACTTGTAGCTTATTTTCCTCTCCGAGGCACGGGGGTGGAACACCTCCTACTTTCTAATTCCGGGCTGTTACTGTTCTGAAATAAAGTCTCAACAACTAAATTTGACCCGAGTCGGGAGTCAAACCCAGACCTTAAGAGGCACCGATGAGTGATGATATAGTGTGTCGGTGTCTCGTGTTCCCCTGCAGCACCCGTCGGCGGCGATAGTGAAGGGCGCGGGGCTGGTGGCGCGCGCGCTGGTGGAGGAGGGCGGCGGCGGCGTGGGCGCGCGCGTGCAGGCGCTGGCGCTGGGCGAGGCCGCGCTGCCGCGCCACCTGCTGGCCGCGCTGTACGCGCCGGCGCGCCTGCAGCGCCGCCACCTGGCGCGCCACCTCGTGGCGCTCTGGCTCGTCGACCACGCGCCCGCCAACGACCTGCTCCGGCGCATCATGGTGAGTGAGCCGTGAGATGCACGCTGTATGCTTGGGATTTGCTTTCATGCTCACTGACGATATTTGTGTTATAATTCCTTACATTTACGCGAATATGTGACATGTTAAATGACATTATTTTTTTCTCGTCGCGGTTTTATTTTATATCTATGTTTTCGACGTTTTGTCAGTATCAATGAGATGTTTAAAACGTATAAATAATAGAAATAAAATAAGAATTGTACTTATATGTTCATCTTTTTAGCTTTACTTGAGAACACTAACTACTAAACTAAAACTAGATGGTTTCCAAAAATGTACTTAAATTTCTTAGGATTGACGACAGTTATGTTTATCTATACTCATATTATAAAGAGGCAGAGCTAGTTTGTTTATAAACAACATTCTTTTTGCATTAGATGTTATGCCCGTTTATTGGGAAAGCTATCATCCTACTACCCAAGGAAGCTGAGCAGTAATATAATATATAGTCTATACTAACACTTAAAACGAACTTTGAATATCGAACAATCTCGCTAGTATAATAGAGTGCAGAATGATTTCAATTATTCAATAACATCCTTCTGCTTATGATAAAAATAATGAATGTTTTCTTTAATTTAACATTCAGCCATCAGGTCTCCTAGCGTTCCTAGAGTCGTCCGAGGCGCCGCCCGCGGCCGCGCTGGAGGCGGAGCGCGTGGAGGAGCGCGACAACCTGCAGCTGGCGCAGGCGGCGGCGAGGCCGCGCGCGCCGCACTGGGAGGCGCTCGAGCGGCAGGTCAAGTACGTCGAGAAACATCTTGAGGTGAGTGACTCTAATCTTATATTTTATGGTCTTGCCCTATATTAAAGTTTTACAAACATTCACAGTCTTCCACTTATATTTTTAACTATGTAAAGGTAAAATTAAAATATATTAGTTATACTATTCAAATTGTAGGGACACACTACTACAGGTTTGCATACCATGCACTAGTTGTGATATAATATATAATGGCTTGGAATGCGCCGTCTCGCCAGTCACGGGGAAATCGGGAAGCGAACGGTCGCATCCTTATTGTTATTAGTATATACCGTAATTGAAAGAAATAATACATATATATCACTCACAAAACTTTTATTTGCCCCGATCCCCGTGCCTCAATAAAATCAAATCAAATTCACATGATATTTGACATGGCTAGCCTTAATGAGATTTGGCGCAGTGACCGGAATTGGTCAAGGAATAATTAATATTCTTTAATTATACTAATAATATCTTTAACTGTAAATAAATAAAAAATTACACATTTAAACTTAATATATTGTATAACAGGTAAAAAACAAAAATACAAATTATGTATTACTATATCTTTTAAACTAACTTTCTAATGATAGCCTATATGTTAATCAGATGTATAAGCTATATTACCATAAAATGTCATTAGAAGCCGTTCAGTTGCTTATGTTTTTCCATAAATCCAACAAACTTTCACGTTTGAAATAACCTTACCTACCTTACGGGTGTGTTCATACTCTCGTCTTAAATAGATATTCCTATAGTAAAAGGTATGCTAAATGTTGATCCGAATTATAAGTAATCGCTACAAATATTATAGTTAAAATTTGATTATTATTTTTGTATGAAAAGTAAACAGATTTGAGGAATATTTCGGTATATATATTTTATATTTTACTATATGTATAGATAATATGGCAGTGGTAGCCCAGTGGTAACGCGCTCGCTTGGGAAACCGAGTGAAGCGAGTTCAAATCCCGGGTTTCGCACCTCTGATATTTTCATGTGCGAATCATTTCCAACATGATTACCATTTATCTTAACGGCGAAGGAAAACATTGTGATGATACTTGTATGTCTAAGAGAACCTAGCAAGTTTTCAAACGACATGTCGCCAACCCGCACTTGGCTAGCGTGGTGGTCTATGGCCTGATTCCTTTCGTACTAAAGGGAGGCTCGTGCCCAGCTGTGCGACGTTAAAAAGAGCTGACTACATGATAATATAATAAATATATTAATAGGATTAACAATATTTGTTTGCACGGCAGCACTACGCGTCGCTGGCGCTGCAGCACTGGGCGCAGCGCGCGCGTGGCGGCGAGGCGCGGCGCGAGGCGCCGCGGCCGGTGCTGCTGCGGCGCCGCCGCGAGCGCGTCAAATCCACCGCCAACTGGCCCATGTTCTACTACCAGTTCCACCGCGACCACGCGCTGCCCAACCTCATATGGAACCACACAGTGAGTGCCAGTTCGAATTCTTTTTCGTTTTATAATCTCTGTCCGTTTATTTTAAAAGTATATAGTATAGTACTGATTGTTGGTGAACGTATCGCTTGACAGCTGAGACCGATTTGGCTGGTTTTTTATAGAAAAATTTGTTGCAAGTTTAAAGAAGACTTTTAGGGGGAATTATGTGGAAAAGGTAACCAAATTGGGAAAATGGGAGAAACTAAAATAGAATATAATAATAGAATTTTCATATGACTTCCTCAAAGCCAAAATAAATTTATTGAAATTATGACAGGACCACATGGATTGAGTCAGCTAGTACATAATATATACTTAAGCATTGAATCGTTAGATTTATTTTCCTTTGTATATATCAATATTTAAATTAATGTTTTAAATTTTTCAAGTTATACTTATTTTTAGATGTTTTAAAAAAATATGAGAGTAAAATTTTTACGATCGCGTGCACACCGACAGCCAAAAAGTGACATGATAAAGTTAGCTGATAATTGTTTGTTGCCATGTTATATATTATTGTATGATATATATAATATAATAGTATATTTTTTTCTTAAATGTTATTCTATAAATATATGATTGTAATATGCCTAATATGCGTTATTTAATTATTTTATTAATTTATCATTCCTTTAACAAACAAAGAGTTGTGACATACGGGATGAAATCTTTAGCTATTTTTGTTCTGTTACGCCAACTTCTTACGTGCGTACATAAGTACACACACGCATGTTTTTGTTTAGTTTACTGTTTACTTCTTTTTTTAATTTTAGTACAACTTCATTTGTATTAATAAGACTAGCAAATTGTATCAAGAGAAGTAAAACAATTTCGGTAACCGTGATCGACATAAACTTATTTATTATTCAACATCAGTTAATAATGAATTATGATAATTTTACTTTTTATATACACTCACTAAAAAGGCGAGTACATGTTATGTATATATAACAAGACGTTACTTTCCATAGACAAGAGAAGAACTCCGCAACGCCCTGGAGAACGAGCTGCGCGCGTTCGCGTCGGACCGTGAGGTGGCGGGCAACACGCTCACGTCGTGGAACCACGCCGAGCTCGAGGTGCACTACCAGTGCCTGCAGAACGAGGTCAAGATCGGCGACTACTACCTGCGCATACTGCTCGAGCAGAAGGACAACGATGATAGCCCTATTCGAAAGTCGTAAGTACTATATATATGTTATATGGTTTTTTATTGAGAACCAAAGTCGTTGCACTGTAAAGAGAAATTTAATTATTTTATTCTTATATCACCAATTACATTTTTAAACACAACTTGTAGACTTAAGAAGCAATTATTAACCTGTAAAGGGAAACAACATTCAAAGCTATTGCTTCAAATAATATTTTTTGTAATCTGAAATATTTCTTTTGAAAACTTTGTTAACTTAATCTTATACAAAGCCAAAGAGAATTTCGCTAGATATAGAATGCGCATAGTGCAAAGTGCTGCCACCAAAGATATTACACTCACGTATGAAGTCGAAGTTAATGCGCGATCAATTTAAATTTAATGAAGGGCCAAAAGAGCTTCATTTGTATATATCTACACTAATCTACACAAATATAATAAATAGTAATTTACCTCGTAATAAAGAGTTAAAGATTGTAAGTTTGTATTTTGGTATAATATCTGAAACTACTGATCTGATTAGAATTATTTCACTAATAGGAAGCTATGTTACCCCTGAGTCGTATTATAGTCTAATTATTTCGATGAAATGTGTTTACTGTTAGTATGTAGTCATAATAACTTTAATAGAAGTAAAAAAAATGTATAAAAAAATTTACTTAAATATTGTTAGACACTTGAGCGAAGCGAGAATAATTAGTCTCATATAATAATAATAATAAAGCTGTTTTGACGTTTCCTGGCTGCTCACGTGTTAAATCTTAGTTCTCGCGAGAGGGTTTCAGTACAGGTTGGCAGACTTCACATGGCTTTCGAAACTAATAAAGTTCTCTCTTTACTCTATAGTAACTATGTTGAAAATGATTCGCATTTGAACCATGTGATCCGGTATTTGAACCTGCTTCACTGCTTTGTTTTTTAAGTGAGCGCTTTTTAAGCGCTTAATTGTATAATACAATATAATTTTTAATAAAAATTGTTTTCAGATACGAATTCTTCAACGATTTATATCATCGGTTTCTATCGACACCGAAAGTGGAGATGAAGTGCATGTGCTTGCAAGCGATGACCATTGTCTATGGTCGGTATTATGAAGATATTGGCCCATTCGCAGACACCAAGTACATTGTGCAAATGTTAGACAGGGTACGAGTAAAAATTTTCTGCTTCTTGTGTTATTTGGATAGATTAATTTATATATTTTTTGAAGAGTTCTTTTTTTATTTTTCACAATTTTATTGAATTATATGTAGCTAAATGAATTGTTACAGACATGTGACAGAATGGAAAGAGATAGACTGGTGCAGTTTTTAGCAAAACTAATTTTACACAGAAAGAACGTTAGCGAGATTTTGGAATGGAATGGCATAAGGTAAGCTCGCAAAATTTTGTCTCGTGTTTTCTTCGGCACACTGACATTAGATTTTTTATTATATTGCTAAAACTATAGTTATAGAGAAAGATATTTAAAGTGCATAAAGTTTTTAACTTTGTAGAATGTGTGAAATTTGTAAATTGAAAAATTTATAAATTGGTCATATATTCTTATGAATATATTAGCGATTTATCTTCGTTTCGCTCGGGTATGTCCCTGCTTTCAAAGAAATAATCTTTTTGCACCAGAAACCTTCTCAGGTGTATACATAATAACCCACCAGAGTTTTATCACAATCGGAATGGCTCCTAAACGCACAGAGCACAAACATACGAACAATATTTTTTGTTTATATAGATAGGTGTATAGATGTTGGTGATTGACTATAAACCAGTGTATGTATGTATGTACATAAAGCAGTGTATCGAACGTTTGCTCGCAAGGATCCTGGTGGAGCTGATGACGCTGGCGCACCTGCACACGTCGCGCGCCACCGTGCCGGCGCAGAGCAACGTGCTGGAGGGCGCCGCGCCCGCCGCCGACGGCGACCGCGAGTGGTACTACAACGTGGAGCTCGGCGACACCGTGCAGCGCAAGGGGCCCGTTAGCTTCCAACAGGTAGGTGATGCTACATGTACTATCCATTACTGCATTGTATAGGAAAAACTTTTACTCACACATCACATTACAAAGTGAATAAGTTAAACCTGAAATATAAACTCCTAGATGTGTCGGATAAAGTAAGCTTTAAAAAAGAAATAGTATGGTCGTGTTGCTAGCATGGGCTCTATGAGATTTTTTTAGGTACGACTATTAACTTAACAATTACTGGGTAGTCCTGTTATGAAATTCTCGATAAGAGTCCGGAGTTAAGAAGTCGGCTATATGTGTACCCCTGTGCCTCGATAACTTAAGCTGCCGTTCCTCCATTTTATGTCACTGGTTATCCTTCAACTCTTACTTAGAGTGTGTGTTGTGACCTACACACTGCACTATAATTTGTTTAAGAAATATTTTATGACTATATTTTTAACGTGTGAAGTGTAGTAACATCTCAAGTATAGTTCAATATAAAGGCAACCCCTTTAGAATGGTAATAATTACTTAAAAAGTGATTTCAAAATCGGTGGTACACAGACTGTGTGATTAAAAACTGTGTATATTGAGAATCGTATTAGTAGAATTCAAGAAATAATTGAGAAACATCCACAGCTGAAGGAGCTGTACAAGAACGGCACAATAAACAACAAGACGAAATGCTGGGCGAACAGCATGGAGGGATGGCGCGCGCTGGGCGGCGTGCCGCAGCTGCGCTGGGCGCTGGCGGCGCGCGGCGCGCCCGCGCTCACCGAGACTGAGCTGGCGGCCGCCGTGCTCGACCTGCTCGTCGTCTGCGCCAGATACTACCCGAGCCGGTATTCAAATATTTATAGCACGTTTATGTAAAAACTTACTGTAAAATATTTTAGATCAGAAAAAGAAATCTGACATTTAATAATTTCTTAAATTTACGCGAATATTTGACATTTTAAATAAAATTTTGTCTTCGGATTATTTCGTGGATTTATTTTGATTTTTAGTTCACGACGTTTTGAATGTTTTACAGCAATCCGTATTTTATAATATTATAAATGTGAAAGTTTGTGAGTGTGGATGTTTGTTACTCTTTCACGCCAGAACGGCTGAACGGGTCTGGATGAAATATGGCACAGAGATAGATTACTCTGGAATAACATATAGGCTTCTTTTTATCCCGGAAAATGTACGGTTCCCGTGGAATAAGTTTGTTTTTGTCTTTTTAGAGGCGAAGCGAACCGCTAGTATTCGTAATAGTAATAAAAATAGTAATAATAGCAAAAATCAAAATAAATTCGTGAAATAATTCGAAAAGATAGTTTTATTTAAAATCTGACATTGTTATTAGAAATACATGTGTACTTTTAATTACTACATATATATACATATGTACAATTAAATACACAAAATCTAATTTGATAAAAATGATGAAATCAACATATCTATTAGCAGATAACGTGCCATGAGAGACATTAGAGAGGTTTAGATTAAAAAAAAATCATATATTAATTTCAAAAGTTAAATTTCAAACATAACATTTGTTATAGAGATGAAGAAGACGCGGTGATAAGACCTTTGCCAAAAGTAAAACGTATGTTGTCGGAACCGGCTTGCTTAGCGCATGTCGTCCAGCTGTTGCTCACCTTCGATCCTATACTTGTTGAAAAGGTTTGTTGTATTATTATAGTGATTTATATGCCAAAAAATAAACAATAAAATCAATCAATTGAAATAATTGATATGAATTTTCTTAGATAATATTTGTTTGGAGGCAAGATAATATAAAAATAATTATAAATATTATGTAACTACAAATTGTAGTTGAACAGTTTGTATGAAAATAATATTATTGTGAGCAATATAAGTAATTTTTGAATTTTACAGGTGGCAACTCTTTTATATGAAGTAATGCAAGACAATCCGGAAATATCCAAATTGTACCTAACTGGAGTGTTTTACTTCATGCTTCTGTATACTGGTTCTAATTTATTACCCATTGCAAGATTTTTGAGACTCACTCACATGAAACAAGCATTTAGAGCGGATCAGGTTGGTAAATTGTAGTAATTCATGAAAAATAAATATGAATTGAAAAAGTTATTTTTGAATAATTAATGTGAATAATTATCAAGTTTATTTGTTTAGTTGTTTTAAAGGTTTTTAATGATTTGAAATCAAAATTAATTTCAGACTAGTTCAGACATAATGCAAAGATCTATCCTCGGTCAGTTGCTACCAGAAGCTATGGTTTGTTATTTAGAAAATCATGGAGCGGAAAAATTCGCCCAAATTTTCCTTGGCGAGTGGGACACGCCTGAAGCTATTTGGAATTCAGAGATGAGGTTAATTTTTTTATATAAATTGTTAGACATATAGTAATTAAATTCGTGAAGCAATTTCTGTAGGTAAGCCTTGTTTGTCTCTTGTATTCTTGTCATCACTTACAACAACACCAAATTTAGAATGGATGTAGATAGCTAAATGTACCTTCACATAATACATATTACTGAGCACAGATACCCCCATCTATATCTAAACTAATATTATAAAGTGGTAATGTTGTACTTTTTATCCCGGAAATCATCCCTTAAGCGGGTGAAAATGGGGATGAACGTTTGAATGGGAAATCAAATAAAAAAATTGGATGACCCCTGCTGTCTAATTTGGTTATTCTTCAGGGTAATTTATTTTTTATGAATAGTCGTCGTTAAGCCGAAAATTTTAAAGTATTTTTTATTTAATGAAATGAAAAATGTGTAAATCAGATCAAATTCAAAAATAAAAATAATATTACTTGATAGCTGATTTATCAATCATGCATTAATCAAATTCTAAAAGCTTGTACATTTAATTAAATAAAATAGTTATTTCAACTTCCATCTCTAATTTGTATCTTTATAAATTTAACTTCATTTTGTAGGGTCTATTTTTATTTACTTTTATTCTCTCGCTGTGGAAACTCATCGCGGGAACCATGCTGGCCGTCAGTGGAAAGGGTACTGTGAGAATCTTACTCACCACATCAAAACTCTAATTTAAAGTACTGAACCCATATTCCTGTCATTTTCTAATATCCCATACCCAAGGGTATATCGAAAAAACTTGTCTGCGAGCTTTGGATGCTCCTTATTTAAATCTTTGTAAAATAATCTAAGTTATCGTGCGTAACCCAGTGAATATTCTAGACTCTTACAAATAAACATTTAATGTTTAGTGCGCAAGAACTTACGCGGGACTAGCATCCAACCAGATAGTCCATCCACCTTTATTGAAAAACCGTTCTTTCCTGACGAGACGTACGTTGCAGACGCATGCTGATAATGAAGGTGTCGGCGCACATCGGGGAGTTCACGCCGCGGCTGCGCGCGCACGTGGCGGCGCGCTACCCGTACCTGGCCATCCCCGCCGTGCTGTACCCGCAGCTGCGCCACGAGCTGTTCTGCAACATGTTCTACCTGCGCCACCTCTGCGACACGCAGCGCTTCCCCGACTGGCCGATACCTGACCCGGTTTGTGCATGCCTTGTCTCACTAGCTTGTGTTACTCCGATGTACATACATTCTCAGACTAAGGAGTACTGTGTAGTATCATAGAATTAAACATAAAGCCAAATAATAATTCTTTAGTTTGAGCAAATTCTTTAGCCTGAGTGTATATTGTATAAGCTGTTTTACATTTAACATTTCATCAAAATCCTTTGTTTTTGCGTAAAAGAGTAATAAACATACATACATCTTCACAAACTTATAATATTAGTAATGGTAAGTCTTTGTGCTTAATTGTGTTCAAAAATGAAAGGAATAATATTTATCTGGTGTATTACAGTATATACTTAATTTAGATTCAACACAAGAATTATTTTTATGTTGCCTCATAACTGCAAAATAATCGGGTCGACAGCGCGTCGAACGCGTTCTTCAGTTTAAATGATTTTGTTTCACGTATTATTACGAGAACTAACTTGTGAAACCCAGGTGTGTCTACTAAAAGACGTGCTGGAGGCGTGGCGGCGCGAAGTGGACAAGAAGCCGGCGTCGATGACGGCGGAGCAGGCGTACGCGGCGCTGGGGCTGGAGGCGGGCGCGGCGCACGACGAGGCCGCCGTGCGCAAGGCCTACTACCGCCTCGCGCAGCTGTTCCATCCAGATAAGAATCCTGAAGGACGGGTGAGTGGGATCAGGGTTGATTTTGGTTTTTGCTTCTTCGCATTTTGAATATTTTACAGCAACAAAATGATAGTTTTTTTTCTCGAATGTTAAATATTCGCCTAAATCTAAAAAAGTATTATTGTATTGTTATAGAGAAAATCATTTCTATTTTATTATAATAAAATATTATTTTTAGGTCTTTATATGCCTGGTAAAAAACATAACTTATAGGATCAGGCTTAGACACAGACTAAACGTTACAGAGTATCTATAATTGTTAAAAGGACAAAAAATGTATTAAAATGGGTGTTAGTAGATATGGTAGTACCATAATAATAAAAATATTCTTTATTGTACACCAAAAATAAATATAAAATAAAAAAAAAACAACACAAAGAAAAGATGCACAGCAGGCGGCCTTATCACTGGAAGCGATCTCTTCTAGGCAACCTTGAGGTGGAGGAGTAAGTGTTCATAAAAACGGTAGGCGGTGTACTTGCTTTGACACGTTTACATATATAAATACTTATAGATAAATAGATACGTATACATATAAATGCATATATAGATACATACATACATACATATATGCGTAAAATTTACACACACACACACACACACACACACACACACACACACATAAAAAAGAAAAATCAATCAAATAATAAATAGGATTAGATACTAGAACATAATAGAGGAAATAATAATAACGATGATATTAGGGGAAAGGACTAAGGAGAAAGACTTAAAAAGACATATAATAATCTTTTAATAACTTTTTAAATTTATCTAAGCTTTTAGCAGATCTAACGCTTAAAGGAATAGAATTACACAATCGAGCAGCTTTTACTGTAAAAGAATTTGTGAAGAAACAGGAAGAGTGAGTAGGAATTTTAAGAAGGAAATTCCGAGCAGAGCGAAGTGAACGAGCATGGGAATCATCCAGAAACTCAAAACGCTCTTTCAGATAAATAGGAGTTGAAGGGTTAAACAGCACGCAGTAGAGAAGATGAAGAATATGAGTATTCCTGCGGAATGGGATTGGGAGCCACTTGAGCTTTTTACGAATTTGAGAAACATGGTCATATTTTCTAAGGCCAAAAATAAACCGTATACAGAGATTTTGGAATCGCTCAAGTTTATTCAAGTGGTCCTCTTTGATGTCGAGATAACAAATGTCAGCATAATCAAGAATCGGTAGTAGGAGTGAATTTGCTAGCGCAATTTTGGTAGGAATCGGAAGAAAATTTCGCAATCTGCGAAGTACCTTATACTATTTTAGATATATTTACTTCAACGATTGTAAAATGATATGTCTAGGCCCTTCTCAAATAATACTCAAGTCGCATACTAGCTTAATACTTGTTGGCAACTCGACGTTCGCACATTACGCTACTGAAAAATAACAAAATGCATCATTTATTTTGTTCATTTTCAATGAACGGCCGAATTTTTTCGAGATGCGTAGGAGACGCGACGCGCGGACGACCAGCGCGGCGGGTCGCGGACGCGTACGATACCGGCAGCGTAGTGTGTGAGCACCGGTACAAATGTATGTGCGATACTCCGCGGCGATTAGTCTTCCGGGTCTCTCAAGACACTAGAATGAGCGTATCGTAATGGGAGAAGGGCCTAAGTCTCCAGAATTTAAATTTCACGCGGAAACGACTAGCACTTGGACGATTTTCTAATTTATGATCCAACATAAATTAACCACGTTTTGATTGTTTATAATTTCTTAATTTTTATGTGTTTTTGTATTATTATTAATTTTTCTTGTTTATAGGACCGTTTCGAGGCTGTGAATCAAGCATACGAATTTCTCTGCAGTAGAAATGTATGGACTGGCGATGGTCCAAATACAAACAATATCCTACTTATACTTCGGACACAGACAATACTTTTCCAAAGATATTCTGAAGGTATATATATCTGCAATGTAGCGTTTATTAGATATTCTGTATTATTTTAATATTTTGTACATTAAATGTTTTAATATAAGCGAAACGCTGAATAAATAAGTTATTAAAATTTAAAAATATATATTTAAATACTGGATGGATAAAATATTTAAATATTGGACTTGATTCCTAACTGTAACCTATGTGGTAATTCCAGTCTGTCTGAGTACTAAATAAAAAATAGAACCTGCTATCACTGCTCGACCAAACATCGTTCGCCGTAGGCTCTCGTTCAGCAGATTATATATCCAAATAAATTGGCGACAATGCAAATAACATAAAATTTGAAATATCATAATGTGGCATTATTAGCATGAGGGCAGATAGAAAAAGGCTCTAATAATATTTAGTTATAATTTTATTTTTGAGAAAAATTGCATTTTTTAAAAGACCCATCCATGTATATAGGTAAACTTAAAAGCAAAATAAATTCTTATATGAACATAAAATTTGATCTACGGCACAGGAAGTAAATTTATGTATATAAAAGAATAGCTCATTTAATATTATAAGATTTAATTGAATAACACATTAAGATATGATGAATGTATTGTCAGTGCTGGCGCCGTACAAGTACGCGGGCTACCCGGCGCTGCTGCGCACGGCGCGCCTGGAGGCGGAGGCGGAGGCGCTGTTTGCGCGCGACGCCGCGCTGCTGCCCGCCGCCTGCGAGCTCGCGCACGCCACGCTCGCCTGCTCCGCGCTCAACGCCGAGGAGCTGTGCCGCGAGCGCGGGCTGGAGGTGGGTTTATATTTTGTATATTGTGTGTGCTATGCGTGCGTCCTAGGTGCCTAACAGTGGCCTTTGCATGTATTATTACAGGTAAATAATTTATGTGTTGCTAAACTTCATCCAAATCAGCTCAGCCGTTTCAGCGTGAAGGAGTAATAAATATATGTACATACAAATTGCATTTGTAATTATAGTAGACTGATTGTGAAAAATTCATACAAATTTCAATTTTTCGGAATCACAGGACAGATTGTGACAAAAACTAAAAGTATACTACGAATTTTGTGTAACTCTAAGCCGGTGTTGAAAAAATAAATACCCAGTGTATTACACAATCTCATTATATATATAAAAAAAAATTTGTTACCAACATTCTATGAAGAACAAAACTCACAATACCATATTTTCAATATGTAATTACAAATTATTTTGGGAGCTATAGCTAAGATCTCGGCGTGTCGTCCGCAGGTGCTGCAGGAGGCGCTGTCGCGCTGCGCGTCGGTGCTGGGCGGCGCGCGCGCGCACGGCACGGCGGCGGCCGTGTGCACGCACTGCGCGCGCTGCTTCGCCGTGGCCGCGCGCTTCCCCGCCTGCCGCGCCGCCTGCGCGCAGCTGCCGCAGCTCTGCGCCGACATCGTGCCGCTATTGAGGCGACCGGTCAGTATACTCTCATTATGTATCTCTTAATACTTTCTTAAATTTACACGAATATTTAACATTTTAAATAAAAGTATCAAATTTGATTTATTTTGATTTTTGTTTCCGACGTTTCAAATGTTTTATAGTAATAATATCACGGGAGAGACTAAGGTTTTAGATGATGCAAAGGTCTTTAAATAAAATCAAATAAATACGCGAAAAAAACTCTAAAGATAGTTTTATTTCAAATATCTGTATCTTTTTAAAGTCATTTTGATTATGTTACAGTCTAGATAGTACACTAATTTTAGTTATAGTTTTAGATATTTGTTATAAAAAACACTAAACACTAGCCAAATATAAGCCGAACACGCGCTAGTGGTTTTAATCGCTTTTCAATATTATTTTATTGCTGATACGAAACCATATATATACGTCAGTGCGATTCGCGTTTTACCAATTATAATAGTATTATTCAGGCGACGTATGTTATCAAAAATGTATAAACATGCAGGAGCTGGGCGAGACGGCGTGCGCAGGCGCGGAGGCGGTGGCGGCGCTGGCGGCGGACGCGCAGTGCCGCGCGCGCCTCGCCCGCGCGCACGCGCTGCACGCGCTGCTGCCCGCCGTGCTGCGGTACGACTACACGCTCGCGGAGTCCGGCGTGCCTACGGAGGGCGACAATAAACAGGTAATATAAAAATTCAACATATTTTATTCAGAATTAAATTATTACAATTTTTATTGAACGTCGTGAGTCTACTACTACCAGTTCGGAAGGAAGAAGCCCCAGACCTGAGAAGAACTGGCGAAAGAAACTCAGTGGAACTAATAGACAAATATAAATAAAAAAGTCCATCAACCCGCATTTAGCCAGCATGATGGACTATGGCCTGATCCCCCTCGTATTGAAGGTAGGTCCGTGCTCAGGAGTGGGACGTTAAATAGCGCTAAATCAATAAATAAAAAAATAGTATGTGAAAAATAAAAACTAATGTAGTACAAGTTATTTTTCTAATCATTTGATTTGAGGTTTTTTTTATGTATGTATAATGTTTAGTTAAATACTAGCGCCTTACACTCGTTTCTCTCGGATACGTTCCTAGGTGCTACAGAGTGACCTATCTGTTACTCCAGATCATATCTCTCTCTGTACTTAATTTAATCCAAATTCGTCCAGCCATTTCAGCGTAAAAGATTAAAGAAAACACATATATACATACTTTCGTATTTATAATATTAATTCTATGTATGTGATTAAATATATAAAAAGTTCTTGAAGTGTAAATCAAATAATATTAATGCAGGAAGTGGCAAACCGTTTCGCAACACAAAGCGTGGCCGCCCTCGCCGCACTGTACGGGCCGCACGAGGACGCCACGGAGGACGACGCGCGCGTGCGGGCCGCGCTGCACGCGCTACTTACGCCCTACTTGTGCGAGAAGCTGTCCAGCTCGGATACACACGATGTACGATACGTTTGCTATTATTATAGTACATACTAGCGACTTACCCTCGCTTCGCTCGGGTTTGTGCAATACAAACTTTCATCCCCATATTCACCCTCTTAAGGGATGATTTTCGGGATAAAAAGTATCCTATGTCCTTCCCAGGGTCTGAAACTATCTTCTTACCAAACTTTACCTCTTTATAATATTAGTATAGACTGGTAACTTATCCTCGATTCGCTCGTGTGTTCGTTTAGCTCTTAATTTTTTTTGAGAGGAACATTAATTCTTTTTCTACATTAAAGTAGCCTAAGTTACTCCTTATAATATCCGCTATCTGCCAGTAGAAGTCCCGTCAAAATTAGTCCAGCCGTGTCGGAGATTAGCCGCAACAGACAGACGGACAATTTTTTTTTTAAATTGTGTTTTGCTTATAAGTACCGTTTATAATTTCATATTATGCATTTAGTAAAACGCTGTTATTTTGACCTTACAAACAGACACTTCAATTTTATTTATCTGTATAGGTTTGTTTTCTAAGTATTTAAGCTTTTAATGTAAATATGTGAACATTATGAATTGTGACTGTTTTATTGACAAGGTGTTAAATACTAAATTAAAGGTTAATCGTATATTATTTGACATAAGTTATGTCCCATACGACTTATTCTTATTTAATTTTATTTTTTTAATTACATCCAATTTTTCATTTACATCCTAGAGAAAACACACTATTTATAATCAACTTAATTTACAGCTACTTAAAACTCTCACATCAAACTGGCGGACGCCATACCTCGTGTGGGACAACAGTACTCGAGCAGAGTTAAAAGAGGCGCTCAGAGAGAAACCGATAGGGGACGACGCGCCACTTGTGCCGCCATTGCAGTACACTGCCCACGAAGGATTGCTACCCGTAGGAGGGGTCTACTTGCATATATACAATGAACAGCCCGATTATCCTATAGAAGTAAGTAGTGTTATAATTTTATTGACAATAAATGTGAAAGCTAAGAATATTGTTTTAATGATGTATAAACGGAAAAAACTTAGTTTAAGTGAAGTATGTTTTTACAGAATCCTCAACAGTTTGTTTTGGACTTGCTCAGCTTTATAGAGACAGAAATTCAGGCTGAAATGACAGAAGAAAGAGCTGAGCACATCACCCTAGCATTGGATGCTCTTGCCAATTGTATTATAAAGAATCCAGGTATTTTTATTATATTTTAATATTTTTTTCAAAGTTATCGATATGACCAGCGCGGTCAAGCGACTTAAAAAATATTTTGATTGCGTTTATAATTTTCAGTTTAGGTCTCATTTGCTGGTAGAATTTTTAATAGAAAAAAAATTTTTGATCAAAATCTTCGCGTAATTGTGTTTATTATTATGTAAATGCACGTTAATGGATTATTATATTATATTGTACTACTTAAATTGTTTGTAGGCCATAATACATCACTCTGGCTAAAGCATATTTATTACATATAATTTTATTCAGAATTAATTAATTAAAATTTAATATGATTTAATTTCCAGGCGTGGAGATCCAATGCATAGGGCACTTCGGTGTGATATTCGGTCTGATGTCGGCGGGCGCGGTGCCGGGGCGCGGCGCGGCACGCGGTGCGCGCGGCGCGGGCGGCGGCGCGCGCGCGCGAGTGCGTGGAGGACGTGGCGGCGGCCGCGCTGCTGGGCCACCTGCTGCCGCTGGCCGCGCACGCCGCGCCCGCCGCGCCCTCCGCGCCAGACGTGCTGGCCGCGCTGGCGGCGCTGCTCTCCGCCACGCAGCTCGTTAGAGAGGCCTTGGCGAAAGGTATTGAGCTCATAAATGTTATCTATTTTAAAATTTAATTTTTTTTGAACGTTGAGTATTTCATCAACTGCAGAAAATCAGACTGCGTTTATAGATGTGAAAGTGAACAGTGTGTATGTCTGTTACTTCCTTACGCTGAAACAGGTGGACGAATTTTAATAAATTTTAATGCACAAATAGAGTTTAAACACTTAAAGAGGCATCCAAGCACAACAAGGATAAGTCACTAATTGGATTATCCAAAACTTTTACCTCATAGAACACGCTATAGTTAAAAATATTTTATCCTTTTTTATTTCAGGTGCTGTGATATACTTATTAGATTTATTCTGCAATTGTAAGATACCGGAAGTTAGAGAAATGGCAGTGGAGTTGTTGGCCCGCATGATGGCTGACAAATTACTTGGGCCCAAGGTAACAGAGTTTATGTAATAATTTTCCTTCCTGTCTATATGATTTTTTTTAATTATATTATATTTCAAACTAAATTATCAATTTTTTTCTCTTATATATAACTTCTTCTCCTTGATTTTTTGATTGATTGATTGATTGATTCTTGATTGATTGATTCTTGATTGATTGATTCTTGATCCTTCGTTTCGATGCGTGTAGATTCTAGATTTCTTTAACAAGATTATAATATGTGCAAGCTCCTAGAAGAAACATTTTATCCCTAGCTAACTCGTAGAAGAAATATTTTTTATATTTAAATTACAAAAATCATTACACCAATTGCTTATTTCGCTAAATGTCCATAAATGATGGTGTCTATAAATATAAACCTTCCTCCGTGTCTAAAAATATAAATAAAAAATGAAATTAGCATGAACAGAAATTATTTATTTTTAATATATAGTTATATTGTACATTTAGAGCGCAATAAAATAATGACATAATACATTCCAGGTGCGCCTCACTATATGCCGCTACGTGCCGGGCGTGTTCGCGGAGGCGATGCGCGAGGCGGGCGCGGCCGCCGCCGTGCACGCCTTCGACGCCGGCCACGAGCACCCCGAGCTGGTGTGGGGCGACGAGCTGCGCCAGCGCGTGCGCGCGCACCTAGCGCAGCTGCGGGATCGGTGCGTGGCTCACAACACGACTCTATAGTTATCTCTTGCATGTGCAAATTGTGGAATATTTCTCCCGGGGTTCCCCTGAGTGTTTGCATATAGGGCTATTCAAGAGTTTCACCCGCGTGTCTAATAGAGTATGTGAAACCGTCAGTCTTGCGCCTGATCTCTCGCAGCGAGGGTCGAATTATCGTTATTTGAGAGTGAATGGAATAGAGAGTGAACGCGTAAAATTGTGCACTATCATATGTCCTGCGCAGTCGACTAGTCTCTGTAAGATTTGCCTAAAACATCAATATATTTAAAGATATATGTACATGTTAATAGGCACTACACAAATCAAATCCGCGATCCATCAGTGTTATTCGAGGAGCGCGACGCAACGGAGCACAACGAGGAGGCGTGGGCGCCGCCGGGCGAGGTGGTGGTGGGTGGTGTGTACCTCAAGCTGTTCCTGCAGAACCCCACCTGGAGCTTGCGCAGCCCCAAGCGCTTCCTGCAGGAGCTGGTCACTGAGACATTGTCTGCGTTGAACAAAGACTCGTCTGAAGTGAGTAGTAAAATATTGTATTTAAATTGTATTTAAAAGTAAACGCTATTCTTGAAATTGGTTATATTAGTTTGTTTGATAACTTTTTGTATACTTTGATTTGATTGTATATAAATTTTCCTACTTAACACGTACGATATAGAACATGCATGTTTTTATTTATTGCTTAAATACAACAATTTTAATCAGAGCTTGTGGAATGATGTTTATTACAAAAGATAAGTTTTTCTTTATTGTTCTGTGCATATTTTGCACTTTATTTAATAGTTAATGTAAATTAAGGAAAATAGTCTTGTTAGTAAACCAAAGCAAACATAAGTCACAAATATATTCTCTATTGTTTCACCCTTGGAAATTATAAAAAAGAAATGAATGTAAAGAAAAATCGTATAAGCCAATCGGTGTTCGTCTACCAGGGCAGCCGCGGCGAGACGTGCGCGCGCGCGCTGGCGGCGCTGCTGCGCGCGCGGCCGGCGCTGTGCGAGGCGTGCGCGCAGCTGGGCGAGCTGCCGCGCCTGGCGCGCCTGCTGCCCGCCTGCCCGCGCCTCGCCGTGCCCGTGCTGGCCGCCCTCGCCGACACGCAGGTCTCTCTACCGATACATACACACGCTTACACTTATGTCACATATACTAGTTCATACTTCGTCTAACGAAGGCAACTAGACAGGACAATTGTGCAGAGAGAAATGCGGGTAAAAAGAGACATACAGATATCTATCTAGACAACATTTTGCGATCTTTTACGTGCTTATAGGTATTACAACCACTACCAGACATTATATAATAACAACCTTTTATCCCGCAGGCGTGCGTGTCAGCCCTGAGCCAGACGGATGTGATGGTGGGCCTCAAGACGGCGGTGAAGACGTGCCGCGAGGTGGTGGGCACCGCCTGCGACGCGCTCGCCGCCATATTCAACAGTTCCGCCAATACGGATAAACTCGTACTTCAGGTATTATTTGTATCTATCAAAAAATACTAGATACACAATCCCATTCAAAAGTTCTCTGAAAACTGTCACCAATTGTATTTACGTAATTTATTCTAATAGAAATAAATATACAACAATGTAAATTGAACCTTAAATGCAATGCAGTTGTTTTCACAAAAAAAGAATGCGCGCTTAAATGTTCAAATAAGCGCTCATTCGGTGAGGATATTTTTGTTGCTGATTATGTTTTATTTATTGATTACTTTTTTGATCGATGCTATACTATTATGAAACTATCAGAAATGTGTCTCTGTGCATGAAATATATTTATTTTTATAATTGTGGGTAATGAGGTGTTTAATCCTGATTAAATTATATATAACAATTTTAAGTTTATGGGTCAACTTATTATTGTATGACGAGGACTAGTGATATAACAATAAATAAAAGCATATTTTAGATTTTATTGATGTAGTTGTTGGTCAATTGTGTAAATCAGTTTTGTGTGATTGATTGGTAGTATACCATAGAAGTTCTTGATCAATGAATAATTGATTGAATAAATAATCAAAATCTTTAAAATAAAAGTAATAAATGTAAGATTTTCACGGGTGGGTACAGTAGCTCCAGGTTATACTCCATGTGCTACTCCAGGTCATTTATTTTTGGGTTACATCTGAATCCGTCCATCCCTTTCAGCGTGAAGGAATGACGAAGACAAACGTATACACATACAAACTATTGCAATAATAATAATGCAAGTCCGATACACGGTTATATTAAATAAACGTATAAAAATATATAATATATATAAGAAATGGTATTTGTACGCGCGCTTCCTTGGCGGCAGGCGCTAGAGTGCGAGCTGGTGAGCGAGCTGCTGTCGGTGCTGGAGGGGCGCGCGGTGGAGGGCGGCGCGGCGGCGCGCGTGGTGGGCGCGCTCAAGGCCATGGCGCGCGCCGGCCCGCACGCCGAGCGCGTGCGCGCGCAGCTGGCGCGCTCGCCCGTCTGGGACCAGTACGCGGCGCAGCGGCACGACCTCTTCATATCTGCGCCCCAGCACCACTCTATCGCCGGTGTGTACATACATATTATGTGTGCGCCACACGACACGCTTCAACGACACTATAAACAATCATATTATAGAGGCGATTACTTATTGATATTAACGGCAACGCTGGGCTGTGATCGAAAAATACTAATTTAATGACCGACGGTTTTAAAGTTAAAGCACTGTAGTGCCACTTCGCGGCCCTATAGTGGAAGTTACAGTTACAACCGTCCGTTTCCTAACTGTTATATAAAATTAAGCATGACAGTCTGATACGCTTTACCCGCGTTTCCCGCATGGTTCGCGTAATTGCCATGTTTAGACACCTTCGATTAGACTAGACTACTATATGGATTCAACTTAAAATTACTAATTGTTTCTGCCTTACATATATGAAGTAAAAATGGATGTAATAAATCAAAATTTTCACAGCGTTTTATATGAGGCTTTTTTATTCGCCTTTTACACAAATTTACCTTAATTTTCAATGTTGGTTAAAGCATTCACGCTTAACACCCACTCACCAGCTAAAAGTACCTATTAAAACCCAACTTTTTGTATCTGTTTTAGCATCAAATAAAACAGTGACAATTAGCATGTAAACAGTATAAATACTCGATGTGAACTAGAGTTCGCCGAATGGTCGAACTTCGACCGTGATTATTCTTGATTTATCTTAAAAAGCTATACAAAGTTTTTGCTTCACATATTAATACATAATTCTCAATTTGACCAGACTTTAACAATAAACAAAATATTACATATGCGTGTGTGTCAAATACATGATAGTGTGCGTAATGTTTTTTTATTGATTTAATGTATTTTTTATGTATAATTTAAAAAAATATTAGCTTTATGCACTCCTCTATATAAACTATAAGTGTGGAAAATTTCATATTCAGTACAAAGTCTTTGCTTCACGTTTTAATATATAGATAACGAGAATAACAATGGATTAACATGATAACAACTGGTCCCACAGCGGCGCCCCAGAGCGCGGGCTACCTGTCAGCGCCGCCGTCCGTGCCGCCCGCGCACCCGCCGCCGCTGGACTGACCGCGCGCGCCGCCGCCCTGCGCGTAGCGCTCCTCACATAACACAATATGGACACAGTATAAAAATCCATACAGTAATTTTATTTTATTTAGGATCTCCAACAAAAAATACACACTATATACAACATCATTTAAAAACATAAAAAGCTAATATGACTCACAACACGTGTGCTCCTTCACTTATAGGAGACCACAGCTTGCTCATTTATGTAATCTATTGATTTCAACGGAAATGCTGTTAAATACATACAAGGTTTGTCAAAAATACTAATTTTCTTCTGACTATTATTTATATTTAACGGAAATACTGTCAAATACAAGGTGTGTCAAAAAGTATCAATAACGATGTAGGGTCATCTCGTGGTATGTTACAATTATATCTGTTAACTATACGACCGTTTTCCAACTGTCATTTAAAAGTAAGTATGACGGTTGAGTGTGGGTGAGGTTCTCGTTTCACCTCCACCCACACCCCACACGACTGCCTTGACGTCTTCAATAGATCGTCTGTATGGATTAGTACACTGTGGTATGGTACTGCATTCTTTGTTCTACTTAGTCAACAGGTTTGCCTGGACGTCAATAATAGAAAATTGTATTAACAATTAATAACAGTCTGTAAAAAAGAGCAGTGCCATCTCTATATTATAAACCTATGTAATGTCTCAATTAATTAAAGTCATTGAATATCATAAGGTCATTGTTACGTTTCGTTTAGTAAGCGTGTTTTAATATTATTCATATGATATTACCATTCAAAAATATTGACTGAATTTGTTACCATATAAACTTAGCGTTTGGCGTTTTATGAGTACGTGTTAGAAAATACTAATATAAAAAAATGTCTGTCAATCATTAGTATTAAAAACGAAATCAGATTTAAATATCCAGTTATCATGTATTGCGTGTAATTCATGTGTAAATAAAAATATTAAAAGGAAAATTGGTTGAAAATGTATTAATTATAAAGTTGATTATATAATTCCAGTTTTCGTTTATATAATAGAAAATGGTTCAGTATGTAACGCTTATGTTGTCACATTTCGAAAATACAATATTTATGAAAATTTATTTAAACAATAGATATCATCTTATACAAACAATAATTAAATAAACTCATAAATAACATATTATTAAACTGAAAATGTTACCACTTAAATTATATATAATATAAAAAAATATCTATTACTTTTTTTGTTTTAACTATAATTTTTTGGTATGTTACCAAAATAACAAACTGCCAAATTGTGAATAATTGTTATACATGTATATTATATATGTAGTGGGCTTATTACATACCTATGTATAATATGATAAATAAAATATGATAATTTGTTCACTACGGTGGTTTTTTAAGCCTAAGATTGTCAGGCCGATTTACTACGACGAAATTATAATTATATATGCAAAAGGAATTTAGAAAGAGTTATTTATGCTCACCATACTAATAAACATGGGTCAGAAATATGAACAAAAAACACAAAGAAAGGCCAAATTAAGGGACCGCGCATGACAAGGAGTATGTGTGTGTTTTTTTTACTATTATTTTTTTTATAATTTATAATTAAACCATAAGATATATTGTTGAGCCACATATTTGTTTAATTTTTATACGCATGTCGGGCTGTTACTGCACTTTTAGGTAATTGCTCAGTTATAATGATATACATATATAGTTAATTCATAAATCATTTTGTTCTAATCAAGCGCTGACAGTGATGGGGATATATTTAGTTTGATTTTACATGGGTCATTGTTTTTAGTAAGCTGCATAAAACGACAAAAGTTTTGCAGTTTCCACTTAGTCCATTAAATAGGGAATATTAAGGGGGTATATGTAGTATATTGATATACTGATATTATATATAAGTATTTCTTATATTAGGTATAGTTCAGGTCACGACACAACAGCGATTGTTTCTATGTACTTATCAATAACAAATTATATTCGAGGGTATTAAACTGAGTGTGGGAGAGTATTGGGTTTCAATATACTATGTATAATGTATAATTACATGTCGTCCTTATGTATTAAGATGATCTCTTTCATTTAAGCGACATTTAGATAAATTTTCATATTGATAGACAATTATAAATTTACTTATTGAATTAAAGTAAATGGTCGATACCAGTGATTCGTTGTTTTAATATTATATATATTATACAACTGGATTTTATAAAGTAAGGAGGCTATGTTATGTGAAAACTGATATAATTTTATCATCTGTATGTTAATAGTTAAACATATAAAAACATATAATCATATAAGATAGTTTTGCTCTCAAAGCGTGTTTTATTTAGTTATTAAAATTTTCTATTTAATAAATTATATTCGGTTTTGAATAAGAGTAGAAGTTTTTAAAGATGCCTACATATTATATATTACTATTATAATTTTACTCTGACACATGGCGCCTGGTTAATAAAAAATTATAACGATAAATATTAATTTTATAGGCTTGGCGTGTGTATTGTATTGTTACTATTTGCATTTAATACCATGCAAATCTTGCCAGGATTTCGAGCTCCTGAGTTAGTTATATGTAAATCTCTTATTTAGACTGAAAATAAATACAATTATTTTAACGCATGTTCACTATAATAATATCATGCACAATTCAAAAACGGTTCATCTAATCGCCTCATAGGAAATAATGAGAGAAATAATAATTATTAAAACTTAATAATGTAAGGCTAGCGATCTGTTCGCTAACATTCAGTATATGATTATGGTATGTGTGAACGTTTGATATCGTGTACGAATCTTACTTAGTGTGATATTACTGTACTATTTGTAAAGGTATGTTGTATTTGTTAGTCATATCATAGCTGTAAGTAAGAAAATTATAAGCAACGTTTACACGCTCTCTTGTACACGTTCATGCTGATGTAGTGTACATTATTTTTTCTAATTTTATAATTATTATGATTTTGTCTGCAACATTGATTCGATAATGAAAGTTACGGTTTTAAGTCAATTCTTCCTTTGTTAAAAGTTTATATTATATGTTTAATACTTACATATAAAAAAATTAAGTACACAATATATGTTCATAAATGTACGTTATTTTTATTTCATGTTTATATGTTGATACACTAATATCTACAATATGTCTGTTTAGGATTCTTGTATATTTTTAAGACATGTAATCAAGTTCATTAGTTATTACTGTGTACAGAATTTATCATTTGAAATTATAAAGTATACTAAAACTGCCTTTATACTTTAGATATCTCGGTCACCTCGTAACACAATTCGAAATATTTGTGTTTGCATATTGACAAATGTTTAGAATTTAACCTTGAGTAATGAATGGTTTAATTAATTTAAGCTTTGCAAAGGGGGCTGTAAACGTATAAATCGATTTTATGTTGCTCAGGTCTCGTACGTCCTAATTATGTTATTGATATAAAATGTTGTTTGGTCGTTGCATCTGTGTGTCCTCGGTTTTGTAGAACTGTTTATACTCAAGGCTTCATGTAGTGATTATTTATTTTAAATTAATATTTAATATTCGATGTGAAGAGAAAATTTGATATTTCCTTATAAAAATAAAAATAAACTAATTATTGTAATTTTTTAGGTATATGTATGTTAGTATGACTTTTTAAAGAAAAATATTTTTTTGGATTTTTTTGTATATTATCATAAAACTGCGCACACACATGTCAATGAATGGAACGGACGGAAGGCAACACGTGATGTAGACCAGAAAGTGAAGGTTTAATATTTTTATATTTAGCAGTAAGCTATACATATGTAATGTAAAGTAATATATTGAATTAATATTAAACAATGAGTTTTTCTTCGCCATTTTCTTGCATTGAATTTTATTACCCAGCTTATGTTGTAACTATGAATTCGGGAAATGATTTATGTACTCTGTATTTTGGTTTGTGGTTTGAATAGAGAAATAGAAGAGTTTTAATATTATTATACTACTAGCGATTTACCCTCGCTTCGTTCAGGTGCGTCCCGATGTATTTTCGTGGATTTTTTTTTGCCCGGAGCCCCAATTCTATTTCTAAAATAAAAGTAGCCTAAATTATTCCTAGCATCAACTATCTGCCAGTGAAAGTCCTGTCAAAATCGGTCCAACCGTTTCGAAATTAGCTGGAACAGACAGACAAAATTTAAAAAAATTGTCTTCTTATAAGTCTTATATATACTTTTATGTGCATTTAGTAAATATCTGATTTTTGAAATTACAGACACTTAAATTTTATTAATGTTTATTTATTTATATTTATTTATTTGTATAGATAATTTACAATTAGGAATTGTGATAGTTTAATGGATAGGTTATAAAATAAATTGTACATGTTTACATTATTTATTAATACGTTTAAATTTAAATAGTTTTGAAATTCATATTTTATACAGGAAATTAGAAGTAGTAATGTAAAGAAATGAATACAACATAGCAAGGATATTATTGACAGATCTATCTAATCGTACTGTCAATGAAAACATCCTTCTTAATAACTAAAATAAGTACAAGTAAAACCCAGTGGTAACTCGCTCGCTTGGGAAACCCAGTGAGTTCAATACCCGGGTCTGGCACCTCTGATATTTTCATGTGCGAATTATTTTCAACATTATTACCACTAACTAGCCTTATGGTGAAGGAAAACATCGTAAGAAAAGCTGCATGTCTCGGAGGACCTGGCAATTTTTTGAAAGACATTAAGATTGCCATCCCACCCGCACTTAGCTAGCGTGGTGGACTATGGCTTGGTCCCCCTCGTATTGAAGGGAGGCCCGTCCCCAACAGTGGGACGTTAAAAAGGACTGAATACAAAAAAAATACAACATAGTTAAATATAGCTATGTACAACATTAATTCTACGTAAATATAATATTAAGTACCATACATAATACTCTTAAAGTATTGACTTTCTTAGATTTTATAAAACATCCCATAAAAGCCAAAACAGCGAGGTAATTAAATGATTCTTATAATATCACTTCAAAAATAAAAGTAATAACTGATTTTGTCTTATAACCGAATTCTTATTTAATAATTAATTATCTACCTAATATCTTTGTTAAAACAAAGTAAAGCTTACGTAATATGTTTTAAGTATACGTGTATCTGCTACACTCGGTTAAAGCACTTGTAGAGTTGAGCATGTTCAGCTCATGTTACGCATTTAATATTCTCGAGAAAGGAAAAAAATGCTATAAACAGCTAACAACACTAGCTATAATAATTAATCTCTGAGAAGTATCGTAGTTCAGGTGAGCGCGATGACCGGCTGCTCGGTGTAGTGATTGGTGGGCGCGGCCAGCGGTCGTTCGTAGTTCTTCGAACGTTTCCGTCTACCTCTGAAACAAACTCTCCCATATATCTCAACGTCAGTGGTCGAGAGGATACATGGTAGATAATCAGATACCAAGTTCAAATAGTAGATTTCGTATAAACAAGGAAGTATTCTATAGAATGTTGAATTTTTAGGCACATAAAGCAGCATTTTATTTTTTCTATGTAACAATAGAACTATGGTTGAGCTATATGAGTTACCTTATAAGTTTGCGCACATATCGGTACGGTTTTGAGTGTATCTCCGGCACCTCGGTGGGCACCGCCAGTGACATGTAGTGGTCGGCGCACGCGCACAACAGGTCGTCCAGCCTCGCGTGCAGCTCGCTGAACGTGGGCCGCGCGCGGGGACGCTCGTTCCAACAGGATAGCATTAAATCGTACCTGACAATCGATTATTATTAGAAAAATAAAAATTTCCAATAAGTAAAATTACTTATATATTATTTTTTAGTTTACTAGAACAAGTAACTCACAGCGCGGTGCTGCAGTTGGGCGGGCGCGGCATGCGGTAGCCGGCGGCGAGCAGGCGCGGCAGGCGCGCCGCGCTCACGCCCGCGTACGGCGACCCGCCCACCGTCACCACCTCCCACACCACCACGCCGAATGACCACCTGAAGATATTCCACAACCTTTACTTAACTTTTCTTAACTGACTTCTTTGAGAAATCATTGGAATCATTACCACAGCTGTATCTTTAAAAATGTAGAGAACATCTATACATCACTTATAACAGTTATATTTTTTTCTTAAATGTAGGATTCAAAAAAGTAATTTTGGGAATCAATGACATATATATTAATTCAAAATCTTGAAGAAACCGAAAAAAGGACCTCAGAAAATTGAAAACCTCAATAAAATCTGTTAAACTTACACATCAGTCTGCGTTGTGTAGATCCGATGCGTTAAAGACTCTAAGGCCATCCATTTCACCGGCATCTTGCCATTGCCTTTCTGCTTGTACTGATTTTCCTGATAAATGTCTCTGGATAAGCCGAAGTCTGCTATCTTTAGCGTTCTATCTCCAGTAACTAAAATGTTTCTAGCAGCTAAGTCTCTATGGACCACGCGGTTTGAAGCAAGGAACTCCATGCCCATTGCAATTTGTCGGCAAAAAGAGAGAAGGTCCAATATGGTTAGCTCAGTGTCGCAAACTTCTTGTAGGTCGTAGAGTCGATTTGCAGCGAATTTTAAACCTGTTGTTTTGCTTTTGAACAAGTTATTCCTATAGTTCACTCCATCCTTATTGTTATTGTAGTACTTCACATTGCGTCGAGTTAGCATTATATCCCAGGAACATCTATTAATAATTAATAGGTATGATAAGGATATTGTTTACATATGTACATAGGTACCTAATATAAAATCCTTACCTTATCTAAACTATGACTTACATAATTGACTATTCTGTAATTTAACCCGCGTTAAAGTATGTACCTCAAGTAAGACAGCAGGTCGCCGCGGCTGCAGTACTCGGCCACGATGAGGAGGCGGCGGCCGCTGCAGCACGCCAGCAGGCTCACCACGTGCGCGTGCGCGCCCACGCTCTTCATCAGCTCCATCTCCGCGCGGAACGACCGGATCTCCTCCACTGATGGTAAGTCTGGGTGCGATCCAAATATAGTTACAAGTTTTTTCTGTTTAATTTTCCAGTGCACGAAAGAAAAGTATTATGATTTGTGACCGACGTAGGTATGGTAGATATGGTAGGTAAACCTAATGTTTACTTAAGTTATGCGTTTTCAATTTAGCTTTAATTTTATGCAGAAATCAATACAGTTATAATAGAGGTGGATATATATGTGGAGGGGTCCCCCTCACTCTATTTCTAAGCGAAGTATATTTTTCAAACCATAAAACATATTAACAAACACGACCCAGGGGAGGTTTCACCAAAAATTTGCTCCGGGCTATTTTTAATAAAAAAATTTTTATTAAACTACAGACTAAACTAGCTTAAAATTACTGATAATTTCTTTCAAATGTACCTTTAAGCATTTTCACGGCGACTTCTTTATTAGCAGGCGCAAATGTCCCCCGACGGACCACTCCGAAGGCGCCTTCTCCGATGACCTCGTGCAGCAGCAGGCGCTCGGGCCGCACCTCCCACTGGTCCTCCGTGCCCGCCTCCATGCCGTCCACGTCCAACTCATCTTGAGGTATCTTCTCCATTGTAGTCTGTTTAATTTTAATCTTTTTTTAGGAAATACTTACATTACAGCTATTTTGCATTATATAATTTTTGTTTATATTTTGATTATACTAGCTAACCTCCGGAACTGGGCCTATGGCTATGACTTTGTCGATTATACTAAGGTCGGACGTTGGATTTGGGTGAATAACATCGGCAACGCATAGGTGACGTGATGCAGGTAGTCTCTTACAATAATTAAATGATACCTATAATTCCTATTAATAATTGCATAATGAGATGTACATATGTGAAAATGTATGAAGATGTTAAGATATTTGGAGATTTAGAATACTTGTGACTGGTTCACGTGTAGTTTGTTGTAAGATTGAGCGAATTTGGATAAATATCTAATTGGTGCATAAAGATAATAGTTTATATTTCATTTTAAAATAGATAATTTACCCTATAATAATTTCCAGAGCGAGTCAAATGGAAGCGACGTTTCCAACAAAAAGCAGCTACTAAAAGTACAACAAAGACCAGCGCCGAGCACCAGGCGCCTACCAATAAGCCTGAGAGAGGTTTAGATGCAAGCTGTAAATCTGTAACAATAATATTCATCATTTTCATCAGAAAAAAAACAAATACTTTATAAAATAAATTGGCAAATCTATTCAGGTCAATATTAGTTCAAAATAGGTTGGTGCAATTTTTTGTTTGATACCTTTGTATGGGATGAGGTATTCATACTAACTACTAATGAATACCTGCATGGCCTCTGTGGTAAAAATATTAAATAGACAAAATAAATAAATAAATATATCTGTTAAATAATGTATTTACAATAAAGGGCATATTACAAAAATCATCCTATACAAATAAACATAAAAAAGCAGAAACTGACTTGGAAATAAGCTGCGTGCACTGGTGTGCGCCGTGCGGTTGTTGGCGTGCGCCACTAGCGACACGTTGAAAAATTCTCTGCCTTTTACATTTTTAAAATGCATTACTGTTGCATTCTGTAAGTAAAACGATTAAATAATTAAAAAATTATCAAGGCAAGTTCGGAAAATAAAATTGCAGAAAATATTATACTATGTTATATATTTATGTTTAGAGGTATAATTTATTTGAATAATTTAAGAGAAGAGTATTAATAGAGAATATTTCTTTTGGAATAATAAAACTTTTGTTAATAAAAGGAGTGCGCCGTGGTCAAACAAGTGAAAGTACCTATGTCATAAAAGAAATAAGTACATAAATAAAGTAAAAATAATAAAGATGGAAAATAATTAATAATTCATGAATGAGACTTTTTCAGCTGATGCCCATTTTCTTATAACTTTACATGACGCGTGTATGTAAATAATTATAAATACCTAGGTGGTAGATTATTATATGTAAACACGTAGATTGTAATAGAAGAACAGAAGATTTGTTTAAGAAAATCGACGAGAGTTCTATTTATATTGAAGATGGGAGACGAAACATTATGTACTTAGGTATAAGGTAATATTTTAAATATACTTACTCCAGGAACTCTAACGCTTTGAACAGCCATATTTGTGCGTAAAGTAGCATTGTAGTAGTCGGGCGCGAAAGTTGGCCTGTTCCAACTTACGTGCACCGTCCAGAAATCCTGGTTTTCGTCCCAAACAGCTTTGAGTGTCACATTTTGTGCTGTAACTGAAATTGTAAATGTTTTACAAGTCATGTTAAATAATGATGATGATTATGATGTTCTCCTGGCCGATTCCGGCTAGGGCGGCCAATCTCATTGAAACTAGCCAACTGCGCAGGAGATATTGTAGTGCAGCGCGTGTACGCGCAGACACAACGTGCACTCTCTATTCCTGTCACTCTCATACTCCGGTGGGACGACTACTTGACACCTCACGGGGGTGTAACACCGCCAACTTCCCAACTCCGGGCTGTTACTGAGGCTTACTTTACAGAAAAACTCAATAACTAAACTTGGCCCGACCCGGGACTCGAACCCAGGACCTCCGAGTGTGCAGCCGTACATTCTAGCCAGTACACCACCGAGGCAGTTAATGTATAATAATATTGACTCTATGTCAAACGATTGGTTAAGGAGGTCTCGAGAATATAAACCGTATAAAATGTAAGTAATCATAGCCAACTAGTAAACAAGTAGTCATAGCAAACACATAAGAAGACACATAGAGAAGATTTGCTAAGTAAAAAGTATAGTCCTATGTCTACTATCTTCTAACCAAATTTCATCTAAATTGGTTCAGTAGAACCAAAGATTATCCCCAAAAAACAACGTCACAAACTCACAAACTTTCTCTTTATAATATTAGTATAATATAGATAACATTACCTGTAAAGGTAATTTCTGATGAAAATACTTACATTTATAGCATTCTCTATGAATGCACGGGGGCGTATGATATACTTTCTTGGTGACGCCATATTTTCCATTTATTGTAACTGTGCAAGTATCGTTAAGAAACAAATTGTGTAGTATAACATTGCGGCGTTCGCATGGCTGAAAGATAAATTGATAATTTATAATATGATACGATTTATATTATCTATACTTATATTATAAAGAGGTAAAGTTTGTGAATTTATGACGTTGTAGGAGGTAATCTCTGGATCTCCCCCCCAACGTGCGTTCACCTTGTCGTGGTGGGGGGGCTCAGTAGCAGTAGCGAAGCTAAGAAACGCACAGGGAGGTTGCCCACTTCGGTGGGCGGTGGGAGGTGGCCCTCTTCGGAGGGCGGTGTACCATGCGGGTTGCTCCTGGTACTTCTCTGATAGCAGAGTGGACTGTGGAGCAACCCCATGGTTGTGGTGGTCTGCTTCGGCAGACCTGCCGTCGGGGCGTCGTAGTTGAATGCGTAAGCGATCCTGCGACGCCCCATTAAGACGGGGGAAGGTTTTGTTGGGTTTTAGTGGGTAGTACTGGCTGTATTACGCCGGTGAGTCCCACACGTCGTGCGTAAATGCATTTCCCAACGTTAAAAAAAAAAAAGGTAATCTCTGGATCTACTGAACCGATTTAGATGAAATTTGGTAAGAAAATAGATTGAGACTCTGGAAAGGACATAGGACACTTTTTATCGCGGAAATCTTCCCTTAAGGGAGTGAAAATGGGGATGAAGGTTTGTATTGGGAAGCAAGCTACAAAATAATAAAAAAATAACAAAAGTTCTGTAATAGGGTAGTGATCAATAGTGTAACTTACTTTAATTGTTTTATAATAAAAGTTTCCTTGAGTCTCTTTGTTACAACTATTTGTTACTGTTAAAGAGTCCGCAGCTGAAAATTAATTAATTAGTTGTTTTATAAAAAAAAAACATTAAAAAAATATGGTAGCTTATTGCAGTTAAGAGTTAAAACTTTAAGTTACTGAGATAGTACTTGATAGTTGGTAACTACAAAATATAGAATCGCTCGTTCTTTTTACTTTACAATCAGCAATGATATTAGGATTAAGACAATTAGACGGTAACATTGTTCCTTCTGTTCAATTTTTAATCTAAACTCAACGTTATATATGTTCTATGAACCAGAACCAGGTTCGCCGTCACATCAGAAGTATCAGAAAGTAACTTTTAACCATATTAGTACTTACCGTCAGTTGAATTCCATGATATATTTGCTTTTACAAAAAAATCATCTTCTATAAGTAAAAGATTCGAAAATGTTATATTAATTGCGTACGGTTTTTGCTCTCTCTGTGGTACAAAATTCTCTATGTAAGGCCCTCGTTTCCACGGTGACAGAAAACCAGTGTCATTTATTGTAGTCGTCCAAAATGTGTATTTCCCCGGTTCCGGGTAAAGTGACGCTTTCTCTTGGTATGGCTCAATAATAGAAAACTCAATCTGAATACAAAAAATAAATGTCAGAAACCAGTACCTAGGTATGTTTATTTACATGCGGTGGATCCCAATATCTGTGGTTTTCCTTAATAGCAATAAATACATCGTCATTTATATGGAGTTTATGTCTTCCTATCTTTAAAACTTTAGATATATAGCATATATCGCTAGCGACTCATCGTCGCTTCGCTCGGGTTCGTCCCTAGGTACGTTTTAACGGTTAGTATAGAATAGATAGAGTATACACTGCTATCTATATACATATATTATTTTTTTCTAACTTAAACTTGACGTATTGTTGTAGATGGTAGGTCCACCACTATTGAAAGTAATCCGAAGTAGTGTTTCTCATACAAAATAACAAGTTTTGAACTTTATGATCTTCTAGCTGTTCTTATGGGTTTTTGCCTAATTTTTTTATATTTAAACTATCCCTGATATACCTCCAACAAAAAAAAAGAATTATTCAAATCAGTTCAGCCGTTTTTGAGTTTTAGCAAGACTAACGAACAGCAATTGATTTTTACATAAATTATTCCCTCCACGACCGCGGACACACCAGCGTTACAGCAGATTTCTTGGAAATTTAATTAATTTCTTAGAAATTTACCTGGAGGTGTTAAAAAAATGAATAATAATCGCCGATGGCGTTACACAAGTTGTGGCTTACCGTTTTGTTTACGTCGATATCTAATGGAACCAATGTAACTAGCTGTGTATATTTTGAAGGCGTTATCCTGAATAGTATTTGAGTATCTGAATTGCATTCAATTTTAATTGTCGAGGTGCTTGGAGTAAAATATGAGCTATGTGCTTGGTCTAAAAGGAAATATAAAAATAAATACAAAGTAAGTAATTTAAAATATTAGGTATATTCGACTTTACTTTTATCGTTTATTAAGTCATATAAGTAATTTTTAGCTTCACTCACATAAAAATTGCGTCACGCATCTATTTCGATTTGTTACCTGCGAATTAAAAAAAAACAGGAATTACAAGACGTAGGTATTAGTGAATCTACCCTTAGTAAGTTTTTCACGTTATTATTTATATTTATAAGTTCCACTAATTATTTTACTACATAAAAATTAAAATGTTGAACTATTGTATCACCAAAAAGAAAGAAAACATTTTTTTCAATGCTGGCTTAGACTTAGGTCATGTGTAAATCAGGTAACTAAACATAATAAAACTATGAGAAACATGAGACGAACATATTCATTTTATTTATAAGCTTATAGTATAGTTATATTTTAGAAAGAAGCGACGGATACGAATAGAAAGATTTTTACCAAAGCGAAATATAACTATCTCGTAATAAAATACCTATAACAAAAAAAAATTCTTCTTGTTCTTCTTTTTAGTTCGTTCTTTACGTAGTTGGGTTTTTTTTTTGTAATTTTTATTTATTTATAGCTTTTTAGTATTGGTTAGTTATGCATTTTTAGTTTTGTTTAACAATTTCTTATCCTAAATTGCTTTTAAACATATATGTTATTGTAATCACCTCTTAAAAACCTGCATTTCATTCGCCACTCGATTGATTCGGACGAATTTTTTTTTACACAACTTGGCGCCTAGGATCTGCCATTTTTAATTTTTTAATTTATATTTTTCCTTTATACGCTATGACACTTGTGTTATTAAGATGAATCAAATAACGTATGAATCATCAAAATTGATATAGAAGTTTATTAATTACTAGCGAAACATAGGGTCGGGCATACATACATACTCCGAACTCGTACATACATTTTTTTTTGTTGACGCTGGGGAAACCCATCATGGGCACCCTGCCCGCCGTCATAACGAACAAGGTACTGTGAGACTCCTACTCACTAAAACCCACAGCGGAACCCGTCGCCGCAGTGCAATGGGGCGTTGCAGGATCGCTTGCGCATTCACTACAACACCCCTGCGGTCGGCCCGTACCTCGCGGGCCATCCTCGCCTAAATCGGGATGCCCTCGATTCACAGAGCATCCCGACCGCCCCGATGACGTGCAGGGGAGTCAACGAGAGATCCCCCCGCAGTAGCTCCTCTAGGGTGGCGGGAGAAGATGCGCATACCGGCGCCTCCTCTCCCTCAGCCGACGGCGACGAAGAGGGTCTGCTAAGGCGTTAGCGTCGCGTTCCCTCTCCGCCGTCTCCTTCAGTGAGATGACGGTTTCACTAAAGGAGACCATCGCCGACCAGGACCTCGCGTCACGTAGCATGGCCCCCACCACGCTTTGCAACGAAAGGTCTCCACCCACTATCGCCATCAGGGCATGGCGCTGGGGAGTCCAAGCGGCGCATACCGCGAGGGTGTGGTGCGAGGTGTCCTCGGACGCACCACACTCGTGGCATACGGGCAACGGTTCCCGACGCGCAACCTGACATAGATACTTACCAAAGCACCCATGCCCGGTAAGCATCTGCGTCAGCCTGAACGTCAGGACAACATATATATAGGTCAACCACAACCCTCCTTTGGGTTTCGCCGCAGTCGGGTAATAAGAATTCAAGGAAAAATCTTCTATTATTGAAAATTCTACATTGGACATTTTTTAGGCTTAAAAAAATATTTTCTCATCGAACGTCATATGTTTAGAAACACTACTATTAAAAGTTAATTATAAGGCCCTTAAACTGTTTACGAGCCGTCGGTGACGGATTTCGAATTTGAACGATTACCTCATTGCCATACTTAATGGCCTGTTTATCAACATCTAAACTGGCATATACGCAAGTGGTAGCCCTCTACTCTTATCCTATCCTCTATATAAATATTTACGTAAGTTAAAAAAGACTAGGTAATTAGTAGACGTTTAACAATAATAAAAAGACCGACGAGCTTCGCAAGGCTAAAATTCGGGTATTATACTTCATCTAATTTTTTTCTTCTGGTAACGTTATCGTTTAAAACATCAGCGAGAAAAGCGTTACCGTATCAGTAGAATAGATGACACACATAGACACAAGGTCGATGCAGTCCAAAAATAAAAAAAATCTTGAAATTTTTGCAAGAATCTTTGGCATTCTTTTAAAAAAACATAATTATTTTGCTGTGTAAAAGTTTTCAATTGATTATATCTCTCTCTAGATTGCCTCCTTGACCTTCTTGTTTGAAGGTAGCTTAAAATCAACCACATGCAAATTGGATTCGCGCGCCGTCAGGGCCGGATTTACCTTAGTGCCGCCCTGGGGCACCGTGACAAATACCGCCCTATTGCCTATATACTGCATTACCTATATCTTACACTAGGGTCTCTAAGTACGTTTTCATTTTTGTGAACGGGACCCTAATTCTTATTCTTAAATAAACGTATAACAAACAGACACTTCAATTTTATTTATCTGTATAAATTTATAGATTAACCAGACGAATATCTCCGCGGCGACATATAGACCAGGGCTGAAAAAGTGATAAAAAAAAATAGTGGGATGAAACCCATTGGAAAAGGAAGAGAATATAACAAAAATGAAAGGAAAAATAATTTACGGGCGATCTGAGGTCGGGAAGTGGGAGGGGGTGAGTTTTTAAGGGTAAAAAACGGTTTATCTCGATTTTCGGCAAAACCACAAGTCCTATGGATAAAAGTAAAATAGCAAAGTTGTTGGTAATAAAAAGATCTACAACTTTTGTATTAACACTTTTTCACATAACCTCAAAATTTATTTCAAAAATTCAAATAACCAAGTTTTTGGTTTTTTATTTTTATTTTTTACAAAAAAAAAACTTTACACGAAATTTGGTGAAAACTTACTTTTTTATGTCCCTAACAAACTGTATTTTTTTTATTTAAAATATTTAATTTTTTATCTTACTTTGACTGAATATCGAAAAAGCACCCTAATTTTCAATCGAAAATTCTTGCGTCAAAATATCTGCGTTTTAAAAAAAGTCGGGTGGGCTTTTTGTTCGTTGAAATCTCTACTTTCTGACGGTGTAAAAAAACATGGTATGGTAAATTTTCTCAGAAAATGCAAAAAGTATAGACCAGACCCTCCTAGCTACTTCCTCACTTGTCTATGAAATACCTACCTTTTGATGGGCTAAAATTTTCCGTAGGTCTCAGGTATATAAGTTATCTTAAAATAGCAATAAATAGGCATCTACGCATATAATTTAAAGAAAATTCTACAACTTTTTTAAAATATTGTAGATGTCTTATTAAATATTAACTTTATTGATTGCATTTTTTGGCTGCGCGCCGTTAAATTTTCCTACTACCACAGACGACATAATACGTATATATGTACCAATAAAATAAGGATCTATATTTTCAAAAGCACTTGAAACCAATAGCTCGAGTCCCATATACATTTAGTCGATTTTTATTTAATAAAGAATTAACATTTTACCTAATCATGACAAGATTGATGCTTGTTTTATTACCTTTTTGAAGACAGGATAGATAGGTACTAACTAAAGTAAGACACCCCAAGAAATTGTTTCTTAAGAATAATTAGTAAGCAACGTTTTATTTGATCATTTAGGTATAAATATTCTTAAATTTATATTTTACATAATATTATTACGAGCCTGGTTATTACGCACTATTGGATTGTTATAATTAAAAAACGACTTCAAAACACTAAAAAGTAAAAAATAAGTAAATGGGAGTTTTCATCTATACATAAATATAATAAAATTGTAACTAAGCCAAATCTGTACATTAAATATTTTTTGGAAAATCTTATTGAAATAGACATTATTATCGATACAGAAGCCGAATCTATAGTTTTTAGAATTTTTGTCTGTCTGTCTGTTACCGCATTACGGAAAAACTACTGGAGGGATTTTGATGAAATTTGGTATGGTGATAGCTGGTTATCCGGGTCAACTTATTACCACGGGAAAATATCTCATTTCTCAGAAAAAATACAAAAACTGCAATGTAAGAGTATACTAATATGTAAAACCTAAGAATTTGGTTTTTGGTCATTTGAACGCGGGCGGAGCTGCGGGCAATGCTAGTTTTACTATATGTATTGACTTACCCCCTCAGTCACGCCTATAGAAGTTTTACTTCAAAAATAATCAAATACACAAAATTAGTACACAGTACTAGATACCAATCGAATCATTAATATAATGTTTATTTAGTACTAGCGGCTCACCCTCGCTTCGCTCGGGTTCACCTCTAGAAAAGCACAAAAAGATCTATCCCACGGGAACCGTTCATTTTTCCGGGATAAAAATAAAATAAATAAAATAAAATAAGTAACCTGTTGTTTGAGCTGCATTATAAGGTATAGGTATCAGCATGCCAAATTTTACTAAATTAGGTGCATAAGTTGTTGTGTACTGAGCTGTATAAGTTACTATAATTTTTTAACTATCCCACGGGAACTCTTTAATTTTCCGGAATGAAAAGTATCAAATTTCATTTAAATAGGTTCAATAGTATCGGAGATTAGCCCGTACGAACAGACAAACAGACAGAGAAACAAAAAAATTGAAAAAATCTGGATTTGTTCTATTTCTCTCCTTACGGGATGTAAGAAGAGAACTGACTCGTTTTTTAGCAATTTTTTCTACCATCTATGTACAGACATTCGACCTCTACAGTTTTATTATACCTATATTCAGATAGAATAAATAACGTATAATAAAACAGAAATATATAATAATGAAAATAGTTATAGCGAGTGTACCTTAGGAGATAGACATATACTATGTAGAACTTTTCTATAGACCTTTTTAAGACTTACAATTTTCTTGTACAATGTTTTGATCTATCTCTTAAGGTTGAGCCAACGTTAGCCAATAAATTTCTAAGGACAGTTCGATAGAACCAGTTATTGTATTTTCCCGTGGGAATGAGTAATTTGCCCGTCGTAAAAAGTATTCTAAATGTTGACCCGAGTACTAAGTTTTATGACTACAAAATTAAGTTAAAATTGTTTGAGTACTTTTTGCGTGAAACGCGCACATCGATTTGACTAAGTTTTATTATAGGTATAGATAAGAATAAATATTG